GGCATGACATGACATGGTGTGAGGGACGACGCGGATGCGGGTACGAGGCGCAGTCTGCAGGTTGCAGAAGTTTGGAAGGTGCATTAGTGTGTATACACGGCCTGCGGCATCGGGTCGATAAGCGATGCAGTGTGATGCTCTTTCTGTGTGTTCTTTTCTCCTGTCGTTGTTTTTACGCGTTTAGGCCGCCCTTGCAGAATGGTGTATGCATGTTGGATCACATTCTTCGGCCCTGTTGATGCACGGTCGGTGGAGGGAGAAAATGGTAGTCGGAATGTGGGGGAACATTCATGATGATCTGAGTTTGAATTTAGATTTTTGGGTATTTGTAAAAGTAACTTGAGTCATTGGCATTCGCATCAAGGACGTTCCAGGGCCACCGTTGAGGCCCGCATAGACGCTTCCATTTACTCAATGACGAGCAACCTTTCTGTGACATCCAGAGCACCTTCAAAGTTACCGGTAATGGCATAGATGCTCTGCATTGCAAACGCGGCATCCGTGCTGAAGTCCTCATACCCCCAATTCCCATCCTGGCACTGATCTTCTGCTTCCTGTCTAACCTTGTCACTAAGCGCGCAACACCTTTCATACGCCGGAAGCGCCTGCGCAACAAGACCCAGTCCATGCCACATCCTCCCCACATTGAACTCCGCCTCTTGCTGATGGATAGCATGAGGGCTTTTGGTGCGCATATCATAGTATCTGTAGACGAACGACAGACCCTGTTGGATCTGGTACTGTCGGTTCTCAGATAATCGTTTCATCGCATGTTGAATGTACGCCACGCCAATACTCAAATTCAATACTGGATCTTCAGGTGTGATGGCAAAGGCGCGGAAGTAGTAGTTGAGTGCAGCCATGTAGCTCCCACCGCACATCAAAACGTGGCCGTACAATGCAAAGAGCGCGGGATCGTGATCTTTAACCTTATCTACGTCTTCGACGTTGATGTTGTTTCTGAATCCTCCTTTGCTGTCTTTCGTGTCGCGGAAATTGTATGCAACGCGCTGTGCTGGGGTGAGAAGCGCGTAATCCATAGTCTTGATGTAGCGCATGAGAACCTTATACGCCGGGCCTGTTGCGAATCCCTCTGGGAAGGAACATAGACGGTTGACGGCGCCATAGAGACGGAAGAGGTCGGTACCGAATGGATATTCTTTGAGCAGCCAGCGTGTTGCTACAGACGCTTGGCGCGAGTTGTCCGCTGCGAGAGCGCATGTGAGGCGGCATAGCTGTAATCGCTGGTGATATCTTCGGGAGCGGTGGAAGACATTGGCCTGGGTGGCGATGTCCAGCGTAGCAAAACATTGCTCTTCGTCTCCTTCGCTGGCAAGCAGAATAGCATAGCGACCGAATGCGTCACACCATTGGTCAAAGTCGATACCCCAGAAATCAGTCGGGGCCGCATCTGGTCGCTCTCGCAGCTCAGGATCTGTCTCTCCATCTTCAACATTGTTCGCTATTACGGCAAGTACCATCAGCGAAGACTCTTTCCAGAGATCGCCACCTGTGACGCGACGGAAATAGGTCATAAGATCTTCCTTCCGGTTCGAGTAGAACAGATCGAATGTTGAGAACTCTTCGATAAGCTCCCGGGTAATGGACAGGACTTCGTGTATAGCATCCTCGTCCCCGTACTCTGCCAATTCCCATATCTCCTCCAGTCGCTTGAAGCTGGAAACGATCTCCCGGTGCTGAGCTCGAGCGGCTTTGAGGTCATCGGCGTGATCTGTCGCAAGCTTCTGGAGCTTATGGCGAAACAATCTGTTATTGATCGCACGATACGGTACGTCGGTACCTTCTAATGTAGTTCGTCTTGGTTCAGTATCGGGACCTGTATCAGCATCTTCATCACGTACATCAAGGAACGCCTGGACTTTGGGCGCCTTTGCTCTCTTCGTTCGGAAGAAACCCTTCTTAGGGCGTTCAGTCGGAGCGACAAGTGCGGGAAGCTCCACGTTGCCGTTCTCGTTTGCAGAGTCTTCGTCTTCACCGGTCTGGCCGGTTGCTTTCTGCATCTTCCTCCTATTTCTTCGGACCGTGCTTTTCCGAACACCATATCTACCACGAGCTTGCCTTCGTTGATTGTAGTAGTATACTCTGAGCTCATCGTATGCCTGGAACCCGAGGGCCTTGAGCTTATGGCCGTACTTGTCGCGGTAGATGGTCTCAGCACGCTGCCCAGCTTCCTGCCACATACCCTGGTCTTCGAAAAACTTCGCGAGGACAGCGAGATCGTCATAGTTCTCCGCCGGCCACTTTTTTAGAATCGGGATTACCTCTGCCGCCCTCTCAGCCCTCCCCAGGTTCTTGAAGCATGTATGCAGGCCAATGTAACTTTGGAGGTTGAATTCGTTCGAATTTTTGTCGAACAAAGGCTCGTAGAATCGCAGCGCATGTTTGTCATGGCCAGTGGCGTGAAGAGCATCGCCAATGATACGGAAAAGGTCTTCGTAGTCCCAAATCAGAGCATCTGGGTCATGATTATCCGGCTCCAACATCTCAAGGTGACGCTATATCGCAATTAGTGATGCGTAGCTTTTGTCGCAGTTGTTCGACGTACCATTGCTTCTTCAAAGTCATCCTTGCTCCTGCGTAACCGAAACAAGCCTAACTTCACCCTAATCTCTAAAGGTAGGGTTGCGCCATACGATGCATCCTGCGATGTTCGGACGAATTGGGGCACAGTAACGCGTCTTGGCTCATCTTCGACATCGAATTCGCGGTCGTCTTGAAGTTCGTCCCAGAATGTCTCAGAACGCCTACCCTGCTTCCACCGGGCAAGCTCTTTGAGTCGCGTGACACCCGCGCCATAGCTGCCAGCTCGATCTAACAGATCGAGATAGATGTTGATCAGCTCCCAATCGAGTTCGTTCTCGACTGGATCCCGGTCAGGCTGTGTGAAGACGTCAATGGCCTCTTCAAAGCTGTTCAGCAGCTTGTTGAGATGTATCCTAGTCTGCTTCGGAGAGGCAGTACCCATCATTGCCATGATCTTTAACACACTGACATCTGGATCTTCCCCTTGTTCTTTGAGCGTTTTCAGCATCTTGAGACCGAGTGCGACGCACTTGGATGAACGGCCTAATTGCGCTTCGATTTCGAGCTTGCGACTTCGAGCTTCATAGTCGTTGTTGAGCAAGATAATCTCATTCAAACACGGGAGAATGGCAGCCGACTTGTTCTCGTCTGTAAACTGCGGATGCTTCTCCGGATCCAACCGTTCTATGCGCTCGATGATATACTGCCAAAGACCAGGATCACGCTTAGTTGGCGCACCAGCCAAAAGTACAGCCAATGAGTCCTCCTCTCGACCCATCTCGGTATAGATCTCGGATGCAATGTTGTAAGCATCGAAGATCTCGGGGTTGAGTTGAATAGCTTGCTGTGCAAATGCAAGTGCAGCTTCGTAATCCTTTTCGATGAACTTGGCATTGGCCTGCTTCTGCAGTGCTTTCCATTCTGCGCCCGGGTCGGCAACGGCTCGAGGACCTCTGGGTCCCTTTTCTCTTCCAGGCTTGCCTCGCTTCTTTTTCCGAGGCGTCGGTCTAGCACCATTGCTGCCCCCTCTACCGCCACGACCCCTAGTCGAGGGACGTCCTCGTTTTCCACTACCTCGCCCTCTGGTGCTAGACGCTGGTATGATACTGGCCGTGACTGGAGTCTTGGGTGTGCCTCTGCCTCTACCCTTTCCTCTCTTGTACTTTGTCCGCTCTTCAGTATCCTCAAACTCGACGCCTAGCTCCATTTCGTCTGGATCGCCTTCATCTTCCTGTGCATCTTCCGATTCGTAATCTGCGTCTACCTCTGAATCATCTTTGTTCTCGATTCGTTGTAGTTCCTCCTCTTCCTCCATGGTCAGCCGATAGTCATCTTGATCGGAATCTGAGCTATCAAAGTCGCGATCATATCGCGAATCACGAAATCTGGTCGCGTTGGTAAACTCATCATCGTCCTCTTGCCCTGGGTTGGCTGGGATGAATCCTTCGAATACCGCAGGTCCACTGGTAGCATAGGCTCTATTGAACGGATCCTGAAACCCTCCACTAGTGAAAGGAGGAGGCTCCTCGTCCTCCAGATCCTCTACAGCGCTGAGTGGGATAAGAGGTATGAAAGGACTCCGGGCTGGCGGCTGATGGTGAAGTGAAGGCTGGAATGAATGCGGGTGTGGGTATACCTCTTGAGGAGGAAATACCGCGTTTGGTGGAAAATGTATGGGGTATTGTTGTCTGTCATGTTGCGCAGGGGGTTGCATCAAGTTTGGCGCAGCTTCTCCGAAAGTACCTGCAACGGGTAAGAAGCGTCTATTATCCGGTGGGTGTCCTGGCGGCCACTGCCCGTAGTATCCATTATTGGGGTTCATGGTGCGCTTGATCGTATCGTACCTGCGTTAGCCCATACGTGTTAGTGAGTGATCATTGTGGTATATGGCACCGAGAGAATGGTGGTGATGTCGAAAGCTTCGAGACAGGGATTGTGACTGTTGCAAAGGCGGGTGCACGTGCTTCGCGCTAGAGCTTCGCGCGTCTCGCCCGCTTCGACTCGAGGCTCACCGGGAACAGTTGTCTCTTTCCGAACCACCTGTGAAGTTCTCACGCGAACCTCCTGATGGTACTTGTCTTATCGCACGAGTTCAGCTATAAGCGTTTGATGTGGTGATAGAGAACATCGACGATCTAGGCCCGGCGCGAAGAAGAAATTACTTAGGCGGTGTCAACGCTGCTAGCCTGCTGCTTGGGCAGCCCGAGCCGCTCTTCCGGCAGCTAGCTTAGTAGGTGGCAGTTCTTTATAAACGTTTCAGCCAATATGCTACCGTGTTTATATAGAACAGGATCCAATTCTTGACAATTTAGGAAGGGTCTGTTGATGCACTTTCAGAACTCACTACCGTAGTTGCCCTCTTAGACAGGCTCAGCACCTGCGTTAACTCATATCGAAGCATCTACCCCCAAACACCATACACCTCACTGCATCTTCTTTCTCTTTTTGTAGAAACTATGCTACTAAGACACTTCTTTTACAGTCTGTCGCTGTACCTGGCCGTCCCCGCTCTCAGCATACCAAAATATGACAATCAGCTACTTCTCGTCCAAGAACACGAACTTGGTCAATCGCAAAGTACCGACGTCGTCTTAGCGATCAAAGAAAGTGGAAGCAATGCGGTGCATCAGATTGAAATACCATTACGAACGAAAGTCTTCCCGGGTATGTCGCGCACAACGAGCTCCATTCCAACTGATGCTGACAACCTGACAAGGTATAGCCTTACCGAATCGACCCAGCGCTATACAAGTCATGGCAGCCACCGAACAAGGCCGGTCGGTATCACGCGCGAGGCTGGGAAGAATTATATGTGGAGTCACACCGAATATCAGCACCGAGGAAAGAGAAGCATTTGATGTAAGCATGGAACCAAAGATACTGCCATGGTTTGCAGTAAGAGATGGAGTTGTCGAATTCGAAAGAAGTGGCTCCAGATGGTTCCTCGCAGGTAGAGAAATAGAAAGTTTCGAGTGTCGATGACACTTTGGTGCGTCCAAGCCCAAAGCCATGGGAGAGCAGAAGGCGAATCTTAATGTAGTATGCTCCATGCTTTCTAAGGGTATAATGTAATGGCCCTCAACAGCCTCCTTCAACTCACATGCATGTATCCAAGTCAACCCAACCCAATCCAAACGCCAACTATGCAGGTCTAAACTCTGATCAGACATTATTATCCCCCTCATTCATCCCCACCATCTCGTATTCACCAGCATCGTCTCTCCCTCTGCCCCTCCCTCGCCCTCTAGATTCTCCACCATCGTCTTCCGTAGCTGGTTGTGATCGCGCAGGTGGCTTGCTACCGAAATTGATTGGCCTCAATTCGCGCCACTGGCATGCCCACACGCCCAGCGAAGTCATGATGGTCGCGCTACATATCTGGAGGGCCCACCAGAACATGTTGGTGGGTATCGCGTGCGTATATAGGGAGGTGACGATCAAGTGGATAAAGTGGACAGTCAGGGCGAAGTCGAGAACGAGTTTTGAACGGGCGATGAGGAGAAGTATGAAGATGGCACTGCTGCATGTTAGACTGTGGTAAGGCTGACCAGGCAGCACGATGGAGTGCTTACCAAGTGAGACTATTCAGCACCCAGACCAGACCCAGCGTCCACCCGATTGTCGTATCGCCGCGTAAACTCTGCCAGCTAAACAGGAGATCGATGCTAATCTCCTTGCCCGCTACCAGCGCGGTGAAGAGGATGAGGATGCCGGCGCATGCATAGTAGGCAGCCTGTAGGAGTACAATCTGCGTGAGGATGCGGGTTGGGGATAGATCCGCAAGTGCGCCGGGTCGTGGAGGGCGGCGTCGGCGCGGCATCAATACGCAGGCGATGCGCTAGGACCTGGGCATAAGGGGAGATGGAGGTTTGGCTGGTTGTAGTTGCAAGGTTGCCTGTTGATTCACGGGTTCCCTAACGGTTCGGCGAAACGTGGACAGCCAGCGCCGATGTCATAGCTTAGGGTCTGCCAAGCACGAATTCGAGATCGTTGCGCTCTTCGACGACAGCTCTATCAAATCTACAAATCCGATCTCCAGACTTACCCTACCGACGTGCGTTACTGCCTGAGTCGTTCCACCTGCGAATTCCCGACCTTGCGACTGACATCTACGCCAGTTTCGACCGTCGCCTCCACCTCCGCATCTTCTCCGCAAGTTCGAAAATCGCTGCCATGGGCTGGTTCGGCTCAAGCTCCAAGGACGACTCTGGCGTTAAGAAGACAGAAGGCGGTGCTTTCGAGTCGCCATCGCGATCCAACCGGAAACAGTGTTACGCCGCACGCGACGCCTTCTTCGAATGTCTCGACAAGAACAACGTCCTGGATAGCATAAATACAAAGTCTGGCAGAGACAAGGCGGCAAGCTTCTGCTCGTCGTTTGATCAGGAGTTTGAGAAGAATTGCGCACACAGCTGGGTACGTCTTCTCAATCGCAAGCAGCATGCTCTCATGTCTGTATAAGAAATGGCAGTTGGCCACTACACGGGTTGCCTGAGACTACAGATTGGACACCTTACAAGAAAGATTATTCAAGTACTGGGCTGACAACCTCTAGGTAGAATACTTTAAGAAGCAACGAGTCGTAAACTACCAAAGAGAACAGACGATCAAGAAGATCGAGATGCAAGGTGGAGAAATCACTGCCCCGCAACTACCACTGCCGGGTCAGAACAGATAGATGGAGGATGGCTCAACAGTCCTAATAACGCCGCTCATGATCAATGTACAATATGTATACTACCCTCAAGGCGCTTCCAAAAAGCGTTTGCAGCAGTCACGCAGCACGGCTTCTCCTGCCGTTCTAGACTTTTCACACAATGGGGCATAGCACCCACACTCTCTCTATGCACTCAAATGCAAGGCATCGCGTTTACCTTAGGCCCTCACATCAAATTGCAGTGCATGAACCTCCCACCCTCAGCGTGCGGTCCTGTAGCCCGGCCCAAACATCCAACACACTACCTTACTCGAACGGTGACTAGACTCGCATAATGTCGTCACCGGAGCTTGGGAACGCTCACCGATGTAGCCTAGCCATAGAGTGTCGAGCCGCGCCTGGCGAGTGTACTCCTTGCATGATGGGTTCGTCGCATAGACGCAAGGACGAATCGGGGATCAGCGGTGTTTAGCTTGTCCATGCAAGCCTAGGAGTAGGCGCGGGAGTTGTTTCCATGCAGAATCGTAGCGTGAGTTCTGTAGGTCAGGCCGCGTCTTGGCCCTGATGCCAAGGGCTGTGACCTTTTGTTGGTCACCATACCTCCAGGGGCATGTGGCATGTGGCTGTCTGTCGGCAGTTTCCTTTTGCCCGAGTCTTTGTTGCTGACAGCCTGACAGCGGTAACTCTGTTGTTGAGGGGGAACATGGAAGCCTTCAACTCTGTTTTGCAACCCCTCATCAGCACGAAAGCCTATTCAGAGTAATCATCAGAACCACCATGAACATCGGAATCAAGCTGCCAGGCCCAAAATCCTACACGCACCAAAACAGCAAAGTGCAAGGAGCATGACAAATGTCCTGCCGCAAGACAGCATGTTACCCAATATTGTTGATTAATACTGATTGGCTACTAGGACGTGCAGGTTTTAGCCGCAGAATCGAGCGGCAGTAGCAGCAGCGCGCCACCTGGTTCGACTCGTCGGGTCGGCGAGATCTGAGCTTTTTCTCGGTTATCTATGCATACAGAAGACCCCCACCCCACCATTTCCATGACTTCATCCGGGTCAAGTGGCTTATTTTACCCCTCCATCGGGTTGGTGCGTCGCCGAAGGATCCTGCCTCCGTGTGTACGTGTGTGTGCGTTTCGGTTCGTGTGCTTTTGGTTCGTAGGCTTCGTGATCATGTCCCATGCTACCCAATAGCTACCCAATACTGATCCGAAGATTCTGTTGCTGCGGTTCTTTTCCTTGCATCCTCCATGTCGTCGTAGTGGAGATTGGTCACCACTTTGTCGGCCAAATAGTCGCAGGGTCGAACTCGCGCCTAAAAATCTCCACATCGGACGCGCACCCTTTGCTCGGCGACCCAACCATACTACTGTCGATAGCAAACACGACATCCTGGAATGCGCCATGGAACTCCTCCTCTTCGAAGAGTAGTTTCCTCCACATTCGGGCTACCTCCTGTGCCGGGTTGCGAAATATAGGCCCTAGTCCAAAAGCGCCCAATACCAAGTTCCTGTGCCCGCAATAGGATGCAATTCGCAGTACTGCCCGCATTTTCTCCTTCATGAGCTCCTTCTCTTGTGCAAACGAATATTTGCAGCCGCTTTCGTCAAGCTTGGGACGTCGCACGGGTGCAACGGATATCACAGGTAAAGACGCTATGTCTGTGAAAGTTGCATAGTCTTGATCTGGGCCTGCTCGGAAAACAACTGCGGCCCGTTAGTGACTTGTGCCTCGTGACGATCGTTACTAGCATGCCAACGTACAGACTTCAGGGGAGTAGATGCCGCCTGTCTGTGGTATTGGGTAATAGTTTTCTTCTCGGCCCAATTGCGCGTTCCAGGGCATTGTGAGGGCATGCACGAGGTTGCTTCTCCGCGCGAAGCATTCCTCTGGTGCCATGAGCCCAGATTCCCAATCACCTCCAGCGCGCTTCTCGTTTGCTACGTTGATTACTGGTATCCGCTTGCACTCTGGGTCTGCGTTGACAGCACTTTGGTACCAGCCCAAAGCGTAGTTCACGGGGTCGCCTTCCATGACTGCTACTCTCGTGCGTTGTGACGATCGCTTGTCCACGTTGATCCTTATTTGCGAAGAGTCTGGGTACAGGTATGAGGTTTTCGAGTCTCGAATGTAATGTTTCCAGATATGCGGCATCCATACGCGTTTTGCTTCGGCTGCTATCTCTGACGGCTTTGGTCTTGATGGCGGCATGGTAGTAGAGCACTGTGAGGGGGTTCCTGTAGACTGTTTGAGTGAATGTACGTATGGTGAAGGTATGGTTGACTGCAGTATGGAGCAGCGTGAGAAGAACGAGGAGTGACAGTAGCGAAAGCGAGTCTATTACCCAACGGGCGAGAGGGTAGTATATCACTTGAGCAACTACTCAAGGGCGTGTGATGAGGCAGCTAAATAATGGTTCCAGATGGACCCCGGAGACTAAGCTGGCGCATGTCCGCTGCGCCAGCTACCAAAACGGTAGTCCACTGCGGGAATCAAGCCTTCCCCTGTGGATGCAGTCATCGCGGGTAGCATCTACACCAGCCGTAGCGCAGACCTGCAGGAAAGATGGAGCCATGAGTCGTGTGCCCGAGCAGTCTAGGGAAGACACAGATGTCGAATGGCTGGTAGCAGCCGCGCCTTGTGATTGCAAAAGTTCGCCCTGGTCCTGGGGGCCATGCTGTGCACCCACATAGCTGCCAGGCACCTCAAGCCACCAAGTGCCGTGTCGGGTTGCTAGGAGTGCTGGAGCAGGGATGTTTGGCTGGATCGATCGTCCAGGCCTTGAAGCGATCTGCAAAGCGTTAAAAGCGGTTTAGAAAGATCTGGCGGCGTTGAGCAAGCCGATGATGACAGCTGCTAACCAAGATCCTGCACGATATAGCGTCGCAGTAATAGCGTCGGCACTAAGACCCGGATGCAGGGTAAAGGTACTCTGCTGGAATGCATGGCGTTCTACGAGGCGTCTTCCTCACCGCCAGCGGCCGTGGCACGAAAACGTCCATCTAGTCGAGCATTTCCGCCACTTTGATGACGGGTACTTGCCTGGAAGTATCCTGGCACACGGTAAAGGTTGTACAAACGGCCGTCGAGCTTTGTGGGGCGTGGCATTTATGTCTTGGTGTGCTTACTGGCGGTGGAGGGGAGGAAGAAGCTGACCCACCCAATGATGGTCAAGGGAACGACCAAGAAGAACACCAAGATCACAGGCTCCGAAGCCCATCGGCGCTATGCCCATGGGTCGCAAATCTCGTGAGAGGACATGGTCGGTCCTTGCAGCACATGATGTTTCAGCCATGGCTGAAGTGTTACAGACGCGATCAACGAGCCACAGGAACGGCACGGGCGAGGCCTTCGCGATCCTAGCGTGGGGTCCAAGCGTTACTTCGTTTTTTCCAAGGTTTCACAGACATCAACCCGCACGTGTGATAGAGAGTGCTGTTTCTACGCTACACCGCGCAGCTCCTGGCCGATCGAAATTTGCCGACGCGTAAATGAATTGGCTCCTGCCTGTTCAGAGGAGCGTTGTCCGTCCCCAGCACTTACTCCGAAACCGGGGAACCGCTCTGCCTTGCGCACATGCACTATCACTATGCCGTGCCCGCTGCAGTTCCACCTTCTGTCCAAACACTATTGCTGAGCTGCTAAGGCCAACTCAATCGGCCAGTTCATCTCAGCAGAGTGCACAGGACAACGAGGCATTAACGATAAACGGCTATGTACGGACAGTGCGCAAGCAAAAACGCATCGCATTCGCTGCTATAGGCGATGGCTCGACTTTGCAAACAGTCCAGGCCGTCCTGCCTCCTCAACTAGCAGAAGGGTCAGTAGTTCCCTTCAGGATAATCTGTAAGTACTGACATGTTGTGCTATCAGACTCTCCACAGGCACTGCAGTGACAGTCACGGGAAAGTGGACACCCTCACCAGGTCAAGGCCAGTCCCATGAACTCCAAGTCAACCATGTGCGAATACTGGGGGAGAATGATGCCACAGTAAGTCAATATGAGTGAGCCTCGGAGTCTTGCCCGATGTCTGATCCGAATCTTAATTCCAGACCTACCCAATCCAGAAGAAATACCAAACGCCCGAATTCTTGCGCACACTTCCACATCTCCGAAGTCGACTACCAATTAATTCGCTTCTTTTGCGGCTGAGATCGCTAGTCACTGCACAAGTGACCAACTACTTTGCGGAACATGACTTCATTCAGTGCCATCCACCAATCATTACCTCCTCCGATTGCGAGGGCGCAGGAGAGGTGTTCACTGTGGCGCCTGGAGCACCGTCTTCACCAGATAAAAGCTCTTCGAATCAAGTCAAAAAGCAAGAAGACATGTTTTTCGGTTCCCCCAAGTATCTGACGGTCTCCAGTCAGCTTCACCTAGAGGCTTTAGCTCAGTCAGTAAACAAGGTCTGGGCCTTGTCTCCAACATTCCGAGCCGAGAAGAGTGACACAGCCCGTCATCTTAGCGAGTTCTATATGCTGGAAGCAGAATTAGCTTTCACAGAGGATGTGAACGTCGTCATGGACTGTGTGGAAAATATGCTGCGTTCCGTTGCGTTGAAACTACAAGAGTCGGTTGTAGGTCAAGAGCTTCTCGAGGCACGAGCACGAGACCAGGATCAAGAGAGCACATCCGTGTCGCACACTGCCCTCGCACAACGGTGGCAAGGGCTGGTAGCGGGGCCATGGCCTCGAACCACCTATACGGCCGCAATACAGCACCTCAAAGACGCAGTGGCTCAGCGCAAGGCGGATTTTGAGTATGCACCTGGTCATGAAGATGGTCTCCAGACCGAGCACGAACGATTCTTGGCTGAGAGCTTGGGACGCGGTGGACCCGTATTCATCACTGATTACCCACGTAACATCAAGCCTTTTTACATGGCGCCGTCAAATCACCCGACAGCTGACAATTCGGCCGCCTCAACCGTCGCATGTTTCGATCTACTTGTACCTGAGATCTGTGAACTGGTCGGGGGGTCTATGCGTGAACATCGACTAGCAGAACTTTTGCAATCCATGGACGAACAGGGTCTTCAACAAGCGTCGGATAGCACTACCGACGCATCAGACGGATCCCTGCAGTGGTATGTGGATCTCCGCCGATACGGCAGTGTACCGCATGGAGGCTTTGGTCTAGGGTTCGATCGACTCTTGTGCTACCTCGCTGGTGTATCTAACATCAGGGACGTAGTCAGCTTTCCCCGGTGGTACAAGCGGTGCGAGTGCTGATGCGCAAACAAGATATAAGGACCTCCGGTATCCCGGATCACGGCATCGCCAGCTGTTCACGGACGTGGCATTTCGTAACGTGTCATGGCAGAGGGGCTGGATAGCATTGCTTGTTGCAGCACATGAAGACCGCGTGTTCATTGTACTTGTACGATCAGCAGCCGGCTGTACGATAGCTGCTCATCTTGTTTGAGTGTAGATGGAATTGCCTCGGACGAAAGAACCGTGGGTTATCTACGGGAAATACCTCCAGATTTTCAAACTCCCGTGTGTAGACATGCCCTTTGATTCCGTTCAGCACGCATGCTTCCAAGGCGGCGTAGGGACGAAAGTCCGTTAGTTGCCCATTTGTTAAACACAGTGCTAAGAGCACCTAGCGAGCTTTGCAGATGAAGCTCGGGCATCCACTATGCAAACCATCCCAAGATCGGACATTATTCAGCATGCGAGTCTGGATGCGCTAATCAAGACTTGCCGACTTTGCGGGGTATCGTGAGCAGATTCAAGCTTTTCGAACAGCGTGTAGACGAGTGGCAGCGGACCAGACGTGTGGCGGGCTCCAAGCGCGGGCGGAGATGATCTGATAAGATATATCAAGCACATTTCCCCTCCCACATCCGAGGCACCTTGGCCGAGTCTAGCTATCGCGTTGATGATGTACTTGATCTCCGCGGGCACCTGTCACCGATTTACGGGGCATTTGGGTAGGGCGTCTCGAAAATGTGCCGTGCGCAATGGCAAACAGCATCGGGATGTAGAACTCTCTGGTAGATGAAGTGGCATGCGCATGCGTAGGTTTGCCATGGAAGCTCCGGCATCGCTGCTGAAGGCATGGGTACGTAGAGGGCAGATAGCAGCGACTCAGTGAGAGTACCTAGTCGCCGGGCGGGATTTAGGTCTGACGTCTCGGCGTTCGGCTGAAGTCATCTCGCGCTTCCGTTAGTTGCAAACAAAAGTAACAACTTCAATTTCAAACCATTGCCCACTCACCACAGCCGCCCCTCCTGCATCGACGCGCGGAGGCACTTCACACCCCCCAAAAAACAAATACCCTCTCAAGTCGCAAAACTGGAATCCGCGGCGCCAGTAGCCGGCCGACTTATGGCCCCCAATGATCGGCCATCAGTTCCTATCGAAGAAGAACACGAGTACAGCTCCATTGCACCAGCGCACATGAGATACGCCCATCGCTGACTTGCGCGCCAGTTATGAGGCGCTCCCACCCAACTTCTCCCTCACTGCCAACATGCTTGCGGGCGCATTCGCAGGTGTTGCGGTACGTCTCCGAGGTCGCCGCCGTGTATACACCCCGACTGACCCGACGATAGGAACACTCGGTGATGTACCCGGTCGACTTGCTCAAGGTCCGCAGCTTCCCACCAAGCTCTTCATGCACTGCCGACAGCGCGCTGACTCCGGACAGACCCGCATGCAGATCGTCAACCCGTCGCCGAGCGCCATGTACAGCGGTATCTCGAACGCCATGGTCACTATATCTAGAGCGGAGGGCTTCTGGTCACTGTGGAGGGGACTGTCGAGCGTGGTAATGGGCGCAGGTGGGTAGTGTCAGGCGAGCAAGACTGGCAAGGAGATCTGACAGAATGCAGGTCCCGCGCACGCTGTCTACTTTGCCTCTTACGAAGCTACGAAGCACGCCCTGGGTGGCAACGAAGGAGAGAGCCACGAGCATCATCCCCTTGCAGCAGGTGCGCAATACCACGACCACACGAATACGGGAGCAGCTACTGACTACAAACAGCTGCTAGCGGTGCCGCGGCCACCATCTCCAGCGATGCGCTGATGAATCCTTTTGACGGTAAGATGCGCATCACGACCTCGCTCCGCGCCTACTGAATCTCGCAGTTATAAAACAACGCATGCAAATGCACGGTTCCGTCTACAAGTCCGTCCCTCAATGCGCCCGAGAGGTTCTCCGCACTGAGGGCGTGGGCGCATTTTACGTCTCATACCCCACTACACTGTGTATGACGGTGCCATTCACCGCACTCCAATTCATGGCCTACGAATCGATGTCCAAGGTCATGAACCCGACCGGCCGCTACGACCCCTATACGCACTGCTTCGCCGGAGGTATCGCCGGAGGATTTGCAGCGGGGCTCACAACTCCCCTCGATGTCATCAAGACGCTATTACAAACACGCGGCAATGCTCGAGACGCAGAATTGAAGAATGTCTCTGGCCTAATCCAGGCAGCCAAAATTATCCATCAAAGGGAAGGATACAGGGGATATTTCCGTGGTCTGAAACCTCGAATCATCACCACCATGCCAAGCACAGCAATTTGCTGGTAAGTTCTGAGCTTGGACACCGCAACCGGTATTGATTTGACACTGCATAGGTCCGCATACGAGATGGCCAAGGCTTTCTTCATTCGGAGGTCCACCAACTCATCAACGGCCATATAGAGAGACGACTATTTGACTGATCTTTTTTTGAACCATTACGAGAGCCCTCTGATACCGCGATATGAGCATTATCCACGGAACGATATACACGCAGTGTCGCGGAGAGTAGCGACCATGGCAGTATTGAGCATCCAAGGCAAGGTCTAGCATTGTGTGTCGCGCTGGAAGAGCATAGGGCGGTGTCGCGACGCTTCTTCATTACCATTGTATAGTCATAGAGGCTTTTGTGGAAGCCGATCTGGCGGCGTACTGCATGCTTGGTTATGCGAGCACACGACGGCACGCGCATTCTTGTATCATATAGCAAATTCAGTGTCGGCGTCACTCAAGACCCAAGAACATTTTCGCTCTTCAGCCCAAACAAGGTGCGTAATCGATAACAGCCGGGCGCGAATAGCAGCCCCACTTGCACATGCGCCTTCCTCGTGCGTGGCTGTGTGAGCACGCGTATCCTAGGTTAACAGTATTACCTTGTGATCTGATGTAGTAGCGCGAGAGAGAGCGTACCAAGTTGCGTAGAGGGTGCATGGATGCTTGGGGACAAAGTCGTCTTCCATGGTCGTCGATGCTCAGCCTTCGCTGTTGCGAAACGCAGCTACCTACGTCACACACCCGCGCGAACTAAGACCGGCGACGAATCTACAAACACGAGCCCGAGACTGGACGCGAGACACCTATTTCGTCCTCCACGCCACCCACCGCGTGAATTGGGCGCACCATATACATGTTTTCCGCTATGCGCGCCAACACGACGCAGAAAGCCTACGACGAGGCCTTCCTAGCCTGCTCAACGGCAGTCTACTTTGAGGGACAGGTCAGTGCCCAACCACCCGCCAAGTGTCGCATGTGCCCAGCATCACTGACAGAGAGGCCTGTAGAGCAACGAGAAAGAAGCGCTGCGATCATGGAAAACCGCCCTTGACCATATCTACTACCACAACTCCCGTCGCAACCCTTCGACCTACCGCCCTGCGTCCGAAACAGAGAGAGCACTGATCGAATCGCTGCGTCAGTTGGAGCTGCAATGTAAAGAGCGCGTGGATCTCTTGGAAGCGCTGAAGAAGAGCCGGGAGGAGTCGAAAGAGAGCCTTGCCTCGCTGTCGTCAGACAACGATGCACCCACACCACCACCCCACGGCGTGCCTTTATCGCAAATCGATTCAAGCGCATCTACATCATGGCTCGGAGCCGGATCTATACCACCCATAGAGTACACAGATCTCTCAAGGCCGCCAGCATTGCCATACCGTCCGGCGATGGCGCCACGGAAGAGCTCCGGCACTGGCTCCATACGGGATAATAGCTTGACGCAGACTCGGAGCGCATCGACGCTATCTCCAGGACCAGTGGGAGAGGAGAAGACGCGCACACCATCCCCGGAGAAGAGTGGCAGAATGCTACGGACACTGAGACCCGGGAGGGAGAGCAAGTCATCCTCAGCGAAGTTGCCCAACACGTTGAGAACTCGCCCGGATGCTTCAAAAGCGGCTACCCAAGCATGGAGTGTTAAAGCCATGCCATCCTCCAGTCGGCCAACTTTAGGGGCCCCGACCCCGTCGACCAGTTCTCTTACACCTTCCGCTCGCTCGTCCATCGAGAAGCCGGCTGCTGAGAGACCAAATGCTTATTTCCCGAAACCCGAAGCACAACCGGCCCCTGCACAAGCACCCTTCTACTTTAGAGCTGGCGAAGGGTCAGCGTCAACTGCATATGCGGTGCCACCTTCTGGTGGTGGAACTGACCCGGGACTGGTAAAACCTGCTGCACACGAGCGAATAGCGCCAGCAATACCCCGGAAGTCTGTGGGATTGAGTCGTATGAACAACGCGCAAGGACCCAGTACAACATTACCATCGTACCGGAAGGAGTACCCTAAGCCTACACCGGACCCTCGATCTCTTGCTGCGTCTGCTGCAGCCCATTCGTACGGCGACAATGGTGGCGAGCGAGGTGGAGTCATGTGGGATCCCACGACAAGGAGACTAGTACCGAAACCCAAGAGCAACGAAACACAAGCGCGAAGTAGTTCAGAGCAGGAGGATTCACCTGAGTCTATACCACTGGAAGAAGACGGAGAGTTGCTTAAGCAGAGGCCATCTCCAGTGCGGAAGGGCAGGGCTAGAGGCAATTCGATGCGTGCAGAACTACCAGACACCCCAGGCGCGGATAGTTCTGAGGTGGAATTGGAGCCAGAAGAGACGGATGCATGGAAGCGCAAAACGGATGAGATTATGAAGAATTTACCACGGGGCGTCGATAAGCAAGCAGCACAGCAGATATTAAACGAGATCGTGATACAGGGAGACGAGGTACACTGGAGCGACGTATCAGGACTTGAAGTTGCGAAATCCGCCCTGAAGGAGACGGTAGTGTACCCGTTCTTGAGACCTGACTTATTTATGGGTCTGCGAGAACCTGCACGCGGCATGCTCTTGTTCGGACCCCCTGGAACTGGAAAGACGATGTTAGCCAGGGCCGTTGCTACAGAGTCAAAGTCTACCTTCTTCGCTATATCAGCTAGTAGTCTGACGTCGAAGTTTCTAGGCGAGTCAGAAAAGCTTGTTCGTGCACTTTTCCAGCTTGCAAAGATGCTTGCGCCATCGATCATCTTCGTCGACGAGATCGACTCACTCCTCTCGTCGCGTTCGGGATCCGGCGAGCACGAAGCGTCGCGACGCATCAAAACCGAGTTCCTCATTCAGTGGTCCGATCTGCAAAAGGCAGCGGCCGGGAGCGCGGTCACTGACAAGGACAAAGAGAGAGGCGATGCAACTAGGGTTCTCGTCCTCGCAGCAACGAACTTGCCATGGGCGATCGATGAAGCAGCAAGACGAAGATTCGTGAGAAGGCAATATATCCCACTGCCCGAAGATTGGGTCCGGAAGCAACAAGTCCAGACGCTATTGAGCCACCAGAAACACGAGCTGAGTGACCGCGATCTAGATCGTTTGGTCAAGCTCACTGAGGGTATGAAATGATCGTTGAAGGCCTGAATCGCAATACTAATCTCTTTCCAGGTTTCTCTGGTTCCGATATAACAGCGCTCGCGAAAGACGCTGCAATGGGCCCTTTGCGCTCACTGGGTGAGAAGTTACTTTCCATGACGATGGAACAAATACGACCGATACAATACCAGGACTTTGTAGCTAGCTTGCAGACTATTAGACCGTCTGTAAGCAAGCAAGGACTGAAGGAATTCGAGGATTGGGCTACACAGTTTGGTGAACGTGGAGGCTGAAACACCAATGAAAGGGCTGGCACTACGCCTGCAGTAACGAGTCAAGTATTTACACGAGTGTATGCATGGTTTCAGTGTCAACGTTATTTGCTTCAATTCCTCGTAAGCATGCACATCCCACCTGCCTAGGTCGAGGATAGCTCCTTCCGTCTAGAGTGTGCCCGTGACTTAGCGCGATCTCAACAGGAGCGCATCTCACATCCAGCAACCCGTTTTTCTTTCCTCGATCTATCCCACTATCGCTACTGGAGCAGAGAATGGCGCCTCGCAAGAAGACAGAAGAGAAGGCCACAGCCAACGAGGCCGCAGATCTGGTGTTGGAGTATCTTCGTCAGTCACCCATCTCACCTTATCTCTGAAAGCTCAACAGTCGCACTGTATCCCGTACTCAAAGACTAACTGGTCACAGGCAAGCAAAACCGCCCATACTCAGCTATCGATGTCTCGGCGAATCTACACAACAAGGTCACAAAAGGTTCGTTGACCCTCTTACTTATAAGACAACAACTGATTGTGATGCAGCGTCTGCAGCAAAGATTCTGAAAGATCTCCACGAGCAGAAAGCAATTGAGGGGCGAGCCGCTGGTAAGTCTTGTGGAGGCTACTTGCAACTCGACCCAACTGACATCTCCAGGCAAGCAAATCGTATACCACGCTCTACAGGTCTGCTTCAATTCTGTCTCTTACAAAGCATCTGCTCAGATCTAACCCACTTGTAGAACGCAGCCGAAGCATGCACCACTGAACAACTCGCCGCTCTTGACGAAACCATTCTCGATCTCCGCACGCAGACCACCACTCTTGTCGCAGTCGCAAAGAATCTTCGCAGCTCCTTGTCTAGCCTCAACTCCACGCTCAGCACGGCAGATCTTATCGCCAATGCCCACACTATTGAGACGGAGAAAGAGCAGATCGAGGCTAGAATTGATGGACTGAAGAAAGGGAAAGCGAAGAAGGTCAGTTCAAAGAACTCCGAGTGATGTAAGTGTGTTCATACTGACTCTACAAGGTCACAACATCAGAGCGAGAAGCGATTGAGAAGGAGTGGAAGAAGAGCATCCGTGTGGCAAGGAGGAGGGAGAAGATTGCGAAGGAGATGTGGGAGAAGATCGAGGAGAATTTGAATGATCCGCAAGAAATAGAGAAGCACAGGGAGATGTTCGACCTCGACGAATGAGGATATGCTGTCGCTGGTGAGGCGTGAACGATGCTGAGCGTACTATTTACTGGCGATGTTGTACGATATCAGATGTGAGGATATGTGGACGATGTAACGAAATCAACTAGAGTTCAGTTTTCAGACAAGCATTATTTAATGACGAATTGAAGTGTGTCACATTTGCGTATATACCATTCACATCGTGCTAAAGACGTCGCTAACATGCTCTCCAACACCACCCGCGCAAATCCACAACAATGCGAACCAAGACTGAACAAGAGATGAGAGGTTAGATCCTAATGGCAAATAAGCGCCTTTACAATGCAGTGCAGACACCAATGCATGGACTGCACGAAACATAGCCTGCCAGTCCAGCTGGCGAGCCAACAGAGCTACCAACGCGGCGCAAACAACATCATGGTACAGGAAATTCGACGACTCAAGAGCGCTGATAAGAAAACGAGCTACGGAGGTCGTCTCTGATCTCCTGCGACAAATTATCGTCCGCGTCTATGTGGCTGGGATCCTGAGCACGCGCCAAAGCTTCGAGGGTTTTGGCGAGGGCAGCGCCTTCGGTGCGGCCGCGGTCTACGTTGACGAGCGTCATGATGGGGAAGGGGAGACCGACTAGGATGGCTAGGAACCAGAAAGCCTGTGGTTCATGTTAGTATCAAGAATGAAGTCCAAAACTGGCCTGAGCACACTTACCGGTCTAATCTCGCCATAAGCATCGGTGATGGCGCCTACGATAGCGGGGCCGAAGACACTGCTGCCTTTATCTGTAATAGCGTATAGAGCGTAAAAAGCGGCTTCGTAGCCAGGAGGGATGAGCTCGCCGAATAGCGCGCGGCAATAACTGCTGAGACCACCAAGGACGAAGCCGTAGACTGCACCTAGAGGGTACATCTCCCACTGTTGCTGCAACCCCAGGTATCCTAAGCGTTGGACTGCTGGTATATACCCTAGAAGACCGTAGATCGGAATCACTTCAAAGAGCATGATGCAGAGTAGGATTGTTTGTGTTGGCGAAAGGCGGAAGAAAGCAGATAGCCGTGACCACAGGAAGGCACCCAGAACGCCGAAGACGGTTGCGATGACGTTTATTAGGGCAAGCATGGCGTACGACATGCCTAGCGTTGTCTTTGCGAAGAGCACTGCTGTGCCGGATACAGTCGCAATGCTGTCCGAAAGTAGGAACCATGCCGCAAGGAAGAGTAGTACATCCTTAAGGTGTCGTGCGTGGGTCGCTGTACGACCAAGGGATTTCCACGAGTATGCAAAGTACGCGAGCGCAGTGCCAAAGTTGGAGGTTTGCGCACCGATATGCAGAGGCGGTCCTGGACGGGGACGCAGCCAGCGCGCTGTCGGTAGTGTGAAGACAAACCACCACGCGCCGATGACGAAGAGGACCAGGCGGAGGCCAAAGTTGGAGGATCGGAACGCAATGACGATGAGAATCCCGATAGTTTGCACAAGCAAAGCAGCAATGTAACCGATCGCAATACCGTAGGATGAAATTTTGGTTGCGAGTGCGAGCTCCACTGAAGGAGCGGCCCTGCTTCTCGCCCTTGGGATTGTCAGGTCGACGGCTGAAAGATTACTTGGCAAAAGTGCGGTTGTCGCATCGGCGACTTCGTCAAGAAGGCCCTCTCTTTGTCCAAGCTGGTTTGCGTATTGCGCTCCTCGTATGATGTTCTCCTGCGTCGGAGTTTCTCCACCTCTTTCATCGTCTTCTTCTGTCTCCGCCTCGTCTTCCTCGTCGGCGTATGATTCGTCGGCGATTGAGTCAGCGTACTTGACTGTAGGATGGAAGCGCACCATTAGCGGTAGGAAGCTGTTCAGTAGTACGAAACTGGCACCAAAGCATGTGTTTGAAATGATTGCCAGTACTGCGCCCAGTAGGTACACCTTGGGGACCACGGGCAGGAAAAGCATGGTCGCGATGCTTCCAACAAATGCGAACCACAGGAGGAAGGTCTTCCTGAACCTCCCATGATCCGCTGCGCCGCTCATGCTAATGATCAGCAGAGCCTGTATGAGGACCGATATACTGAAAGTGTACATGGCGAAGCTCGCAGTGTTGATCTCGATACCGAGGATATGAACGACGCATTGTCCCTTTTCAGGATTTGGTTTGAACAGAGCTTCTATGGCGTTGGTGGAGAATGATGGGCCTGGATGGACGGTAGGCTTCGTGGCTTTGCATGGTGTGGAAGGATCGGATAATAGGACGCCATTCTCGCGCGCGAGTTGCTCGAGCGTTACAGGTATAAAAGACCCGATACCACATACAACAAAGACCTGGGGCGGTTAGTGTTGGTGCTTGCGTAGTTGACAAGCTTGACGAGGCGCGTAAGAAGTAGCATCACGACGGGGACACGCGCAAAGCTCTGCGATATTAGAGCCTGCTTGCAGAGACCTAAAGCAGATTGGGATGGAAGTAGAAAGTAAGGAGTGAAGTACCTCGGCAGCCCACCCATACATATAAAAGCCGCGGAGCTCCTTGTCGCTGGTCAACCGGGTGTCTTCGCCCTCGTAGTGGGGCTGCGAGTCGTGGGACTCCATGTCGAGGCTCTGGTCGGAAGAGAGACTTTGCTCATCGTCTGCCTCGTTGGACTGCGATATGGACGGCACCGAGACTTTGGACTGTGAGGATGCATTGCGCGCAATGGTCGGGCGCTCATAGGGCGGGAGCTCGGGCGCGCGAGGTGACATTGAGCGATTGGAAGCAGGTGTCCACAAAACAGGGTCCTGCGCTAATCAACGGAAATGCGTCACCGCAACTGAAACATGATGAAGGATCGAGGATAAAGGCGACAGCTGACCGGGCTGCTATTCAGGTCGGAGGGCAACTTCGAGTGGGCACGCTGAGGTCAGGCCCAAGCTGGGGAGAGATGTGGAGTTGTTGGGGTGGCAGCGGATGATCCCATGGGCATGACCTGTGAACATCTGATAAAGCGTCTGCTTGCAGTAGAGGCTTATCCGAGAAAGACATTGGACAAGGCGCTTGCGCTCAAGCTCGCATCTAGATAGACTACTGGCCGCCGCAGCCGCAAGCTCGCCGAGCCGCGGACAGCAATGCGGTGAATAACTGAGCGTACTAGCGATCAATGTGGCTAGCTACATCGCAACCGCTCGACGAGGTATGCAGTGTCGTTGACGCCCATTATAGAGCAAGCTGGGCCTTCAAGCTTGGCTCGGTTGCTGATGCGACCTCAGTGTGTTTGGCGGGAGATGCAGGGCTCCATCATGAGCGTGCATGGGTGGAGCGAGCGCCAAGGCGCTAACCCCAATCCACGCCCTCCCTCCCGTCGTCGGTACAGAGGGCTGCTGATGTTTCAACGACCTCATCGCTGCAGCCACACCACCCGCCCACGTCGCGCGCACCCCATCCACGACCACTCCGGACTAATTCCCACCGCTCTACGTCCGCGACTGCCATCACGACGTTTTGCAGCATTCACAGTCCACGATGCGCTAGTCGGCAGCGCCCCGACCTCGCTTTCTTTCACCTGCTGCATCCGATCAGCGCCCTTTCAACACTCACTGCGCCTCGTGCTATCTCGACGCTTCCATTCTTACGCCAAAGCATCTGCTTTAATGAGCGCGCACCGCTCCTAACCTGCGCATTTCACCGCCGACTCCACCGTCAGCCCTCTGCACCCAGCCTCGATTACGATTCGGACACCGCGCGGTTGACGTTCTTGCGAAAACATCAAGGAAAAAGCGCGACCAGACACCTCAAGAAAGCTATAAACGCGCGCAGAACGGGTGCGCAGACGGCGCCCCAGGCCGCGGGACGGAGGACGACGTAGTATGCCAGGCATTCTCACCATGAACCACACCGGGTCCGACTCAGCGACGGCTTCACGAGATGTAGACAATAGGAAGCGCAGCCATAACGGTGATCTGACCAATGGCGGTCTCAACGGCGCGCGAAGTGACACGCCGGCAGGCGGTCCTGCTGTCAATGGGGGTCCGTCGCGCGAAACCAGCACCAACGGCGCATCCATGGCAGTCGCAGCAACGGCCGGTCCTACGCTCGAACAATACTCGGATCTGCCCCCGGAGATCGCTCATATCGGCCCCGAGCAGTACATGTCCCTGTCAACACTGTTGTTGCGGATATCCCAGGAATCTTACAATGAATTGGAGGAAGTCCTGAAGAACATGGCCGCCATTCAGATAGCGCCAGTATCAAACGGCGCTCTTCCCAATGGCCTTGGCGCGGCAAATGCACAAGTGAATGCAGAAGCGAACAAGCGTAAAAAGCTGGTTGTGCTTCAATTTGCGCAGGAGCAACGGGCTAAATTCATCAAGCTGCTAGTCCTCACCGAGTGGGGAAAGAAAGCTTCCGTTGACATATCAAAGCTCATTGATTTGCTGGCCCACGCCAGTACCCAGGCAGCCCATATGGATGCTGCTGACTACAAACTGGAAAAGATCAAAATCCTGTCCAATAATGCTAGGGAAAACAACCCGGATGTTGCGACCGCCCTGGAAGTGCTATCAACAGGGAAAGCGTCATGGATGCCGAGCCTGGGCTACATACCGCCTGAGCCTATCTCCGCCGAGCAAGCCCTCAAACTACTTCGGTACATGAACACCTCTCTCTCCATACGCCTCAACGTACACGAAAGCCTCCCACGACATCTGCAAGACTGGCGCGTGCATTCTGGACGCGCAACCTTTGTTGTTGCCAACGAGCTGGAATTTGATGTCATGTCCTTCGTGGAGGATGCTTCAGAACAGTGGTTTCTCATCGATCTCCGGTTGTTGTTCACTCCTGCACCTACCATCACCGTCGGTAGCCGTTTCTTCATGCAACTCAAGCTGCAGGCCGACGTAGTTCTAAAGGAGAAGGGTCTGACCGGCCTTTTCGACTTCCTGAACAACTTTGTCTTAACGCACAAGATCTCAGTGCTTCGATCGCAGGCTGTTAATCTCGTTCGCAGCGGCTGGGCGGGATCTCTCAAGGTCGAGCCTGTACATCGCTTGCTCGTTGTGTCTTATTGGACCGACAAGCCTGGAAAAAAGAATTGGATTGAGATTGGCGTATCGAACAACAAACTGAAGAACGGCAAGGTTTCGTGGAGAGGGCCACCCATACCGTCGCTGGCTACGCGCTGGTTCCGCCAGGGCAAAGAAGTGAAAGATGTCAAGTTCCATTTTGACTGGAAGGATCTATCCATGGAACGCGTCATCAAGCAAGTCATCGCACGCCACACGAGTGATATCTTGCGATCCACAAAGGAGAGTTTCAAGTCTGGAGTGACGGCGAATGCAGACCTTTCCGAGACCGAACCTGCAGACTCTACACTCAACGCATCGCTGGGTACGAAATCTACATCAGTTGCCCTATCACTAGAGTCGGTCACTGGTAATTATATCCTGCGACCAGCTAGTGCACTTTCAGCGCGAGCGGAGAACGCTTTCAACCAAGGCAGAGAGCCATCACAGATTGCTCATGTAATGACGCAAGTGCTAGCCGGCACACTGCTCAGTTTGATCCAGAAGAACGCACAACAACTCGGCTGGCAATCACTCGCAAGACAAGCTTTGAAACAGCAGGTAGTGTCGGCTGCCGTCAAGTTGGATGTCATCTCTTTCACTCTATATTGCCCTCGCGGCTGGACACCAAACTGGGCATTGGCAGCGGTAATCGACTCTTCGGGCGAATCGTGGTGGATATTTGAAATGGGATCTGGTGGAAATAGCCTCGAATACGCCGAGCAGATCAAGTTGGACAGACCTGATGGAAGCTCCTTACCCATCAACCGCAACACCTTGGCAAGCCTGGAAAGGGTCGCCATGCAGGTTCTGTCGTTCCGCGTCACAGCTCGTCAACTAGAGAAGGAGAAGAAGAATTTCAGTTTGCGATATGAGTTAGGGCAGGCAGGCTCATCCGTGGAAGCTGGTTGTGTTCCCCGTCGATGGGTGCTGCATGTGCAAACTCCGGACCTTCTCGTGCCCCAAGCAGACGAAGACTCTTGGCTTGAATCAGATATCAAGATTACATGTGAAGGCTTGAAAGTTGGGGGTCAGGACGTCTGGCATATGGCTGTCGGTAGAATGGTTAAGTCTGTTGCTGCAGACATGCATAAGCTCATGGCAGCTTCACCACAGACCGCCTTCAAGTTCTCAGAAGATGGTAACTTCAGGATTCTTCTTGCCACGCCCTTTGGGCAAGATATCCTAGGAGAACTGCGAGCGCGACTGCGAGATGTGAACCGTCTTCGTACCTTTGCCAGTACCCTTCAGAAGCGTCAAATGCGGCTTTCGTCCTCCTCCTTACAGCGCGTACAGTTCCAGTACGGTCCATCGCCATACTCTGCAACTGTCAACTTTGGCACTGAAAAGGAGCTTACCATCGAGCTGTCACATGACAATCCGCACCACCGGATTCTCCATCTGCTTACTGAGATCGCCAACGATCGGTTGCCTTCCTTTCCAAACACGGAGGTCAGCGATGTTAATGGCTTAGATCGCTTCTGTACGACTCTCGTCGCGACCCGGCCTCTCTTCAAGGCCTTGCGCGAAGTCGAGGAACGATCGCCAGGCAACTATAGCAACCCCGCAATTCATGTCCACTCCGTCCTCAAATACCGACTCACCTATGACAATCCGGTCTGCACTTTCGACGTGCGCCTTCAGCCCAAAGATGATCAGGTGTACTGGTTCATCGAAGACAACTTACGTCCAAAGGATCCTACAACACTACCAACCCCCGAGCGTGCGCCAGGTCATAGGCGTCTTGACAGCCTTCAGGTCAAGCTGAAGGAACTCTTCAGTGGGAAGGGCTCAGGATGGTTTGGCACGCGAAACGGCATGGTGGCGGACTTAGACGCGATCCCTGAAGCACTACGCAAGCTGGATGAGTGTGTCTTGAGTTGTAAAATGGCAGGAGGTTATGTTGCACCTCCACCACTTGAAAAAACCCCGCAGCAAGCGCAGAACCAGGGATCTGGACCAGGACAGGCGCCTGCACAGGCGAACGGAAACCAGCAGGGAAACCAGCAGCAGCAGGCTAGGATGCAACAACAACAGCAGCAAGCGCGTCAGCAGCAGCAAAGACAGGCTCAGGCGCAAGCTGGGAAACAGCACCCGAATATGCAGCAACATCCGAGAAGCCAACCTCCGAACGGCAGACCCCCACAACAGCAGATGCCAAACGGCCGCCAGCAAATGTCGCAGCAACAACAGCAAGGTAGAGGCGGTCCAGGAGGTCGTCCAGGGCAGTCCAAAAACGACGTCATCACCATTGATTAGAAGACCTTGGGATGAGACCAGCATACCAGCTGAAATTGCCGTTATTCCATTCACGATTTGTGTACAACGTTTCTCTTTCACGCTCTTGACGTTTTTCTAGCATTGGGTTAGCGGGACTAGGGTATAATTTGCGTTTTCAACAGATTCTGCTGTCTTGCGGTTCACGGTGGGGTTTCCATCGTGTTATGTATTTTACCTGATATGGCGCGGTGTCAGCTTTCTCGGCGGACTATTTGGGCGCGCTCTTTTCTTCTTTTGCTTCGCAGCTTGTATGAACCTTTTTATACCATGGCGGGGGATCTGAGACGAGGTTAGATATGAACAGCATCACGCCATGGCTAGATGTGATGCTGGCAATCTACCGGTATAGATATCAAATGCATAGATGCTACCAAAGGTCTATTATACTCAAGTTGGACAACTCCTGTGCACCGCGAAGTACGCTAAATAATCACACTCATTTCTCTTTGTCGTTAGCCTCAACCAAGTATGTGGCCTTGTCTCATAGATCGAACACTAGGCGCACGAGATGGCCCTCGTCTTTGTCGTCTCCACAGCCAAAGTGCAATTCCGATAATTGCCAAAAGCCCTCCTGCACTTGCGCCGACCGCGATGCCTATTATTGCTCCTTTGCTCAGCGTCGACGATCCGGAACCGCCAGTCGCGGCAGCTTCTGTAGTGGGCGTGCATTCTGACATACAAGACGGCGTTGCATCCGGTGTGGTCGTAACACCAGAGGAGGTGGAGACGGTAGGGGTGGGTGTAGCCGCAGCAGCGCCAAAAATGCTAAGTGTCCATTCCCCATTGCCCAAATTCCCTTGTGCGAGAAATGGCTTCAGGCTCCCATCTTCGACATCGAGATAACTCCCCGGGCCGGCGCGATTGTTGCTAACTTTGAAATTTCCATCGCTTTGTACGTCTAGTCGCCAGTACTGTGCGTCTATGTCTTCGTCGGCGCGGAAACGCAAATCTGTTGTCTGGCTTCCTTCGTAATTATACGTGCTGAGAGAGTTGCCGTCGCCCTTGTCTTCGGTGTGCAGGCGGTAGTAGTCGTCAAGTTCGGTCTCTTCGAAGTACCATAGCTGACTCTGAGTCGTGTCACTTGAAATGGACTCTAGAACGAGGGTGTCATTGTTTGGAGTGGATGCGAGCGCGCTTTCTGGTCCGAACTGATCTGTTTTGATGACGTATCTTGCTGATAGATTAATGAGGTCTGTCATTCTAAGGGGAAGGGGCGTGGGTGCTCATCACGAAGAGAGAACCTTGCCGCCTTCTTGATATGGTTTTGAGGCTGCGGCTCTACTTTGCTTGAATAGGCTACTTTTATTTCCAATATGCCACCACTTTCTGAGCGGGCTATGCTTGGTGATGCGTGTGCTTCGTAAATAGGGCTGGCGCTCGCCAAGTGCGCCATGCATCTGCCTCGTTGCCTTCTCGCTTTTCAGCTCCGCGTATCAGTATCGGGCTGGACACACATGCTCGGTAAACACAGCCTTCTGTATGGCAGCTGCAGCGCCACCTTGCCATGTCGTAGGCTGAGTCGGTTGCGGTCCAGGAATGCACTGCATGAGAAGTCTGCATAGCCTGGGTCACTTGTAGTCGTTGCGACAGGCATCACGCGCTTTACAATTCTCTGGACACAGTCTCGCAATCATAGTGGGGAGGAAATTTGATCTACTAGTATAGTACCGAAATGCTTGTTAGTTCTGTTTGTTTCCACCACAGAGTCGCCCGTAGTTTGTCCCACTCCAGGTCCAGTACCAGCTCCAAATCAGCCGTGAAGTACGTGGGCTTTCCAAGCCTTTGACGCACACGATCAAATTGGATTTTACTCAGGTCAATGCCAAGTTCGCCTGCGTTTCGAAGTTCTGTCACAGGTTAGTTCCGAAAGTTCTTGGCTGAAGTTAGGTACTACTCACCGTCAGTAGCGTCTTCGAGACGTGTGGGGCGGTATCTCTCGTCGCTCATGTATTGCCAGATTTTCAAAGTCATCATGTCCTGTCGCTGTTTCGACAGCCGGATATGTATCGTTTTGGACCGCTTCGTCGATTCATTTAACAGGACAAGGTCGCCTTTGTTCAGCAGCCACGTGAGTTGTCCTTTAGCGAAAGTACCTCCGCCATGTTCGATGATCTCTTCTTGATTACCATGGTATGTCGAAGTGTAGCTTTCATCCAGACATATTGCGTAGCTGTTTCGGCAAGAGTCCGTCCGCTTCAAGCTTTTAGTGAAGTTCTTCTCGATACCACAAACGACCGCACCGCGAACAACTGCTGTCCAAGACTTTTGGGGCCTCCAGTACTGCATTATCAGTCGTTCATGCAGTAGCATCTCCTGTATCTGAGCTTGAAGGTACTCCGATTCGCCGTATCCTCCTACCAAGAACAGGTTCTGGTGACGTCAGTGTCTCGTATCGCGATGAAAGACAGATTTCCTACTTTGGGGCGGTTACGGCGCTGCTCTCGGATCCTCTTGATATGGTCCTTGATCAGTATGACGATCTGCTCGATTGATGCGTCGAAGAATGACTCCATCTCGTGCCTAAGGCTGTCAGTGTTGCTCGAAAAAGAAAATTGTTGTGCTTACCTCTTGATTGTGAGAAGACCCTGATTTACGCGACCTTGGATAATGAGGTTCTCCAACGGAGGCGGAAGCTCTAGTTTGCAACCAGACGAGCCTGCCGTAAAATGTTTCTTCTTCAAATCGAAGTCCTTCATGAGTGATCTCATAGCTGGGGTTTCTGAGGCATGGGTCGCAGTCTTGTCGATCTCGAAATTGGGATCCAGTTCTTTGTAGTGGACATCCGTGAGTATCTTTCGAAGCCATTTTTTGAACTTCATATTGATGAAGATCGATCCGCATTTGTCACCTATGGCTGATTAACAGAATTCGCTAGGAGTGGACTTAGCTTACCAGTCGGGCTTCCAATCGGCTCCAGCTCGAGGGCTGGTTCTAATCGCTTGACCTGGTATGATACCACGTCCTAAGCACAATGATAAGCTCACTCGTATTAGAAACAATAAGTTCGATGCAACTCTTACCACTGTACCACCCCCAGCATCGCAGAGTATGAAGTACTGCCCCTCCTTCGATGCTTTAGCTTTGTTGAAATAGTAATTTCTCCACAAGTATCTAACATACCTGCAAAGTCGTTTGGGCCAGCTCGTCTCGATAATGGCGCGCAGTATAGACTGCAGCTGCCTCCGGTTCTGTGACGAACATGACGTCCTGTAATCTCGGGAAGTTCGTTCGGTTGAACCCAGCTTTCATCAATGCTCGATAGGTTGAGTTCATCGCCATGTAAGACCAGTCCTCGACAAAGTCAGCTTCACAATATGATGTAGTTAGTATCGCTTACAGTGGGTACAGTAACTACAAGATCAGTCGCTGTATACTTTCTTGCGATTGGACCAAACTGATCGACTTCCATCTCTAGGTGTTGGAATACCTTTTGCAGATAGTCGGTGACTATCTCTTCCGGGCTTTTGTGTGAGTAGGCAGGTACATCGTCATAGTTGCACATGGTGCTCAGCATCTCGTCGATATTGAGATTGGACATCCCATCCAGGATTTGAAGCGTCATGTCCAGCTCACCCAGGCGACTTTGAAGACCGAGCTCAAGTTTAGTGTGGACCATTGAGATAGAATCGTCACTCAAAGCACCACCCCACTCGTAGTTGGGGCGCGAGTATGAAATGACACTTGGCACCTTTTCATCTACGGTCGCACCTTCTCCTGGTCAACGAAGGCTAACTTGCGGGAAAACCATGACATACCCCAATCTACCATTACGTCGATGGTCTCCAGCGAGCAGTTGTGCCCCGATGGGGTAGCATAAGCTACACCTAATCGTGATATCAGTCTAATAGCAAGCAGCACCGATCTAAGTAGTATACCGGTGTATGTGGTGCCATAGTCCAGACCAATCACTAGTCGCGTTTCTTGCACACCCTCATTTGTTCTCCCTTCCAAATTGTCTGTTCTGGGGATGTATTCGTGGTCTGTGCGAGAGGACACGAAGGACGTGTGTTCAGAGTGGTACCCAGGTTCGCTGTCGTCCATATCGAAATTCCTGTCTCGAAGCTTTCCTTCGAGAACAACCAATCTGGCCTCATGATATTTTGGGTATGGCGACCACTATACATCTCGGTCACTCATCTTCACGGGCCGCGGCACCCAGGAAATGTGGCACGCGTGAAGTTTGTGTGCAAGCTACGCAGGCATGCGAGGCTAGGCAAGTTGATGCAGAGGACGCTGCGCAGTCAGACAACTCCGCCTCACGGTTTGGAGAGTAGATCTCATGCACGCGCCGGAAATGGGAAGATTAAGCATACGAAGAGCGGGGAGTTCCATAATTGGTAGATGTTTGCCAATGAGCTCTCGGTTCGTATTCGAGATATGCATGGAGGCGCAAGGCTGCGAGATAGCCTTGTCGTACGTATTGGTGTGGCGCGAAAAGCAATATTGGGTCACTCTGTGGAAGTTCAGCTCCGAGCAGGCCAAGACGAGTATGCGCTGCGCTGCTTACCACGAGTCGCCGTTGCAGGTCGAGGGCGGCAGCCTTGACGCACAGCATGCGATGTGATGATTTACCCGCCTAGTGGCTTGGTCGGAATTACTGGTCCTGAACGTCCACAAGTATGTTCCTTCTTTGTCAGAAGATAGCTGAATCGAATGAGCGTATGCAACAGCCCAAGGCTGACTGAAGTCTTCTCATCCAGCAAAGACGTGTCCATGTACCTGGATCGGAAAGGCCATGAGTGTATTCAATATGTCCAGAAGCAGAGAAGCCCGGAAGTCGGAGATAGCTACACCTTCCTCATCAAAACTCTTATCTAATCAACAGCAGCAACCCGCCACCGCGATGGCAGGATCTTCAAAATCCAAATTGGGTTTTCTGGAGATCCTTGCACATAGCGTCAAAGCTGGGCTACCCATAGCAAAGCAAGCGGCCAAAGTCGCATACGAACAAGGACGCGAGAAACAGAGCGGCTTGAAGATTGAACCAAAAGTGCAACCTTCACGCAGCACATTCACTCAGCCTCAAGTAACATTTTCGGAAGATGCACCCCAACATCAACATGTGCAAAGCTTTTCACATGCTCCCCAGTTATCGCTCGGCTTCCCTTTGACATTTGACTCCAGTGACGGAGATCGTGCTCATTCCCCGCCAGCACCTATATATCCGTATGCGGTGGGCCCTTCACCTGACCATCCGAAAATGGTTCAGAGTGAGAACTTACTCAGGGACTCATACAGCCGTTCAACAAAGACGACTTTCCGACAGGACCCGATCTCATATGACGCACAAAGAGAACACGTAAGTCAATTATACCCTACCCTACTATAACAGAATTGAGACTGACATACGAGCAACAGTCCCCAGCTGACGTATACGGTGCACCACAAATTCAGGACCTTCTAATCAGGGCTGGAAATGAGTTTCCGAATCTTCTGTCACGAGCAGAAGAGCCAGTCGAAGAATGGGTCACAAGAATTCTACATGAGTACCGTGAGCTTACCCATTCACTTGCCGCAGCTCACCGGTTGCTGGATCAATACCGCACAGACGCTGGATTGATAGAGGGCTTGAAGACCGAAGTACACAAACTGAGAAACGAACTTCGAGCCAGTAACACGGCTGCGGAAAAAATGAGAAATGAGGCCAGAAATAGTCACCAACAAATGTTGAAAGCTCAGGGCATGCTGGGCGAGAGGAACGTGAAGTTTGAACAAGAACGGGGTGACTGGGAAAGAGAAAGGGAAAAGTTGAACTACCAACACGACAGCCAGATGCGTAATGAGACACAAAGAATGAACAGCGAAATGAAGCGAAACAAGACATGGTACGAAGAACAGTTACTCACAATTCGACATGAAGAGGAAAAGCGACATGAGCAGGATATCAGCAGTCTGAAACAGCAGCTGACTGAGGAACACTGGAAATGGGATGCCTATTTGCGAGAAGTGAAAGACACCCACGAAACCCGCATAAAAAAGCTAGAGGCGAGCTTTAAAGAAGAGATGGAAAACAAGTCCGAGAGACATCACGAACAGATGCGACAAGAGATGGAGAGACACGAGGAAACGGTGAATGAGTATCGGTTGAACATTGCTCAGTTCAAGCTTGACACGGAACATGAGAAACAGCAATTGCGCGAACAACTACAAACGGAGCAAGAGAGACTTCAAGAAGAACAAAAGCGACGTGAGAAGGATCTCAAACGACAGGAAGCCCAACTGACTCACAAGCATACGCATGAAACGTTGCAGCTTCGTACCGTCAACGAAGAGCTGAAACAGGGGTTATTTCAGCGGCAGCATTTCAGAGGCCTGAAAGACCGTGATCTAGCCAATTCATTCCGCAGTATCGCAGGTCAAGTGCAAGACTTCGCAAACATAGAGTGGGACGGTCGGCGTACCTCAGACTGGCCTTTCAGCGAGCACCAGCTACTCGACATCCATCGTGAAAACACGCGAAAGCTCAAGAAGCAGATCGTGCAAAACTCCCTCTGGTTCCTACTGCATGATTGGATCTTTGCAAGTCCTTTCAAAATCCTAGGTTCAGAAGGAGAAATTCTGGACCGTGAGTGGATAGCCATACATACGCCGAGTAAGTCCTGGATTGTCGCTATTCTCCGTTTTTGAACTAACAGGCTTCAAGATAATTCCAGTCTCAAGTGGCCTGAGATACCAGAAGATATCGAGAAAAGGCGGTACGAGACGGCCAAGCAATTCCTAGCCTTTATGGAACCATCTGCCCGGCCCTCGGGGGATGATCTGCAGCTCAAAAATGGCTATGAAAGATCCGTTTCGGAGTTACTCGACGCTCTGCACCATGCTCTAGGAAAGGTAGCTATCCTTGAAGATAAGCAAGCTAGGATGCTGGAAAGTCTGGTGAGACTTTGTGCGAAAACCTGGATAGAATTTTGTTCGCAGCCTTACAGGTTGATTGCAAGCTTGCCCGACGGAAGCGGGGATCTGCTATCACAGTCTAAGATGAAGGAGCGCGCTCTCACGTTAGTTCTCAGCCCGGAATTGAAGCGGTATGGGAATTCGAAAGGCGAGCACCTTACTAGCGGAGAGGTGATTCCGGGCTGCCAGGCCGCGAAAGTGTCTTATTCTGTTCGATGATCGATTAGCAGCCTAACGCCTTTACATCCAACTCGAAGACTTGATGAATGCCTGACGTTTTAGAAAACATCGTAACTGCTTTTGGTCTCGTGATTCTCAACGCAGCCTCGCGGTGCAAGCAATAATCGACACAGCCTTGAAACCAAGGTTTGCCTGTTGACACCATGCCCTTTGCGTGATTGGACGCGATTCCGAACACCAGGACCGTATAGCGAGAGGCTGAGGAAGGCAGACTTCCCACAGCGCTTAACCGGGCACATTGTCGGAACGGCTGAGTGACCAGCCACCACATGAGCATTGGCCATGTGCGCCTGCAGCGTCTTACAAGGATCGAGGCGAAAGTGGTGTACCGGCCTCAAAGGCTGGCCTCAGTAGACTTTAAGCGTCAATACCTAAGCAGCGACAGCCTTCTTGCCAAAGTTCTTGGCATGCGCATGCAGCTGCCAGAGGACGCGGAACAGCATATGTGCGTTGAGAAGCCGTCTCTGAATCGAGGTAGCCTGGTGGCTTCGGTAGCCTCGCTCTTTTTTCTCTCAGAGGGCCAGCTCCGTTCCCCGTCTTTCCTCTCTTTCCGAGTCTCATTTGTTCGAAACAAGAGTTTGGCGTCCACCACTACAGACTGAAAGCGGATTCTCCATTGAACATAGTCATGGGCCTCTTGAAGAAGACCAAGAGCTTTTGGCAGATAAAAAGAACGCCGAATTCGCACGTTGCAGCGACACTGCCACCACTCAATGAAGTCGACACTCCTCCACTACCTTCTAACCAGCAGGATCCTAGTCGTCAAATACCTCAGCGAACACCGGACCCAGCCCGACTCGTAACGGCCGAGAATATACGGGAGCTTAGAGAGAGAATTCGCTATCGGTACAGTTTGGATGTCGAAATCTTGAAGCAAAGAAACGTCAAGCCATATATGCGCGGGAATCTAGAAGAGAACATAAGGAAATCAGTAGCTGCGCTTGCAGACATACGGAAGATGGTGCAAGGTTGGGACCGACGAGAGTTCTTTGCCACTGACTTGGAATATGAGAAGTTCCAGGTAATCAAGAGCCGCCTGTTGGATGGCAACAAGATAAATTGGGAAAAGACCAAGCCGTGGGAGTTGGACCTAAGTAACATGGTCCCTCTTCGAGCCCCACACGAGATGAGCGGTCGGACAGAGTCGACGGCACAGCGGTCAGCGCCTTCGTCATTTGACAGTCGTCGGCCCCCTCGGGAACGTCCAGATGATGTGCCTTTTGCACGGCAAACCCAGAGGCCCGAGCGAGTGTCTGATCGAAATCCTTCGCAGCGAAGCCGGTTCGCTACAGACCCTTCACGGCAGACGCAGCATGTTGCGAACACTCCACAACAAGAGCAACACGGTGCGCACAACTCGAGGCAAGCTCCGTATATCACGAATCCTGCCCCTCAAATCTATCGTGCGGCAGATCCCGTGAGGCGGAGCCAACGTGTCGAAGGTCTGCCGCAGCAAGACATGTATGCTCTTGTATCCCCGCCACAAAGCGACCTCTCTCTGCTCTCACAGAGAAGCGAGCTCGGTGTGAGATCGCCACCGCCGAGCGAGCTAGCTCCAGGTTCTCCGTCGGCGGCCAGGTATGCGCCATACGTTCCGCCAGATGCTTACAGGACGCAGTCCTATATGCAAAACACCCAGTCCGCGGCACAATATGGCAGTGTTCCATACTCACAGCCTGGCGGAGTTGTGGCAGCCACACCTAGGCAAACTGAAGGGTTACGACTGTCTCGGCAAAGAGATAGTCGGGTTGTATCAGCTCCAACACCACATATCCGATTGATCGCGCCTACACCACCGGTGGGTCGAAGAGTCTTGTCGGACCCATCCCATATTGACGATGCCGGTGATGGATTGATACGCATAGATAGTCCTGTCCCAAGGGGTCGAGTCCAAGGTCCTCCGTCATCTCAACACAGTGCCCCCGGGTATTGAGGAGCCAGAGAACGTAGTCTTGCGCATTCTTGCCCGATTCATCTTCTTTCATAGACACAGTTTACAGTGAGGATCTGTACGACCCCATTCCGAAGGGCGCCTCTTTTCGTCATGGCTTGTCCAAAGCGCGTCGCGCGTGTTGTGCAGGTTGAGGATGATTCGATTGTTCGGCGCGTCGTGTCTTGCGGATAGGGCGTAGTGATCGTGTGAATGGTGTACAGAATATGTTATGTCTCTACAGCATTGCAGGCTGTGTACATGGCCCGAACTTGCTGGCTGACGGTACGTGAGGAAGTCTGCATGCATGCTCATTGCGCTCCGCCGGCTGCGAGATTGTGTCTGTGCGCTGATACCGTCATTTGTTTTCTAATCGCGTCAGGACAATCTCTTGGCTTCCTACCTTGCATTACAATATCCATGTCCTTGCATTTTTGCTTCTCGAAAATGTCTATCGTTAAACTTTACTCGATTGGCTCCTCAGCAAGTGGCATATCATGTTTTGTCGGGCCTAAAACTTATGCAGCGCAAATCAATGACGGGCGCTTTGATCGGCTGAAAGGTGTTGTGTTCACCTACATAATGCACATATCGCGCTGGAAACTTGAAGTCGTGGATATTGAGAAACCATGCCGTTCAATCTTCAACGGTTTATTGCTGTGTGTAGAGCATTAGTTGCGATCTAACAAACGGCAGCTATACACTCTCGACAGTGGAAAGAGAAAGCTACACATGAACTAATATTTCGATTATCGTACTTTTGGTAGCTCGTTTCGTTCAATGATGTCCTGGAGCATTCCCAGGGGCGTTACTGCCAGATGTTCGCACGCGCCTAACCGACTTTGCAAGACTACCCAGGTGTTTGCACTGTCACTTCCATCAAGGACGACATCGCGCGCTAGTGCGAAGGCACGACTTCTCACAACCTTGGAATGAACACAGATCTGTCAACATCGCATTTCATTACCGCTATCCAGCGTACATCCAATCGTCGGTATCGTCAACATCATTAATTAGTACGCCTTCATCGACGCACTTGCGTGGCCAATATAATTACTGGACTTGCACCTAAAAAGCAGCTGTACATACGGCTACGATGGCTCGTAATGGTACAAGTTCGATCAAGCTTGTCGTCAAAAACTTTTTCAGCAAGAATACAGACACGAGTTCTCCACTGCATCCAGGTGAGGAAGCTCTCCGGATCAAATGCTTGTGCTACGAACACGATTGAAGGATCCCTGAGACAAGTCTCTAAACCGGTTGCGCCCTCTATCTAGGAGCCGCATACATCTGTGAAGGTTACTGACTGCCGCTGATAAGATACAGATGACTCTACCGATAACAGGGGCACCTTCGCGCAGCCTTCAACCACACAACCATCAAGCCTTTCGCAGCCAGTTCAACCTGACACAGGTTTCGGGCAGAGTTCCTCTTCTTCCCTCATGCCAATGCCGGGCTCTCAGTTTTGTCCAAGCGCAGTTATGCCGCTGTTCGAGCAGATAAAAGAACACGACCACTACCTCTGGGGTGATGCCCATTACTCTGTTCTTACAAATGTCCTTCCTGGGCGTAACGACCAGCGGCTCCACAAACTCTACCGATACGCACGCGCCGCGATAGAATATGATCATACTTTCGCGGAAGCTCGCCATGTACGCTATGAGGTCGGAATGAATGGCAGTCGCGAAAAGGGAGAGATCTTGAGAAAATGTCTTGGGCAGAACGTCAATGATGCGGTTGAGAAACTCGCGACTCTCCTAAGAGTATTGGTATCGTGTTCAACCAGTACGATGCCGGATAAGCAGTAACGAAGGTTCTCGACGAAACTAACAGTAAGGCAGGGAAAAAAGAGCGTTAGTAGGATGGTCGTTTGAAGGGAAACAGATCGGGACAATGGCTGAGTTCGAAGAAGTTGAGGAAAACGAGTTTGCTTTAAAGACGTGAATTTGAAGGGTGTGATGAACGAGCCTGGGTTCACGAGCAGGCCTCATACTGTTATGTAGGAACGGAGTCGACCTCTAACACACAAGCCAATTACACCAAGCATGAAATTGTTTCCAGCTCGTTTGCCTTGCAATCACGCCGATGCATGAATGCGTGCCATCGATTAGTCATGTCACCACAGATGACTCTCCAAGGGACGTAGGGGAAAGATAGAACGATGAGCAAAGGGATTGTACGAGTTCTCGCTGATTGACGGCGCCCTGTTGCGGCGTTACTTCAGGCCGTGTTAGTGATGGGTCTTCGACACCTCTTCAAACGCCATTTGTCCTGGCAAGCTGCTTTTGAAAGCGCTTCAACACCGTTCCCCATAGATGCCGTCAGTCTATCGTATGAACACCCGAGTCCATGGTAAGCATCTACCCGGTGTGCCCAAGGTCAAGATAGTGGACTCACCATGGTCAGGTGTCTTGCCGTTGGACCTCTTGTCGCTCTCTTACCCTGAAACGCCACGAGAGTAGCACCTTTACCTGCTTGTCAGTGTCTATCAGGCCTGTACCGCTGACACTAGCCGGCCATATAAACCTTCAACTAGTTTTCTTCCTCTCACTCTTGACCGGCTCACTATCACCAACTCCCTATCAACACCCCAACGCAGCATTTGACCTTGGACCTGGACGAACCATCGACGCTCCTCCAAGACAATCTTCGGCCTAGACCTATCCGAATATTTCCAAATACTAGCTCTATCTTTCCAGAGATAACATCGGAGTGATCATCATGCCCGTCCCCATGAGTTCACACAACGACCCAGAAGATGGTGAGCTAGTACGTCAGACGTCAGCGATGAACATTACCGAGCAGCCATGGCTGGAGAGCACCGAAAAGGTATATAAGTTAATCGCTACAGCATGCAAGTGGACTAACATTGTCAGCTCGATAAGGTGCAGACCCTGAAAGAGATTTGCTTGGGCAACTGTCGTCTGCTTTACGGCAGTGAGCGGTTCAGATTTTACGGCAAGAACAAAAGCACCTATCGTTCCTTAAAACAAAGCCTAACACAACACTAGATATCGTAATCTGCGAAGATGAAGACACCAAGAAGTTCGCGGCCATCCTGACATGCAATTATGAAGGCCAAACGAAGCTTTTGCGCACTGAACTCAGCATGTGTCCGGTTGTCGCGGTTCGTACTATTGTGGATGGTCTCCAAAAGGACACAGCCAAGCTTTTTCGTACGTTTTCTTCTACCTCGAAATCCTCGATATCGTCGATGCCATTGAAGACGTTCACTAACTCGGGCTTGTAGTGAAGTACGCAGTGGGTTCTCAGATTCGAGGACAACAAGGATACACCGATGTGGAAACTGGCAAGTTCGTGTTGTGGGACGTGGCACATGACAACCGCATCCGAGGTCCCAACGATGATACGCAGGGGCTTATTCGTAGCTGGAGCGATCTACCGGGCGCTGAGGGTCGGCCTCCATCCGGTCCTCGTGGCGATGGCTATTACGGTCGGAATAACAAACGCATGCGGCCTGTCGAGCGCACAGAGAAGCCTATGCCTGAGGCAGAGATCATTGACCTTGACTACTATGACTAGAAGGACATGAGGCCTTGGAGAGTATGGCTGCGTATGGAGAGTCTGAGAGGAGAAGAGGAAAGCTTGGCATACGGTTCGATCTTGTCGTCAGCGCCATAGTTTGATGGGCTTTCAAGCTGATGCATCTTCACCTGGGATGAGCTTGAATCCTTCTGGTGCACCTATGTTCCTAGCGCAGATAACTGACAAGCTGTGAGAAGTGCTTAGAGCACTCGATCATTTTTATCGGGGTAAATCCCATGCGCTAGAGTATTTGCCTGTACAAGCCTTCGGTGAGATGTGAGCGTGAGTGGTCGTTTGAGATGAATGTAAGGATGTTTCAGGAAACCTAAGGTTGTCAATCGACGCGTGTGCACGTGAAGTGGAGTTTGGCTGGGTCCAAGCGCCCGCGTCATGACGTACCACACTCTCCTATGCCACCCGCTTTGCTCACGGCTATGTCGCTCGAACCAGTCTCCTCGCCATGAACAGCCCTTCCAAACGACGGAAGAAGAATGATGGCTCCGGAAAGCCGGTACGAAGTTTAGACTACTTTTTCGCAAAGCAGACGGCTAAAGCAACAGCCAAAGATGCGCCGACGAACGCAGGCCCCAGCGAGCCGCCTGTGGACGAAGACAACACAGGGCTGACCGACGAGGAACTTGCGCGCAAACTCCAGGAGCAATGGGACAAGGAGGACCGACAGCAGGCGCGAGACCAGGAACCGGTGAGCTCAAATGAGCTGTACGAAGAGCCCGAGAAGGCCATCACGAACGATGCGGCTCAAGATACAGGTGGACAGGATGGAGTGTCAACGTTGCCAACGCGCGAACCCGTGCTTGAAAACACATCGTCTGCCGAATCCATTCAGAAGAAGAACACTCTATCCCTTCAATCGACCGCATCTGAAGAAGACGTGATAACAGCGAACATACCCTTCGACCAAAGCCCTCTCGAATTCGACCCCTCGAAATACACAGCAGAGTTACAAAAGCATTGGGTGGCCGACGGAGGACATGCGACATACGCGCTGTTGACAAGATGTTTCATCCTAGTCAACAGTACGACGAGTCGCATCAAGATTGTCGACACTCTGGTCAACCTCATTCGAACGATTATCGAAAGCGACTCTAGCAGCTTACTTCCGGCGGTATGGCTCGCGACGAACGCAATATCGCCCCCATACATCGATCTGGAACTTGGGTTGGGAGGTTCGGCGATCTCGAAAGCGCTTAAGAAAGTTTGCGGATTGGATAATGCAGGCTTAAAAGTGTTGAACGCCAAATATGGCGACGCCGGAGATGTGGCGTTTGAGGCAAAGAAGAAGCAAAGCTTCACCCTGCGCAAACCGAAGCCTCTGACTATTCGGAGTGTCTTCGACTCGCTGGTCAAGATCGCCAACAGCAAAGGCCACGGCAGCGTAGAGAATAAGCAGAGGATTGTTGAGAGACTGGTACAAGATGCGCGAGGTGCTGAGGAGAGCCGATACATCGTACGCACGCTTGTGCAACATCTGCGGATTGGAGCTGTCAAAACCACAATGCTTATCGCGCTGTCACGGGCCTTCATGCTGTCGAAACCTTCAGGTGCTGAGTTCGATATCCGTGATCGGAAGGACCTGGCGAAGCTGAAGAAGGAGGAGCTCGCGGAGATCTACAGCAGGAATGAGGAGATCGTTAAGGCATGTTTCGCTCGACGACCGAATTACAACGACCTTATACCCGTACTTCTCGAGATTGGTGTTTGCGACGAATTGCTCGTGCGCTGTGGACTGTCGCTACACATCCCGCTCAGGCCCATGTTGGGAAGCATCACGCGCGACATGGGCGAAATGCTTACGAAACTACAAGGACGAGACTTCGCCTGCGAGTACAAGTACGATGGGCAAAGAGCACAGGTACATTGCGACGACAATGGCAAAGTCACGATCTTCTCACGACATCTAGAAGTCATGACTGACAAGTATCCGGATCTGGTAGCACTGGTGCCCAAGATACGTGGCGAGGGCGTTTCAAGTTTCATCCTCGAAGGCGAGGTTGTTGCTGTTGACCGGGAGAGTGGAGATCTCAAGACCTTCCAGACACTTGCGAATCGTGCGAGAAAAGACGTCGTTATTGGCGCGGTGACGATCGACGTTTGTCTGTTTGCATTCGACCTAATGTACCTGAACGGCGAGGAGCTACTCAACAGGCCTTTCAGAGAACGGAGATCGCTACTCAAAAGCTTGTTTGTCGAGATACCGCACCACTTCACCTGGGTCAAGAGTCTAGATGCCACGTCCGCCGACGTAGAAGCAGTCCAAGCCTTCTTCCAAAGCGCACTGGATATCAAATGCGAAGGCATAATGGTCAAGATCCTTGACAACCTTCCTAACCCCGACCTTCTTGCCGAAACCGATGAAGCCATCGAGAAGACGCCTTCTCTCCCACCAACACCGAAGAAGAAAAAGCCGGCGAAACCGAAAACGAAAGCAAAGTCCACTGAGACCGAAAAGGACGAACTCAAAACATCAGGCCGCCGCAAAGCCCTCCTCTCTACCTACGAACCGGATAAACGCCTAGATAGCTGGCTCAAAGTAAAGAAGGACTACAGCACCATCTCGGAAACTCTCGACCTGATCCCTATCGCCGCCTTCCACGGATCTGGTCGCAAAGCAGCATGGTGGTCACCTATCCTCCTAGCCATCCGCAATGCAGAAACTGGCCAACTGGAAGCCGTCACAAAATGCATGTCCGGCTTCACCGACGCCTTTTACAAAGCGAACCGCGCAAAGTACGACCCAGACGACCCAGATTCTACAACCGTGCTAGCCGGGAAACCGCATTACGTAGAGTACAATGGTGGGGCAGGGACCCCGGCTGTTTGGTTTGAGCCGCAAGAGGTGTGGGAGGTAGCTTTTGCAGATTTAACCTTGAGCCCGACATATACGGCGGCGATTGGGTTGGTGAATGAGGACAGGGGTTTGAGTACTAGGTTCCCCAGGTTCCTGAAAGTCAGAGAAGATAAGGGCATCGACGAGGCTACTGAGGCAGAGGAGCTGGCCAACTTGTATCGGAAACAAGAGGCCAAGGCACCTAAGAAGGATGAGACTGTCAGAGAGGGTGAAGATGAAGATGCGGAGTAAGGTATTGCATGGCACAGTAATGGTTAGATACCCTGGGAACAACGTCGTCACTTGAGATGGTTATAATAAAGAACTCTTTCTGATTGAATGTAACCTCTGAAACTACCATCCCAATCTCTACCTTGATATCCTGCACCACTGATAGTTCAGCGTGCGAAACCTCAAACGTCGTATCCAATTCCTTCAAAGAGACGGAGATAGGAAATTCGTGGTCCCCCTCCAACGTGGGGTACCTGCTCGTGCGCACCGCATCTCAGCACTGTCGTGTGTGAGCCACACACGTGCGACATGCCGGCTTGCTCTTCCTCAGCCGTATTGTTGGCACGACCTTGGAGCGGTCGTTCGGCTTCGGCGGGAGGAGCGGCGGTGCGCATCGCATCCACGTCCTTGTGGGTTTAGAAGCCGTGGACCTTGATGGTCTTGCCATCAAGGCCCAGGCCCTCCTTCTTGTCGGTCAAGAAGTCTTGAACATCCTTGCGCTGGTCTCCCTGCAACTGGATCACCTCTCCCATCTCGGTGTCTGCGACGACGGTGCCATTGCAGGCGAACTTCTTCTTGATGACTTTGAGAATCTTCTTTTGATCGAACTTCTTGGGCAGTCCTTGGACGGTGGTCAGAGTCTTACGACCATTACGCTCTGTTGGGGGTTGACGTCAGCCTTGCGCGATTTCCTGAAACATGAGGAAAGAGGGGAAGGAACAGCGCGCCGATGTCGCACGCAAGAGAAAGTCAGGGTGAGAAGATAGAGGGCATACGTACGCTGAATACGAATATGGATGTAGTTCTGCTGAGTGGACTTTACTTCTCCTCCAGCATCATCGGCCTCCGCGAACGGATCGAAGGACTTGAGATTCTGGATGTCCGTGGTCATGAAATCGACTGGTGGCGCTCTGCGGGTGCTGGAGGGGTGCGGTAGGGCAGGCGGTCGTCGTGTCGCGGGGAAGTGGAGAGTGCGGGTGTGTGAGGAAGGTCGCAAGTAGTTGGGTGGAGCGGTTGAGGGTATTAATCGGCCAAGGGAAGAGTGGCGAGGGGACCATCTGGGGGAGCCCGCAGGCGGTCTAAGCCCCGCTGCCAAGGCACAAGGCCCGAAACAGTCATCAGCGCTGCTGAGTGTCCTAGGTACATGTCTTCGTTCACTACTCCTTGCATTCGTTTGTCCACATGTATAATACTCTAGATACCTTGCCACAGTCCCCGAGATCTGGTTACTGGTCAGAAGGCATGACTGTCTTCGCGACACGACGCTTCCCTTATCTTGTGTCACTATCTCATCACGCACGCGCACGAGCACTGTGACTCGCCTCAACAAAAGCGCATAGTGCATCAAGAGGCTTCAGGTGTCATCGCTAGTCAAAGCACAGAAGGTTCATCCACGATTCATGAGCATGTTGGGCGTGGCTCGCTGGCATTTCGAGAAGCTTCTACTGGCGTATGGACGACCCCATTGATTTCAGATCGAGATCGTAGTCACCTAGATCAGTACTACTATGTCATCCGCTGGTAGTATTGGAACGCAGACAGCCCCGGGACAAGTAATAAGTAACGACAAGCAAGATGTTCAGAGGTGTGTTCAAAACCTCATTTGCCATTAGCAGGCCCGAGAGCCACGCACATATCGCCGCCCGTCCCTTTGTTTCGTAGGCCCTTCGATACCCTTCGCGACTCTAGGCTGTACATGGAACATGTAACAACGCGAGTGTATCTTTTCGCCTATCCAACATCTCATCTTACTGTCCGTGGTATTCCTTTGCGTCCATACTAGCCATCCGTTGATCTGGCACACTCCTCTTATCCACCAGGCTCATTGCCAGCTCACTCCAGAACTCCGGTGGGAATCCTCGTCCCTGGGCATCTTCTCCCTGCGCTCTCATCCATTCCCCGGTAGCCTTGTAAGTGTAGAAGTCCACTATCATCTTCCGGGCTTTGCAAGGCCCTCCAGTGCTGGCGTAGACGATCCATACATAATCGCTCGATGGAAGGTCAGCGCTCTCTGTAGCCTTGGCGAGAATAGCATCCAGGACATAATTTTCGGCCTTGGCGTCTTCGACGAAGTGGGCAATGATGTAGAGCTTGCAGAGCAGGGCGTACTCGTCGTGTTCAGTGTTGGATACGTCGTTGGGTTTACTTGGGATATGGCCTGTATAGATGAGCTGGAAATATAGAGCGAACGCGCGGGGATCGATGCCACGCAGATCAAATGTCTTCTGCTCAGGGTTGGCGGTAATAGAGTCCCTGAAGTAGGTTGATCGGGCAGTGAGGAGGCGAGTGTGTAAACTGAAGGTTCGCGCACGCTCGTCCTTGCCGACGTGGATGGTGAGAAGATTACATCCAAAGCTAAGATCGTTAGTCCTATGAACGGGGAATCAAGGGGGAGGTGCCTATTTGATTGCCTGATCCTCGACGACGCGAATGTCCGGTACTCTCAACGTCTACTGATCAGCGCGGGCAGGTTCGCTACCAACGGCCGCTACATGACCGAACAGACCTCCCTCGCGCAATTGTCTAGTCTGACCTACGTTGCCGAAGAGTCCACTCCCTTTGGCAGGCTTGAAATGAGATGCGCTGCCGAGTCCGAAGGGTGGACGAGCTTTTGTACTACTCAGCGGTGGCGGTTCAGTACCTCCGCCGAATAGGTTCGAACCTGATTGAGCACCCCCAAACAGCCCGCCATGAGTCGGTCGCATACTTGATTGTGCGGCAGAGACTTGAGAAGCAGTATTATCGCCAAACGAGTCACGAACGCTGGAACTGTACGGCCCGAACAAGCCACCAGGAGCCTGCTGAGCGGCAGGCGCGGTGAGCCCAGGGCCAAAGTCGGAACTCATCGCTCTAGATACTCCTGGAATTGGTGTGTTGCTAGGAATATCTCCGGGCTGACCGAACAAGGCAGTGGGGTTTGTCTTCGGCCGCTTTTGTGTATTCTCCGGTGTATTATCCATATTACAAAATGGTGTGTTGGACTTCTTACTTTGGCTAGCCATTGTCAGAGCAGTCCGCGTGGTTGAGAATATGTGGTCGGTGCGAAGGGTGATCCGTTACGAGAGGATTCGTAAGTCAAGGGTACAATTCAATATACTATCGTCAGGAGTTTTGGCAAACAGTTTGATCTCGACTATGGTGTAGTCTTTTTTTTTCTTTCCCTTTCACGATGCAAACGCAGTTTCTGGTCCACGAGGTCTAAGTGAGAGACAACGTTGGGGGATCTTGCTATGCATCGCGCGAAGTCTGAGAGAAGAGTATACTGATATACGCCCATAGGTCGATCTGGATAAGAACACATGCAATTCCGTCTCACATGAAGGTGAATGGAAGTGTGTAAAGAGTGTATGGTGGAACAGCTTCAACAGCATCGGAAGGCGTGACAGAGCTCAGGCGGTAGATCGCGTGTGAAACGAGATAGCCTGGCGGTATACAACCTCTTTCTCTACGAATACCAATACCCGAATAGAGTCTGAGTGCCTCCGGGTTGTATGATAACATCTTATTGGCACTCCCATAACAGACCGTATGGTTTCTGGCTTGTACCGTGATCAAACAAAACTACCTAGCAGCGAACCCATGTCGACTTTCTTGTCGTTACGTACCCTCCTTTTCCTGCCATCTGGTGGAGATTTGTATTCGCCGGCACGCTTGCTTGGTCGATCATATTGTTGCTTCCGTACAAACCACGCCACGTCGTCGTCTCGTGCATTCTTGCTCCCTTGAGTATACTGAAAGGAAAGGGACCGGTATGTCTTGCAGCCTTCGGTAGTAGCATCTCTTGAGGTTTCGAAAGAGGCTTTAGAAGAGGGCTCAAAGGAGGTTTCGTACAGTTGCTGCATGGCGGAGTTTCTCTTTATACTGGAATTGCTCCATTCGCTAACGAGTTCTGGAGCTGGATGTATGCGCCAGTCTTCCCCACAATCAGCAGCCTCGGGTAGCTGTGGACTGTGAATGCCAACCAGCTTCAAGCTTGGAAAGGACGAGATAAAATCCAAGACTGGTCTTTTCGGAAGCCTGATATAGTTATTGATCACGAGTACCCGCAGACTCTTCATTGCACCACTTTCGCCCACACTTCGTCCCCAGTCGCGCAGCATCTGAAGAGATATCGCTGCGTTCCGTTGGCTTCTTCCAACTTCTAATGCGAGGACCGCCAGCGTCTCGATCTTGTTGAGGGCAACAAGTTGATCGATGGTGATGTCGGAGATACAAATACAGAGAAAAGTCAGCGTGTGGGCGTCGAGCTTGGCCAATCGTTCCACGACAGAGGGTAGGAAACCTCCAGAGCTGTCCTGGACTCGGAAACTAGAGTGACGACCGATATCTTCTGGAAAAGCTTTCTGGAAGAGACTCCATGTACGGAAGCTCAGCGTGTCGTTGTACCTAATATGGTCGTATAAGCGGCTGGCATAGGGCCATCCGAGCCACTGTAGAGCTTCAACTTCCATGTTGTCAATGTTCCAGACACAAGCACGGAGAACCATTGCTTGCAGGGTATCGCATCCTCGAGCTTGCCGGCGGTGTTTTGATGGGTCCACCCTTCTACCACGAGAATTGCTTATCCATGTTGGTATCATTGAACGAATAGAAGCCGTCGTACTTTCCCTAAAGACGAGGCCAGATGAAGGGTCAAAGCTCTTCATGATTGCTTGACTGGTGAAGGGAGCGGGTACGGTTGGACTGTTGGCCGAGACTCGGAGTAGGCTGACACCTCATACGAGGAAGCAATCTAAACAGGTCTGAAGATTACGCTATGATAGATCTAGCAAATGAGAAAATCTGGCGTCAATGTAGGCTCCAGGGTGATCAGTTCTTTCCTTGATCGAGGTGGTGAGCTAAGTCAATAACACCAGATGAGTAATGTTTTCCAGATGTGTTTAGCAGTTGCCTGCAGCCTGATGGATGCAAGCTTGAGGCGTTTACTTTCTTTACTGCGGTAGCTGTGTCGCGCATGTCGTGTGTGGAAATGATGCAGGTGCTTGCGACACGACGGCAGGGGCACCCCGGGACCCACAGTTGGGGTTAGCGCTAACCCCTGATTCGTTGCTTCCCCGAACCCTACTCTTTCACACAATCAAAGACCAAGTCAGGCAGTGGCATGGTATCATGGATTGCGCTATGTTGGCTGATAGCGGTTGACTTAGGCCAGAATGATAACAAAGTAAAGTCATTGACTGTCCAAGTAGAACCGTCTTTGCATGTCGAATGCCCACCTGAGCATCGGCGCTCGAAACTCCGCACATCGGATTATGACTAAATCTCAGCACACGGCTTCAACACTATTGACCAGGAGCTTCTCCTTCGTTAGACTTGACTTCATCTCCTCATCTCTGGATTGTACACAAGGGTATTCGCGATAACCATCATGGCATCATCACCGGCATCAAACCCATTATCCGCCCACATCGCTAAAGGTTCCCCCATAATCCTGGACGGCGCGCTAGCAACTTATCTGGAGACTTTGGGAGCAGACATAAGCGGCGCATTGTGGTCCGCATCGATACTGCTTGATCAGCCGGCCCTCATAAAGCAAACACATCTGGACTACTATCGTGCAGGCGCAAATGTCGCAATCACAGCATCCTACCAAGCCTCCATTCCGGGACTAGTCAAGCACTTGGGTCTCAGTGAAGAAGAAGCCAGGAAAGTCGTAAGCAAAAGCGTGGAACTAGCCCAACAAGCGAGAGAGGAATATGTTGCCGAGACAAACGAGGATGTTCGAAGTGAATTGTTCATTGCGGGCAGTGTGGGCCCATACGGCGCGTTCCTTTCAGATGGCTCAGAATACAGAGGCGACTACTCCATACTCCAAGACGAGATGAAGAACTTCCACCGCGGACGCATCGAAGCGCTTGTGTCCGCCGGCGCCGACATCCTAGGCATCGAGACAATACCATCCAAAGGCGAAACCGAAGCTCTCCTCGACCTGCTCACCACAGAATTTCCCTGCACGGAAGCTTGGTTTGGCTTCACATTACGAGATGGTTCTCACATCAGCGACGGAACACCTATCTCTGAGATCGCAGCACTTTTCGATGATGTGGAACAGGTAGTAGCGCTGGGCTTCAACTGTGTGCCAGATGATTTGGGGTTGGCTGCTCTGAAGACTTTGAAGCCGTTGGTGAAGAGGGGGACCTTAATGGTATATCCCAACTCTGGTGAGCAATGGAATGCGAAGGCAAGGGAGTGGGAAGGCAAGAGAACGGAAGGTTCGACGTTGGCTGAGAAGACGAGGGAATGGAATGAGGCTGGGGCTGGTCTTATCGGAGGGTGCTGTCGAACTACACCTGAGGATATCGGTATCATGAAAAAGGCACTCGAGAAAGGTCACTAGACTCTCAGAGAAAAGGATAGCGAGAGTCTAGTAGCAAAGCCTAAGGCCATGTTATTAAGGCACGTTTTGATGTAAAATTATAGAATGTCACTTCTTCAGTTCATCTGCCCACTTCTAAACGTGGACGTTTTTCGCGCGTCTATCGTGAAGCCCTATACTCTGCTGCATCTTGGGAGTACGTGCAGCGGTGTTGTAGAATCCGTCTCGGCTCAGCTACCTTCCATTCCGGCTTTGCTGCCCCTTGTGACCGCCGTTCAGTTTCCAGGTACATGCTGAGAGCTCCCAATCCATATGCTGCGTCGTCATCTAGGGTCGGGTGTATAGTCTGGGCTCTCCTGGGACGCGGTGCATCGAGTGCATGGTATCGGGTGTTTGGTTCGATTGGTCGCAAATCAGTATGCCGCGATTCCCTCACCCATCGATAACCATGTCCTCTTCATCTTCCACTGTTCCTCCGGTCCGCTTCTGTAGTTCCTCCAGGATGGCTTTCGCCCGATCCAGTACATCCTCTGTCCCGACCTGTCCCGAGCTGGCCCTCGCATTCAGCACGCCTACATCAAACTCGCCGTAACCTCCGTTCTTGACCTCCTTTTCCGGATCCACAAGCTCGCTCTCGTTCTCTTTGCCCTTCTGGGCCTGTCCCTGTCTCTGCGTGACAGTAAACTTGGGATGGCTTTTTGGTATGACCTTGTAGCGCTCGAGAGCGTTGATCTGCTTGACCAACTCTGATCTTATTACTTCGCAGGATGCTCCGCAGAAGAGGGCGTTAATGCGGAAGGCTTCTTTGCGCGCTTCAAGGGTCCCGGGTGTGCACTGCATGGCGTCATGTTGGAAGGGGATCGGATCGTTGGTGAGCTGGCTCAGGGCCGTCGCGAAGTACTTGAGCAGTTTGGGTATTTGGTGGTTGATCTCGTTGAGGGTATCGATGTGTTCGGCGGCGACTTCCCGGTAGGTTTTCGGCTCTTCAGATACTTTGACGACTCCGGCTTGCTGCTGGTCCGTCTCGTTTGCGATTTGTTGGTTGGCTTCGGTGGACATGGCGGGGTGTTTGGCGATTATGGACGGGAGGGGTGATTAGTGAGGTAGGGCAATCGGTAGATGTGCGGATTTGCAGTCGAAGTATGTGCGACAACAGCACGTTCGTCAGAAGGTAATGCGACAGTTACGTGCTGTGTACTTCGTGTCTTGGAGTCGAAGCTGGGGAAGCTCAGGGCCCGCTATGCAGGCGCGCACCGGCGCATGCTTGGCAGGTCGCGCGCATCGAACCTCACCTCCGACTTTCACTCCGCAACACGGCAAGCCTTGGTGACGTCCTGGCAAGCTTCAGACGCGATACCCCCATCTACCCAAAGTCACCACGCGTCAAAACAGCTCCAATACCACCTGCGACCCAGGAGCGACCATCGGGAGACGTTTCCGGCCCTCCATGCACATTGCGACCCGTCTCCACCCAGCCTCGAGGTGAAGGAGCTGCTCCCTGCCAACGTAGAAGAGAAGGATCAACACCACAACCATGTCAGGGCCCCCTCAAGGGCCCGGGCCTGTGAGGCAAATGAGCGTGGGAAATGGACCGCCCAGTGCAGGTTTACCACCACATAACGCCATGCCTCCACAAGGGGGACCTCCGCCGCCAGGTGCCTCTGGGCCGCAATCGCAGCAGAACTTGAATCAGATTGTAGGTCCAACATTTTTCTCTCTCACTTTGGTGGTGTTTGCTATTGTCAGGGCTTGCATAATTGCGGTGGGTGAAGGCGCATTGTTCGCTCGGGTTCTGGCCGTCGCGTTTCGTGAAAGGAAGCTGTCCCTGGCTGTACTCTCGACTTATACTCCCGTCTGCCTTGCGCAATCTCGCTCTCAAGTTGCGCGCACTTTATCGCTTCGTCTACCACGATAAAACTCTCCTGCTGCAACTGTTACCATCCTCGCGCACTCCATCTTCTACCCACCCAGCTGCGTAAAGTCAGCCTAATATGAGCGCATCCGCGTACGGGAAGAGTTATGCGACCAACAACTGTGGCCACACCTCGGTACTGCGCACTGGAAGCATCGATTGCTGCTTGACATCATATAGATGATTATGATTTAAAAAGCAGTTGCTGACGTTCATGCAGGTACTGGAGTACCTCTCTAAAAAGGGATATGTCCGCACCGAGGCGATGCTTCGAAAAGAGTCTGAACCGCAGACTAACGGCCAATCCCTCGTAGCGCAAAGCACCGAAGCGGGCGGCGCGAGATACACAAAAGCATTCGAGCTCCTCCGCAAATACACCGAAGACAACCTGGATTTGTATAGACCAGAGTTGCGAAAGTTGCTGTGGCCGGTCTTTGTCTACTCGTATCTCGACATGGTGCGCGACTTTTACACCAAAGATGCAGAAACCTTTTTCGCGACGTATCAGGGTCTTTTCGAGCGCGACCACGACGAAGACATCAAGACGCTCCGCCAGGTTCGGTTACAAGCACATCTGCAGGAGAGCCGCATAGCGAAGCTATACATCGACAACAAATACCGGATTACGCTGACGACAATGCCCTTCTTCAATCTTATTCAGTTCCTCGAGTCTAAGCATTTTGACGGTGGTTCGACAATCATAGATGTGATCCGGGAACACCTGAACATCGTAACCGTCGACCGGACGGCAACCGCCGAGAAGAGCATAGCAGCAATTCTTGCGAGTGGACATGGCGAGGACGAGCTTCCAGCAGAAGACGAAGGTATTCCAGGACACGCCCCAGGTCATCCTCTCACTGCGCGTCATGACCCTGAAGCAGAGGCTGCCCGAATAAGGCTTCAGCTAGGCGCATATCCGCAAGAGGCGGATTTGCAGGAAGACGTCCGAGCAGCTTTACAGGACGAGGACGCTAAAAGCGCGCCAAGACCAGGACAACCAAGCTTGGTAGAGGAGTTCGAGCAGCGCATAAAACAGGAGCCAACAGAAGACGGTCCTTCACGTGAGTTCGTTCCTCTGCCGCCATCCCTTGCGCGCGACGTCTCTATGGAGGTTCAAAAGATCATCGAGCACCGAGATCGCTACAAGATGGAAGGCAGAACAGGCGGCATTGGGCCAGCTGTCAGTGTCACCATGTACACCTTCCATAACACCTATGACAGGTAAGTTCACTCGTCATTCTGTCTCACAAAATATAGCTGACCCCATGATAGCATTAACTGTATCGACTTCTCTGGTGACAATCAGCTTGTCGCGGCCGGTATGAACGAGTCTTATATACGGGTCTGGTCCATGGACGGCAGTCCACTCACCTCTCCGAACGACGCCCCAGACGCACAACCGTCGTCTTCGAGACGGCTCGTCGGCCACTCGGGTCCAGTCACCGCAGTGGCCTTCTCACCTTCCACAGCAAATCCGTACCCATCCGGCCCACCAACAAATTCAGAATGCCTTCTTTCATGTTCGGAGGACAAAACAGTCCGACTTTGGTCGCTAGACACATACACATGCCTTGTCGCCTATCGTGGACACGACAATCCAGTTTGGGATCTGCAATGGGGACCTTATGGACACTACTTCCTCACGGGTTCAAACGATCGCACCGCACGCCTGTGGTCAACAGACCACATTGAACCACTACGCATCTATGTCGGTCACGACAATGACGTTGACTGCGTTACTTTCCATCCCAATAACCTTTACGTCTTCACTGGTTCTTGCGACCGCACAGTACGCATGTGGCACATCGCCGGTGGTAACTGCCTACGCCTCTTCACAGGCCACACGGGCAACGTGACCGCCATAGCATGTTCTCCCGACGGCAGGACGCTTGCCTCCGCCGATGATGCAGGTAACATCATTCTCTGGACTCTCGAGACTGGACGAAGGCGGAAGCGCATGCGAGGACACGGCAAGGGTGGTATTTGGTCGCTTTCTTGGAGTGTGGAATCGAGCGTCCTCGTCTCAGCCGGAGCGGACAAGACAGTACGTGTCTGGGATGTGCTACAAGAGACCAGCGACAAGGCTGCTGATGGCGTGGCTGCGAAGGCGGATGGTGCTATGACGACCAAGGGCGCGAGTGGAACCACAGTGACGGGAAAGAAAGCCAGTAAGGAGACCGGTGTCTCGGCAGACCAGATCAGCGTATTTCCGACCAAGGACAGTCCTGTGTACAAGGTGCAGTTCACTAGAATGAATCTGGTACTTGCTGGCGGTGCATATTTGCCGACACGTCAGTAGCGTCTGGCACCAAGCTAGGTTTTTGGGTGTCCATACACGGATGGGCGCATCCGGGCGTTTTGGGTTAAAAGCATCAAGATGACAAGCTATAGTATACCCGCATGTATGTAGAATCTCATTCTTCTAATTACATCTTCTACATGATTCTTCTGGTCTTTACATATGAGTTTGGACAGCACTTGGCCGCTCGCCACCACTCCTACTCAGCATCGGGGTGGAGGTCCGCTCATATGCGATAGTGCCGCTTCCCTATCCGCAATCGCGATTGTAATTTAAGTTGCGAAATATCTGTCATGACGTAGCTACAGTCTCATCGACTTCGGCGGCTTCCGGCGTTGTTATCCTTGCTGTGCGAATGTGTCTGTCATGACCTGGGAGCACCTTCCCAACCTCACGCCGGAAGCTTCTCATGGCGGTCACCCATCTTTTGGCACTCGTGCCTCCCCGATAAATTCCATCGCCCAGTGTTTATCATCTCTCTTCTGCACTCAGCTTCCTACACTCGTTTATCACACACATCCTCGCCCTTCCGTCAGCAACTGGCCTGCTCCTTTGGTCATCTTGCTCACCTCTGCCCATCCGGTGCACTCTTGAGTCCCATCTCACCACAGCAGCCAGCTCGACGCTTGACATGAAGGTCACTCAGCTTGCCGCCCTCTTTGGGGGTACTGCTCTTGCAGTCCAGCCTCTTGCAGCTCCTCGTAAGTCAATCTCATGCAGTTCCTTCAGCAGCATTGTTGCTTCCATCGCTCTTTGGCTGTTCAAACAATTCTGACACGTCAACAGGTGTCCAGCGTGCCCTCACTGATACCCACTCCACGGTCATTATGGTTACGTCGACCCACCTGATCCAGGAGATCTGCACCGATATTGCGAGCTGCCCTCCCTATAGCACCACTGCCGAGACATCTGTCGTCTATGTCACTGCAACAACCACCATCTGTCTACTTTCTTCGACGCCTCCTGGATACGGGCCACCTCCGACTACAGCTGCTCCTTCATCAGTTGCTAGCTCCGCCTACCCTACCAGTTCCGCGGGCATCTCTGTCAGCCTTATCTCAGGGTCTCAAATCCTTCCAGGTGGCTCTGAATATCCCAGTGGCTCTACTCCCCACACGAGTGCTCTTCCAACTGGCATTTTCTCATCCAACGCATATGCTACGCCTTCTAGTGTCAGTGTGGTGCTTCCATCAGGTTCCTATAGCTCTGGAGTCAATATCGTTACAGATGTATTGCCTCCACCTGGAGCAAGCAGTGTCATCGTGGTTCCTTCATCTACCAACACCAACGCCATTAGCATTTCATATCCCGCTCCATCAGCTGGGCCTAGTTCCATTGGCTCTTCAAGTGGACATATCGCACCTCCGGGCAGCTCGCTGGTCTCATCATCCACTAACCCAGCTTCCGTGAACCCGGGTAGCTCAACGGTCTCGTCCATGTCATACGCTGGCCCCACTTTCCCAGGTAGCTCAGCAACCCCACCCGTCAGCTACACGGATGCGGTTCCTACCTCCATAAGCACGCCCTCGTCAGGACCAAGTTCCGGCAACCCAGCCGCTCCTTCAACACCAGGCTCTGTACCGTCCGGCCCATCCGCGCCACCAAACAGCAATACAGACTACGTGCCAACGTCTTCAGGAGTCGCCTCTACTGGCTCATTTTCAAGTGGATATGTCGTCCCGCCTGCTAGCTCAGCTGGATTATCGAGCTCTATCACAGACGCCATACCGACTTCCATTACAATCTCATCGCCCGCGGGTCCATCTCCAAGTGGATACACAGTATCATCGAGCTACTCAGCTCCCTTATCTCGCCCTGCTGGACCGTCTTCCAGTGGATATATCATGCCATCAGGTAGCTCGACTGCACTGACGAGGTCTAACACGGATGCTGCACCTACTTCTCTTATAGCGTCTTACACAGGTGCCAGCTCTGCTATACCCTCTGGGGTCCCTTCGGTCGGACCTTCATCAAGCAACTACTTTGCCCCACCCGGCAGCTCTATCGAAGCTCCTCCGACATACATGGGCAGTGAGTCCACATCTGCTATCGCTCCAGGGTCCTCGGGTACCGCCCTCGACACGTATTCAGCATCATTGTCTGCTACTCCGGATTACCCAAGCCCCTCACCACCAACAGGTCCTGGATCCACCGTCATCGATAGCACTATTAGGATTACGAGCTATCAGACACAGACTCTCACTTCGTACATCACGGCAGGACCTTCAGACGCGCCTGGCAATAACACTAACACTAACACGAATACGCAAGCTATTCCGACCAGCATCCCTTCAAATATCTCTGGTGGTCCCTCCGGGTCTGGGTACGTCTCACTGACTCTCGATACTTTCTGTATCCACTGACCGATGTTTACAGTTATCCATACCCGTCTGGCGGCATCAACGGCACAATTGTTGCTCCCTACCCCAGCTACATCGAAGCCCCCATCAACACCGGTCATATCGTCGGTGCCGGAAAGAGCTCCCTCGCAGCCATTGTCGTCGCTCTCGTCTTCGCTCACTTCGCATAAGTCAGCGCTCGGTTCTCTCATTGGCCTCTTTCTGTTTTGAAGGAGATACGCTGTTGTTGAGGGAGGTCGGCATGGTGAGACATTATTGCATCGCGTATAGCGTTTAGCATGGAGCGTTCCGAATCCGACCACATACCTACACTGTGGGTCTGACGGGGTCAAGGGAAGTGGTATTATCTTTTTAGGGAGTGTTCTTTAAGCCAGACAGGGTTTTCCTCACATGTACTACCAGTTACACGGCCGCAACAGATCAGCATGCATATAATACACAACACTTTTCACTTCGGCCATTAATAAAGATCTTCGATGCACTGTGATGACCTCTCAGAATGCGTCGTGATTGGAACATGCCAGCAAGACGCGGTGGCTGAAATGTACGCTAAGGTTGAGAGACCTGTGATATGGCCGTATTGATGATCGCTTGCCGTCACCGTACATCGAAGGCCTTCAGGGTATCATCCGGGCTCTCATTCTCGCCACCGGGTAGTTTCTCATTCCACGCATCTTCAGAAATGCGTTCGGCTTCAGGGAGCAGATTGAAGTGGGGACTCGGCTCGGCCTTCAACCACTTGAAGTCGTCGATTTGATCCCACTGATTCTGCGACTGCTCGATCTCTGGTGTCGTCTATGTGGTCGTTAGCCAATGTTCCACTGCAAGGACTGCATATATTGGGTTAGGACTAACATATACACCAGGTAACGGCGCAAACCTCAGGCCCTCACAGTCCTCAAAGATCGGCCGGCTCGCACTATGTAGATATACATCCACATTCTTGCTCCCATGCATGCGAAACTGTCGACACGCCGTCACTATGGTGCTGTTGGAGACATCTGTGATGTGTATTGCGCCTGCGACTTGACCGGTTATTATGAGCGAAGAGCTTATGGAGCGGAGGTAGAGGGCGGCGAAGGGCGCGTTGGCTTTCGTTGGGGCGCTGAGATCGACAATGCAGTGGGTGAGGTGGGACACTGTTGGAGAACTTGTTTCGTGAGGAGATGACGGGAGGGTTATACGGGCGTGGGATTTCCAGGAGAGGGCTGATGGGGAAGAGTCGTGTTGCGTTGTGTCGTGCTGCTGTTGTTGCTGTGATGATAGTGTTTGTTCCGATACGGAGGACGGTTTCGCGCTCGATGTGTTAGGCGCAGCGTCTGGTTTCGCGACATCCTTTCTCCGGTTCTTGAAACTGAACTTCTTGGGTGGATCGAAGCTATTCCTCACATCTGACAACTTCTCACTCAAACGCTTGATCGTCTACACTTTCTTGTCAGCCCCCAGCTCTTCCTATGGCTTCACTATTTTCGGTATATGACACACCTCGCTGTACGTTCGTTGATCGTAAGCCGGAAGATAGCTCGAGGCGTCCTGGACATCGAGGGCTACTCGGTTTATACCTGCGAGGCAGTTGTCTATTGCTTCGTTGCGCTCGCCGCCGGATGTGGATACGGAGGAGAGGTTCTCGATTTGTGTGCGAAGTGCTGAGTGTGTTAGTCATGGCGCATGCTGTAGTGGGTATGTGAGAGACGGACTTGCGACATCTTGGTTGAATTGGCGGTAGAAAGTTTCCTTAAGATTGGACTCGGCCATTGCGCGTCAGATCTCGTCGCGATATGTACGTAGTGTTAGTGTACGACACAAGGCTCGAAGAAGTCTTTCGTCTTTTGCTATGCGCGGAGCCACGAAGGTCTTCGGTGAGATGTTCACGCGTCGGTGGGTTGGTTAGTGGGGTTGAAAGAGAAGCGCATGGAGCGCGCGAAAAACCACAACATAGTGAAGACCAATAAAGTACAGGAACTACGATTTTGAGCAACAGTCTGGCAATACAACAGGTCGATAATGTTGAAGTCCTTTGTGTCACCGATTCCAATTACGAGTAGATTCCAATTAAGGGTCGAAAGACGCGACATCATCGAACTGGTGGGATGCACGCTACCCCGCATTTCACCAATAGCGTCTCATGTATTGTCAGATGTAGGCACGATCCTTGTCGGAAATAGATATCTTGAACTGAAGGAATTCAAAGATCAATGTAAGCTCTCGGGCTCCACACATTGCGCACGACCCCTTGTTTAATTCTTAATACCATTCGGCCTGCAGCAAAAGCGATGAGAAGGATTTAATCTTATACACAGCTGTTGCAGAGTCCTTCCCCAACTCAGCATCTCAGGCTTCCGTTGTCTCACAATTGAATGCAGTGATCGTTGTTATCTGGTGCACATTAAGATGAGAAGGTTCACCTCTGCATCGAGGATGGGGTCTTGATAAAGTCTTCGATTGTTTGAGGTGGTATATACACGAGCCAGAGGTGACCCAAGTCTTTGTGGTGTTTGCGTTGTGACTTCAAGGAAATGTGTGATGCTTCTAAGCGGCTTGTTGCGCTGCCTTGACGTCGACGCCGTACTTGTCCAACAGTCGTTGCCGCCTCCTCTCCTCGTATCCGGGACCGTAGATTCCTGGTCAAGTCAGCTTCGGCAAGAATGTGCTGGCCCTTATTTGACATACCTCGTCCCTCGCCCAATTGCTGCAGAGTCTCGGACATTGGCCGTCTGCGCACCTTCTTCAACTCCTCCCTACGCTCGACCTCACCATCGTCGTCGACCTGGTCGCGAATGTCTCCTATGCCGCGCATCCCAGCGGTGTATCGGTAGGCAGTGAGGACCGTGGAGAAACATACTCCAGCACCGAGCATGAATGGAAGGCTTCGCCCTGTGGTCTGTTAGTACAGGCGTATGAGTTCGTCCCGAGCATGCGTACTGGCAACACCAACACCACATCCAGCCACAAACCCGGCAACTGCCTCGCTGTAGCAGTCATCCTTTTGTCGCAGGTTGCTGGTCGCGTCCAGTGTGAATTGATAGGCGGCTCCCACACCGGCTGCACGTCAATTAGCTTTGTCCAGAATCAATTCCCTGCGATTGGCCTGCTACGGACCGTATAGCGCGATTATGCCTCCCGACCGGGTGAGGATGCCCATGGCTCCAACATTCTGCTTCCGGAGTGTGTTCTGGACACCGGCAATGATGGCGCCGGCGGCCGTGGTCTGCAGCGTCGTGTTCGCAGTATTCGAGAGAGCGTCCCGCGGGTGGAAGGTGACGTATTGGTCGGCCATGGCGGGCGGAATTGGGCGTCGGTGTCGTCTTGGGAGCTCTATCGACGTTGTTGAAGTCGGCAGCGGGAAGATGCGCCAGACCATAAGCGTCTTGGCGCTCAGGGCTCAAGCGGCGGCGGGCACTGGCTGCATCATCGCGCGCCGCGTCCTCGAGCTGTCGTAGTGAATGCCGCGAGCCCGTCTGCCTCGCCGCTTGTGCCGTTGCGGTCTTGTGTTTTCTTGTGCGTAGTCGCATGCGTCAGGGCTATTCACGTGGGCCAGTTGTCTTATTCCTCTAGAGTCTAGCACTGTAGTGCTTCAACTAGGCGGTCGCCGCCCACGATGCTCTGTCTGTAAACGCTTCAATCACACAGTAGCAACTTCTCTTCGCCCTTCTCCGCCCATTTCGCCGTGCATGTTGTGCTGCCATTAAACCCTCCATTCTGTCATCCATAGTATACGCCACACTATTGCTCCCCACCGCGCACAGCAGCTATGGCGCCCGGTACTTTGTCCACCCTCGTCCCACCAGCGTGTGCTAACCACCACTCACAGGCAAGACGGCGCCGCGGCTACTCCAGGACCTCTTCACATACGATCCGCGACACGAAGAACGGGCCGGCCGGAACTTGTTGACAAGTGCCCCGCCGCAACACGACAGCAAAGCCCCAGCAGTCGCCGCCGTACCCTACAGGAACTGCCGCCACAACCTCTTCACCAAGCCTGAGCAGTCGCTGTTGCCGGTTGCGGGCGAAGAAGCAACCTCGAATACCATATACAAGGTCGCCTCATACTGTATCAAGTGTCGCTGGCATGTCGATGTGCGTGTCGACCACCGCACCGATGCTACCAAGATCAAGTCGTGTGGGAAGGGAAACGAGGACTATGCCTTGCACCACTTCCTCTACGAAGGAGAAGACAACTCGAATGGTACCGGCGGAATCGAGGCTCAGCTGCGCCCGCGCACCTACACTTTCCGCTGCACTGCGCCGGAGTGCTCAGTCAGGGTACGCATTGGCATGAAGCCGCCATGCTTCTCGGAGCAGGACATCGTCACTTTGACCGACCAGGCCCAGCTCAGGAGACGATGGGAAGCAGCGAAACAGATCGCCGGTGACCGGGCGGATGCAAACATGGCGCGGAAGGTCGATGCTCCTGATTACCTGAATACATACCTGCAAGATTCGTTGAAGCCAGCGAAGGGCAAGGCGCGCATCCCATTGCTGAACAAGAAGTTTCTCAAGACCTTCGGTAGGGACTGTGACTCGATATTACGGCGTCTGGGCTTCGAGAACCGCCAGGAAGAGGAAGAGGATACCATCGTAGAAGTCTGGTATCTTCCTAGGCCTGACGAAGCCGCATCTCCTCTCGAATCGACGCTGCGCAACAAAATCGAGGACGCTCGCTACGAGCTGAATACATTGATACTTGGCATGCCGGAGAATGAACGAGTGGGTTGCAGACACCAACCGATGTATCCTACGCCGTCACGAGGCGACATGGAGAGAGCGTTGGCATGCGAGGATTGTATGTCCATATACGCCCGCTTGTTACACAATGTGGATACTGACAAGCTGCACAGACGCTAAGGCGAAGGGACGGGAGACACGCAGTACAAATCACGAAGAAGATCACCCGTATGTGCCCCGCTTCACCTTCACCGGCTTGCCTGCTTACTGACGACGAATAGTTACTACGCTAGTCTAGGTGCCGTTGGCGACTTCGACGACGCTTTAATCCTCTTCGCCTTCTCTCGACAAGGCGCTGTCGATATCGAAAATAAGGCCTACTACTTCGAATGCTTGCAGGATCTCGCTGCTGGTCGCCAAAGTGAGATGCTTGGGATGCAGGTTGCTATGTTGGCCTCACAGGGTCTCACTAGCAAACGGGATACCGAGCGTGCCTACCAGTACTTTGGGATTGATCCAACCCACGCAAACGTGATAGGCGACGATCATATCATAGGATGTTTCCGGTCGCGGCTAGCCGATGTCAGCGTTATACAAGCTGAGGAGGCACGAAAGCAACTGCGAGTTCTTGGAGACGTGCGTGACAGCGACAGAATACGGTCAGAGGCTTCTGGGTCTATCGAGACGTATGAGCAGGCCATGGCGTTCTTCGATCTCGAGCTTGGTGTAGCCGACGATTTCATCCCGACCATGTATTCGTTAAAGGTACCATGCACGTCGGGTTCCGACATGACTTGTTTGTTGTTCTGACAATTGCTAACACTTGAATAGACTCAGGACAGTCCCGCAAGCATAGAAACTGCAAGGAAAGCCCTGGATATCATAGCGGATGCGCGCAACAGCGAACGACTGCGTCAGTTCGCCAAGTTCGGAGCCATGAGCGAGCCTGAAATGGACCTCGGTGAAGCCTACGCCCTCTTCCAGCAACCAGACAGAACCATCAAGCTCGAACTTGCAGTTTTAGGCTCTTTAGTCAGCACCTACGACATTGGCTCCAGCGAACGAGCCCGGATGGAGACAGCGTATAAACTTATCCAGAACGACCAGTCACAGAGGTTTGGCGACAACCATGTCAACCCCTCCGAAGTCAAAAGGAACAAATACCCACTCGATTCATGGCCGGTTGGGCTTCGCAACATCGGCAACACATGTTATCTCAACAGCGTTCTCCAATTCCTGTTCACCATCAAGCCCTTGAGAGATCTCATTCTCGATTGCGAGAAATACCTACAAGATTCTTCTCCAGAAAGTCTAAAGAACAAAAAGGTTGGGCGCATGTATGTTACTGCCGAGAGGGTTTTGACGGCGCAGAAGTGTCAGTATCTCTTTCGTTACTTCAAATCGATGCTAACCTCGTGTAGTCGTTCGGGAGTTGCGGACTTTGTTTGAGCGCATGATCACCGCATCCACAGAGACGGTACAGCCTGCTATAGACCTCGCTTCACTCGCACTATGCAAATCAGACAATCCCGCAGATCCAGTGGAGTCACCATCAGTAAACACTACCGATGGCGCAGGCTTGGGCACGATTGATGGAGCTGCGGTTAGTGGACCGATGCTTCCACCTGCTGCGATGCAGTCCGCTCCTGCAGAAGCTCCAGCCGGCTCAGCCGTAACTGGCGACAGCATAAGTTCTACAGATTCAGTTATGGAGAATGCTGATGCGGCGCCGATTACACCTGCTGATTCTGTCATGAACGACGACATTGCAGTAGACAAGAGCGATGGCAATGTACCTGCCCCACCAACACGACCTCCGCCAATCCCGCCACGGGCAGACCCTAAACCCGCCATCAAGCCTACTGTTCAATCAAGTTCGAAAATTGGTAGGATCGAGGAGAGCGCTCGACAACAGGATGCAGCAGAAGTCATGTCGAACATATTCGATCTCATTTCTTGCGCCATAACAGGTGACAGCATTCTTCGCGAAGGTGAGCAAGGAGACGCCATCAAGAACCTGTTCTTCGGCGACGTCACCACAGTAATGGAAAAGTCAGACGGCGTACAGAAGGTTCAAGAGCTTCGAGACCATTTCCTTGTCGCCACTGGACAACGAGACCGCTCACTCTATGCTACCCTGGACGAAGACTTCGGTCTGGGTGAGATAGAGGGTGGTAGCGGTATGCGATACGATTACGTTGAAAAGGCTGCGCCCATCCAGATCATAAACGTGAAGCGGCTACAGTTCAAGGAGGGCAAGCCTGTATACGACCACTCGCACATCGGCCTGGAGAAAACAATGTATCTGGATCGTTACTTGGCGAGAACACCGACACTAAGCGAAGTGCAGCTGCTCGAGCTTCGCAAAGCGCAATGGGCAAAACAGAAAGAGTTGCGAGAGCTAGATGCAAAGAGAACAAAGCTACAGACAACAGGCGTTGAAGGCTTGGACCTTCCTGAATGTCTAGAGGCAACAAGCGACTTTGTCAACGGTCTTGCCACGGAGCAGTCAGAGCATGAACAGCCGAATTCGTCTCAGGGCTTCCTCCCGACTCCACCTCCTGAACTCTCTGACACCCTCCACACCCGTGCCGCCGGCCTCGCTGCCGATCTGTCAGGCATAGACGACCAGATGACATTGCTTGAATCCGAAATCAACACAGTCTTCAAAGATTGCAACTCCGTGCCCTACCGTCTCCATGCCGTCTTCACCCACCGCGGCGACGTTAGAAGTGGTCACTACTGGATTTACATTTACGACTTCCATAAGGATGAGTGGAGAGTCTACAACGACGAGACTGTAGATCGGGTCGAGCAGGAGAGCGTAGTACTCGACAAGGAGGAAGCACACCGCCCAAAGGTCAGCACAGGTGTTGTGTACATAAGAGCCGATCTTGTGGACGACTATACCGAGGCCGTGTGCCGCCAGCCCGAGAAGGCCGAGGAGGATACGCAGAAGGATATCGAGATGAAGGATGTTGCTCTTGACGACGATCCCGATGATGAGATGCCCGCATTGGAGCCGGTAGACTTGAAGGACGTCCCTGTCATCGATGGAGTGGAGAAGGAGTAAGGTCTCTTCTATTCCGAGCCCATGCTCCTGTCTTCTTCTTTCCAGGCTACTGGTTGCTGATCAGTATTGTCTTCTTAGCACTAATTCTCCGGCAAAGAGAAAGGGGGTGCGTTTGGAGTCTCCGCCCAAGAGGGGCAAAAGCTATCAAGGCTTTGGACAGGCCGATCAATCGGATGTGGGTCCGCGATGTGCAAGCCGACTTGAGCTACGTTGAGCGTATGCTGTGATGCCGATGGACATGACAAGGTGTAAGTCGTGCTGACATGCATCTTGGTACTGGTAATGGGGCATGAATAGAATACGGGTAATGCATAACGATGAGTTCGAACTCAGATCCGGTTAATTCTTGTGATATCTTACATCTAAGTGATACACCCATCCCCATGCCTAAAGCCTAAACAGCCTGCCTCTTCCTCCCACCACCTCTCCGCCAATTCCACAACGCTTCCTGTGCAAATGTACGCGCGGTAAGATGACCCCTCTCCTTATTCGCCTCTTCAGTCAGTGTCTCAATCACCCTTCCTTCTTCGACGCACTGCCACAGTCCACTTGCAATGGCACTACCAACATCCTCTTCCACCCACTCCTCTCCATCCTCATCTTCCACCACTTCCGGGTTCTTGGCTACTTTAGCCGGCCCATCAGTCGTTTGTTCCGTGCTCTCAACCCCGAATTCTCCTCTCCCTAATCGGTATAGAATACGACCTAGTGTTTGGTATGCGATGCATCGCTGACTCGCCACTTTACTCCGCGCTGTGACTGCGAGTTCGGGTATTGTGTAGCCTGCTGCTTCGGGGGCTTCGGCGTGGTGGTGGAGGCCCAGGTCGGTAGGTATCGATCGTGCGACGCTGGGTGCTAGCAAATTGCCTGAAAAGTCGAAGCGGAGTTCGGCGGGGTTCAAGGCGGTTTGAGAGGGGTGGTAGGGCGACTTTGTGTCTGATGGGTCGATGGGCGACATCCACGATAGTGAGGAGGGGTCGTAGGGTAGTGTAGGGAAGTATTTCTCGTGTAGATTCTTCAGGAATGAGGGGTCGTTTGGGTCGAGGTCGGGTGGTTGTGGGGGTTGAGGGAAGTGTATTGAGTCGTTCGTATCGGGCATGGCTGTTGATGTGGTATTGTCGTCTGATGGAGGCTGCGCGGTGGGTATTGAGGTCGAGGCTGGCTGTGACGGTGCCTCGTTTTCGGGTTCTGGTGCTGCGAAGGAGACTTTCTTCGTGCTCAAAGTCTTTGGTTGAGGTTCTGGCTTGGCTTCGTCAGTCGTCGGGGTAACAGTGGCTGCTTGTGCTGGCAGCTCTGTATCAAAGTCCCGCTCGTTGCTCCCTTGGTCAATGTTGGACCGCATCAGCAGCTTCTGCAACAATGCTGGATTGAGACTTGACATGAGCTCTTGTCGTTCTTGCTCAATCTCCGCATCCGACATGGCTGCCAATGTCTGCCTGTTCTCCTCGTCTATCGCCCTTCTCTCCTCGTCCCTGTCTACACCGAATGCGCTCCGCGGTTTAGGCGCATCCTGCGTCATCGCCGGCGCTTTCGGTGCCGTGGCAGCTTGTTGTTCCTTTGCGGCACGCTGTTGTTTGAAAGCCGATACTCTGGGTACGCGTTTCTTGTGCGCCGGGAACCCGTTTACATTCGGTTTGAACGAGGGCGCGACTGGAGGATTAGCTGGTGATGATTCGCGCTCTTGGATGTCGCCCACGAAAGTGGGGAATGACGGCATGGGTAGCTCATGCTGTTCTCCCTGATCCAGCTTCTCGACTGCGCCAGTATCGAAGTTCAAGTTTACGCGCTCTCCTCTTTGGAACTCCATGTCGGCGGTATTGTGGTGGTGCTGAGGCGGCGCGCATGGTCCTGCTCGAAACTTTGGACCGCTGGACCCTTGTATGCGGGGCGCTGCTAGCGCGTTCGGCTGGCCTCCTTCGATGTTTACGCGCCCGGGCAGGCGCTGAGCCTCCTACCCCACCACACTCCAAACTGCAATGCCAGGCATACGTGCAGCAGGTAGCCTATGGCTCACTATGGATTCCAGACATGATAAGGGGGTGTCTCCCCATCGTACAGGTCGTGTTTATCACGTCACCTCTAAGAGAATCACTGTCGACACGCCAACATCATGAGCGTCATCAGCTCTTCACGAAATGCCAACCTTCCAAGGGGGTCGAGGCATCCTTCTTTCTGTACGCAATGCAGAGTCTTGGTGCATCGCCTTACTGTCCCAACCAGAGTGTGTAACGAGAGGCTATTTATCAGAAATGGTTCCAAATGCCCGCTGTGTTTATTCTTTGCTGCTATACTACACGGAAAATGTTCGACATCTACCGTTAAAAAGACGGCTCGCTTCCGGCTCTCGGACTATCAAGGACCGTCAACAATGGCAGGGTCTCATGATTTCTCGTTCCGGAACTATTATGTCCAACTGGAGGGTTCTACCGTCTCTCGCTTCATTCTACCAGAGTCTGGTATTGGAAATCTACAATTCTGTACACTGCCGAGGAACCTCATTGACTATTCTTTGCTACAAAAGTGGATCAATCACTGCAAGACCCACCATGGAGATGCTTGTTCATATCAAGGCGAGGCTTCTCGGCTGTGGGCTCCAGGGAGAACTGCACTCAAAGTCATCGACTGCGCGTCATCTACAATCATTGTAGCACCTCCAGGTGCGGAATATGTTGCACTTAGCTATGTCTGGGGTAGACCGTCAGCTTCCGATAAACACGACAGTGTCCTTTGCTGTGGCACTGCTACGAAGAGCTTGGTGAACCTGCCAGAAACGATCAAGGATGCAATGAAGGTCACCATTGAGCTTGGCTACCGATACCTGTGGTGCGATAAGTGCGTGGCATTCATGTCAGAAAAACATCTGAGACATACGCTGACCATGACCGTCAAGGTATTGTTTCGACCAGCAGTCGGATCCGCATCAACTACAAAGCCAGCTTTCCATGATGGCTATGATCTATTCGGCGGCGGCAGTGACCATTGTTGCTGCAGCTGGAAATCACTCTAATCATGGGCTACCCGGTGTTAATGGCAGAAGTCGAACTACACCTCCTTCTATCACACTAAATGGCACAACATGGGTAGCAGCACTAGACGACTTCAAAACACCTATTCGTGAATCACCTTGGTCCCAAAGAGCTTGGTGAGTTACTTAGCCTATACGTATGCATCGGGTACTGACCATGAACTCTTACCGTGCAGGACGTATCAAGAGGAGTTTTACTCACGCCTGCAGCTCATCTTCACTGAGGAGCAGGTTATCTTTGAGTGCAACACAATGAGCTGTTTCGAATCAGTGATCATCGAAGACTCATCTGGCTCAGCCCAGGTGTTCAGCAGGCAGAGCAGTGCCCATACACGAAGCACTTGGGATGATCCGTTTCACGAGCATATCGTTCGCTACACAAAACGATCGTTGAGCCATCAATCGGACGTTCTAAACGCAATGCGAGGCCTCTTCCAGTCATTCTCTACGCAAAGAGTACCATGTCATCAGTATTGGGGTATACCGTATACCATGGCTGCTTGTGTCGAGATCCAATCCAGGTCTAGAATGTGGTCTCATCTCTGGGCTCATGGGATCCAGTTGAGTGATGTAAAAGATCAGCTCAACGCCGCATTTTGCCGGCAGCTATGCTGGGTCGTCAATCCAGAGATATCCACGAAGACAGTTCGGCGAAAGGGCTTTCCTAGCTGGTCCTGGTCAGGATGGATAGCTCCTGTACTATGGCCTCGCACATCCCCTTTGACATGGGACAATATGTTGCCCGTTGAGCTCTATGCAATGAAGGTCGATGGAACAGATGAACCTCTGACGGAAGAATTGGTCAAGATGGTTTTCGAGAATGACGGCGATCTTGCGCTCGATTACACTAATCAGTTGCGCATAGTTGCTGAAGTTCTGTACCTTCGATTCGCCTATATCCCAAGGAAACGGCATCGGTATTCACACATGTTTGATCGTGCGACCAGCACATACAAAGACGGAATGTACGCAGCACGCGGTACTATTGAGATGATCTCCGACTCTGGCGAGCGCAGTCTTGAAGATCATGAATGGTCATTGGACGTCACGAGTCATGTCGACGAGGAGTTACATTACTCGCTCTGCAATCACCTGTTCGAGGGTATAGTCGTATGTAAAGACTTTGTTCTGGTTACGCGTACTAGAGATGGAACGAAGGAGCGCATAGGGGTCATGTCTGTTCACAGCCTCGAATCCGACGGAGACACTGAGCAACATCCTCGCCTGTGCTTTCCCGGTAGTCGACGAGACATCTTTCTGGGGTGATGAGTTCGTCGAGAAGAATTCTCAGCTGAAAGCCCTTCCAATCATATTTATTTGTTCTTCCTTTTCATCGGCGCCACTATCAAGTGTGACGCGTACTTTCGGTGTAGCTGAAAGCGCCACACTTCTCCTAAGAAGGAAATCTATATGTCCTCTAATCAGACTGCAGATAGAGAGGTCCGTAGTCCAAAAAGAAACCCACAACCCAACCACTGTCTGGTATTCGGGGTGCATGGCCGCGAACTCTACCCCACATGCCCCACATGTGGCTACGAGAGCTAGTAAACTATAATAACATATAAAGAGATGTAGATGCCGGATACGTTGCTCTAAAAGCGAGGGCATTCGTTCTGAAAGAGAAAGGCTGAATTATTATAGTCATGGCGTCTTCTCACGAAAACTATCCATCAGGGCCATACGAGGTCGGAAAGCATATCGTTCCTCCTCCACGGCCCAGCTCACCATCAACTACCGAGTACCGCCTCAATCATCTGATGACCCGTATCAAAGACCCAGAGAAGAGTTTGAAGTTCTACTGTGACTGCCTGGGCATGCATGTTGTTTTCATCTTCAACGCTGGCCCATTCACCATCTACTATCTCGGACCACGAGATTCTGGTAAAGATATCCATCAACTCTTTTCCTCCTACAAAATACTGAGATTTTCATAGGTATTTCCACCCTGGGCACCTCAAAAGGTTTACTAGAACTGTACCACATTCCCGCAGACGCGTCTACGCCGTATACTTCTGGCAATGACTACTCTAATCCGGCGGGAATCGGCTTCGGTCACATTGGATTCACAGTACCCGATGTCGCTGAAGCACTGGAAAGGATCAAAAGCTTTGGCTATGAGGTCATTAAGCCGCTGGATGAGGCGAAAGAGGAGCAGATGGGTTTACCTGCGGAGGCTGTGGAAGGGAAGCACGGGTCGGTACCAGACGGCTACAAGCATGTCTTCAAACAACTGGCTTTCGTGAAGGATCCTGATGTAAGTGGACATCGACTGGTTAAAGGAAAGGTATCAAAGAAGTGTATGCTGACGTCTTTCAGGGCTATTGGGTTGAAATCGTACCTCAGGTAGTCAAGCCGCCGAGTAGTTAGTGGAAGACCCAAAAGTGTGTCAAGCCAGATCTCTCAAAGAAAATGCTATCCGACTCTAACTTCGATAATTGTTCCCATCTTCCTCTTCTTCTTCTTTTTCTTCTTCTTACGAAAGAGCTCTCCACTTAACTTGACGGCCTCGTTATCTTTCTACGAACACCATGGCAACGCAACCACAGACGACTTCTGACACATCCGTTAGAGTACTAAGACTAGGAGTAGATGGGTACGTAGTCCTAACAGCCCATCAATTTAGACCACTGCTGACAGCATCCCGGGTTCATCTCCTCGCCTCTCACCAAAGTTTTCGTTGGGCCCGAATCTCAGCGTTCAGAACTGTTTGTTCACCAGTCCATCATAACGTCGCGATCCAAGTTCTTCGCCAACGCGCTTAGTGGCCGATGGAACAACTCCGACGCGAAAACTATCAATCTCTACGATGTTAACCCTAACCTGAAATCCGAAAATGTTGAGCACTACTTGGAAGCCGTCTATACCAATCGCATCACGTTCAAGGATAACTCAAGAGTTCCTGAAAGTGTATGTCACTTATACATGATAGCTGAATTGCTGCTCGATTTACATGCCCGTAATCTGGCAATTCAGGCACTGTATGAGCAAATCCGCCACCGTAAATCTGATGAGTATGGTCCCTACTTATACCCTGGACCAGAATATATACAAATTATCTGCAAAGGTACAGTATCTGGGGATCTGATGAGTGAGCTACTTGTTGATATTTGATGCGACCGCGGAGGCCTTACTTTACTCCAGTGCGATGATTTGCCGAAACGGTTCTTGTGTGAGCTGGCGACGGCTGCACTGAAGCGGAATCGTGAATCTGGACTAGACGAACTGTTGTCGTTCGATTTGGACACATATCTAGAGGACGATTCATAAGCGCTTAGCGTGGTGATCAACGTCTCTCGGTCTTTGGGGTTCCTAGAGGGATGAATGTCGTCATAGATGTTAGAAGGAATGTGGGGAAAAAGCAATCATCAACCAAAGTTCGCCAGTCGTCAAGGGCAGATGGATTATTATTTTTACAATCATGCTGCGGGCGTGTTCAAGGCTCCTAGCAGATCGATAGTATACTAACCATAGTAACTTGAGATGAGACGACAAGCGTCAAACCAGCGGTAGTGGACGGAACGTGAAGATACACTAGGTCAGGTACCCGCCGCTAACTACCAGTGCAACGAAAGGACCCTGCATCATGCCGCAACCTTCTAGACAGTACACTTGAGCATGGAAAGGATATCAATGCTCCAAAATAACCGACTTTTCGTAGTTGCAACAGCCAGGACACGTACACGACTCACGAGACATAGCGTCAGTGTGCAGGTGACACCTCGGATCCGGTTTTCCGTAAGCGAGAACGATCACTGCAAGGGTATCGTGCAGAGTTTCAGATCTGGGGAGTCGAGGACGCTCCCTGGAGCACGTCTCCCCAACGGTGTCGCCCGACCTGCTGTACGTTTCGTGAGATCCTTACAGTCGCTCATTAGCCTCTGTAGTCCAAACACTGACTGGCGTTAGTGAGCCGTCCCCGCGAATGTTACTCGCGCGTGCGACGCGAGTTGACCTTGAGGAAAGGGGTTGGTAGTGGTTGCGGCGCAATATGACGTGCCCCAAGACAAAAAATCCAGGCTTGTAAAGCCAATCTTCAGCCGCCAGACTGTATTGGGCCACGGCCGTTTCCAAGTCATAAAGCCATGTTTATCGGGAATTGCGCTGGGGATTGCGTTCCCCATCTTCAATTCTGTGGTCGCTATGGATTTACTGAGGTTGAAGACGCGTATAGCACGCGCCAGAGGCGTGGGCGCGACATCTTCAGGCTCCGGAGCGGGCGAGCTGCATGCTCCACAACAGTCTCAGGCACCCCACGATAGCTCCAGCACGCATGCCATCAACGAAGGAATTCAGAGCGCCGAGCCTGGGACGAATGCGCAGGACTTTGGGGCACCCGCGGACCAACCAACGCAACAACCCGTCATCGAACCACCTACCTCGTTAGAGTCATCCATCGATGCTGGCCAGCATGTCCCTAAGCCCACCAGGGCAAGCGATCCCTCATCGCATGTTTCCTACAGGTACGCTTCAGGCACGAGAAAGAGGAGAGTGCGATGCTGACCTCTGTGAAGTACTCTTGCCGCCGAACGAGCAAGAAGTAGCTCCGCGCCGACCAAACCCCAGCAATACCCACGGCGACCGCAAGTCGGCCGTCAAGCTAGTATCGGCATACGGCGTATGCCCTCATCCAACGCCCTAAGACAATCTGCACAGCAACCACAGGGTTCTATAATAAGAGCGAGCACGCCCTTGCCTGCGCTGGACGAGGAGCAAGAGCTGGGGCAGTTTTCCTTCGCCAACGGGAGCCAGAGTACCCTCAACAACCCAGAGCCGGACAGAAGTCGACTGCGGAAGGTCAAGAGCGCAATACAGACCAGGATACCCTTTTGGAGCACTAAGGAGGAGGAGAAGTCGCCGACGACAAGCGCTCATGCTGCTGCAGCGGAAGACGACATGTCGTCCAACTACACCTCGGGCATGGTCGATGTCCTCGATACCATCGATCCCGAAGTCGCGACGCTTACTTCCCTAACAAATATGCAAAACTCGCTGTTCATTCCGAACCTACCATGGCTGAACCGCCGGCCCACTTACAACCTAAAGCGACGGAAGAGCGAGACCGAGAGTCTGGAAGAGATCAACCGCATACTCGAACCCGCTCGTGCTGCTCAGGCTGAGGCGGAGGCAGAAGCTCAGGCGGCTCAGGCGGCCCCCAGATTCCAGCGCTCGGCGACTGAGACCACGACGGCGACCATGATGACGATAGATTCGCAGCTCACTGAGTCGCGCTTCGCTGTGCTTCCCGAGGATACTGACTTGTCTGGATGGAGCGTCGAGGACAAGAAAGAGGTGAACGACCACGTGCGGCACATGCTGCACTCAAGACGCTCGAAGATGAAGCGCTCGCTCAAGGGGTTCGGCATGTATGTCAGGAGACGTAAGTATCTGTGCCACTATATTCTCAACTATTACTGACAGACTACAGCACTTGGCTTCCTAGTCACCCTCTACGCCTTCCTCATCACCGCATTCGGCTTGGCCTGGGTGCTCTTCCTCATCGGCTGGGCCAATGTCGGTGGACAGCAGATCTACGTCGTCCACGTCATTGATAGTGTTCTCGTTGCTCTCTTTGCTGTTGTAGGAGACGGCCTAGCACCCTTCCGTGCTGTCGACACATACCACATGATCTACATTGCTCACTACCATCATTTCACCTGGTCGCGTCGCAAGAAGGAGATGCTACCAGACCTCACCGATCACAACGACCTCCCTGCCGAACATGCTCCCGTATCCGGACCACGCGCTATAGACCCAGCCGATCCTGAGAAACAATGGGAATTCACCGTGTTGACGCCAAAGCAACAAGAGAAACTTGAACATCACCAAGGCAAATTCTGCAAATCACACTCCTTCTACAAACCCCACGAGACAGAGACCCATTACGCCTTCCCTCTTCGCTTCCTTGTCGCCATCGTCGTACTTCTCGACTGCCACTCTCTACTTCAGATATCTCTCGGCGCTTGCACGTGGGGTATCTACTACAAGCATCGTCCCTTTGCTATCACGACTGTCATTCTCTGTTGCTCGATCGCCTGCAATGCTACAGCCGGTCTATTGATCTGGCTAGGTGACAAGAGGACGAGGAAGAAGGACGTAGTAGAGCGCATGAACAGACAAGAATTGACCGGAGAAGCCATCAAAGAAGTGGAAAAGAAAAAGCAGAAAGAGAAGGAAAGGGAAAGCGAGGCCGAGTCTAGTGGTGCAGATGAGGGCAGGGAAAGGGAAAGAAGGAGGATCAGTCTGGATGCTTTCAGACAGGGGAAGAACGCGGAGAAGGAGAAGGAGAAGGAGAAGAAGCAGCAGAGCGAGAGTGCATACCCATAAGAGGGAGTAACGGCGTTGCACAGTGCCTGACTAGCATATTATTGGCATTTTCTTCTTGCATTTTTTCTTGGAAGCGTTCAAGCGTTTATATACCTATGTAGCGATGCGGTCATGTTGGACTTATTTAATTATGCATTCTTGTTCTTCTTCACAGTCTGTACTTTGGGAGTGAGGGGTAACGTTGGAGTTCCTTTGCTGTTGTGGCGTGAATCACCAACGCTGCTCGGGCAGAAACGTTGCCTGCATCTAGTATCGTATCTGCACTCTATATACAAGCGCGAGAGCGGAACCCAAAGGTCTAGTTCTGTGGCGTAGATGCAACAACCCCATCGATAGTGACATTTTCGCTAGGTCTACGCGAGGCTACTGAGGAACTAGCGGTTCTAGAACGCAAAGGTGGTGTATCATTGCCACATGTTGGATAGGAAATCCGTAGCACTACAAAGGCGAGTGCCATTACGTCTTACGAGTGAGAAAGAAAACGTGGAACGTGGAGAGTGATTCAAGCCCATCACACCGTGATGCTTTGTCAATTGTCTTGTATTACTTGAACGCAACCAGAACGGACGCTTCTATGTCGTTTCGGCACCGCCGTTCTGCGATGACCATTGTATCATCCGATTCCTTCTCCCCAAGTTACAACTCGTAGTAATCTTGCTCCTCCATCTTCTACATCCTCCTATGGGTATAAATTTCTAGCAGCCCTCGATCTGCTCAACACCAGCGGCGGTGCCCTTGACACACATGCCATGGTTCTGACGGACGGCAACTGCTGTTTCTTGTTAGTCATTGCGAGTAAACATCGGTTTGGGTTTGAGAAGACAACATACCCTCGTTGGCAACGGGTGCAGCCATGGCAAAAGCGGCCATAGAGACGATGGTAGCAATGACAGCGGTGAACTTCATTTTGAAATAGTGTTTAGGAGATTAATGAACTCGGCGAGTAGATGTAGAAGAAGCGTAGATGGTAGTTGTAAACGTGGTAAAGTCGCCCGGCGACAAAGAGTGAATGTATAGAAAGGTTGGAATACAAGAAGATTGACTTGAAGAAGTTGACTTGATGGTGAGCTTGAAGTAAGGAAAGCGTCTACTAGCCTGAGGATACTTCCAACTTATAGCCTGCAGCCACGGCGCATCTGATATACAGGCACACCGCCGTCGTCGTCATCAGGCGCCGTTGTCAATCACAGAGTCATCCTGGAACCTTACTTTGTGCCTCGCGCTGAGAAGGCTGAAACCGGAGTCTAGACTTTCCTGCCTGTTTCTAGGTACTACATTAGCGAAAGGAGTACGATCTGCTCCATAGCAACGGCGGGGAGTGGAGCGGTCTGGTTCTGCGGGAAGAGCACGGCCGGGGATGAGGTGTGTTGAAGTGTGTCAAAGATGTCGGAGAGATGTCGATGCTTTCCCAAAGAACGGGAGACGCGCGGCTTCTGTACGCAGGTTCTCATGGAGTATCATGATGATGCAATTGAACATGTAGTATCGGGTTGATTTCAATCGTGTAGAAGTGCCTTCCGTCGTGCTCAACGAAAGCAGACTTCGGCATCATCCAGGGAGGCAGTCAACCTGCTGCCACACTCGCCTTACTGCCTCAGTTTGCACACTCGTTAAGGCAGTGTAGTACCGTATAAGCACCATGATGCAGAGCGGTTGGGGTGAGATGAAACGGTACTCAAACTCAGCCGAAACTCGGAAGAGCACTTCCCTTGGCAACGATCTCAGAGATCACAATGCGATGCGAGCAGTCGCCAAGTACCATCTGTTGAGCTGCGCTCTTTTCAAAACGCCGCTACGCGTAAGCCTGGGGCGGAAATTGTCATTGCTGGTGCAATGACGGTCGTTCGTCCGTGACTGTCGGAGTGTTGAACGGGTCAGCTGGCGCTAGCCTTTTGTGGACACTTCGCTTCGCCACGGACTTCAGACATATCGTGAGGATTGCCCTCTGGCAATAACATGACTTTTCCGCGCCTTACAAGTGTAGACTGATGTAGGAGTTTGGGAGGGAAAGCTCCATTGTTGGTATGTATGACGGCTCCTTTTGACTACCAGCGCTTCGTGTACGGCAAATTCGATCCCTGGTATTCTTCGCAATTATGTCGTCTCGTCTCAGAGTTTATCAAGCTCCAAGGTTGACAATAGCGATATTGTACAGCTGTACGCGCTTTCTCAATACAGCGAAGACTTCTGCTGGCAACATGACGCCCTCCTTCCGTCTCCAGGTGACGCGACATCCCGGCGCTATTGTCATTCGAATCTCTCTAGCAACACTGATGCGTAAACTGACTCTTATCAAAGCCTGAGTGACCTTCTGGAAAGATGAAGAGCTCGCATGCGACAAGAAGGTGAGGAAAGAGCGAAGAGCTCACATTTCTGAGGTAGTGAAAGCGGGCGAGGTCACGCCTGCCTCCTATCAAGATGACACTGTAGGTCAGCAAGAAACCGTCCATAGCCGTCGTTGGTGATGAGAGCACGTCATGCTGAAATCCGGAAGCGGAGGTGAAGGTGAGAGCTGGTTGTGGACGATGGCGCCTTCCCAGTCAACAACTCTTACCCTTCTGTTCGACGGTCGCCCCCCACAATCTCACCTAACTGGCAATCACGACCCACAGAACGATGGATATTTTCGTATCTCAGCTCCCCGGGCTCTCTGTCGCTACGCATCTATCGAGAGAGCTAGCAAAGGACGACGACGAGAATATGCCCGACAACAAAAGCTGGCGCTTAGGACACAGCAAACAGCCAAAGAAGCCTCCGAGAACATCTACCCCGCTCAAGATTGACGTCGACAGCCCTGCAGGCCCCGATGATACGAGCGACCGTCGCCTCCAGCTCAGCTGGCGGAAGACACGGCAGAGTAGCAGACCACAGACTCCCGTAGGTGGTGCGCACACCACGCCTGTCACCGAAGATGCAGATGACGCCCCGAGTGAACGTTCAGATACACCAGCCCTACGTCGAGACTCCAAGCCTAAGCTCGCTCGCTACACGTCGCTTTTCGCCAACTTCAAAGAAACAACCAAGGAGCCCGAGTTCGCGTTTTCTGCGCCATGGGGTGAAGATGCACCATCACCTTTCCAGACCTATATAGATCCGCTCGACGTAGTAAGATCTGTCCGATCGCATATGAGAACCGCTTCCTGGCCGATACATATGGAGCACAACAGCGGTCTCTTTCGTGTGTTTGAGGACTATCGCAAGGTGCGAGAGCAGAAAGAGTGTCTTAGTACAATTTTGAAGGAGACACTCAAGGATTGGAAAAAGGCCGAAGAGCACTGGACACGTTCAAGAGATCGCTATGGGGCGGAGATACGGCGCTTAGAGCTGCTCATAGCTCGTGGAGCGAGTGGTATGACTGGGTAAGTAGCCTCCAATCTTTTGCTCTTTCTCTACTAAGAGAGAGAAGACTTATACAGGCTCGTCAAGACAGTATTGTGCGGCGTCATAGGAAGACCATCTCGCACGACAGTTTCCCGCCAAAATACGACTTCTTCTCACACGCGCAACTTGACCAAGAGATCAAATTAATGAGTCAGAGAGGTGAGTCGTTCCGAATAGTGTGTTACACGTATCGTCGTTAACTTTGTACAGCGATTCTGAATCGGCCGTGGTCTCCCTCTGGAAAGATGGCCGTACTGTCCACGCAGTTCACCAATGGCATGGAAGAAATGCCTGTGGGAAACCCGCCGCAGACCAGCAAGAATCTGACATTGTCGCGCAAAGTCCAGAGCGAGCTGAATCTCGTTGCTATGCAGAAGACAAAGCCTTCTCGATCTCTCACTAGTTCCGTCGCTTCTGGCTTCTCGGGAGGATCTGGCGACCCTTTGCCTGACGAGATGACGATTCTTGAGCACACCGGCATGGAGCCAGCCACCGAATGCGAAGCTATTGTTGCTCTCCGAGCACTCGGTACACTTGTCGCAAGACGTCGAGGTCTAGATGTGAGCAGCTTTAATCATGGTCTCATGATGCTGTTCTGGCAGACTAGACCAGCAGAGAAATTGACAGGACGTGTCGAAGATAATGATACCCGAAATCCACGTCAAGAAGTCAGCTCTGACAATGGAACATATGAGTATTTCGACCAAGGTCTTGCGCCGCGGAATGTCCTCCGAAAATTTCAGTCGCAGCCCCAACTCAACACAACCCAAAAGCATCATCGACAGTTTTCTTTCGAGCCTGGGGCTGACCAGCTTGAAGCACTCACGGAAGAATGTAGAGCGCTTGATGGGGAGGCCAATGAGAGCGGTTCTGACGATTCTGACACCCCCCTTCTAATGCGTACTGGACGCCCGGCGCTTGATACGCAATCAATCAGATCAACTTCGTCGTCACAAGTTCTGGGTGCGGACTTGGGTCAGGCTTCAAAGATTCCCAGCCCCGTGCAAACTCTGGGTCGCAGTCGTCGAGCAGATTCCGCTTCGAGCATTCAGTCGGTCTATGCCAACATTCGTCGTGGGTCTAGCTCAAGTGTTGTTACGGCATTCCGCGAAAATTCGATCGGAAGCATGCGACCAGAGCTTCAGAGCAGAAACAATTCGATCAACAACCTGCGTATGCCAGACTCTCCGTCGGTATTGAGGAACCAGCATAGTGAAACAGGACTGCATAACACGATCATGGCTATTGCAGCAGCGAGGGCTGCAAGTGATGCATGTCAACCATCGTCAGGTCGAGGTAGTCCGAGGCTTTGTCTTTCGCGAGTAAACAACTCACAAGGTTCGGTAAGGCCGGGCGATGATGTTCCAAAGATAACGTCACCGGTCTGATGGATGGAGGTCTGATATACTCGTGATCGAGATCTTAGAGTTATGTTGGGCAAATCGGGCAGCGATTGGTGTTTCATCTCGGTTACTCAGCGCGTCGGTTTGAGTTTGATTCGACTGTCAGACATGGTGCGGTCGCACCCATTCTAACCGCCAACGTCAGAAAGGATAATTGATTCACTATGAAATGTCCCGACCGCAGAACGTTCACACCGTTACAGCAGATTGTGGGGTTATGCTAAAGTCCCGTGTGCTCGAAGCAGAATAATTCGACGGATATTGTCACGTACGTGCGTCACAGCCTTGTGATGATGAAGTTTGTATCAGTCTAAGATTGCAGTGCTTTTCACGTAATAACCAAAATTAGTCGCGTCAATTAGCGAGATGACAGCCTATGGCTAAACTGGCAGCTCACATCAGACGATGCAACTGCTGCTCTTCCCGCAAAGCGCTGTCACAATGACAAGGCGGCGTTGAGAGATGAACCTATCCGGACGCGGTTGTACGGAGGTGACCTCACTCTAGATTGTTTATGGCCAATGCATCGCTCAGTAGACACGGCTATTGACACTACGCCAGAGCACTGCCCTACCAGGCTGGACTCTGAACGTGTTCGAATCTAATCGCAACATCTAGTCATGAACGAGGCCTTTCCAGCTCCTTCCATTCTGCATGCCTACGCGTCGTTCGCTATTTACTCTCTTCTTAGGCGTGATCAGCAAGGTGTGGCGTTGAGTGTGGCGAGTGCGAAGATGTGCCACAGTCGGGCGATCATTGCCGAGTTGACTGAAAGGTCTCTTCCACCTGATGATGGGCGGGGCCTTTTATTCGTCGAGAGTTCCCGTTGTCGATCACCGTCTGTAACTGTTGCCACACTTATTTTTACACAAGGATCGCTGCGTCAGTGGAATCCTCCGTTGGACCTACCGGACGAGGCTTCCCCAGCAGTGCGATTGGCCGTGGAGGACTAGCATTGCATGCAACAGCCAGCAGTGCGGTTGGTGTAACTGCATAAGGCAGTGACGTTCACTCTTGTGGCTGCAATGCGTTTACGGCTCCAGATGCAAAGCCCAAGCGCTGCATCGATGACGAAAGCCGTTGATGGTTCAGTCGGTGGACAGAAACGCGTTCGGGATAACGTCCGCCAACGACTCCTTAATCTCGGCTTGACAGGTGGTGAAATAGCGTTAAGTGTTTAAGTCTTCCGAGTAAGCGCAAGCGATACAGGGCCAACGGGCGTCAGTGGGATTGGCCTGCTGGATAGACTTTGACGAATTGGCGGGGTGGAATCCTCGTCTCTGATCCGTAGCTCGAACGCAGGGGAAGGCGGCCGGCAGTAGACTGGAATGGTCGGGCAAGCAGCGGCAGAGACGTCCGCCGCGTGGAAGCAGCTGCGAGACCAGGGCAGCAGCAGTCTCGGGACACAAGTGGAAACGGGAGCTGGCCGGCATATGTCATTTCGCATTGAGGCGCCAACGCACACCGTAGGCGCCGCAACAGTCTCGCAGGACAAAGGGGGCATAGTGTGCGAGCAGCGTCTGTCGCGACGAGCAAATTGCGGGCAGGGCACGGAATACTCATCAAGCCACTGGAGCCGCGCACGAGCGCCTCGCACTGGTGTAGCAACTGCAGTGGGTTCGAGAAACATCGGGCTGGGTCCGCGCGATCCAGCATCCATGGGCGGATGTGCGCTTGGAGTGCGGGATGGCGACAGATGCAGCGACTATCAGCACCACATGCGGCCGTGAGGGCTTCTGGCCGGCTCGCGTCTGCCGTAGGGTTGTGGCTGTGCAGGACGGGCGATGGGTGATCAGTCTGGCAGCATGTCGCGCACAGAGGAGGGCGGCGGACTAAAGCCGCCTAGGGCCATGCAAAACCGTAGCGTTAGAGCAGCAGGGAGCGTGTGCCTAGACCCGATGCTCCACCCATGCCCACGCGCGGCCCTCGAGCAATTCCGTCAGGCCCTGTGGATGCTCTGGTCGCTAGCTGCTAGCTAAAAGACGTCTGACCACCGGCCCTGGACATCTGTGGCTTGACCCTTCAGGCTCGTCTTTCTCGTGGCAGCTGCTCTCCGTTCATCATAACCCCAGGGCCGCCGCACGCCTGTCCAGCTCAATCACTTATCCCACCGACCCGCCCGATGCAATCCGAAGTACTCAACACCTAACTCCGCGAGTGCGTCCGATGCCATGTTTCGAAATAGGTACGTCGTCCCGCCCGCGCCCAAGCCTGCATGTGATTTGCGCGCGTCGCGTTCCATGTCATCAAGTACCCGACTGACTTGCGCAGACTCAACAGCCAAAAACCCGATGGAAAGCTCCTAGAGGACTTCAAGGCCACTTTCCCCCATCTCCAGCAGCGTTCGCATTCTCTGGCTGGCACGCCCGGCCATACGCTCGCAGATGCGCTTGATGTCGCGCACCCCTCCCGGTACGTCTTTCCGAGATCCCCCCATCCCATGTCGCTCGGCACCATCACCAACATCAACAACGCCGACACCAAATTCGCACCTGCACCCACCATTTTGCTAACTCAATGTTTTCCAGCCAACTCGACCATGAGGACATCAAGGACCAGGATCCCACTCCGCGCGGGAACAATGAGCCGTGGAGGTTCACTCCCTCACTGCTCGACCCCAACAGCTTCGCATTCACCTCTTTCGCAAACCAACCGCCGGGCTACTACACCCCAACCCCCGGCGGTACCAACACGCTCTATCACAGCCAGGCCGGCGACCTCCACACGCCCGGCTTCAGCTTTGGCCTAGGAACTCCACTATCGCTTCCCACTTCGGAAGGCGCACTGCACGCTGGTCAGGTCGCACCTGCCAACCATCTCCATGGCTTCAATCCCCACGCCCTTGGGTCGCATCACTTCCAGAATGTCAATCCCTTTGGCATGCAGACTCAGCATTCCCAATCATTTGCGCCCCATCAATTCACGCACCAGCCTTCTGCATTCGACCAGGGCAATATGACGCAAACCCACCAAGACTCGTCCATGGACAACATGGTTCCCGAAGTTGAGATGCAAGAGCAGTCGCCTCTGATCGGGTATGCACCTCATTCATACGACGGCATGGCGGCTGCAGTCGCACCAGCACCCCCACCACCCAATCAAAAGTCGGTCACTCCATCTGCATCACGCCATTATCATACTGACTTTTCCAGTTTCCGCTACCATGTTACTCTGAACGCTCCAACGGCCATGATCAAGCAATCAGACGAAGTCCCTGTTACCTACCTGAACAAGGGACAGGCCTATTCCATCTCCCTGGTAGACACGGCACCTACGCAAGCACCGTCTCCATCGACCAAGTACAGGACTTTCATCCGCATTTCGTTCGAAGACGAACAGCAGCGCCAGCGACCGGCATCCTGCTGGCAACTGTGGAAGGAGGGCCGCGGAACCAACGAGGCCCACCAGCGTGGTGGGCGACTTCAAGCAGTTGAGTTTGTGGACCCAAGCCAAGTCAGTGGCGGTGAGATCCAAGGACGACCCAGGGTTGAGCTCGAGTCTTCCTCGTTCGATGGCTTCGTGGTTACCTGGACACCAACCCACAACTCTTCACCAGAGTGCTCCTTGGCCGTTCGTTTCAACTTTCTCTCCACCGATTTTAGCCACTCCAAGGGCGTCAAAGGCATCCCCGTCCGGCTATGCGCGAAGACGGAGATGGTTACAGAAGCCACTGGATCATCGCCCCAAAAGCCAGATGGCGAGCTCTGTTACTGCAAAGTCAAGCTCTTCCGCGACCACGGTGCCGAAAGGAAGCTCTCCAACGATGTTGCCCACGTCAAGAAGACCATCGACAAGCTAAAGCAGCAGATCGCACAGGTCGAGTCTGGCATGAAGGACTTTGGCAAGCGGAAACGCAGTGGATCAATCTCCAAGGGCAGTATGAGCCAACGACCCGGAAAGGTGCCGAAACACAAGAGGACATGGTCCATGTCTTCGACAAGCGACAACCAAGGAGGCCGCGCACCTGCCGAAGAAGACCTTCACATCAAGCTCGCCTCGCTCCAAGATATGTTCAGCTCTACCAGGCCTGTCAGTGTCCTATACCTTAAGGGCGAAGAGCAGGACGATCCAGACCTCCACCCAGTGATCCTCGGCGCCACTCCTCAAGAACTCTCCAAGCTCGACACCAACGTGGATGCGCCCATGTGGGAGGCTCCCGAGTCGCAGACAGCAGCATCGTCTGCTGTGTCGCCAACTCCCAGCTCTCAGTCTCTCCATTCCGAGAAGCGCCGGACTACTTCCTTTCAGCGCCCGGCGCCCTACCAGCCACCATCACGTATGTCCTCCAACGAATGGCGCAGCATGCCGCAGACGGCCACAGGTGATCTCAAAGGGATGCATGGTATCCAAGGCGGTGCAGACGTTCCAACCAAGGTTCAACGGCCATATTCTGATGACCACGCACTGTCTGGATGGATTGAAGCCCTTGGAGTTGACCAAACCTATCAACCGCCTCCAGAGCCGATGCTGAAGCCCGTCGCCTGCTTCTTTGTCCAACCGCGGCTCGCCGGTCGGCAACCTGACGACAACTACTTCCGCGCAGTCTACCTGATGGAGCGTACTGTAAAGGAGCTCGTGGCGAGCATCGCAATGAAGATTAAGATCGAGCCAACCAAGGTTACACGGACTATCCGCGTCAACCAGAAGGGTCTGCAAATTTTAATGGACGACGATGCCGTCAACAGAATACCCGAGCAACAGGATATGACTGCGGAATTCCACGAGATCGGCACACCGCCGGTGCATGCCATGAAGCGCGAATGGGATGCGGGTCCCACAGACATTCAAGTTGATGGCGACATCAGCGTCACAGAAAACGTTCATTCCACAGGTTACGAACTTCGCCTTCTCTTCTAGGCTTTTATGCCTACTGCTCGCCTGCGAGACGCCGTTCCTTCAACATTGATACCCTGTTTTCGGTACTGTACCGATTGTCACGACCCTTTACTATTCGTACCCTGGAGCTTTTTATCGGTCTCCTTGGGCCGCCGATGCTTCTGAATTGGCATCACTTGATTCGATTTTACCGCCTGGCGTTTAACGCCTTTGGATACTACGCGTCCATTGGGAGCGTTTGCTGCATTTCCTTTGTTGATACCTTCTATTCTTCTTCTTTCCGGTGCGACGACGATACCCATTATACTACTACCATTTCACCTTTCCAGCGGCTAAGATTGCAAAGCAACGATCTATCATGAAGACACAGCGAGATACACGCGCGACACGAGGGAGGAGTGTTCGGACTGTAATTTCTTTTTTACATACATCGAGGATGGCAACTCTGTCCACTACAGTGCGCATGCCCAATATCCTCTGCGAACCTAATCAAACCTTTTCGCTCTGAAGTTTTCCCTCGCAGTCTTTCGACATCTCTTCCCTGTACAATTTTCGTCAGGTCCACGTTCTCACCCTGACCGACCGAAGCAGGGCCGCTCGCCGCGGACCATCTCCACTGACGTTGTGACAAAGCGATGATCGTTACATTCCCCCCGTCCGTCTCCCAAGTTAGAAACCCGTCGAATAATATTTCAGTGTCTTGGCGCACAACAAGCATCCGACACGCTATTGTCTCCGGAGATTACGCACACTGCTATCCAAACAGGGGCTCTGGACAACGGGTGGCTTGCGCAAGTATCAACCGACACATTCACGAAAGGGCTATTACGATTATTGTCATCGGTTTCGCTTTGCAGAACATAGAGTTTGACAATGTTGACACGGTGTTTGGTACACCTGTCAGCAATTGGGTGGGGGCCCCTGCCACGCGAGTAATTGAGGGGGCTGGCGGGAAGTGTGGGTATGGTAGCCGATACCGATAGCATAGTAACCCGACCCAGAGGATTGTGCGGCCGAGCCTTGATGTCATACTGCAGGAAAGGACTCACGAATCACGACCATGGTACACCCAAAAAAAAAACGATAAGTCAGACCGAGAGAACAGGGTCCAGAAGATGCGTTGGCATTCACAGAGGACGCGTCAAATGAGAAAGGACCGAACGGATCTACTCGCTGGTCTATTGCTGAGTAGCTGCCTCACTCAATCGCAATCATGAAACACCAATCCATCGTACCGATTGCAGCTCCATCGAATAGGCTAGGGTGTTTGCAGTATCCGAGCAAGCGCCATGCAGGTGTGGCGTGATGATACAAGGAAAAGATAGAGATTCGAGTATTTTCGGAAGCAACTGGGCTTGCCGTCCGGATGATTGCAAAGGAGAGTCTTCCGACACTGCCGTTTCTTCGCCCGTAGCTGTACTCAAACTGGGGGGATAGCTCGCATTCGCTAGCACAACGGAAAGCTAACCGACGTGCTCCAACAAGTTCGCCACCGTTCGTAACGCTGCAGAGCCTATCGCGGACTCCGAAGACCCTCCCTTCAAAACGAGTCACGGAGCGAAGGTGCAACATGAACCGGAACCGAATACATAGGCATCCGAGCGATCGACCACTTTACTACGTTGAAATGAGGCGTTCTAATCATAGCGGTTCTGTAAGCTTTCTGAGAAAACCGTTATGTGACAGCCAATGAGCATGCTGGATCTACACGGAGATCGACATGTTGTCTACTCAAGCGAGACGGGAAGTGGCGAGTGTTTGTGGCTGGACCCTTCTTCGCCACAGCTTCGGGAACGCTGGTATGTGCCACATGGTGTAACACGTCCGGCCAGCTGACGCAGGTGTCATGCGCACATGGACGAACTGTGACTCACGGCATACATATGTATGGAGCATTTTTCTTTCCCCGTCTTACAACGCATCAAAGAGGTTAGTCAATCCCCAGTGGCGCATCTTGACGCAAGTGTACCGAGACGCAATCCGAAGGAGTTTGCACCGCCACAGATAGGTGTTACGTACCCCTCGCAACAACGTTGATCAATTCACATGCCAGCATGCCTCATTTGCAGCAAGCGTAATTCCGATTCCAGGAGACTCGGCGACATATCAATCCTCTCTGCAATCTAGATTGTTGCTACCCCGCTTCTGCCGTAGGGTAAGCATATCAGCCGTAGTTTGCAGATCCTAGCGTATGTTGGCTACATGTGTACTTTTGCTTCATCTGACTCTGCAGCCCAATTGCCAGACGGAACGCCTCCGATGACACAGAAGCAATGGTGAACTCGCACAGCCACTGTGCTGAAACAGCGATGAATAGACGCTCTGGATGGGCCCATGAGAGTCGCTAGTCTTTCGCACTCTGCGCATTACGGCAAGTCCCATCTCGGCATCAAGCAGACTAGGATAGTTGTCAATGCTGTTACGTCGAGGTTAAGTATTGAGATTTGTGCTAGATCGAGGGGATGTGCAAAGCAGTCCGGCTTCACAAGATGAGTACACTTATGCATTACTGGAAGGTAGGATCGGGTCTCGTGAGCGCCAAAAACGAAATGATGCATGTTTGGTACGCATCCACACGCTAGAGCATCGGGAGGACTACCGATCCCAGATCCAAATCCCGCGCAACAAGAACTACTAAGATGGTACCATGTCTTCACCAAAGTCGGCTTTACTATCGGACCGTCAACAATGCAAATCTGAAGGAGAAGCCCCGTATTTCGATCATATGTGAATCTATCATGCATAATGAAGTCATCAGATTTTGGATCAGATTCTGCGTGGGTAAAAAAAAGCGGGATCAGCAATTTCCTAGCCCCCTGTTCGCTTCTCGTTCACGAGATTGCGCACGAGTGGCTCGAGCATTGATGGCGCCCACCTGTCACCCAAATTACCGCGGAAAACAGAGGCTGGAAAAAAAAACGTCTTCATGCCCGCTGTCACAACATTTGCAGTTTGCTCCACGATGACTTCATACATGCGGTCAGAAAAAGCTCCTGATCACCCACAAGTGTTTCAGGATAGACAGGCCAAGCTTGCACTTGATGAGATCCGGCCAGCACAATTCGGCGCCGTCTCCACAGCTCGCTTCCCACAGCCCGGTACCTGTTAAGCAGCAGTCAGCAGCGCGAGATCTCCCACCCGCCGCTCTGCATTGGCAAGGCTACGCGCGCAATCGCGATCGCATCCTCCGGCTGAAATGGTAGCAGTAAGCACCAAATATCCCTCGAATCAAAACAACGCGTTTGGGATCGTGGGTTATCTCGTTTGCGACTCGCAACGAATCAATGGCCTGGACAGAGCTGTCATGCGCATCAGCCACTGACGCAGGCCTGGAAGACTGCCGAGTGGGCGCATTGGAGAATAGCGATAATGTAAGGTGTGAGACTGTTCCTACAGGAGCCACGTTGATGCGTCTGCATTAGCCCGTGTGCAGCTGTTCATGTTACGATCCCACGGTGTGCGTTTCTGCAAGGTAGTCACCTGCACGGTACTTAGTTTTGACAGCGCCAGGACGCGTGCTCCATCCGGCAGTCCCTTTCGGAACTTTGGCATACATACGGCGATTCTTCCATGCACCTGCTTTTTGCTTCTTCCAAGGTTCTATGTCTGATCTCCGAAGAGGATCATGGGGGGCTGGTTGTTGAATACGGGTGTTGTGCTTTTTCAGTGACCTTCAGCTGACGGGCCTCACTCATGGACATGGATCTCGTGCGGAGCTTGCCTGTGTACAGACATGCTCACCCATGTGCTGATACTGCTATGGTCGCTTTGCTGTCAGATTCTCTCGGCGGAAGCGCCAGGACGGGAAGATCCCCATTGTCATATTGAGCCATATTATTGTACATGGTAACGTTGCCCTGGAATCCTTCGTTCAAGCGCACGTGCACGAACCCCCAGCCTTTCAATACCACTGCTCCGATAAGACCTTCTTTGTACTTTTCCGATGTCCAATATCCCACATTTACTCGCTTCGGAACAGTGTCTCCGAGAGTCGGGTCAAGATTCCATTTGGGACGCTGCACTGACGAAAGTAGATCGGACGCGTCTTGCGATAGCCGGGTTATCCTGACCCAAAACCCGGCTTGTGGGTGATGTGTTGCGCGGGATGCATGTGTGGGCCGCAGGAGGCGTGCGTGCATGTGTGGAGCGGAGCTGTGCGGAACCAAGGTATTGACATATCCTAAAAGTAACGTACGATGTCGGCCTGTATACCGGACACGGCTGCACCGCCACAGCTCAAAGAGACTCTTTGTAGACATGGGCCGAAGTATTGAATACACAAGAGAGACCGACAAGGCTTTGGATAATGTATGGCTAAGGGGGCCATGTGTCCCGTAACGAGGCAACATCTGTCCACTATGAGTGGAGGCTGGTTCATGCTCAGCATGTGCAGCTTCCTCAGGACTCCAGGTTGATGACCACCGTAGTAGTGTGCAACGGCCTCAGTCATCCAGCTCTCGTCCAAAGTCAATCAGCCTCAACTTCCTCGCATCTCTTGGATGAAACTGCGCAATCTTCGCCCTGACCAAGAACCGCGAAGCCGCAGAGTCCCTCTCCAGCTGAAAGTATGCCTTTCCACCTCCTGGTCCCATCAAAGTAGCAAACAGATTTTCAATCAACTGTCGCATCTCTGCATCCGCAGCTTCGGCCTCAGTAGGCGGCTCTTCCTCCTCCTCTTCAGCATCAAGAGCAGCCTTCTTGCCCCAAATCTCATCGATCCTGCGCTGGCGCGTCTTGTCTGAGACTGGTTTCTTCGATGACTTTGCACGCCCTTTCTTTGTGAAACCTGCAGCAAGAGTATCGTCCTCTATGTCAAGCATGTCGCCTACGACAGGCCCACCGAGCTCTTCTGCTGCGAGCATGCTAGAGAGGTAGTCATTGATGAAGTTGTTCATAGCTTCTCCCAGACGCTGCATCTCCGCGTCGTAGTTCCCCTTCTTTGCGCGCTTTGTTGCGATGAGTTCTCGTGCAAATTGAGCAGGAGTTTTCTGCGAGCGGTCTTCATGCTGAGAGCGTAGCCGCCTAATGCGATCCTGCATTGCCTGACTGAGAAGGTGGGCATCGTGTAAGTTGGCTACTTCACGACGAAGCGTGGCCTCTTTCGTGCTGAGTTGGCTTTGAGTGTTTGCGATGGCTTCCTTGGTTCCTTGGACATTCTGTTGAAGTGTACGTGCTGCTAATAATGCAGGCAGAACTGATCCTTGGGTAGGGAGATACGTTGCTGTTGGCTTCAACTGTTTATACGCGTCTTTAACGGCGGCGAGCTGCTGAAGCTTCTGACGGGGATCTTTCGATGCATAGGCGGCAGTCTCTATATCAACATCCGATTGGGACCGTAACTTTTGCTTGGTCAGTATTATCCCATTCAGACGCGTCTCTATCGTGTTACCTTTTCAAGCGCTGTTTGTTGTTCTTTCACGCGTGCCTGCAACTCTTTCACCGTCTGCTCCAAACGCGCCGCGGTACTAGACGCGTCAAAGTCGACGATATCGTCCTGCAGCGCCCTAGCTTCCTCGACATACTCGCGTATCTTTCCGAGAGTCTCACTCTGTGGTTGCGCCATTTGTCCGACGGGTCGGCTGTGTGTTCAGGTGTGGTCCACCGATGCCGCTAACAGGCCAGTGGTGCCTGGCGAGCGAGGAAAACTTCACCCCTTTCAACTGTGTTCTCACTGAGGCTCCCACTGCACCGCGAGGAATCCAACAGTCTTTCAGTCGTCGTGCTACCGGTATTTCCAGACAAAGTCGTAGTACCACACGTGACGCGCCAAGGCTTAGCGCCGATCTCCCCGCGATAGCTCCATTTTGCATCGTCTGCGCTTCCTCCTCGCGACAAACCACCTGCTGTTATCAACCATCGCCCACAGTTCCTTCTCCATCGCCGCCCCACACCTTCTTCTAACATTGCTTTCTCGTTTGAGAGGGAAAGCGCGCAACCTCGAGCTCTCCGCACCTGAGACGCCGGACCGTTGCCGAGAAGGTTTGACGAGCGAGCTTTCTTTACTTGGGCCAGTTTCTTCCTCTGTCGACCTCACCTCGTCCCAAGAAACACACACCCTTCCCGACTCTCCCGCTCCATCACAAGCACCATCATACACGATTCCTCGCTTCCCGAGGCCTCTCTCCTCCGACCACTGCACCCTCTGCACGCTCCAAACTCCTTCAAGCTCCCGGCGACCTTACCTCCTCGCACCTTCACCGCACTGTCGCGACTCCCTTCAGCCCGCCCTCACAGCACGCTTTCTTTCACGGCCCCCGCTGTACATAAAGTCGCAAATAATCGAGATCAATTGAACAAATCTCACCTTCCCGTTTCAACGCTCCTCGACTGTGAAGAGCGTGCATACCCGTTCTCAAACTCAAGATCCACAACTCATAACAGAAAACATGTCCGCATCACCCACCATTGCGGCTTCCTCGGCCAAGCGACCGCTCGAAGAACCCTCATCGCCCGCCGGACCCAATGACCAACCCGATGCCAAGCGTCCTGCTCTCGACAAGATGGTCAAGGAGGATGCGCCCAACCCAGACAACATCGACATTGCGCAACCAGTCCAGGCCGACGATATCGCCACGGAAGGCATCACACAAGAGGATGTAAAGGTGGTACCTGAAGTGGCTGAAGCTGCTGTCGAGAACGGTGCCCAGCCCATCCATACGGACACTGTTGTCCCGGACGCCCCTTCTATCCTTGAGACTCAGCCTATCCAATCCACATCAGGTGCTAATGGTCGACCTGTAAATCACAACCAGCAAGTGGACGAGACCAACTGGTTACATGTGCGCGCTTGCATTGGGACCAGCGAGGCCGCTACCATCATTGGCAAGGGCGGAGAAAATGTGACTCAGATTCGTCGCTTGTCCGGCGCCAAGTGCACGGTTAGCGACTACTCTCGGGGCGCTGTTGAACGCATCCTTACTGTAAGCGGTCAAGTTGATGCTGTGTCCAAGGCATTCGGCCTTATTGTGCGCACCCTCAACCAGGAGGACCTCGAGACACCATCTACATCCACCTCCAAGGCCTACCCTATGCGCCTTCTCATTCCCCACATCCTGATCGGTTCCATCATCGGAAAGGCTGGTGTTCGCATCCGCGAGATTCAAGAGGCTTCTAACGCTAAGTTGAACGCATCTGACACTCTCCTCCCCAACTCTGGCGAACGTTCGTTGATCGTACTGGGTGTTGCTGACGCTGTGCACATTGCTGTGTACTATGTTGCTCAGACTTTGGTCGAGCAGCTAACCGAGCGATTCGGTGGACCGGCTGCATCCCAATATGCAACCCGTAGTGGCATGGCTGCCAACGTCGTCCCAGGCGGCATGTCTGTTCAGCCATACGTCCCCCAGCCCGCCGGAGGTCAGTACTCCCACCCGCAGAACTTCCGTCGCCAAGAACCACCCCAGCGAACTCCCGCCCACGGAGGGTATGGTGCTCCACACATGCAGCATGGACAGCCTCCACAGCAGTCGCCGTACGGTCACCCCAACATGCCTTACGGCGCTGGCTCGCCGAGCCGTGGTCCCTATGGTGGTCCTGCAGCGCCCACTCCTTACGGCGGTCACCCTGCTGCAGCACCAGTTGCGCACGGCGGCGCCGCTCCTCATGCAGCGGTTGGTGGCATGCCCGGTCAACCTCTTACCCAGCAGATTTTCATTCCTAACGACATGGTCGGTGCCATCATTGGCAAGGGCGGTGCGAAGATTAATGAAATCCGCCAGCTCAGTGGCAGTGTCATCAAGATCAACGAGCCCACTGACAACAGCAACGAGCGTCTTGTCACCATCACGGGTACACAAGAATGCAACCAAATGGCACTGTACATGCTGTACTCGCGACTCGGTTAGTAGTGCATTCCATCACATAACACTCACAATGCTGACTATCTATGCAGAATCAGAGAAGCACCGTATTTAGTCGAAGAGTGCTATCAACTCGTCATCACTATGACACTTTTGTGTGGCGGTCTAAGACGAAGAACATACTACTGTAAGTCGGTCTGCTGTCTTTGTGGGATGCATGTTATAATGGAGCACGGCGTAGCGGAATATTTAGTTGTCTCATGGTTTATTGGGTGTGTACTTTACCTGCTTTCTCCCCGACTGCTCTCGGCGGGGAAGAGCATCGCTCTGAGGGAACATGGCGATCACAGGGGTGAGGTGGCAGGTGTCACTCCACGGGTCTTTCGCTGCCGATCTATATGATAGTGACATACCTGGTAATCTATCAAAAGCTTTCTGACTTCATCACTGAATATGTGAGTTGAGTTAGGTTTCTTCTTCGATGATGAACATGAACTGCTGAATGGTGAACGAGCTGCGGAATCGGGGGATGGAGTTATTCTCGTCTTATCGAGTTGAGGTGTAACGTTTGGGGAGTGTGGAGCTGGGAGAGAAGAAAGACCCATTTCCCCTTACACAATGGCTACAATAGACCTGATGATACGTAAAGAGGGAAAGGGAAGATTCTGGCGCCTTGCGTTTTTCACTTGAGTCGCCCTACATCGCCAGCGGGGTTAGGCACCTGTGACGACTTGGATGGCTACCGCATTGAAGTCATATGGCCATAACAGGGTAGCAAAGGCAATCACTAGTCCTTCCGACATCTTAGCGCTAGCGCTGTCCTCTTCTGTAGCATAGTCAGTGTAATTTTCCTCTACACATTGGACACAATCGTGCTTTGGACTTGTTTAGTAAACAAGCATACGCTTAGCCAAGCGCAAGCCACATCCCAAAGACAAGTCTGAGAGAGGCATATGTTGCCTACAACACCAGGCCCTTAAGTCAAAGATGCCCAACAATCGTGACCAGGTCGAGTGGCTTCTACATCAGTAGTCACACATGAGTTCCATGCAATACAGTGTGCTCGCTTTGAGCTAGTTGCTCTAAAAACCTTTATGTTGACATTTTACACTTGCTATGCCGCCGCGTGAACACCTACCACGCTTATCTATGCTGCAATCAGCGCAACCCCCTTTCGAATATCACGCCCCTACGCCAAACCATTGACATTCTAAACACCCCTTCCCGCCTTGAAGGCACTCCACGCCTAGGTAGTGGCAGGTGCAGGTGCGGTAGCAGGGTCGGTACCAACAGGCGCAGCAGGTGCAGTACCTGCGACGCCCTCAGTAGGTGCAGGAAGAGCCGTGTTGTCAATCGCATCATCGCTCTTCTTGGCCCACTTGGGTTCCTTAGCCCACTGCGGATCCCACCAAGGACCCGCATCGCTCAATTGGCAGCCCTTCTCGCACTCGCATGATCCACCGAATGCCTTGGGCAGGTTCTCGGCCGGGACCTGCGCCAGCAACTCCTTCTGGTATCCGCTGCCGAGAACGTGGATCTTGGCGCTTGTGACGGGGTCGAGGAACTTCTTGACCACGCTGAAGACGCCCGAGAAACCCCAGGGGGCGTTGATGATGTACATCTTACCCAGACGCTCGGGGTAGTAGTTTTGACTGATCTGCGAGACCGCGCCGAGGTAGCCGTACACGGAGGTAGCCTTGCTAATACCAACACCCTTCAGGTCCATGATTGTGCAAGATGTCTCGAGGAGGTAGCCAGACTTGCGGGAGCAGGCAGGAAGACGGGGGTCGGCCATCTTTTCGTATTCGCAGACAAGGTTCTGGATCATGCGCTCCTGGGAGGTGATCTTTCCGAGCGCGGTGAGGTCGACGTTACCAAGCTGCTCGATGTAGAGTGGGCGGCCATCCTAGTGTTGCGTCAGAGGTATTCTTGCTCAGACGGAAGCTGTGCTTTCAGCCCAAATAGAAGCCACGTACCTTGTCAGTCTTGTGGTAGTACTGGGGGTAGAATTTGAAGACCTCGGGTCGCTCCTTGTAGTCAAAGGTGCGGACAAGCTCCTCAACGCCCACGCCAGCATACTCGGCCCTCCACTTCTCACAGTCAACGAACCTAGTGCCTGTCAACAAACGTTCCAGCCGTGTTCCTACATAGCCCTCGTGCTTTGTATACGTACATCTGTTTCGCAAGCTCGACATTGAACTTTCGCGCGCGGAGGAACCGCAGCTGTAGATTGTTTAGCTTGAGGTCTTTTCCACCTGTCCAAGAAGCGGTGAGCATACCAGAGTCAGGGTGTCGAGGTTCTTGGTGTGGCCAGACTGCTCCAGCTGGGTTCTCAGCTGGAAGACCTGGGCATCTTGCTCTGGAGTTGTGTGGCCTGGGTGTCCGGGCTGGGCGGTGGGAGCGACGGTAGGATAGTCGTAGTGGTCGTACTTGGGGTCGAGCTTCAGCTCGCTGGTCGGGGCTGCAGCCATTGTATCTAGAGTGTATGAGAAGAGAGGTGGCTCAGAGTGTACAAGGAGGAGGGAGGTAATTGCGTGTTGCGCGGCCTGGACGAAGTTGTCGAGGAGCGCACGTCGATGTCAACTAAGTGGGTCCTTGCCGCGGCGGTCAAGCGAGACCCCTTCCCCTCATCCTCCTCGACGGCTCATTCCAGCGAATTGTGACCGTTGACACTGCCCCATGACGCATCTGTGGTCCGAAAGCCATGTTCACGCAGCGTACCTCACGCAGCCATGTTACACCACACGTGCATCGACGACATATTGAACGGTAAAACCGTAGTCAGACCTGCTGGAATGCAGGCGACGAGGCCTTTTTGAAGGAGCTACCTAGTTGATACATTGCAGAAAAGATAAACGCAAGACGAACCCAGAAAATAGATCAAACAACCCATGCCGAGAAACACCAGCCACAGACAGCCAAACGCTTCGCACGTTGAAAAAGAGAGTAGTGGTCCTCCCATCGTCAGGCTACCAAGGAAAACATGTTCCAGACACTAACAACAAACATGGTGCGAGATTCGTGCACTAACCGCTGGCATTGCTCATACCTCCCAAATGATCAGACCGCGCACCGTCTATCGAGCGATTCACCCCGTTACCAAACCTAAATCTCCATCGCGAAGCCCGCAAAGGACGCGAGCGAACCGTAGCAACCGAACACCGAGCAAATGACGCCTGAAAACGACGGAGATTGCTGTACCACAAAGCGTATGGACAGGCCCGGAGGCCAAACGACATCAAGCCGATCAATTCCTTCGATCCCGGCTCGGCCCAAAGTCGACTTCAGACACCTTCTTCGCCTCTTTGCGATTCTTGACAATGTATTGCGCGTATAGAGCCACGTGGTCACTGGGGAAGTGGTAGTTGGGGAAGCCCGGTACCCGCTGGAGATAGTTTTTGTCGATCTCGCCAAGTAGACCTACTACCTGCAGTGTGTTTGTCGAATACCAGATGTAGTCCAGGACTCCTTGGAAGTGAGGTACGTAGTTCGTGAACGCCAACTCGCCGATAGATGCATAGCTGGACTTGAGACTGAATGGATGGGATATACCGTCTCGTGTGAAATTGCCATACTTGCGGCTTCCCAGATCCACGTGAGCATTTGATACATTGCCATGTGTGATGAGATCGTAGACACCAGAGGACGGCAGCGAGTTGAAGTCACCGCATAGCAACACGGGGATATCCGAAGGATCAGAGTATTCCTTGGAAGGTCCGGGCTCCTGCGTCGGGTCGGGTTCGGCTCCTTCTTCGGTATCGCCATTTGTGAACTGGTACACCACCTTGTTCTTGCAGGCTGGGTGCTTAGTCCATTGAGTTGCAAGCTTGGTGATACCCTCCATCAAGATAGCGACTTGCACAAGCTTGACATCCTGGAACGCAGGGTTCCAGAAGACGTGTACATTTCCGACAATGAACCTGGAACCTGTAGCACGGTTTTCGAGGAAGGCAACAACGCCAATATCGTCTCTAGGCATGACGCGATTGAATATATCGTGTTCACCCTTCATATCCGGACGGTTGATGGCTGTATTGGCAAAGTCGATGAGCTGCTTGTCCAGCAAGATATACCTGGGCTGATTAGTGGGGCTCCGCAAGACGAGACGGACAACAACTTACTTGCTGTTCTTGTAAAAGATGGCACACCCATCGACCAGCTTTGCTTCCCTTTCTGCCATGGTACGCGCTCGTGACTTCGGCCAAAATACTCCCTTGTAGTCGTTGTGCGCCAGCTCTGCTCGGAAGAACTCGTTGAAACTATCTTGATCGATTTCTTGCAGACACACTATGTCTGCGTCGCGTTCCCGCAGTTCAGCAAGAATAAGTTCCCTGCGACTCTCCCAGGCCAATGCTGAGCTCGGTGTGTATCCATATTGTGATTGCGTACAGTATTTGTCGCACAAGATGTTGTAGCTGAGCGCGCTCACGGTCTCTTGTGCCGTGTCTTGAATCTCGTCGAGGACGATCCAGTCTCGCTCCGGTGGCGCCTCTGGACCCGGTGCGTTCTCGCGGAAGTGCTTAATAAGTTCTGTGGTGCCTTGTTCCATTATGATCTGTTTCAGATCGTCTGGAATAGGGTTGCCCTCAATACCAAGCACCTCCAGTTGATACAAAGATCCTAGTTCGTATGGCAGGTTTTCAATGTGATTGTCGAACAGGAGCAGCTGCTTCAGGTTCACTAGCATGCCGATCTCCGGAGGCAGATATTGCAGATTGTTCAGGGAGAGATCGAGATGAGTAAGGTTCCGTAGCTGTCCGATCTTCTGGTGCACGTAGGTGAGCTTGTTGGAGTTGAGGTAGAGCTTGGTCAGGAAGGTGTAGGCAAACAAGGCTGGCGTAATGACTTTGAGATTCTGGCCACCGAAATCGAGAATTGTCCAAATGTGCTGGTCCTTGGCATCTTCCACCCGCTGAGCAGCAGGCCTATTGCGCTCTTCCTTGTCCGTCTCTTTTTGCATCCCGTTTGATGTTCCTGCTACGATGCTCTTACTAACGCTCGGGTGGATTCGAGCGTGCGAGTGGGCCTGCGTCATTTCACGCGCGGTCTGGTGCAGCTTTAATTGCTCTTGCCAGTGTTCGGTTGGGGGTTTGCTCAGTCCACTATGAACGCTGTTTGGTGTCCCGTTCTGGAGATGGCCCGGCGTGAAGTGGGGCTGCACGTTGGACATACCCCCACTCGAGATGTTGTGCTGGTGGTTGAATTGGCCAACATGATTGTTTCCGGTGATGTCCTGGTGTTGCTGGTGATGTTGATGCTGGTTCTGGTGGTGCTGGTTGTGTTGGAAGGGCTTCCCCAGATTCATGTGCTGCATGAAGTTCTGCTGCCCTGCTCGCCCGTTCATCATAACGTTGTGGCCCTGATGCCCATGGGCTTGGTTGAACATACCGAACTGCTGGGGAGACGACTGGCGCCCAGGAGATCGTGAGGGCGAGGGGGTGTCGGGGTTGGGGAAGGGTATGCGGGCGGTAGACGAGGGTGAGCGCACTCGGCTGGGGAGGTTGCGTATGTTTTGTGTGTGTTGTGGATAGAAGGTATTGCCGGTTCCCCTGGGGTAGACCGAGTACTCGGCCATCTAAGGGAATCGCGGCGGAAGATATCTGGGGTCGCGCAGGCGGCCTTTGTGTTGAGGGTGAAAGCCGCGGGATGCTCTGGCAAGTCGGGGCGTCAGGTAGGAGGAAGGGTTCGGGCACGCGATCTTCTTCGTTTTAACATGGGCGCCCGTACGACTCCTCGACATGAGCACGCGTTCAGCAAACGCGGCACCTGAATACCATGTATTGATATCCCGGCGGTTCGCGAGTGAAGGTGGTGTTGGAGCGGGGACTCGGTAGCGAGCGAGGGCGGAGGGGTTGCTGGCGTGGAGGCGTGCTGGCGATAAAGCGCTTGGGCGCGGGCTCGTATTGATATCCTGGCGGTCTATTGGTATGGAGCAGTCAGTGGGTGTTGCGGGGAATCAAAGAGGTTGGACGGGGAGCTTGGAGCGGGCAGCAGAAGCGTATGGAAGCGGCGCACGTACGGCAGCTGAGGATGTCAAAGGGCGCGCAGGAGGGCAATCGGGCTCAATCGTGCCAGACAGACTGTGAGCGGGTCCAACTGCAGCGCTGTGAAGAATAGAGAGCGTAGTGATGCGATACGTGAAGCCCAGTCGAACCTTGCCCGATGCATTGGGGTCCGCCGCTTAGCGGGCCACGTGACATGGAAGCGTCGATCCAAGCTGAACGCCATGAAACTGCCCATCTGTTCTTTCGCGACTGGGGCCTGTGCCCGCGCGTTGGCTGGGTGTTCGCCGGAGTAGTCCTTGCATTCTTCCTTTTGACATGCGTGGCAACTATCGAACAAGTATATAGCACTGGCCATGTGTACCTAGGTACATACCGGCTCCGTAGGCGCGTTCGACGTGCATCTATTCCTTCTCTACATGTACCCGTCTTTATGTATGTGTTTCATCCATGAAAAGGTTACAGATTACGCAGTACCCTCACCCTTGATCCTCGTTTCCGTCGTGCACTGCATACCCTCGTGAGCTTGTCGCTGCTAGACTCGGGCTTTCCCCACGCTGGAATATCACCTGCAGCACGTCTTCGGCTCATGCCGCGCTCCTGCAGACGGGCGCCACATCGCCAGAAGCTGCTCGTTCGCGACGCTCGCACTGCCCAGCGATGTATCGCCATAGAGAACCTGGGGATTCACACAGCCGCAGCCGTTGATTGGAGATGTGTCCTCGGCTGGCCTCGCAGCTCCTCACCTGAGCTGTCTCCCACAACCGGAGCTGTGCCGAAACTTGCATTCACATACATGACATGCTGGCACCATCCTCTGATCTGATCTGATCTCTCTCCAGTCAAGCACTGTCGTCGCATCCGCTCCGCCGTCCCGCTCATTAATTGCTGACTCGCCTACACGTGCTTATCAGACGACTAAAGACCGGCCCAATATCGCGTTCCCGCTAAAACAGTGGGGCTAGGGTAGGAGTAGACTGGACAACCTCGAGCACGTTTCCAGGTCGTCTCCATGGGCGATTGGCAGTTGGCAAGAACACTGTGCTTGCCCTACGTGTGAACCTCTCTGGCTAATCCCCTTCCCAGTATCGCTACTACGGCGCCAACGCCACCGCCAGCCCTCCCATACGCCCCAAGACCGTCGAAGCAAAGCAATGGGATCTGACCACCACGGACGCTCTCGGTAGAACCATCTCTGCGTCTTCGACTTCTGCCTCACCAGGCCTGCGCACCCACTTAGGCAATAACATGGACATAACGCGCGGCTCCATGTCTAGCAACTCCACCCAGAGTACCAGAGACGACATGGGCGTCCCCTCTACAGAACCCTTCATTCTGCGCCATGGACGCCGATACATTCGAAGCGCCCAGAGCTACCCCCTCCCATGCGACCTGCCCGAACTCCACCGCCAGAACCTACATACCCTCCTTGCGACAGCCGTCTTCGGCAAAGCCATGGGCTCAACCCCCTCGTATCCCCCCAAAAAAGTGTTGGAGGTTGCGTGTGGCTCCGGATACTGGTCGGCTGTGTGTCATGAATGGCTGAGTGGTACGTATACCCCGCACTGTCTCTATGGTTCAGGGCTGACCGTAACCAGAACAGGGCTACGACGATGTTTCCTTTACCGGTCTAGACATTGTCAATCTCGCAGGAGATTTACAGCGCCAGGGCATCGACTGGAAGTTCGTGCAGCATGATCTGCGCAAGTTACCGCTGCCGTTCGATGATGAGGAGTTCGATATCGTTGTGATGAAGGACCTGAGTATGGTGGTACCTGATGGACCGCCCTCGCAGAGGACACTCGATGAATGCACCCGGATCCTGAAGTCTGGAGGCACGTTGGAAATATGGGACACTGACCACATCATCCGATCGATCCTGCCACATCCTCCACCACCGCCAGGCAAGAATCCTCAAGAATACGCTTGCGCTGTATCAACGGGGACGTTCCTCATTTCGCACACCACGCCCTTTACTGATGTGCAGAACAAATATCTGCAAGACTCTAACTCGTGGATACAAGAAGCACTCGACCGACGCAAGCTCTCAGCAACCCCTTGCTCTCGTATATCACAGATCCTGCTTCAAGAGACGGAGACTCTATGCGAGGTGGAAAACCGTCGGGTAGCGATTCTTCTCGGTGAACCACGGTGGGAGCGCGAAGCTGCGGGCGAAACGATAAAGCGGCGTGGAAGCGAGGCGGGGAAACTCAAGAAGGGAAGCGCAACGTTGGAAAGCTCCATCCTGACCAAGGAGCAGGCAGCGCTAAGACACACGGCATTGCTTGTCGTCATACAGCTGATTGAGAGTCTTGAACCCCTACTTAAAGAAGTCAGTGGAAAGAACCAAGAGGAATGGCAGCGTTATTGGAACTCCATGATCAACGACCTGCTTGAGCAGAAAGGTGCCTCGAGCGGTGAATGTCTCGAGCTCGGCATATGGTGGTGCAAGAAGGCGTAAAGTTCAAAAGGGCGTACCTTGTTTATTTGTGATATCCCGGTCTAAGCAAGGCCATGGTCGGCGAAATGTCAGTTATCGTATGATACCAGCTAGGCGAGTTTGTCGTAGCGCTGGCGCAAGGTGCGATAGCGCTTTAGATAGTATCTGGGTGTAGTTAGGAATGCTTTCAATCTTGCTTTTTCAGCTGCTGCAAACGTACAGTGCTTCGATCTCTATACGATGATTGTTAGCATCATACATGTGGTGCCCTGTTATGGAGTGACTTGCCTTTCTTCACGTACTCCGCCCTTTCGATGCCCTGTTTGATCTTGGCTTCGTCTGTCAGGTTCTTTTGACTCGCAAATGCCTTGTGCAGGCGTGTCCGGAAGTAATCGTAGCCCTGAGGATATTCCCGGCCCATGAAAAGCAAATCTATTCATTTCGTAAGCCCATGGAGTTTGCTATGAGCCGAGGGAAACGACATGCTACGCACCCTTGTAGATCCGAATGACCTGGTGGCGGAGCGCGGGATTCGGAGGGGTCATTCTCAGTACGAAGGCGAACGATGTACAGATTCGAAGAAATCGATGCTAGAAAGCTGTCAAACGTCAATCGCGTGTGTACGAGCAGAGTGCGGAGTAGTTGTAGCAAACGCTCGGGCCCTCGTCCTGACGTAGCGGCTGGCGGACTTGTGGGATGGAAATGGATCCTCGGCTTGTCTTTCCGCATCCCGACGCCCTAGCACTTGCTGCAATCGTTCGTGAACACCACCGCGCTGTGTTCCCATTGGACTCTATATTTGACGATAATGAATACCATGCGACCCTTGGGGCGCTCAGCGCTTCTTCGTTCCAAACCTGCATGGCCAACTCTTCCGGTAGTGCAGAGTGTATCTGGCACGCGATATCGATCTACTTCAAGCGGTACGTGAATTGAATCTTTTACTCAATGCTGTTGCTGCGCGCAGCATGGATATATGTGAGAGACTGGCGGGCATGCTCTAGCTTGTAACGCACCTCAAGTCACTACACAATTGTTCGAGCATCTACCGCTACACACATGATCAGGAAGAGCTGAGACATCATGGAATGGCAATAGCTGACTCACATCTGACATAGAAGCACCTGCCACTGCCGTTCTCAGCCCAAGATGGCTCTCGGACGTTCGAACACGCATCGGGAAGTGCATTAGTTTTGGAATGAGCCCGGCACAGATCGAAGAGGCAGGGTTGATACTACAAGAGACTGCAGTAGACTGTGAGTTCTATAAAAATAAAAAATGGCTCATATCATGGTTCGGAATCAGCTCATTCTGTGTCTTCCAGGGCGAGAACTCGTAGCTGGCAGCGAGGGGTTTCTTACAGGCAGGCAATGGCGAGGCCTCTACCGGCAAGAGGTAGTATGGGGTGAAATGGTTAGCTTCTTATCTAACCCATTCTTGCACCACCGCTAATCCGAGCTTGAACATATGCAGGACAGCATGGTAGGGGAGCCCGAATGCGTTTATTCTGATAATTGCTGATGGATGTGAAGGGTATTCGCATCACTTCTCGAGCCTTGGAGACATCTTTTTAATCTCTAGCAGGCCACGTCAATAATGTCATGTACAACCGATACGCAGAATCGGCGAGAGTCAACTGGACGTTGAACTTTGCAGCGAGCAACCCACAACATAAGGCTGAGTGGATGGAGCTCATGACGCCGAAGAGCGTTGGCTTGATCTTGAGAAGCATCAAAACAGACTATAAGTTTGTAAGTTTTGCGCGCTATAGTTCCAGCTGGAGGCTATCTCAACTCTTGAAACGTCACTGACCGAAAACTAGCCCATGAAATGGCCTGATAGGTGCGACCACAGAACAAACTACAAGATGCAGCGCTCAATATTTTAACACATACATCATCAGGGTAACCGTACTGCACAAGCTTCGAGACAAACCGACGCAAGACACCGATCACTTCATCTTGGACGTAGTAATCCTCTCAGAAGCTCAGCGGCGACCAGCAGCGCGATGCACCGAAGACATTGTCGTGTACGACTATCGCACAGCAAAGAAGTCTCCTTTGCCGTCTTTTATGATCCAGAAGTTCCAAGAGACATTCAACCTACAAGAAGAAGCGAAGGAGAAGAACAGCAACAGGGTCAGAGTGCTATTGGATCGAGTTAGGGAACTAGAAAAGGGTAGCTGGGATAGACCAGATGCTAAGGAAGACTTTGGTAGCGCGGTTCAATAGAACATGGTGATACTTGCGAGAAAACGTCTCATAAGACCCTTGATATTTGCGGTTCGCATTCGCAAACGGTGCCTTGTTTTCTGGTTCCTCCTGTCCAGTGAAAGCTTCGCTAGTGCGATGTCTTTGATTTGAACAAGACTAGCAAATAGTCGCGTCTGTAGCGGCGGTAGAGTAGGATTTACTAGCGGTGTTACATAGGTATCGTCATATCCGTCATCATATACCCCTGCAGCGGCATGGACAGACAACACGCGGGGTTGATGGCGTGTCCGAGTTCGGCGCATGGCAGTCAAACCAGATGTACAGATGCAAGCGATGTGGAAAATGGCAAACTGCCGCATGAACCCACTGCATGGCGTGATTCTCATCACAATGATGTACATGAAGTGGTATGTTCTGATGCCTATTGCAGCGATCTGCACGCCCGTTGCGCGCGTGATGTTCCGGCTTGCCTTAATTTGCAAGTCAAATGGGCTGCTATTGGCGAAGTTGGGTTAAGCTTCACGCCGGCACAATGCAGAGGGCGGAAGAGGGTCATGGATGTGCAGGCGGAAGGCTTGCGCGCTATGCTCGCCTCGAGGGAACACAGATAGATGAAAATGCTCCGAACAATTTGGGATGCTGACAGTGCACCGCTTGACCCGGTAATAGCATGTTCAATAGGGTGTGGCGTAACATGTCGCATGAGCATTGCTATGCAGCCGCTGTAAAGATTCATGCATCGAAAGGGCAGGCACGCTCACTACGCGTACATAGAAAGCAGACGATAGTGACGGCGGCGTGAGTAATAGCGTCGGCGGGGTTTGCCCGCTGCAGAGACTTCAGGCATGCGGTGAACAGACAAAGCGCGGCTTCATTCGCTCTTGGAGCTTGCTATGGCTCAGGGGGGGTCCTGGCGCATGCAAATGAGCAGGTAAGCTAAAGAAGCCGGTGCAGGCTAATTGGCTGCCTTGGAAGACGTGTTTGTCTGGCGATGCAGCTGTGCGATATGGCAGAAGCAGCAGACGGAGGGACTATGTAGAGGAGGGCGAGATGAGGTACAAGACAGGCAAGATCACTGCCGGAGACGGACAGGCGATACTTGGCTTCCCCGGTAGAGTGAAATGACGGCCTTGTTGTCGTGGTCAAGATCGGCATCATGAACTGGAATCGGACACAGTTCGGCTGATCTGCGTGGCAGCAGCATCAAGTATGCTGCCCGCGTGGTTGTGATAATGGCGGTACAAGCCGGGCACATGGAATTCTGCCGCGGATGGGCAGCGTGTCGAGGGAGTCGTGGTTGCATGTGCAGGGCGGGCGTAGTGAAACCACGGTTCGGCAACGCAGAAGACGTGGAACCTCGGAGTGGACAGGCAAATCAGCCATCAGGTGCATCGTGGCTTGTCAGTGCTCTGATCACCGCGTGGCCCACTCGCGCAGAGGCTTGGACGGTCGGGTTTTCTTGGTTGACTTTGCATTTGACGTTTAGCACTTGCAAGTCTTGGCACGAGCCCACCCGGCGGAAGGCACGACTGAGCAGGCGCAGGGCACCTTCCTCGTTCCCCTACCCGTCTTGCCCAGCACACGACACACCCCCAGACTCCCCCACCGAGCAGCGGCTCAACATCTTCCAGTCCTGGCTCGTCCTGTGCAGCAGTCGAGTCGCGCCAGGGAGAGGTTTGCCCGCTCGCACCCGCACCGCCGTCTATGGTAGCGAAGTCGAAGAGGAACGCGGCGCACGACAAGCGACACGAGAATGGCCTTGCGGCCCCCGGCAAGAAAATCACAAAGCAGAAGAGCATCCCGCAGCTCAATGGCCACGCCAACGGGAAGCCCAGCGAGCCCTCGCCGCCGCTGCCCAGCCATGTAGACACGACCGAGATGACGCAGCACGCCAGCGCTCACGATCCAGCCCCGGGGTCGAGCGCCCACGTCAACCCCATGGCCGCTGCTGCGTCGGCCGCATCAGGGCACCGCACGCGCGCTGGGTCGGATGCCTCGCTCGACAACACCCCCGAGGCCTGCCGCTCGTACGACAATGGCAGCGCCGGCGGGCCCTTTGATCCCATGGCCTCGACTCTCCGCCGCGCCGACACCAATGCCTCCAAGTCGGCCTCCATCTCCATGGCCAGCATGCTCGCGGTGCCCGCCACCATTCTCACGTCCTGTCCTCTGCGGGACGTTCTCGCCATCCTCATCATCCTCCTCCAACTCCCCCCCACCGTCCTCACCGTCGTCCAGTTCCTGTTCGCAACGCTTACTTTTGTCCCGCCCCAGGCCGGCACGCCCCTCTCCGCCCTCTCCGCCTTCCCCTCCTTCACCGACATCTTCCAGGGCTCCGGCGGCACGCCCTCGCTCTTCACCACAATCATCGCCGATACCGTCATCCTGCTCATATGGCTGCTGCTGTGGGTGCCTGCCCAGAACTTCTTCCTCGACCTCGCACAGGCCGTCATAGCCATAGCGCTCGGCGGTGCCGCAGCCGGCAAGAAAGGCACGACCAACAGCATCGTCATATGCTTCGTCATCATCCTTTCGAGCCACGTCTTCAGATTCAGGCCTCTCCGGCAACACATCGTCCACTTTCTGTGGACGGGGCTCGCCCGGGGAGGCCTTGAATTTTTGACGAGCCCCCCGAGTACGCCATCCTATTTGGAGAGCTTCTCGACCCCCCATGGATGGCCCCGTAGCCTCCTGGGTATTCATATTTTGGCCCAAGGTGTCGTTCGTATTATCCGACGCTCTCTCTCTCGACGAGAACATGCAACCTTACCCACCGGCAAGAAGACAGATCCAGAGTCTGGCACGCTACAACGCTCCAACTCCACGAACCTCGATCCCACTGCCGACGTGCCCAACTCCTCGAGTACCGATGGCCGCCCCCCGGGGCCGTCGCCCGCAACACACGCACTTAAGGATAAAGCGAGCAGTGGGAGGAGAAAGAGAAAGCAAGCTACTCATGTTCGTAGTCAGCAGCCATTCTGGGCTGCACTTGCCAGTACAAAAGTTACAGTTTTGAAAGAGATGGAGAGTAGCCGGGCGGCCAACGATGCCGACGAGGCTAACGCAAAAGACGCAAATCACATTGGAAACGCTGTTTGGAGATCGGAGGACGATCGTGTTTGGATTTCAGAAGTCGGCTTTTCCGACATTTCATTTCGTGTTAGTTTATCTGGTGGAGCTGGCCTTCAAGAGCAGGACGATGAAGATTCCAGTGTCGGGTCTGGGATAGACAAGTCAAAGCCCTTCTACATCCGCGTCAACGGCGCAGACTGGAGCTCAACCCGCATCCGACAGAGCGAGCCGATAGGTTTCCAGGGACAAGAGGGAACGGGCTACTGGGTAGGAGAAATATTTGGTCTGACAGCCCTCTCGAACTATTATTGCGAGTTTGTTCGGACCAACGACAACCAAGTCTTCTACTCAGCGAGTCTTATTACCTCGGCCAGCCCGGTAACCGAACTTGGTAAGCAGAACATCTTGTGTAGCCTGACCTTGCTAATGCGTGACCAGCTTCAGCTTCTATAGCCTCCCCGCCAGCCCATCAGACCCTACGACCTTCTTCGCCAACAACCACATTGAAGAACTCTATTGCCGCGGCCGACCAGCAACTACAGGAACAGCGCAATCGGTTGAAGCGAAACAAGAAAGACCACAAGACAGCCATTACCAACATCAAGAAAGAGGTGGACACGCTCGGCAACCGCCTAGCCAACGCCGGAGGTAGTGACGAGCGCCAACGCCAGCGTGTCCTTCAGTTCACGCAGAACATCCGCCAAGCCGACGATGCCGCCGCTGAGTTCGCCCTTCAAGCAGAAAATCTGGGAAGCATTCCCGAAGATGAGGCGAAAGAAGCTGCAGCCAAGAAGGCAGAGTGGAAGAAGGAGCGTGACAATAAGAACGCTGTTGCCTGCGAATTCGACAAGACCAAGGAGGAGATCGAGCGACAAGTGCAAAGTGTGGAGTCCGACATTTCTACTGCCTTTCAGAAGAGGGAGCGCCTTCAGCAGCGTCAAACCAGGCTCAACGAGCAGCACGATCGTCTCGTCACCGCCAATGCTGAAGGTTTCACCGCCAAGCAACGAAGGGAGCAAGAACGCGCAGCATTACGAGCGCAGCGCGCTGAAGTCGAGCATCAGTATCGGAGCAACATCAACGGCTACGAAAGACGCACCGAAGAGCAGAACATGTCTACCAGCCAAATTTTGCAGACTGTTCAGCAGTACGAAGAGCTCCTCCTTCAGCAAGCGCATCAGCACATGTCCGTTCCTACCACTCCAGAGGGCAATCTTCCAGGCACAAACATGTCTCCTCACGGCAATGGTTTCTCCAGCTTCACCTTCCCGTCAATGCACTCGCACATGAACGGTACTCCTGGTTCCATGCGTGGAGGTCGCGGTCGTTCCTCGTCGATGCTCTCTAACGTATCTGGATTCACCGACGCTTTCGACGAGCCCGCATCTTCAGGCACTTATGTCCTTGGTAACCCCTTCAGCACCCCCGGTCCGATCAATGGTCGCAATCGCAGTCACGGCAGTGGCAGCCTCAGCTCAGGTACCTCCAGTCAGAGTTCGAGCCAGAGAGACCCCTTGAGTCCTGTTCAAAGTATCAAGCCGATGATGGTGCGGAGTCCTACTAGTGGGAGTGGTAACAGTCTGATGAGTCCGATTGGCACTGGCAGATGAAACCGTACACGAATTACTCTTTATGTATCTTTAGGTAGTGTTCCAATGTGATATTCGCGTCCTTTTCGTGTTCTCATATACAGTTCTCACTTTGCTGCAACTGAAGTGACCTCCGTGCGAATGAAGATCTTCTGAACGTGACACTCACGGATCATAAGGAAAGATGACTACCTTTGATACCTACGAAGAGACACAGGTGTGTGTGTGTGTACTAAGACGTGAAAAGGTAAATAGTGACTACATGGCAGGATACGGTCTTTATTCGCTTGGTGGAAAGTACATGAAGACTATCACGCTGCCTTATACTAATATACAAAACGCTTCCAAACATGCTGTAGTCCCTAAACCTCCCCCATACTCAACCCTCCAGCGCGTTGACGCGTTGAGCGTCTACACCTCTTCGATGATAGACGACAGCCTCGGACTCCAGCCGGTCTGCTCCAGGTCTTCGCTGGCATTCTCCATCCTGCCGCCTTTGGCGCGACGCTTGTTGTCCATGCTGTCCCCTTCCTCACCCCCATGCTCATGCTCGCCCTCTTGTCCTCCTTCGCCTACACCCGCGACGTTAGGGATCGTCCTATGTTCCGTCTTCCAATTACCCGTCTGCATGCTGTAGGTGATTACATCGTAGACTTTGGATGCATCTTCCGGTCTTGTGCCATAAAGAGGCGTCGCAAGGCCTACGATTTGTGTCTTGAGAGCAGTGAACAGTTGCTGCTCGAGCAGTTGTGCAGCCTGTGTTGACATTTTCTCGTTTGTGTTGAAGTATGTGTTGGACTGATTAGAGGAGATAGGTGTTGAAACTATTGGCTTGGTATTAGAGTGGACATCGTGGTGCTGTGAGTTTGCAAAGGCGAGTGACAAAAGCGGAGGCGAATGTCGGAGATAGACATTATGCAGTACCAAAGTGTACTGTGAGTCACCTTGAAAACAGAAGAAATACATGCTAGAGCTCTTGATTTTACTTTCGTTTGCTCTTTCATCTACAGCCAAATAAATACGATGAATCTACACACCACCGTTTAACCAAGTCCGCGAGCTTTCACCGTAACCCAGCATGAATGCTCCCACTTATCTACACAAATTGCTCCGCTGCCCAGCATTCCAGCGCCGCATCGCCTCTTTGATATGCTTAGTAGTCCAGGGCCCGTACCTCTTGTGCTCTCCATTTGGTTGATATCCCACTTGGTGACTCTCCTCCACCCTGCTTGCTGCACCCTCCAGAACCATAGTCCACCAAAAGTCGCCTTTTGCGATTCTGCCACCATACAGCTTCCATAGCCCTGGCATATAAACTACATCCTGCACACAGTAATCCTTGATCGCTTGGCTCAGGGGTCTCTCCTCAAAGACTGCATATCTGCCACCTCGTTCCGGAGCGAAGAGCTTGACACCGGCCTCTTTGATAGCGCTGCAGACTTGCCTCTGCTCCGGTGTTATGTTCAGACGTGAGGCGTTATAGTCGATCGCTTTGCCCAAGCCCAGAAGGTGTTCACGGGAAGCGCGTGTAGTGGTTGCTAGCTCCATGAGTTGGATGTCGTGGATGCAGGAGAGGGAGATGGCGTAGTGGGAGAAGAGGGCGTCGGAGTCATTGCGTACGTCGAAGAAGACTTTTGGGATTGCTGGTGACTCCAAGATAGACTTCAGGGTCGTGACAGGATTTTTGGAGTCTTCTGTATTGAGGGTAGTAGCAAGAGGCGTAGTCGCGCTTGCTGTTGTTGCGGTGGTAGTTGTTGAGAATGCGCGAGCACCCAAAGTATGGATGTCGATGAGATACACCGTCTCCTTGGGTAGTACGTACAGTGTTAGTAGAGCGATCGAACCATTCCGACTGAGCTTTGCGCCTTCCAGATCGATGTAAAGACTTGGTGGGGATATTGGTAGGTCGTCGAGCGTTGCTAGCACGGAAGAGAGCTCCTCTTGAGTTGATATAAAGATGACTGGAGGCATGATTGTGGTGGATTGATACTGTGTATGTGGCTGTTACGATTATCAGGGAAGGCTGTACGTTTATATCAGGCAGAGAGTAATTTTTTGATAATTCCGGACACGACACCAGCTGGGGAGAAGGGACGAGTAGATGTGAGCTAGGAAAGAGTTATATGGAAGGCTGCAGGTCGTACTTTCCGATTCGCAGGCTGCACTTAGTATTGCCTGAATGTACCTTCTGCAATGTGGTTCGACAAGACATCCCGTCGTATAAGCGGTGCTAGCCTTTGCAGAAACCGGTGAAGATTATGCATATCTCAACGAAACAAGGTGCCACGAAAACCAATAAGTGCTGACGCGGAAGTTCCAGATCTATCGATTCAGCCTTGCTCCGAATTCTATTGGATTATGGCAGTCGATACGCAAGTGACAGAAGCGTAATATGGAAAAGATCTTCTGAACCGTTCTCACCAGGGAAGGCCAACTCATGCTGTGTCTGGACTCGTTCCGTGGTTTGACTCCGTTCATCACAATCAGTTTTGCTGCCTGTTGACATGTCCTGAAGTGGTGACGGTTAGGCATTTTGACAAAGGAGAAGCGTGGAATCCAGACGAGCCAATGAGATCCAGATCAATAATGTGACACAGTCGCAAATGAAGGTAGATCGCTAGACGAGAAAAATTGCAATTTTCACTGGTCCTGCAATTATAGACGATGCCTATATGTAACGTCCCTGGGGATCCAGCCTGTCCATAAGCTCCATGGACTTTTCGTACATGGTGAAGACGATACCGCCACTGAGGATCAGTCGACCCAATCTTGGAAGCGCTCCTGACCAGAAAGTAAAGAGACCCTCATCTCTGAAGATCTTAGCCACACAGTCAAAGCTGTTCTTGTAAGAGCTCCGTGCTTCTATTGACTGCATGCGTGTCTTGACAGTGTCGATAGGCATTGTAGTGTACACGGTTATTATGCCTGCGAGGCCTCCGAGTCCAAACGTGCTGAAGGCACCAAGCTTCTCGCCAGGGGTGACGTATGACTGCGCTAATTGCTTGAGCGATGTGTAACTGGAGAAGCGAACGGCCGAGTTGGCTGCTTGACGTGCGGTCGTTGGGAGGAAACCCTGGAAGAAGCCGCGAATGCCCTTTTCTTGTGCGATAATTCTTGATCCGTGCAGGAAGCCTCGCATGCGTGGGTTTGCCGACTTGCGGTCGTCAATACTAGGCGGGTGAGTCAGTGACGGTACATGAATGCGACCGAGGCAGCTTACAGTTGGGTTTTGATGCTCTCAAACGGAGTCACAGCTAATAGCGATTCTGTAGCTCCTGCACCGAAACCAGCTATGACCGTCGCTGGACCGGAGACTTTGCCTTCAGCGTCTGCCAGCATATTCCTGTACATATCGAATGCGACGAATCCTACGTGCACTGTCAGACAGTCGCCTCCCAATCATTTCCATGACGTACTTATGCCCGCCTTCAAAGAGTTGCCGATGATCAAGGTTGTGCATCCAGCGTACCACTGCTTGCCGAATGGCGGCCATGGCAGCTTCTTTCCGTCAGGTAATCTCCGGTTGAGTTGGGATCGTGTCTTTGCGACTATGTTTGGGTCAGGTTCGACTCGGTCATGTAAGTGGATACGATGCGGTGCGTACACTCAGCGGGGTATGTGATTGCTGGTCCAGGGTCAGTCATGAATCAGATAACGATTTGGGCGCATGCTTTACAAATCTCTACGGCACCTGCAGTTGCACCTGCCAGGATTGAGCGCATTGCGCTTGCCTTCTTCTTCTCGGTCGTTGCAGTCGCCATGACGTTTCAAGTCGAGCAGCCTCCGGTGGTGATAGGAGTAGGTTTGGACGCGCAGCAATTACGCGGGAAAGTTTTGGCGTATCCACGTCGCGTGCGGTAATAGGAATTCGGTGCAGTGACGTAGTATTGGTCTTGCACTCGAAACCAATGTAGATTCTTTGGAAAACAACAGGAACCACTGTTCGAGGAATCTCGACGCGCCAGTGTGAACTAGATTTCCTCAAGGTTCACAAATAACAAGTCCATCGACACGGCCGAGGACGGAGGTGAGCAACAGGCCCGCATTTCGGCGCCAAGCATCCCGCTTGACATCAGCCCGCTTGCGCTTGGGCCATCGAAAAGTTACGCTTTCGAGAGCCATCTATCGCATCGCCATCTTGAAGTTCCATTCTAGTCACCCGGTACTGTCAAGATTTACACCCTTTTAGTCCACCATGATGTCCCTGCGAAACCTCGCTCGCAGCGCCCCGCGGTCTGCTGCTCGTTTCTCCACCAAAGCCGTCCGCCCGCAGTCGTCGCTGCGACAGACGTCAGCTTTCCAGCCAGCATGGGCTGCCCCAATTCCCCGCCTCACAGCTTCTTTCCACATGTCAGCGGCGCGGAGGCAAGACAGCGGTAGTACGTATAGGATACGTGTGCAATGGGAGAACACTGCTAACGCCGTTTAGTCAATGAAGAGCTCGTCGCAAAGATTCAGAGCGAGATCTCCATGGAGGAGGGCATGAAGGAGGACGAGGATCTCTCGGCGAACATCAAGGAGTACCTTGAGAACAGCCCCTTTGAGGTACGGTCCTCCATCAATAATGCTACTGGTCGAATGCTTACAGCCATCAGATTGAAGACAAGGCAGGCAACCAGGAAGTCGTCCTAACCCGCACATACAACGACGAGAAGATCCAAATCACCTTCACCACCGCCGACCTCAACAACAACCAGCCCGGCGATGAGCTTACTGAGGACAATGCCATGTACGATGATGCCGACATGGATGTACAGTCTGGCGGCGCCAACACCAAGGGTGCCATCAACCAAGGCACCACACAAGACGGAAACATTCGCGTAGCTCCCGAGGACCGTGTTGCTCCTGCTGATCGCGAGGAACTGGAGGACGACTACGAGGATGATGGCCAACAGCAAGGCTTCCCCGCTCACGCTAGCATTCGCATCGAGCGTCCCGGCAAGGGTGCTCTCGCTATTGAGGCCACCGCCCAGGACGGCGACTTCCTCATCGAGGACCTCTACTACTTCCCTACCGCCGATCTGGCTGACCCCGCCACTGCCGAGAAGGACTGGTCAAGACGAGCTCTCTACACTGTATGTACAAAGGCTGCATGTGAATCGTAACAAATCTAACTTCTAGCAGGGCCCTCCTTTCAACAACCTAGACGAGGACCTCCAGATCCTCCTTGAGAAGTATCTTGAGGAGCGTGGCATCAACACCCGTCTTGCCCTGTTCATCCCCGACTACATTGACCACAAGGAGCAGAAGGAGTATATTCAGTGGCTCAACAGTAAGTCGCGCTTACATTTCTCAGTCTCAGTGCCGGTAGCTAACAGATCATCAGACATTAAGAACTTCGTTGCCTAAGCTCGAACCGAATCGGACAGCATTGCCAACGTTTGAAACCCGGCTCAGACAATACAAACCGACGCTTTGCCGGTGCTTTCACGAATTAACAAAAAGCTCTCATGTATAAACATATAACGCATCTCTATAATTGAGCGACTCGGGGGCGTTAGCGGAAGTGTAAAATAGCTGGTGAGATTGCTCTTCATACACCGTTCTCTGACATGTGCAACTCTATCTTGCAAGCATTCAGAGAACGCGAAAGGGACGATCGGAATACTAGGTAGCTCGAGGTACCACCTCATATGGATTGTCTCAGTCCGTAATCTACGAGAATCACGACTTAGGTATCATCGAATGCCAAACAAACGCATATAGCGCTTTTCCACTCATCACTACCCGATTCATATTTCTAGTCCCATGGCTTATCGTGTTGTTTGATCGTCCTGTCTCATTCCAAAGGTCCGTGTCGAGACAAAGACCAGCTTACGGCGCGGCGTTTGCTGGGCCAACAACAAAGCTACCGTTCGTCATCCGCGCGTACACACAAGATGATTGTTCACTCAATGAAGTTCCGCAAAGGAGTTTGTTCGTTGTCACTGCCGTGGGTGCGGTCAAGGGTACATTTCGAAACAACGTTCCGTGACTCTGAATGACGGTCTGCCTGTGATGACTGCATCCCCCTCTTCAAAGCTCGAGGCTACTACTGACCATACCAAGTCTCCTCCGTATTTCTCCAACATTTAACGGAGTGTCGATCGATACCAACTGGCGCGTTTGACGGACAACGATCGATAAGCTTGTGAGGAAGACAGGTCATGCACAACTGACTCACAAGGCATGACGCGCAACATTAGCCCACACACCGTTGGTAACGACGCAGGTCGCAATCCATTCCCAAATCTTCCACCACCATACACATTCAAAGCCTCTCGACATATACCAAAAACCGACTCAAACTCATATCTTACCAGAGCGAACGTCTCTGACTTCACCACTATCAGCACAATCTTAGTCGGCTCCCAACTTACGCCATTCCAGATCCAGACCAGCCTCCTCACATCAAAGTCCTCGTACTTCCGCGTCGCGCTCACAGGACCCTTTGCAGAATCTAGCAACAACAGCATAACACTCGACGATGTCCCAGTCGACCACTTCCAACTCCTCGTCACCTGGCTCTACGACCAAGCCCTACCGATTCCCTATAAAGACCGAAAACCAGCATACTACACCCTTCTGCACGTCTACGCTCTAGCCGACCGCCTAGGACTCGAAGGCGCAAGAAACGCCATCATAGACACGATAAGCGACCTGGCCGATGAAACGAATAGCGTGCTAACACCCTCCGATACACGTATCTTGTACGAAGACATCCGTGACTCGGCACCTCTCCGTACGCTTGTTCTAGATCTCTTTTCTTTCAAGAAGACGGATAGATTGCTGGAATTGCATGCGGGCCTTTGGCATGCAGAGTTCCTCCGCGATCTGACTGTGCATCTGAAAAGGCCGTGTGCACAGGCTATGCAGCGGCATAGGTTGCGCATGTGGTGTCCCGTGTCCTGGCACGCGACTCGCGGGTGTGGTTATTGTGGGATTGTACTGGCACCTAGATGTGGAGCGGTGGCTTGTGAGGACTGCTGTGTGGCGTTTTGTACGGCATGTGTTCAGAGAGGCGTTGCGATGGCACGGTGGGAGGTTGGGAGATTCGAGGTTGTGGAAGAAGAGAGGAGTGTGCTGGGTGGAGCAGATGGTGAAGAGAGGAATGTGAAGAAGGTTAAGAAGTGGGAGGCTTGCAAGCCTTGGAGGGGGTCGAGGTGTGCGCTTTATCACGAACATGCTGAGACAGAGAGATGTGGAGACATTTTTTTTTGGGAAGGTGACGGGTTTTGATGGAAATACATAGGACTATCGTTATTCGAAGTATTATGTTGAACTATCGCACCTCATTAATCAAGTTCGCTCTGTTCTCTACGCCAATTAAGATACTTCCGTCCCGGAGGATTACTGACAAACTCAAAACCTCCTGATCCGGAAACACCGCTGAACGCCTCAAGTCAATGCCGGAACTTATCTGCCAGCTTGAGAGCTACTAAGTCTCGTGGAACGACGCCTTGATGCCTCCCCAGTGCCCCTTGTATAACTGCCGGTCTGTAATGACTCAATCGTAGGCGACGACTTGATAGGTTTTGCTGCCGACTTCTTCCTCTTGACCTTTCGTGCAACGCCGCGGGTTGTAGGCTTCTGTGGTGGTTCCTCATCGTTGCCTTGTTTGAGTTCTTCGTCGATAACCAGATTCTCAAACGTCCTCGTCTTCAACACCTGTAGCCAATGTCAGTACTGATTCAGTAAGACGGAACAATGGTAGTCTCGCTTCAGAATACCTCATATTTACTTACGGGGTTGTCAACATCCCACTCTGATATATCCGAAGGACAGTCTGACAACTCTGAAGGCGAGAAGAACATGCGTGGGTCCGATTTGGTCGTTTTTAAAGGCGTGACGAATTTGATATTTTGTTGCTTTGGCGAATTTTTCATGGGGCTGAGGTGTTCAGGAATGCCACACGCGCTGCAGCACTCTTCCAGAGTCAAGTACATCTTCTTTGATCTATCACTCAAGTCAGCTTGTCCGAGATGGCACGCACCGATTGGAGGCCAAAATGCTGTAAAAGGCTGCGAAAGTGAAGTATCGCTCCACACGTACGCTCCTAGCTATACGCGAGAGGGTCTAGTGTGATACATACTTGCTTTCGATCAAAACACTCTCCATTTTGCCGATGAGACGCTCTCTATTGGCGTGATCACGAAATAGATCATCACGTCGTAAAGTGATAAAACCACCCTTGCTGTCGATATTTGACGCGAAGATAAACACTCCGGCCCCCTCTTCCAATTTCCGGGCTTTCTGTTCTCCGCTGTCGATCCTCTGTTCCACAGCGCCGGCCTCTTCATCGTTGTCGCTCAAGCACAGCGGTGGCAGGGGCGTTGGAGCACGAGCAGCAGGATCATAGCAGTCAAATTCGCGATAGACTAAATTGATCAGTCGTGGAGGTAATTGTTTACCTGTACATCGCACTGACCTCCAACGTCATCGGTAAAGCCTTCCGAATCCCACTTATACGTCCCGTCGTAGAATCTGCGTGAGTGCTCGCTGAGGGCTATGTGGTTGGGAAGAGGAGTGCAGTAAGCTGTGAGACCGACCATGATACTTTGCTGATTCCTAATGGTGCTCAGCGGAATGGTGTGTGTGTATAGACTGAGTGACAGTTGTGTACGAAGAAGAGGACACCGACCCTGATGAGAATCCTGAACGAGTAGGTAGCAAGTTTGGGCAGCGTGGGGTGTAAGATGGTATACGCGAGCGTGACGTAGAGGTACCTTGAGAGGTAAGAGCGACTGCGCAAAGCTAGGAGCCGCATACTCACCGCTTCAATTAGAACAAACGCAGCGGTCGCTCACTGAGAGAGTGCAGTGTCCAAGATGCGCTTAGAGCTCCAGAACTCTGTCCGCGTTGCATATCTTATGTCCTCATCACTTCCGACAACGATCCTAAAGAGGGAAAATGACAGACAGCGATGGAAGAAAAACCCTGGTTCTGGAGTAATGGTTCTACGGTCTTGAGAACGACTTTGAATCGTCTGGAGAATAACGCCGGCTAAAGTAATGCCTACACTAACGCCTCCCGACTTTACATACTGCTAGCTAGATGGCTGTTGCAGTGTCGACTGGGGTTATCTGCCTAGCCAACAGTATCGTACAGATAACTAAACACAAAAGGATCGAACACGAAATGGAAGCCCATGCTGGGGTTCCCAATGCGAATGGTAATCGATAGGACACGCCTGACCGTACTTAGGGTTGACCGTTGGGCGAAGTCCGGTTGCTACATGGCACTAGCCTGGCCGGCGTGAGTAGACATGTTGGTCAGGGTTTTGGCCATAGACTCTCGAGCTGCCTTCTCCTGTTCCATTTGTGCGCGATCAGCCTTGGTAACACGGGGCTTGCGGACAGTAGAACCACCACGAGAACCTGGACCTCCTCCACGTGCCCTGCCACGGCCTGACGTCTCGCCTCGTACGGTGCCGGCACGTCCTCGTCCTCGTCCACGTCTAACGGTACCGTCGGCCCTACTTAATGTTAGTTTGACTTGGTCTGAAGTTGTGGTGGTTACGTACCTCTCCACAGTTGGCTTCTCCTCGGTGACGAGTGGGCCACTGTAGACGAAAAAGCCGTCTTTCGCCATGAGCGCTTGTTGTTCCCAAGCTAGCTCGGTATCGTCGATGAAGTCGTCCTCCTTGTCGTAATCTTCTTGCTTGCGCTTGCGTCGCTTCTTGCCTCCATTCTCCTTGGCCGATGTCTCATCGTCCATACCGCCCATCTCGACGTTGCTTTCGTTCTCTGATAAGTCGACAGACTGATCGTCGTTAGAGCCCCCACCTGCTGCCCGCTCAAGTGCTGCACCTGCTGCCGTGATCTGACGCTGGCGCTCTTTTCGTGCGGCGATGCGAGGATGCAGAGCAGCGAAGCCGTACTTCCTCTCGACTTCTTGTGCAAAGTTGATGGTGACGTTTTCGCGTCCCTTCAGGTCGAAAGTCAAGTAGATGTTGGTGCCTTGAGTCTCAGATGTGCCGTTGGCATTGGCAACAGGACCGAATGGCGTTCCTGACAGGAGGCCGCTACCGGAAGGCAGCGGTGGCGGGGCCTCTTTCTGGCGGACGGTTTTGGCGGGTGGAGTGGGAGCATTAGACTGGGAGAGGGTACCGGAGTTTGTGGAATTTTCTTTTGCCATTGGGACGGATGCTGGCTTACTGGGCTCGGTATCAATGTCCATGGGAGTCGGGCCTGATGATGTAGTGGGATACGGCTGAGCGTGGTTCTGAAGGGATGTTTGCGGTTGCTGTTGTTGGAGTTGAGGTGAGTAGTCTTGAGAAGGAAGGACCGACGCTGGTCGCGTGGAGAAGGCGGCAGGTGACACGGGTGCGGACGTGATAGATGCCTGTTGTTGGAGCTTGGCAGGGTGTGAATAGAAGGAGTTGCTGGCAGATGGCGGGTCAATGAGACTTGTGATGGAAGGTGACGCACTCGCACGGTGGTTGATCGGGGGTGAAACAGGCGGCGGAGGCGCGCTTGCTGGGGGCTGCGGTTTTGACTCAAAGGTGTCGCCTCGGATGGGATCATATCTTTGGCCTGAACTGGATGGCCGTGGTGTTGAGGGCGCAACGCTGATATGAGAGAGATTTGGGTTACTGTGAAGAGTCGGCTCGGGATTGCTCAACATACGGGTTGGCTGCGCGACTGCAGGCGGCTGCTCGGCTTGCAAAGCAGGGACAGATTCACTGGGCCCAGTCTGTGGTATGGGTGATAGCTGCACAGGCGGTTTCTCGTCGACGACCTGTGCGGCTGGTTGCGCCTGTGCCTCCAGCGATGCCTTTGTCCTCCTCTTCCGTGGCGCAGGCGCGGCATTTGGGTCCTTGGGCTCCGACTTACGGGGCTTTCTTGTCTTCTTTTCTGGCTCTGGTGCACTGGGGTCTTTGGCCTTTGGTTTCGGACCTGGCTTCTTGCGTGGCTGGCCGTTCGCAGTAAGGCCGCGTGGAGCTGGCGATGCAGTTGCAGGGGTTGGCGTGCTAGTTCCAACACCAACACCACCTGCAGCTGCGCGGATAGTCGCTGTCGGAGTGCCCTCAGGCGAGTGCGGGGGCGAGCTTAGACTGCCCGGCGAAGATGCATCGTCGGCCATGGCGCCGAACACTAGGTCGACACAATCCCCAGAAGGGCACCGGGGCGCGTCTAGTGCAGACGACAATAGAAAAGGTTGAGAGAAGTTCCCGATGTGAGCGGCGAAGGCGCGCAGGCAGATTCAGGGCGCTGGTGCTGGCTGAGCGCGTTTGTAGACTCAACACCAGAAAAAGCGTGGATAGCAGACTACTGCAATGGCTTGCGAGAACACCAAAGTCGAGGTGCAGCCGGGAGCCGGCGCGGGAGATGTCTAAAGAGCGTCTGATGCACGGCAAGGAACACCAAGTTTCGATCTCTAACGAGAGTTTGATGGCAGCCGCCTCCGCGAGAGCTGTATCGATGGAAAGGTAGTTGCAGCGTTAGAAAATTGTACAGGAAAGAGAGAGAACAATAGAGGAAGAGAAAGTGCGACAGACGACTTCAGTCGTGCTCGGGGGGTTCAGGGCTTCAAGTAGGCATTCGAGCGATTTGGGACAGCAGCGGGCCAAAGCTTGGGTTACGACGAGCCCTAGAACAGAAAAACAGTTTACGCCAGAGCAGCGACAAGTCCGGGGCTGCCCACTGTGAATGAACCCTGGGTCTATGCCGGCTGCTGTGTCGGGTCTGAGGCGTATCAAACATGACATATTGACACGTCCATGAGCGCCGCCACGGCCTATATGTGCAGCAACAACCCCTTTGCCGTACCATTCTGCTTCGATGATGCTGCGATGCCTAATTGCCTCTCTTCTTCTCGTCATAAGCAAACAAATCGTGATCCATCTCTTCGATTGCACCGTGAACATGCGACGTACAAAGAGGCGCATTAGCCGCTGCGTGATGTTGATTGCCCTGCGTATCTGCGGATCGCCGCAAAGAGCACCTGCATTTAATGGGGACGACTTCTACCCTTTGACAGTGATGCGCAAACATCTGCAACTCATGCCGTCGTTCACCATGTAGTATTCTATAGATAGTCGTTCTACACGGCTGTCCTGCAGTTCGGTTGCATGTGGCTGATGTGCCGATCTCTTGCAGGGGTCTCTCATAGGTTGGCCTTTCAGGAACGCCTCACCCTGGTCGGCTCTAGATACGCGAACGCTGCCATCATCACGTTAGGCTCAAAATATAGTAGAATCATGCTTTTGTAACTTTCATGACAGCTCGAGATATACAGAACCGTCCACCATTCGTGAACGGCGTGTGGAGACTCATAGCCCAGATCCAGTCCTCTCCCACTAGTACAGAAATCAACTCCAGAAACACCGACACATCATAAAACGCCGATACAGAATGCGCGAAGGGTATGAGTACAGCTGCGCAAGGGCAGATCATCACGCCTTGCTCTTCTTCTTCTTCTTCTTCTCGCCATCCTCCTCATCCGCGGCCTTTCGCTTCTTCTCCTTCTTGGACTTCTTCTCAGAAGCCTCGTCGTCGCCCGACTTCTTCGACTTCTTCTTGTCCTTCTTGTCCTTGCGTACGGCCTGCTCAGTAGCAGCTGCGGTGACGCCATCAGCCATCTCAACATCCTCAGTAGCCGTTGCGGTGGGGTCTTCAACGCCAATGTCAGCCAGAACCGAGTTCATGGCAGCTTGCATGACCGCCGCGTTCTTAGCAGGAGGGGCACCGGATGCGTAAAATTCAATGCGCTCATCGACCTGGCGCTTGAGAGCTTCACCGAACTTGGATGTTGGAGTATCAGAGAAGTTGTCGATCCTGGAGGCAATAGAGCACTTATTGGCAAGGAAACGCGAGATCCTTCCCTTTGACTTCTGACCAGTGCGGCCGATGAACGAACTGTGGTAGATCAGACCGTACTTGGGGGTGTTTCCCTTGGTCTTGAGAGCTCTGAAAAGAGCCTTCTCGGCACCGAGAATCTGAACGGTACTGGCAGGGTATTTCGAAAGGTTGGTCAAAGAACCGGCCTTGGAGATAAGACGTGCACCAACGGTGTCACCGATCAGGGCAGCCAGGTTAGGAGCAACCTGGTTCATGCGGCTTCCAAGGTAGTTGCTGAGCTGCTTGCGGTAGGCAGCTAGAGAAGCGGTTCTCTTTGCGAAAGCCATAACAATCTCCATGTCAGCTGCAGACAGATCGCGACCCATGGAGGTCCTCGCAGCGTTGATGATTGCTTGCGCAACACTCTCGTCGTCATCGACGACAGCAGCGAGGTCGTGGAGGTCCTCATCGCTCAAGCGCGACTTGTCACCAATTTGCAAGACGACCTTGGCATATTGTTCGTTGCTGTTGACAATTTTGGCGAGCTCGGGGAAGTGCCAGCCTGAAGAAGTACCAGATTAGCAGCTGTTCCAAGTCTTCAGACATGGATGAACATACCATAGTTCTCCCTCAACCTCATGCAGAAGGTGTTGAGATCCTTGTCGATCTGGTCGAGCGTTGCGATCGCCTGGATGATGTGGTTGTCCTGCTTCTGAACGCTGCGCTGCGAGTCAGTATACAGGTCGTGCGCATTTTATCCTGAGACATACCTGAACTTGACCTTTCCTCGGGAGTAGGCGTGTCCCAGACCAAGGATGGAACGGTCAATGTCACCTGGCTGAAGCTTCTTGATCAGCTTGCCGCTGTGCTGGCGCAGGCCACGGAGCAAATCAGAGACGACTTCAGAGGTGTCGCTGGTTTCGCAGGCGAGGTTGGGGAAGGCAGACTTGATGCTACCCGCCAAGTTCCTCTCGCTCACTCCGAGGGTGATTGTCTTCTTCTTTCCGGCCTTGGGGAGGTTTGTCTCGAGTGTGGCCCGCAGGAAGTCGGACATGATGCCTTCTGAGACATCGTTGATCTCAGAGAGCGCATCTTGGGTTCCCTGGAACGGCGCAAGGCCCACGAGCTCTACCGTCTTTCCGAATTTATCGAGGTCTTGCACGGCCTTCTGCACTTCGGCGAGGCGGCTGCCAATGGTGTCGGGCTGGAGGATGACCTTGAAGACGGCATAGCCGACAGGGCTTTCGTGTAGCAGATAGTCTACACTCATCGTGGCGTTAGCTGGTAGCGCGCAGGTATTGCGGAATTCGTGCGCGACGGGCTGAGAGGTTCGGCTGTGGGAGGTGGTCGGTCGCGATGGAAGGTCGCAGCTTCCAATTGAACTTTTTTGCGTTCGGGGTCCGAGCTCCAACGACGCTAGCAGGCCGCCCGCTCAGAATTCAATGTTCAGAGAAGAGGGACGCGACAGGCACGCGGAAACTGCATCTTGCCCCGCCACACACTCTGCTTGATTACTGCACTGTTCGATACCCGCATAGATTCTGTTCACCATGTCGGCCGCACAACTACTCAACCCCAAGGCCGAGTCGAGGGTACGCCGCTTCTTCGCAGCGTAGAGACACTGCTAACAAGACACAGAGGCGCGGGGAAGCTCTCCGTGTAAACATCTCGGCTGGTGAGGGCCTACAGCAGGTATGGAATGTCTAGAGTAAAGACATGAGCCCGTCTGACTCTGGTATTAGGTGCTTGCATCCAACCTGGGACCCCGCGGCACACTGAAGATGTAAGCATCAACAATCAATCTTTCAGGCAGGAGGCTAATAAGTACAGGCTTGTAGATGGCGCCGGAGGAGTATGGCCACCCGAACGATACATATGGCACGTCTGACCATCTCTCTAGATCAAGCTCACAAAAGATGGAAGCGTTCTGCTCAAAGAAATGGTATGAGACCGCCCTACAACAGTATCTGCAAAAAGCTAACCGCAGTCCAGCAAATCCAAAATCCCACTGCCGTACGTTCTACCCCATCCCTTCTCGGATCGCGACTCAAACAAGCCAGGTTATGATTGCACGAGCAGCAACAGCGCAGGATGAGATCACAGGTGATGGAACAACATCGGTGGTACTGTTGGTTGGAGAGCTGCTGAAGCAGGCTGATCGATACATCGCCGAAGGTCTCCACCCACGAGTGATAGCAGATGGTTACGACATCGCGAAGACGGAGTCACTGAAGGTACAGACATTGGACAGCTGGCCCAGTGAAGATTAGCTGACCATGTACAGTTCCTTGACGAGTTCAAGCTCACCAAAGAAGTCGACCGCGAGCTTCTCCTCTCTGTCGCGAGAACGTCGCTATCCACCAAGATCAACAGCTCGCTCGCCGAGCAATTGACTCCTGACATCGTCGACGCTGTCCTTGCCATCTATCAAGCGCCCGCAAAGCCAGATCTGCACATGGTTGAGATTATGACCATGCAACATCGCACCGCCGCCGACACACAGCTCATTAGAGGTCTTGCTCTGGATCACGGCGCAAGGCATCCGGATATGGCCAAGAGGGTGGAGAACGCATACATCCTGACTCTCAACGTCAGCTTAGAGTACGAAAAGTCTGAAATCAATTCTGGCTTCTACTACTCGAGCGCAGAACAGCGAGAGAAGCTCGTCGAGAGCGAGCGACGCTTCGTTGACGAGAAGCTGAGGAAGATTGTTGAGCTCAAGAAGGAAGTCTGCGGAGACGACCCTAAGAAGGGCTTCGTGATAATAAACCAGAAGGGTATTGACCCGCTCAGCTTGGACGTCCTTGTCAAGAACGGAATCTTCGCACTAAGGAGGGCGAAGAGGAGGAACATGGAGCGTCTCCAGCTGGTGTGCGGCGGTACGTCACAAAACAGCGTAGATGACATGACACCCGATGTCCTCGGATGGGCAGGTCTCGTTTACGAGCACCAGCTGGGTGAGGAGAAGTACACATTCATCGTAAGTGGACCTTGCAATTTCAGGGACATGTACTTACAACGAACAGGAAGATGTCAAGGAGCCGAAGTCCGTCACTCTACTCATCAAGGGCCCAAATACGCACACTATTGCTCAGATCAAGGACGCCGTTCGCGACGGTTTACGGAGTGTGTACAACATGATCGTCGACGGAAGCGTCGTACCAGGCGGAGGCGCTTTCCAAGTTGCATGCGCGGCTCATCTTGAGAGCGAGCAATTCAAGAAGACGGTCAAGGGCAAAGCAAAGTGGGGTGTCTCAGCTTTTGCGGACGCTCTGCTTGTCATTCCTAAGACCCTGGCAGCCAACTCAGGTCATGATATCCAAGACTCACGTAAGTATCGTGTTGCCTCCCTTAGTCGAACTGTGCTTACTAGGTGACAGTGGCTGCATTGCAAGACGAGCATGCCGAGGGCAATGTTGTTGGTCTGAACCTTGCAACCGGAGAAGCCATGGACCCTACCCAAGAAGGTGTCTACGATTCGTTCCGAGTTCTGCGCAACGCCATAGCGTCCGCTACCGGTATCGCATCGAACTTGCTGCTATGCGACGAGATGCTGAAGGCACGACAAATGGTGAGTAGAAGCACGTCCTTTCAGACGGCTGAAGCTAATTGATGAATAGGGACGACAACCTGGACCTGGCGGCGAGGAGCAATAATCATGTCGCATTATCTCTGGACGATCAGACACGCCACCACAGCATCATTGCTGGAGCAACGTTCTAGCCACATAGAAGTGCAGAGCAAGCGGACAGCTGGAGGAAAAGCTATATCGTGGCTCACAACCTGATCCGCGCGGGTGTTGCATGCCGACTGTCTAAATAGATTAAAATAATACGACCACGTCACATGGCCAGTCTAGCTCCGCAAAGCGTGATTATGTTTCATGTTCTGCTTTCTTCTTCAGAGTCAAAAAATTCTACTCGTCAAGTCGTCGCCTAAAGAGACATCGTTTATGAGGGTGGGTTGAGACTGCCCAGGTGGCTCTGCACGCTGAAACACGTGCAAAGATGCCCAGCTGGGAAATGCTGGACCCCTATCCGACCAGGGTGATTTAAGCTTAAATTTAGCGTTCGGCTAGGACGGATGCTGCTCTGGTGCGGGGGCATGGCCTCGGTAGCGCAGGGCATCGTGAAGTTGGGAGAGTGCCGAATGGGTAGCGACAGCAGTGAATACGTGTCTTGTGAGAAGACAGGTCCCAGACTCCTTGTAATGTACTTGCATCTCTACGCATTCTGAATCAGCGATGCACTTGGCGCGCGAAAGATCTACAACAGACCCATCAATAGATCTCCAGGGCGTGCATGCCAAGCCTGTTGGAAACAAGACGGCCAAAACAGCCACTGTCGTTCACTCGCTGGCTGGTAGCTCGAACTCTTGCTCCCTTCCCCCTCGTTCGCGCTCCGATGGCAGTGACAACGTAGTCATACCATACGTTCCTTCCACCCTCTCATTCCCTATCTGGCGACGCAGCGCAACCGATACCCGCATTTCGATTCCACACACTCCCTCGGGCCATGTTTCGATATCGACGTTACCGCGCCTTTTTAGTCTTCGCTGTTGTTGCTGTACTAGCGCTATACAAATTTGGAGGCTCGACCGCAGCATGGAGAGAAGCCGCATCGAATGCGGTTGGGGCAGCTGGTCTGAAAGGCGACGCTGAGGAGGCTCCGCAGGCGGACACGAAGCCGCGTCCTGCTGTGGCGCACGAGACGAGGAGTCTGAAGCTGGATGTGCCCGCTGCTAGCACGTCGCAGTCGCTTCGAACGCCACCTCCTGTGAAGACTCCGGCTGTATCGTCGACATTGAGCCCTGCTGTCACAGAGCAGCAGCAGAAGCCCTCTATCCCTACACCCATCCGACCGCAGCCTCACGGCCAGCCCGCCATCGCGAACCCTGCATCAGAACCATCATCGATCATCGATGCGATCCACTGGACGAAGCTTCCCGAGCATTTTCCCGTAGCCCCCGAATCGCTCATCAAGCTGCCATCGGGCACGCCCAAAACCATACCAAAGATACAGGCCGAGTTCAAGAAGGAAGATGATATAGCCAAGGTCGACAGGGTTGCAAAGCTGGATAAGATCAGGAGCGTGGCAAAGAAGTCATGGGAAGGATACAAGGCGAATGCCTGGCTACACGACGAGTTACGGCCACAGTCGGGCACTTTCAGAGATCCTTTCGCACACTGGGGCGCAACGCTGGTCGATGCCTTGGATACGTTGTGGATCATGGGACTCAAGGACGAGTTTGAAGAGGCAGTCAAAGCAGTGGACAATATCGATTTCACCACCACCCCACGCGCAGATATTCCCTTGTTCGAAACGACAATTCGCTATCTCGGTGGGCTGCTGGCCGCCTACGACTTGAGCGACAAGAAGTACAAAAACCTGCTAAGCAAGGCAGTGGAGCTTGCCGAAATTCTCATCAGCGCCTTTGACACACCGAACCACATGCCAGAGACGTACTATTATTGGAGACCCGATTTCGCGTCCCAACAGCACCGCGCCAGTTCACACGTTGTTCTTGCCGAGATAGGTTCCCTATCTATGGAATTTACCCGACTTGCGCAGCTTACGGGTGAGCACAAATACTACGATGCTATTGCGCGCATCACGGATCATCTCGAGGAATTCCAAGGCAAAACTCAACTCCCCGGGATGTGGCCTACGTACCTGGACGCTTCCGGGTGTGGTAGACGATACGTCGATTTGCCTCCTCAAGAGCCTCTCAAAGCCCCAGAAGATTACCTAAATGATCAGCTATCAACCCAAGCCGGTTCTGCTACCCCTTCTCCCACCGAGGAACTATCTCCAGATGGCAAGAAGTACGTGCCTTTGGAGTTGCCAGAGCCAGTCATGCTTGCGTCAGACGATTTTCCAGTCGACTCGGGCGCAAAGGAAGAGTCTGTAGTCCCCGGAACGGCCGGGAAGGCGCAAATCAAGAATTGGGACAGCAGTCCAGTAGAAAGGCGACAGCTTGATGTCGATGGATCTGAGCCACCAAAGGGGGCGCTCAATGCCCAGGGCGCCACTTCGACCTCATCTGCCTCCAACACCATGCCGACACCCCCGGAGTGCATACCCCAAGGATTCACATCAAGCTCCAGCTATGGCCGCGAAGAGTTCACGCTTGGTGGTATGTCAGACTCTACATACGAATATCTACCAAAACAGTACTTGCTCCTCGGTGGTCAGATCGAGAAGTACCGATCCATGTACGAACAGTCGATGGATGTTGTCAAGAAGCACTTGCTATTCCGACCGATGCTTCCGAAAGGGGAAGATGTTCTCTTCTCAGGCAAATTGAATGTCCCGTCCAACATTGACGATGCCAAAATCGGTGACCTCGTCGCTGAAAACGCACATCTTACCTGTTTTGCTGGCGGCATGTTTGGCATGGGCGCAAAGCTGTTTGATCGCCCCGACGATCTCGAGATCGCGAAGAAGCTAACCGAGGGCTGTGTCTGGAGTTACAGTATGACACCAACCGGTATCATGCCGGAATCGTTCGAGGTTGCCCCTTGTGAGGACAGAAAGGAATGTGCGTGGAACGAGACGGCTTATTGGGAGTACATTGATCCACGGTATGAGGCTCGAATGGAGAGTTACAAAGAGCAGCGCAAAGTATACGAGTCGCAGATCCACTCTGCTTCATCATGGTACGAAGCACAACTGGCTGCTATGACCGCACTACCTACACCTACCATAGCTGCTGCAGTTGAAGCCAAGGCCACATCTACCATGGTATTCGCTGATACGCTAGATAAGCGTCAACTTGCCGGGCTAGTGGATGATGTGGAAATCGCACACATGCCTTCTGCTTCTGCCAGCGCCCTGCAAGATCACGAATCGGTTATGGGCGGGGAGTCTGAGGAGGGCGAGGGTCCGCCAACCAAAGTCCAACCTGCGCTGAACATTGCGGAACTTGCGCCGCAGCCAGATCTGACTTTGCCAAATTTCCCATATGTCTACTCGCCGCAGCCAGTCTTGAATCACAAGGAATATGTCGAAAACAGGATTCAAGAGGATCGTCTGCCGCCTGGCGTTACAAGGATCGGAGCAAAGAATTACATTCTCCGGTAAGTCTCTTCCCCCCTAACTGTACTCTAGCTTGACATCTAACACCTATATAGGCCCGAAGCGATAGAGTCCGTCTGGTACATGTACCGCATAACTGGCGATTCTCATTGGCGCGACGCAGGTTGGCGCATGTTCCTTGCCATTGAGCAACATACAACCACTGAGTACGGTAACTCGGCCATTGACGACGTTACCAAGCTAGTACCGGAACTCAACGACGAGATGGAGAGTTTCTGGTTAGCGGAAACGCTGAAATACTTTTACCTCTTGTTTGCCGAGGAAGATTTGATTAGCTTGGATGAGTGGGTATTGAATACCGAGGCGCATCCTTTCAAACGACCTACATAGATGGTATTAGTGGGTTCGGATAACTATTGAATGTTCATGTTTGGAGTTCGGGGAGTGTTGATATCATCCTGAATGCATTGGACAGTCGTCATTAAGATACAAGATCGTCAAGTCTCATAACAGAATCCGTGAGCTGAGCGCAGACAAAAAGGCTAGTGCCTGAAAAAAGTTCACATTTATCGGCACCGTAACCGCTTCGCTAGCTATATCAAGACAGTACATGGGACCAGCCCTGGCGTAATGAGGGTAGACATGTGACTGCCAAATCCTTTCTACTTTCGTGCTCTCTCGACTCATACTACCGACTCTTGTAGGGTTGTCTCCTGGTGTCTCAGTGCTTCTCACTTCCAGTAAGCTGAGAGTCAGGTATATGCTGGGAATGTCGAGCAGCGTCGTCCCCTGGAAGCTCAACCGGTGGTAGATCCACACTCTTTTTATCGCCGAGCTCCTGTGGCGCTATGTTCTTCGAGTCCATCTCTTGTTTTGGGTCTTGGTGTGGCATTTCGGCGAACGCGCCTCTTCCGTCAACCTCTCCCCGCTCATCCGCGGAGATTTCCGGTGGTTGCTCAGCCTTCTTCTTCCGTCGTAGAAGCAGTAATACGGCGGCAGCGATGAGAGCGAGCCCGCATACACCGCCAACCACACCACCAGCTATAGCACCAGTGTTACTCTTGCGGGGCTTGCTTGCTACGCTAGGCGACGGCGTCGAAGATGGAGACGTCGAAGGAGACGCCGAAGGTGTGGCAGAGCGGGACGATGACGATATCTGACTAGGCGGTGTACACGCGTCAATGCTGTAATAGACGAAGGAGGAATTGTGGCAATCGCCTATGCTCGTGAACTGCAGGATTGTCGACGAGCACGGTACAAACTCTTCGCTGTCGGCTCCGTAAATTGTAGCTAATATGGTCAATGAGTGCAACTCCTCACAAAGAACGAGACTTGGCTCCTACCACTGCAGCCTGGGTCTAGTCCGACGACTTGGAAGCTTCCGTATTTGCCCTGGTCCCCCAGCCGGGTGCAAGTGCCATTGGGCTTGGTGTAAATGTTCAGTATGTCTCATGCAACTCGTATAGTGAAACTTACATATCCATTCTCTGCATCGAGGCTTTGGAAGGCGTTCTTACACTGGCTATCTGTAAATGTCGCGATCCTTGAGCTGGAAGCAACTTGAAGAAAGAAAGCAAGAGACACCAGGCTGAAGGTCATGAAAGATTCGATGTCCAGATAGGCCATGATGGTGGGGAGTGAAAAGGGCTTGCTCAATTGATTCGAGTCCCGCTGATGGCTTGAGTCCGGAAGCGTTGCAGCAGGAGAATCGAGAGGTGGGCGGAAGCATATTGCTCGTAAATGCGGCTCACATGTCTGAATCAAGAAAGTTGCTCCATCTTCACGGGTACAGTATGCGATAAGAAATGATCGCTGCAAAAGAATAAGCCAGCCTGATCACCCCTGTTGCTGTCAGCCTATCATAGTTCGAAGATGCACACATACGTAGGCGAAGAGCTAGCCCGAGAGCTGAATTCGAGCCGTACAAGGCAGTCTTGTAGAGAACTTGCTGCATCCGGCGCTCAATCAGTATGCCGTGATACGGAATAAATACGCCACCAACGCCATGAGATGCGTGTCCATTGGCTCCCGCAGCGGTTGGCCCCGACACGGCACGCTCCCGGCTTTGGTCGACCTAGCCTTCCCCGGCGGGGACGGTTCGCATTAATTAATATCGTATCATCTGTTCAGCTTCGTCAGCTTTATGCATGATGAGGGCAACCGCATTGTGACGAAGCAGGCAATTTACGTTACAAGGCCGTAGAATACGAGCGGAAGAGCGATCTTGGACCCCCGACCCGCAATTCGTGTCTGCCTTCGGATCGTCATCTTCTAATTTCAGCTGATGCGCCTTCATTGTATTCAGTGCCTCGTCCAAAAATGGAATCTGGTTGTCAGAACTAAGGTCGAGCAGAGTGATAGCTATACGGCCTCTTCATCAGATCTCCACCGAAATGCGGTGTGAGGAGGAGTATAAAGTCTGTCCGATCGGCTCGAGAAAGTCCTCAGATCAATCCAAGGCTCACAGAGAGAATCATATCCAGCCTAGCCATCATCATGCGCGCTTCAGTACTCGTTGCACTATCGTCCTTTAGCCTTATGGCTTTCGGCTGCACCAAAGTGACTAAGGTCACCCATACTTACTACGGGTATGTCAATAGGCGGAAACCCTGGCTAAGTATCCCCAGCTAACAGTACTCAGGTACCCCGACAATGACCCTCCAGGTCCGGCGACTGCCTACGACTGCGGCCGTGGTTTCAAGGCTGGCGGTACAGGCACCTATGACGACCCCCTGACTTTTGCCTCTGCTCCTGGCGAGTTCAACCAGTGTGAGATCATATACGATCCGTACACGCAAAAGTACTTGCGTTTCGAGGACTTTTGTGCTCAGTGCGACACCGACTGGAAGGCTAGCCCGCGCATCAACCACATTGATCTCTGGACTGGCAGTACCACTGTGAATGGTGGCCAGCAACAAATCCAGTGTGAGAACGATCTTACTCCAGGAGAGAGGAGCCAGACTATCGTGAGACAGCCGAGCAAGAATCTCAAAGTAGACAGTAAGTCGCGAGCCATAACGAGGCTCTGGGAAGAGGCTGACATGCAGTACCAGCGACCAAACTCTACGTTAAAGGCGCCAGCCCAGCCTGCCGGACTAGCCACGTCTACCCCAGTTACAACATTAACGATTACTGCTCATAGAGTATTTTCCGGGGTCAAAGAGTCTCAGTGCGGTTCGCTTCGATGGAATCGGTAACTTTACAGTCATTTCCGATTCATAGTGTATAAAAGAATCTTGACGAGCTGTCTGAAGCGGTGACCCAGATCTCTTGGCTGCAAAGCTTAGTACATTGGCATGTGATCTTCGTGTTTGACTCTATAGACGTACCATGCTGCATTCTCTCTCGCTCGCGAACCTAGTCGGCTTCGTAAGTGTTACAATTTGTTAGATGGATAAAGAGAGGGGCAGTGGACGTCGCGACACGCGTCTGTTTATCACTATCCTGATAGAGGGCGCACTTTTCTCTTGCACGTGTATTTGGCATGGTGTCAGACGTGTTCAATCAACGGTGTTGGTTGTAGTAGAAGTGATGTATGCCGAGGATCCGTCACGCCGCAATGGCGCGTTCCTGAGGCAGCGCGATTACGTGGGCCTAGCCCCTCAAATGACGCGCTGGAAACCGCGCTGCATCGTCAACTCAACCACAACATACGCGCTCCAATCTGAGAGCCTACGCATCGACCGTTGCCAACCAGTCTTCTGATGGTTTAGTCTGAATACCCTACAGTGTATGTACATGAAAAGACGAAGCTCGTTTAATCCCGGGAGAATCGCGCGTCCGCCTAGGCAATCGCGACTCACTTTGCGGAGAATTGCGCAACAAGGATCTTGTCCATGCTGAACTTTCTGATCATAAAGCTGACAATAAGCGCACTAGCTGAGAGTCCCGTGACCATGACGAAGACCGAATCGAAGCCTCTCATGTACGAAGAAAGAATGGCACTCTTCTTCGGGGAGTCCGCCATGGTGCGCAAGACGAAGATGTATTGCTCAGAGTCATGAGCTATGGATGTAGGCAGACCTAGCTCGGAAAGCTTGTCGGACATGGAATTTGAGAAGATCGATCCTGAGAGCTTGAAGGGGTCAGCTTTGGTTAAGGAGTCGGGTGAAGGCTCCACTTACGGCGACACCGATTGGCATACCCAGACTTCGGAGAAAGCCGTACATGCTCGCAGCCATTGCTGCATCCTCTGGCTTGGAAATAGCCTGAATACCGACATTGAGACTTGTCAGTACCATACCCATGCCAATACCTAGAACGGCAAGAAGCGCTGACGTGACTACAGTCGTGGAATCTACGTCTAGCAGAACCTGCAACCCACACGCAAATGTTGTAACCAACCAGCCACCCCAAATCGCCCATCGGAATCGTCCAAGACGCGTGGTCAATATCGAAACAATGACGGAACTGGGGACCGTGAGGAGGACGACCGGTAACATGTCAATACCGGCCTGGGTAGGGTATCTCCCGCGAATACTCATATCATAAAATGGCCAGTAGTACAAGGTCGTGAAGAGCTTGATACGTTAGCATAGAGTGGGCAGGACTGGAGGGGAGCGTACGAGCAGGCCGTTGATCAGCGCGTTGTAAAAAGCGGCGATTGCGCTCCAGCTTCCGAACACTGCCAGCGGCAATAGGGTGTGGTCTTTTCTGTACCATTCCCACAGGAAGAACGCAACGATTCCTGTCATTCCCGCGATAATAGGCGCAAGGGTCGCAACTGAGTCCCAGGGATGTTGGATGCCACCCCAAGAGATTCCAATCAACAAGCTCGTCATGCTGCCGATGAAAAGCACTGCGCCCAGCCAGTCAACTCGTTTGAGCTTCTCTTGAAACGTGAGTTTCGCCACCGCGTCAAGGCGCACGAACAAGATCGCAACGGCGAAGCCGATACCACAGAATGGATAGTTGATGTGAAATGCCCATCGCCAGGATGCGCTTTCCACGAGCTTACCGCCAACTACTGGACCGATGATGGATCCAATACTCCAGCATCCGAGAACCATCGCGAAGTATTTTGGGCGTTGTCTCAGTGGTACGATGTCGCAAAAGATGACTTGTGTCAACGTTATAATCCCACCACCGCCAATTCCCTGGATGCATCTCCCTCCGAGCAGCTCAGTGAAGTTGTCTGCGACCGAGCATAGTATTGTACCTAGATTGTGAAGGCATGCTTAGCGACCGTCCGTGATATGGAATAACGTACAAACTTACCGACCGTGAAGAAGAGGAGCGAGGCGATGAGGAGTTGTTGCCGGCCGAAAACAGCGGATATCGATGCGATGACCGGCTGGAAGATGGCAGAGGTGAGAAGGTACGATGTCCCTGTCCAGAACGCTTCAGCCGAAGTACCATCAAGCTTCTGTGCTATTACCTGCAAACTATGTCAGAACGTCTCGACGGCACTGAACAACGGGATGACCAACTGGCAGGACTGTCACTAGTATTGTGGCATCCAGCGCCACCATCAGCGATATGAAGCTTAGACTGATCATAATTACCAGCTCCTTCTTTTGTGGCTTCCATGAATCAGCAATGTGAGTCTCGTCTCTCCTTCCAACGTTCTCAAGGGGCATGTTGTCGGTCGTCCACAGCGAGTTGGTAGATATTAGATCTTTGACAGATGAGGCTGTAACTTTTTTCGAAAATTCCGGCCAATCGTTTAGTTCTAAAACACAATCAGTGGAACTCTTCCAGAAGCCTGAAATGTTGGAGATGTGCTAGAGTCCTCCAAACCTGAACACAAGCGAACTTTATGGGAGGTGGATTCAGCCATTTACACTATGGCACTACGGAACGCCATGCACACTACTGTATGGCGATATAAGAGTTTGGATGTACGGCTTTGCCGTGGGGCTTGCTCACCTCTAGTAAGCCTGACGTGGTTTTGTTTCCACGCACCATGAGGCTCGCTGTATTCATCGGTGGGTGTACTGCATGAAGAATCCCACTGCTCAAAGGTCGTCTCGTTCCAATGACTGCCGATCGCCATTGGGGGCGAAATAAGAAGAACGAGGATTGGACAAAAGATGACTTGTCTTAGAGACAGTGTGTGCGAGGTGGTAGTGTCGGAATCGATTGGGCAGTAAAGATCGGCGTCGATTTAGCTCCAGAAGTTAACCTCCAGTTGAGAGATTGAGGTACAGCGAGTGTCTGCTTCTATGGTCGAGGCTCACCCAAACAGATATGCAGCTTATGCATTGTAGTTGCTTCCTAGGCATTGAACATTATGGCACTAACTTACGATATCGTTGTTTCGCTTTCGCCCCCGAACCGAGCGCATGTCTGAACGAGCTATCCCATACCTACGGGGGAAAAAAAAAACTTCATCCCCTTAGGGTAACTGTCATGGCGTACCATGACACGGGTGGTTGTTTTGAAGATCGCTGCAAACGGCCAGCGTGATCCGGCTCCTGCATTGACACGTGCTTTTAGCCACTCGAGGCTCGAATTCGTAGAATCGCACACTAAGGCAGCTTGAAGGACCCAAGGTGCAGTTGATGTGTCGATGTTACGGCAGCCACTTCTATGCTGTCAGTTTGTAGACCCAGCCTCAGCCTTGCACCAGCTCGACGAATCACATCACTCATTGTCAGCACGGCAGCCAAGTACTTAGGTAGTGTTGGCCACGACTTTGCGCAGCGGGGAAGCGCCTCGAACGCTACCTTCCTGCTGTGTCGCACAGTCCAACATGTGGCTGGCATGCCAAAAGAATGTGGGGGGCCGTACTTTCGAAGGGGCGCATAAGCCTCACGGACACCAGGCGTTTTGAATATCCTCGCCTAGGGGCTTTTGCTATTGAGAACCGTCCCAACTGAATAACGGCACCGGGACGAGACCCTTATACGCTTCATCATGTTTTGCAGGACAGAACGTGCGCAATCTACCTTCTTTCAGGCCATGGTCGGCCGCCGTACCGTCTTGCTGGCTAGTTACCAAATAGGAAACATGAAGCGAACTAAAGAAAGTCCACTGCGAGGTCGATCGATCCTATGGAAGTTCTCGGTTCACTTCCAGCGCCCTGTACGTACGCAATTAGTATCAACAAGTCTCTGATTGCGTATCGGTTGACTTCCGGCGTCTCGATGTGTTTATGCTGGATACTTCCAGTTCCCCTCTCGTTGCATTGTTTACAATTATTGATACAGTGACAGTACACACAGTCCTTCAGTTTATCTACATCGGGATATATCACCAATCAACAAAGTGCCGTTCTATCCCGAAGCGCCTCACTATTGTCACCAGCCTTTTTGGGACTTCTTTATCTCCGTATCGGAAACCATCTCATCGATGAGTATCATGACAAACCGCAGAACAACTCACGACATAATCCCTGGCTTCGAGCTTGTCGCTCCCTCCATATGGGTGTATGATCCGCGGCCAATGTGCCGTGCTACACCTTTCTCGTCGCAAAGTTTGGTGGCACCGTCACTTATACTGCTATGCACATGGACAGGAGCCCAGAACCGTTACATCGCCAAGTACACAGCAGAGTACAGATCTCTTTTTCCTTCGTCACGTATCATGGTCATCACAACTTCCGCGAAAGATCTCTGCTTTAGAAATTCTGCAAGCAAACAGTGCCGCATGAAACCCGCCATCGAACGCATTTCCAACTACCAGTACCTGGCTGCTCAAGGCTTCGATAGTGGAATCCTATTACACGTATTTTCTGAAGGTGGGAGTAACAAGGCCTGCGAGTTAGCAGAGGCTCACTACAGGTTCACTGAGACACGACTCCCTGTCTCAGCACTATGTCTAGACAGCACACCAGGCCACCCACGCTATCTCCGCTTGTGCGAGGCCCTCAACAAATCCCTACCCCAGATACCGGTTCTGCGTCATATTGCTATACTATTCGCCAGTCTAGTGCTGGGCTGCATCTGGATACTCTACATCGGTATCAAAGGATTCGAGAACAACGTCATCAGTCGGACTCGAAAACGTATCAACGATCCTGTCTATTTCGATCCCACAGCACCACGCTGCTATCTTTACTCAAAGAGCGATACGCTTATCGCTTGGCAAGATGTCTGTGAGCACGTGGAACAGTCAGCATCTATTGGCATACCTGTCACCGAAGTGCTGTTCGAGAAAAGTGGGCATGTCGGACATGCGAAAGAAGAGCCGAGACGGTACTGGGATGCTGTTTGGGCGACATGGCAAGACGCACACATCATGGAGAAGGAAAACGTGTACGCTAAGTTCTCTGAATCAGACTTTTTGGTGCTGGATCTGCCGAAATTCCCAGCCTTTGCCAAACAGAGGTGGAGCGATGGCGATTTCCAACGCACTTTCGGACGAGCCATACTGTAGTAAATGGGGAATTGATCTGCTCATCGCTTCTACTTAGCTCTGATCTTAATTCACTTCTACGCACCCACAAATCTAATTTCTTTGTCTTGCAAGACGAGATCGTTTCATAACCCGCCCTCCAATGCGTTGTGATACTACTTCCGTTATCCCTTCGTAGCCACACTAAACACAACATTATAGTGGACTAACATGGAAGGTTGCGATTTCTTTGTCACACTTTTGTGTCGATCTCCAATTCAGCGCTGCTTCCAGCGTCCGATAGTCCTTGGGTCTCGCACATCCAGTACTTTCATGGTCGCCGTCGAAAGACATGTTAAGATGCAGATCTGTAAGACCTGAAGGTGGTACACTGTCAACCGGGTAATTGGGTCGATGCCCGCTAGAGACTATCGCGACCGGATTTGCCTAGCGTAGGATCCAGCGTGAAAGTGGCTTCACCCGCCCGTTTCCCCACGAACAACAACAAATTGTTTCTTGGCATGTCCTTCAAATGTGAAGATCACGCTGTAGGCATACAATCGGTGCGCCGATGGGTTCGCTGCATACCAATACTTAAAGGCCTCCTTACGAACCTTCGCCAGCCCAGAGGCTCCAGAGGACTCGTCGTAGGCTGTTGTGTTCGTATCCACCTAGCCAGATGATACAAATAGATGAGGTAGACAGTGTTCAGCCATCGTCATAGCATACGCAAGGCCTCATCACCTGCTATCGAGATCGGTTGCAACGCAAAGCTCATGTTTGGCCATCAAACATCGATCGGCTCAGCCACCACCTGCATGACCCAGCGGACAACACATCAAGAGGGCCACACCTCGTGTCAGGCTGAAAAGTGGCAAATCGCGAAGAGGGCTGTTAGTCTATTGGATAGATGGAGCTGCATATAAGACTCGTTCAGACCCCACATAAAACGGGCGCAGCGTCACAAAACTCGCATGTGAAGTGGAGGCTTCTTAGCCTCGCGGAGAATTAGACAAATCCTTGAAGATCTATGATGCGCGTGTGGTATCATGGCCGGAAATAGAAAGTGGTGTACGATTGGCAGTGGAGTGCACATTCATGCAAGTGTGAAGATAGAAATGACACGTACAAATCTGCGTCAGCGGTGGAATGGATGTTGTGTGGTCTGGGGCACACGTACACATCGGCACATCAGCTAGACGAGATGCTATGGACCGATCGATGAGCGTTGAGATGTGTCGATGTGTAAGTTGCGGTGTAGATAAATGTCATGTGAACACAATGCATGCTTAGCAGTCGGCTCAAGTAACGCCGACATATGCTATTTTGCTTCGTAGTATTGAGCAGCCATTATATGCCTGAATCCGCTATCTCATTAGGGCCGCCTCAATATGAGCGACCAAGTTTCATCCTTGAGAAGCCGCAAGCCCTATCCTACATGTATTTGATGACGGCGATCTCTCGCATTCGTCCAACACGTCGTTGCTGCATTTCATTAAGAAATTTGCCAAACTTTAACGCCCTGTGATCTACCACAGGTCTGCAAGCTGACAGCGATAACCCATCGAACCATCGTAGAGCCTCCCATGCCTCACTATTCCATTCAATGTCGCTGTCCCCCAGAGTGATCTGATCAGTAGCTATCTTCCCCAGAACAGCTAGCAAAGAGGGGAGCGGCGGTAGTCCAATGCCACCTTTGTATTGACGAGACAGAACAATCTCACGGCTAACGAGTACGATGGACTTGCATACGTCGATATGAGACACGCTCAGCTACATACAGCCATCTTTGCTTTGATTGTTTAGGCACTCCTCGAATGGCCATTCGGTAGAACTGAAACACATAGCCACTGCTCATCGAAAGCTCTCAGCTCTCGCTGTAGTGTGTGACTGTGCAAACCTTGGAATGCTTTGCAGTAATGAACGCCTTCATTCGGTAGTGGCTCACTGCTGTGTTGTCGCTGCAAGGCCCTGGCGAGCATTGCTTGATATCGATGTCAATCCTAATGTCACCAATTTAATGACGATATACATGTGCTTGTGGTCGAAAGGTATGTCATTGGGATGGTGTCATATTGCTGGAGCTTCAGGGTGAGCCTGGGCATCATTATCGATAAGCAACGCGAAGATGCACTTATCACGAGCTAGTGTCGCGCGTCCAGGTAGGTCTCATTCTTGGCGGTCTTCCGCTTTGCACTTACCGCTTCCAAGTTCGTCAGTTCATCACCTGCACTTAGTCATTGGATGTCTTTTCACGGATGTCTTTTCACGGATGTGCAACAATACTTGAAGACCCTAGAAATTACTTTGTAAATTAACTGTTATCCGAAAAGTTCGTAAAAGACTTATCGATCGCTTCGACTCAACTCCTGCGGCTTCGCCTCACGATTATCTCAGTTCGCATCAATCTTGCCTATCAAGAACCTTGGCGCAGGACCTGCGGCCTCATCCGAGTAAGAGAAGTGGGCAGCAGTGATAGTAAGCGTCCCAACGCATACAAGATCACCAGTAGCACAGTATACCTCCAGGTCCTCGCTAGGGTAGTCAGGAATGCCACCACGATTCTGGGCATTTCGTGTGTAGCCGAAGAGCACGACACCCTTGACTTGATTGCGAATCGTAGTAGAGAGCTTGGGAATGGCTCCCGCGATGACGGCGGTACCTTGGCTGCCGAGATGTCAGTGAGAGTCTCAAGATGGAAAGGCATGCAGAATAAGTACGTACCTGTAGCCGCCAGCAACAATAGGAGTGTTTGGACACTTCTGATTTGCTTGCTCAAAAAGGCCCACAGCTTCATTTATCGCAGCCTGGGAAGTGCCGCCGGGCAGTGCGTTCGAGCCTAAATCTGCCGAGTATGGTCCGCCAACACCTTGGACCCACACATTGCTGGCACCATAGTTGCGTTCAAGAGCGCTGGCTACTGCAGGGCCGGCAGAAGCGCCCTGTCAACGTGTTAGTCTTACGCCCTCAATTACATGCGGTATGTAACATACCATGTTACCACTCTCAGTGGAAGCCCGGGCGAAAATGAAGATTGCCTCTGGGCAAGAACCAGCTCGGCCATCTTCAAGTTCGTTTCGAGTGGTAGTGCCGAAACCGAACTGACGCGCCTGTATCTCGTTCTCTGAGAACTGAGCCGCCGAGGAGATGGGCGAAGCCGCCGCAAGGGCAGTCATCATGGATAGAGTGAAGTACTTCATGTTGAGGTCCTGTCGGGGTTGAGGCTGTTGGAGAAGAGAATGGAGTGATTTGGTGGTGCTGTTGAGATGCGAGGGTGCTGTTCAGAATAGCGAATGTCTTCCACATATTTATCTCCTTTCTGAATATGTGCGCGGATATTCGGCCATCGATCAGCCTTCACTAAGCCGTGGCAGCCTCGGAAGTAGAAACCAGCATTGATGGTCATTGGGTCAGTGAGTTCGCGCTCTAGCGTTCCCATGTCTCCACATCCGTCCCCCCACGTCTGACATTTTCCGAAGGATACGCATTTGGCAGTGGCTGCAGAGTGTTATGCTAGAGTTACAGGTTCATTGGCGAGTCAGTGTCTTATAGCCGCAGGTACTGTTTCTCTCCTCACAATGGGAAATGCTCCGCGATCATTTAGTCCGTACAATGTGCGGACGCCGAGCGTGATCTCAGGATCCAAACTACAGAGGGTGAAGGGACAAAAGGCCCCGTGAGCGACTGCCCTGAAGCTGTGGTGTGAATGTAAAGGCAAGCACAGGGAACAGCTGGCTAGCGTATCCTGGTACGTGCTCACGAAAGTCAGTATAGACTGGGCGGCTCGGACACGTGGAGGGCTGGTCAAAACCACAATCTCTTCGACAGAAGAACTGTGCTTCTTTCCGTGTAGAAGATCTAGAAAGGATCCGGACCTCGGATCAAGAAGACAAGAATGTTGGAAGCTTGTCAGGGATGGCAAGCCACTGGCCTAGCGCCCGCACGAACACAGCGATCTCCACTGGTCATTCGTGTCCCGTGCAGATCATAATTGGCTCTAGGACTTCTCCAATCGCTACCGATAATCCCTCGCGACATGCTGTCGATATCGAGATGGCGTGCTTGGCAGTCAGTGAGGTTGCCGCCCCAAGCCACGCTTTCTCTGTAGCTTCGGGTCTTTAGCCTGTAACGGTTTTGTACTCTGGCCGTCGCGGGAGGAACCGGCGAACTCCTATACAGGCTGCTATTATTGTGCGTATCAATGACTCTGCGATCAATTCCGTAACGAAGCATAATTTCTTCTTGACAGACAGCAATAATCACGGTGCTGTTATTTCAAGAACTCTTAGTCAACCTATGGGCAAATTATCGCTCGGTGATCAGTCCTGACAAGAAAACGCGTGGATGCCGATGCTGGTAAGCAATGCCAAGAATGCCAAGAGTGTACTATACTGTGGCGCGATACGGCGGGTGGCGGGACGGGTGGTAGTAGATGAGTAACAGTCAGACATCGTAAGAAATGTCACAGCCACAAATATTCAAGAAAGTGGCATCCTCACGCTGGAGGCGACGATAAGGACATCAACCGGCAAATTAACCAAAGAAAAAGCAAGCACCTCATCCATCGGTCTGTTTAGCCGTAGACGTAAGTTGAGTAATGAGCATGGCACCGTTGTTGATGACATCCAAATGAGGGACGGTTCTTACAATAGCAGGTGGCTTTGAAGTATTCTTACTCAGGACGAATCAGCGTGGGGGCTGTCCATGTCCGCAGGATCTGCAGCTGAGTTGTACGCCCGAGAACAAGAAGAACAAGACGGGTATGTGAACGTGGGATGAAATTAGGCAAGTATTATGAACTGGTATCAAGGATATCGGTGATGGGTGAAACTCTCCGCCACTAGATAGACGCAGACCTTAATATCAATACCTCAACTTCCTGGTTCCTCTGGTCTTCTTGATCCACTTAGCATCTCTTTTGCTCAGTTCCACTGCACTCCTCTTCCTCTTCGCATCACCGCCACCAATATTGGCAGCAGTGATATTTCCACACTCGGGTGTTGTTAAGCTTTGGCCAAACTGATCCGCGGCCCAAATGAGAACACCGTTCGACCACCCGAAACCTTCCACGACCTCATACTCTCCGCCTCCACCGGCAGCGTTGGTACTCTCGTCGGCATACTTCTCGAAGATCGTTCCATTGCCCTGAGAGTCGGGAAGTTGCGGTACTTCGTCAGTCGCGCCACCAGTGACACGCCATGTGCAGTACAACGAGTCAAGATAGCGCTGTGCGAGGCGGAGTGATAGATCTTGCGTCCAAATGTAGTCTTCTGTTGATTGCTCGTCATCGTCTTCGCTGACCTCGAGAGGGGTGTTGAGCAAGCCTTGCATAAGGATGTATTGGAGCGGTGGCCAAACGTTTGGTTCATCCCACTGCTGACCAGTCTGAAGGTTCGTCGCCGCAATCGCGCCGTCTCGAGACTCGAGAAGCTCTTCAACGCGTGCGTATACGCGCCTCATTGCCTTAGGGTCATTCTTGATGCTTTCAGGAGCAGCACCTGTCCAGAAGGGATAGAATTGAGAGATCTGGAACCCCACTTGTTTTCCGGTTGGCGCGCCTTGGAGTGACAGGGGCGTACTTGTATTGTCGGCTAGAGTGTATACGTTCTGACTGCTAGATGTCAAGTTGTAGTCGAAGTAGCTGTAGTGCTCAGGTGACCAAAGGAACGTAGTCATTGCCTCACTACGGTTTGCTGCCCGACCAGCCCACTCGCGTGCAGCAGTGTAATTGCCTTGATGGCGATGAAACTCAGCAATGGTGATCTCATTGTAGTAGAGAATCGAATTGAGCTCCACCGGAATAATCTCAATAGTGTTGAGCGAGCGAAGGGGGAAGAACGTGTCCGCGACGGCGTCAGACGGATTGGCTATCCAGCGTGACGAATAATCCCATCCACTCTCTGCGCCCGAGGCAAGGTTGGAGTATAGTGTCGCCATTTCAGTCTCATTGAGCGGCTGCGTTGCATTGAACTCTTGGCCCTCTTCGTTGAAATAGGTCGCATTGTTTGCAGTCACATAATCCTCGTAGTAAGACTCCGGTCGTGGCTGTGTGTTCGACACGGCATAGTGGTTCAGAGAGTAGTTCATACCGGCGCGCTCGAGCATTACGGTACGGTTGTTCACCCAGAAGTCATACTCTTTCTCTAGGATAGGTAGCGCCCGCTCGAGCAGAGTATAGTTCTGGGTATATTCGACGTAGACCCGAACCATCTGGGTAAGTAGGGGTGGCTGTGATCGATTCTCGTAGTAACGCCGAGCGCCATTGGGTACGAAACCAATGTCTTCGACGAGATCCAGGAAGTTTTCGATGATGTTCTCTGCAATCTGAGTAAAGGACCCTTGAGTGCGAAGTAGACCTTCAATGATCCAGAATGAGTCCCAGTAGTACGGTTCTCTAAAACGACCACCAGCTACTACAAAGGTACGATTGACCGGAAGGAAAGAGTTGACGCAATCGGAGCAGTTTCCAGCCCCGACATAACGGCGCGTCAAGTCCGGCCATATGTCGATGACCTGACGCGTGAAGTCTCGAACGACAGAGCTGTTCACATTCTCAAGGAAATCTGGCTGAGTTTCCAGCTCATCGGTGGGTACTTCTTCGAGCTCTGAGCCGGCTTCGCCGAAGTACTCGGAGAGGAAATCATTGAGCGCGGTGTTGTTCTCGATTGGCCTCGAGAGGTTGGCGAATGCTGCCAGTACTTCGTCTAGTGGGCGCGTTGTTGGCCTGCCATCAATGAGCCGTGATCCAATTCGACTTCTTATCTATAGTACTTACAAATCAACGAACGTCTTTGAATCCGCGAAAGGCCTCGCGAGTTCAATCTCGCGGAGTAGGTCGCCGTAGCAGTATATAGGAGAGTCACAGGGTGCGATTACGCTGCCATTGATGAACAGCGCGTTCGCCAATGGCGCGCTTGTAATGAGGGCAGCAGCCAACGAGCGCATTGACACCATGGTTGAGGATCAGCTCTTGTCAGCAAAGAAAATGATGAAGCTGAACCGATGCATGGGTAAACGGTACTGCCTACTTAAGTACTCGGCCCTACGAGCCTAGTACGCAAAGAAACCTGCCATTCACCGAGTAGCTCGGGTACTTTGACCGGTTCGCACACGTACGTGGCTGGCCAGAGCACGAGGAACGCGCATCGTCATCCTTGGCAATGTTCCCAAAAGTACCCAAGTCGTTCTTCGGCATCAGCAAACGGCGTATCACGAGCGCGCTGCTACTGATAAAATGTGGGGAAGTCAAGCATTCCCCGCGAGTGCGGCTGTCGAAAATGTCTTAGCGTGATGTCATCGCCGTCAGCCCCGGTCCGAACCACGGAACACAACACCTGGGCGGCGTGGCAGACTCTGCTCATCACGATTCTGACACTGCCATACATCTGTCACTCGTTTATGATCCGATGAAATAACGAGACAAAGATGAAGTAAAGCATAACTATATACGTTGAGAACGACGGAGACACTATACCATCCTCTGGATCGAAGGGCGTAGCTCCTGCCCGCAATCATGTACGCCGATTCTTCGTCACATGTGGCTTCATTGTCAGTTCTGTGATACCCGGTTAACTACTAAAACGCGACTTGTTCACATAGGCGCGACTCGTACCCCGCCGGCCTGTTCGATGTGTCGGAATAGCAGGGAAAGCAGCCATGAGCGCGTACAGCTGCGACACTACCATCACCCCACAAAGCCATACACGTCGCCGTATAGCGCAGAGAGATTAAACCAAACGTTCATCTATTGAACCTGCACAACTACCTTTGTGAGCTGTTGTAGGCTAGCATTGATACTACCCTAGTATATATCTATCGCAATGTCACGCATCGTAGTCAATCGCAGCGACACATACCCTAGGAACATATCGACGCTATCATTATTCCTCCATCTCAAAAGCGGATTCTCGTTCTACCGCAGACCAAAGCGCGGTGGATTGGTGACTTTTATCACCGCACCTTAGCCACTTGTCCGCCCTGGTGTCTCTTTTGTGGAAACCTCTTTAGCAACTTCAATCAAAGTTCCTCCTCCAGCTTCCAGTACATATGTTGACCTGTCTTTTCCTGTCGTTGTTGCGCATACCTGCACATTTACTACATTTGTCCCTTGCCTCGCTTCTCCCATCTCCAAATCGCACAATGATAAGCCCGAGAGGGTTTTACAATGGCTAATGACTTTCTCCTTCTCACTATGAGTCAAAATGCCTGCTTCATTGTAAGGCACGATCTTCCACTCGCCATCGTACAACGCTGGGCAATCCACAGGCATCATGGCTACGTGTCGATCCCCGGCCGAATAAGCGAAGTAAAGTGCATCATAGGAATCGAGCCCCAGTGTATCCAGAAACCCAAGTTTGTGAAGAATTCGGAGGTAATCAAGAGAATCGCATGTACAGCTCACGGCTGATAGATTATTCGAAGCATGTCCGAAAGTCCAAGTAGTTTTCGGGATACGCTTCATGACGCGTAATAAAGCCAACAAGTTCCATTCCTGTATATCCCAGTCTTCATCTTTCAGATGCACCGTAATGTGAGTTAGTGATGGGAAGAAAGTGTTGTTTGGTGCGAATGTATCGAGAAAGCGAAGAAGATTGGAGAAGTCTATAAAGGCATCCCAGTTTTTGTAAAACAGCGGCCGGAACTCCGTACGCAGTTGCTGGCATGTTGAGATAAGACCAATGGAAGATTTGCGGGCCGTGTCGCCCTGCTTGTCAGGCGGAAGACTTGGTACGTGTACCATATGTGTAAGGCACATGTTATCGTGTATGTCATGATTGTTTTCGATAGCGAATTTATACACTTTATTCCGTAGTTCTGCTGGTAGACAAAGGGATGAAAACGGGTTCGATTCGGTTGTAGATATGTCTGGTTGATCGATGAGGTGCGGTGAGTGTTGGAAGTCGGACATCGTGAACTCGAGTTATATGGGTTGAGGGTATTACAACCACCGGGGGCAAATTTAGTACGAGCGGTCTATCATACTTGGAGACGCTCAAGGTAGCCCCAACTCCAGTGAAAGTACGCCTTCCTGGCGTCTGGTACCTGCTCTTGCGGAGTTTCGCTCTGCATGCTAGTGAAATGTTACCTCAGTCTCAGATCATGCGATTGAATGAATCTGCAGCTGTGGCGAGGCCCACTGAAGAAGTGTCTTGCGCCTCTCGTGAAGGATTCCTGATAACGTTGCGAAAGCCGTAGGTGCTTAGCAGTGAGCGAAGGACAGAACTGCCGCTCTGTCGCTTGGACAGCAAATGATGTGTGTCCTGTAACAGCCATATCGTTTTTCTTTCGCATTCCTCAACTCCTGGATAAAGTTGACGCGAATGTCTTGATCGAATTCTCATCCCAACATCCTCGCCAGGCCGCCCAAGCTTACATTGAGACTAAAACTCAACTTTACGCCCTTGGCTTGGGCCGTGAACTCCTGACTGTGGTGACTCCATTCTCTCCGAATTTGCGCACGTTGTTGAAGCGTGCTGGGTTTCCTTGGTAAGGTCGTCGCTCTCTTTTCACTCTCTGCGCGTGCGAGAATTCTTCGTTGCGCATTCATTGTGTCTTGCAAGATCGGTCCCATCATGGCTTGGACGCCCACAACCTGATGTGGTGGTATATTTTCGGAAACAAGTTTGCCGCTCCGAGTCTGGGCGAGGAAGCTTTGATACCGGTAGGAATGCAAGACGAAGTTTTGGATGTCCGTTATGGCGTTCTTTTGGAGGAATGTAACAGCAGACTTGTAGTGTCGCAGATCCCAAACGGTCGCGTTCTTCTCGGTTATTAAAAGAAAGTTATCTCCGGCGCCTAGTGCTACGAGGCGGGGTCTATCAGTCCAACTCCCATCCTGGATGTTGTTCTGCAGGGCAACGAGTAGAGGTCCTGGAAGGTTTTTCCAAAGATAGGAAGTTTTGTCGTGGACGAAGAAAGATGAGTTGTACGGCCCTAACGTACACCGGATATTGGAGACGTTGCGGTTCCGAGTATGCAGAAACTCAACTAACTCGGCCGGGAGTCCTGAGCTTTCAATGCGATCTGTCCCATCCGTATCACGCCAGGTAAGGAGGAAAGCATCCTCAAAACCTAGGGTCACATGATGAATCTTCTTCAGTTGTGAAGAGCTGAGTAATCTCGCCAACTTTCTCGGGAGACGTGCGCTACACTACCATTAGCATCATATGATCATATTGTTCCGTATATGCAAGCATACATTTCTCGTCGCGAGGGACATTGGAAGAAGTGGCTGCCCCGTTGGCCAAACGTAAACGTGGAATCGCACATGTGCCGCCGAAAACTCGGGCTCGCTAAAAGGGGAACGCTCGGTCTAGATCGGTAGAAGCGGTGTGGGACGCAGAAACTAGAGTGTCGCTATAAAGCCGCAATGTTGTGAAGAAGTAGGCAATCGCACGACTGATAGTGTTGACACTCGCCTTGCCAAGGCTCGATCGCTTCCAGGGTGCAAACAGGATAGCAACAATCTGAAACCGTTGTCTGGCAGTGCGCGCGAAAGTTTGTGAAGACGTCACAGTGGCGGACAATTATCCCGCGGTTGTGAATTACGCATTCGCGTGTATATTATAAGTCGACTCAAAAGTTCGAGCGCGTCGCTGACATCAGTAGAGCGCGATTCTCCAGCCTCCCGATACGTGACGTCATAAGTGGCTCTCACCCCAGCCCAATCACGCGCAGCTAGGCATGAGCGGTACCAACACCTCGTTCTTCTCCTTCGGACTTGACGACAGCTTCATATCCAAAAGCTTCGCGGGTCTTACTTAGTATGCTACCTATTACATTTCCTACGCGCAAAGACTGACCAAACAAAGCCGCAATCTCCCTGCCAGCCTCCAAGATCTCCTTTTAGGCAGGACAGTATCGGAAGTGCATTGGGCAGCTCTAGGGCCAGCGCCTGACTCCTGGATTCTTAGTTCCAAAGACTCGTCAGGAAAGGACAGTCTGCGTTGGGGCCCTGCTATACCCGCACGGCTCCAGAGCATCCTAACCAAGACATGGCATTCTCCCCACTTGCGTGCCTTCTTGGGACCAGACGACTCCTTCATCATCTGGCACCCTGAGCTCATTCGTTGGGCAAATCTACCAACGCCCCTAGAGGATGCATTGCAGTCTTGGTTGACACCTTCAGGATGGCGATGCGGGCCACCGCGCATTGTGACCTGGGGCCCTGAAGGCGCGTTCTTCGCCATGAGCGAGTACGGCGACGTCGTGTATCGCTTAGGTGATGCGAACGCCTGGGAAATCTACAAAGAGACGGTAGAGGAATGGAAGGCAGAAAAGGGCTTCGTTTGGACCGATCTCGCTTTCATCACTCTAGATCCTACAAGCGTTGATCAATTCATCGCGATCCGAAATGACGGGACATGGGCCGGGTCCATTGACGATGTCAACGAAGAAGCGCTAGAGACCTTCGCACTCAATTTCTTTGCTCGGGCGAAGAAGAAGACAAAACCCAGCACATCCCAATCTGGCGGGCAAATGCCGAATGGTACAACCTACCCCACGGAAGCGAAGCCAGACGCAGCGACACAGGTACTCTACGAGAAATGGTCCACGGAGGCGGCAGTCATGTTCGCTGCCGCCTCAGCAGCAGCGGGAGGTGCGAAGCCCAAAGCCCCACGGAAACTACAAGTGCGCTCGCAGTCAAGCACTTCAGACGTTTCCCGACCACCGCTACAGCGCATGCCATCTGCATCACCCAAACTGCTTTCCATGTTTCCCTATCTGCCCAACACAGTCACAACTTGCAACCTAACAGCGTGTACGATACTCAAGTCTGAACCGGAGAGTATACACGCCTGCCAGCATGACGTGGAAAAGCTACTTCGAGCAAGTGGTCTGTATAGCTACGAATGGTTGCGACAAGAACGTTTGCGGTGGCATCCCGATAGATTCGGGCGGCTATGCGAGGAAGAATGGAGGGAGACGGGCAAGAAGCTTGCAGGCGAAATGTTTAAACTGATGAGCGTGTTGATAGAAGATCTCAAGTCGCGGACAGGCGAAGGCAGTTGAAGTAGGGATGTATAAGACATAAATTCCATGACAGATCGACTCAATCTCATTAGGCCTGTCGAGCAACCAGCCTCAAACTATTGTTGTCTTTGCCTAAACTCACACTACTACTTGCAGCCACCTCTTCCAATCGCCGTCTTTCCACTGGCTTAGCTTCTTCCGTAACTACATCATCCATCTCGCAAAATAACGTTGCCAGTATCGAACTCTTCCACAATCTTCCACTCTCCACACCCCTACTCTCAATATGCACTAGTAGCAGGAAGATAGCCGACAAAGCGATCATCACAGCCGGAAACGTAATCCAAGTCCAGTTGATCTCGATACAAGTCGTCGTATACCACATCGTACCTTCAGCAGGTTTGCTATATCCCTCCGCGCCGTGGGTGCGAAGAACGGTGTTCATCGCGTTTGTCAGATTTGTCATGATACTGCTGACATGCTCTAAAGGCGCATCAGGCAACTGTCCGCTGTCCCACAAGACACGCATATAGGCGTTACCGTAGCGAGAAGATATGATGTCCATGAGAAATTGCTGGCCATAGACAGCCACGAGATGAGTCTGTATAGCCGACGTGGACGCACGGAACAGGGACCAGACGCAGTCTTCGGGGTACCATACAAGCTCTGCACCTGGGCCTTCTGAGTCCAGGCCAGTTGTGTTGACGGGAGCAGCGTCGATGTTGCCTCTAGCGATAGCTAAGTAGCCAGGTGTTTCCGAAGTCTTCACGTCGCACGTGGTTTCTGTGCCATTGCGGATGGTTTGCTTGGTGGCTAGACGGAAGGAAGTGGTGCCACCAAAGGCTAAATCCTCGCCGATGCGTACACTCTTGACTATCTCTTCTTTGAGGACGCCGTTGTGGTAGGTTGCTTTGATCGTGTTGACGGTAGGGTATATGCCGCAAGTCATTGCCTGATATTTAAGGGAATCGTACGGGACGTATATCATGCCTATCGTAGCTATGGTGCCATTGTATACTGGTTGCGAGACGTCGGTCACAAGCTTTCCCGGCCAGCCTGCGAGTGGGAACCTTATGGGGGGATCAAAAAGGTTGTCGGAGATGCTCAGAGAGAGTCCAATGTTTCTTACTTTGGTACCATTCTTCAGAGGTATACCATAGTCGTACCCGAGCGGAATTGACGTGTTGGTGCTGTTAGTGTTGATAATTGTCTCGGAGCCGGTCTCCGCTCCATTCAAGTAGGCCGGTGGTAGATAATCATCAACTTCACTGTCATAGTTGAGCGGCGTTTCTACCACTTGTGAAGTGACATCTTGACACCAGTAGCCCACACCCAGAGTTGAAAAGGCCGCTCCATTCGCATCTGGAAACGTGCAATTGCCGGTCTTGCATCCGTAAGAAAGAAGATTTGTTGTGTCTTCGAGCGGTTGGAGTATACCAACGTCCATAGCTACAGTCAAAGGGAGGTACTCGTCGGCTGTTGTTGGAGTCTTCCTCTCGCCGCTTTTGTCGAAAGCATTGGATCTGAGTATTCCGACTGCGGCACTTTCATCAGGGCGGAGACAGTCGTTAAAGACGATGAGTTGCTGAGCGGCGAACCCTGTGAACGCGGACATGACGGTGACGAAGGCACCCATTGTAGCGATGAAGTATGGCTTCTTGATACGAAGACCGAAGATGAACAGGACAGAGCCCCATGCACCACGACTTGCGGAATCGAATCTTGCCATATCTTCCAGCTTGCGTGCTTTACGGAACCATTGCCATTTCGATTGACTGATTCCTGTGTCTGTTAGCGGCCGTTTCAAAATGTTCTGCGAACACATAAGAGCATCAAGACGTACCTTCAGCAAGTACCATGCTCACCCCCGCCCTGATCATCATGGAGAAGAGCGAAACAATGGAGTTTATGCTAACGATCTGCGGCCAATCCGGTAGAGGACGATTTTGATGCGCCGTAAGGGTAACAATGAGTCCAATCAGTGACAGCAAGGCAAATATGCAACTGCATGTCTCTGCTGTCCAGCCCTTTCTCCATATCCGCAGTATGGCGTTAGTGAACGCGTTCCAGCCTCGAGCGATACCGCGTGGAATCACCAGTAGAGCACCCAGGAAACCCGCGAAGCATCCTCGGGAACCTGCAGTACTTCTTTTCTCCGACTGGCTCTGATCGGAATCCTCAACTGTGTTGGTTGCCGGCTCTTTGCGCTGTTGGAGTAGCGGGCTCGATGGTGGTGGCCCTGCGGGATCCATGCTTGGAGGGAAAGCGATGTGTACTGTCTACGTTTGCAGTGTCCTCACGCTATATGGTCTCTTCGCGTGAAAGTACCAAGCGGCATGGCAGGGCGTATATAAGGCGTCCTGCGCCGTAACGGCCCTGCAGCGCGTACTAGCGAGTTGTCCCATATTGACCAGGGTCAATTGTCCGGCGACGCGAGACTGTATCGTTAGATGAGACTATTGCGATGACTAGAGACCGGTATTCAGGAAATATCTCATGTGGCCTTCTGATGCTGTCATGAATAACGTGTCTCAGTGACTTGTCTTGTCATACCTACATTATACGCTCTTTCAAGTTTGTGTGATGAAGACGCCTGCAGATCCCTGGCCCCGGCAGGGTACGTCCCAAACCCAAGCGCTTCGCCCCATCTCCAACTCTTCACCCCACATATCATTGGGTGTACAGACTAGCTCGGCGGCACTGTGTGACCAAGATGCAGGAAGCATTGCGGGCGGGGGCGGCACGAAGTTGGGAATTATACGAGGGAAGCCACTGAGACCGTGCCGTCAACGTGTTTTCGCCCCGTGGACCCACAACGTTCAGGCACGACTTTACCAAGGAAGGAACGATCGCTGTTCTTACTGCGCATAGGGAAGGGCTGTCGCCAAAATCTGTTTAACTTATTGAAGATGGGTTGAGAGGTTGCTAGTAAGTGTTGGAAGCCGAGCAAGCAGTTGCCCAAGTGTGCCGGATTACACAATGTGTCCATAGCGCGTTCTTACGCATCGACGCAAAATTCCAACGGCACGTGCAAGCCATCTGCAAAGTCGGTGATAAGTTATGTACACGAAGCGAACGTGAAGGTATTATTCTAAAAGTCGTCACATTGTGCTGACCAGTGAATGTGGAAGAACAAGACTCGTATGGAGCCACCGCAGATACCATCAAATGGTGATCAGGTATACGCCTATCCTATCCGTGAACGCCGAGTATTCCAAAAGGCCGTTATCAAAGACAAAATATCTGGCGACGAAGCGCTGAATCGCACGCTGAAATTGCAGTGACAGTATATGTTCATGAAAACCAAGTCGGTTGCTGATTGTACCCCGGATTATCGCCAATATGATCGTCGTCGTACTCTTCCACTTCAAACTTGGAGCCTAGAGCCTCGTTCGCTTCTCTGAGCATAGCACTCATTTGCATGCTCATCCTGCGCATCCGCTCGTCTTCCTCCATCTCCTCCCTTCGTACTTTGTCGATCAAACGTTGGCTTTCCTGCGGCAGAGGGCTTGCGACGTTGTTTGCATTATCCTCAAGCATGGCCGGTGAGCCGAAGCTTTGTTGATGATAGGAGCGCGGTCGTTCGTTTGAGCCAGGGGTGAACTTTGGACTACCGTAGAAGGATCGCCTATCCATTGTCGAACGTCGGGAGACCGGGATCAGAGAGGGCCGCTTGTGGGATGGTGTTCCTGTGTTCGCTCGTGATACAGGCCGTGGGATGAGTGAGGGCGATCGGTCGGGCAATCTTCGTTCGGATAATCGCGGTGTTGAGGGTCTCGACTCTGTCTCCAAGTTTGTTCCAACTACCACCCAGTTATCTGCCGTCCGCAGGCGCTTGGTCATCCTAGGTCGCTCGGGAGTGATCGAATCGATTGACTCAACTCCATAGTTATCGCTTGGGTATTCAGCAGGTAACCGTTGTACTGGGCCTGCCTCAAAGGGGTCGTCCTGGAGACCAAGTTTCGCCGCAACCTCCTCTTGCGCGTTGATATTGTATCTCGCTCCTCCTCCTGCTTGGAAGCCCCTGAAAGGTACAGTACAGAACTGGAAGAGCTTGCCGGCTACGCCTCCGACTAAGCCGATTAACGACCAAGATTTGCTCTCGCTGGGTGTTGTATGCATTTCGCCAACTGCGACATGTCTCGCCACGCCAACCTGAGGTGTAGGTGGAACTGACCAGTTGCCGCGCGACTTCTGGAGGTTGAAGTAGTCGTCGTAGTCGCCGTCTCGTCTCGTGTAGTTGTTCGTGCCATCCATACCCCCGGCAAGTTGATAGCGGTCGTTCGCAAGCGGAGGTGGACTTTTGTTGTCGCCAAAGCGGTCGTTATTCAGGGTATGTCCACCCCAAGGGCTTGTCGCGGACTCATGCGCCGTGGAGCCATACCGGGAGCGCTTGCGGGTCGCGTGGACATCTGGATCGGTCACCTGGTGGCCGGAGGTTTCAGGCGCGTAGGTCGGATCGAAGTAGCTCCTCTGTGACTTTGCGCGCGCGTTTGAGGGCGAGGGAGTATATAGCCCGGGCATTTCGTTGGAGTAGCGCGAGGTTGCCATGCAGGGAGGTGGATACGGAGGCTGCCTCTGGGATTCAAGGTTGGCCAGGCACCGCTAGCGAGCGAATGATGTCAGGCTTGCTGCACGAATTATCGCTACCCGTCGAAAGCTTCCTTGGCCCGGTGGCCTAGATGGTCAAAAAGTAAAGTGCATGTCGGGTGCAGCGTATCGTGGTCGGGTTGAGTGGGGAAGTGCGGAGGTGAGCTATTGTTTGTGTTCAGCCGTCGCTGTGGTAGCGCTACGGACGGACCACCGCAGTAAGGAGTGTTCGCAACAAAATCGTTTGTATTCAGGAGCAAGGACTAGTATATGGGATTCAACAGAGAGCAGTGAGCCTATCTATACACACGACAACGCCTACCATGAGGGTATATCTGCCCGAACGCCGTCGCAATGAGTAATGTTTCCCTACCAAACGCCAACGCCATGGCTCAAGTGCCTTTACGCCCTCGCTATCCAACCGCTGTGTACAAAGTATTCAAACAGTTGCGACGACTTGTTTGTGTCAATCTTACAAATTTCACGGGCGGTCTTCTTCTTGAGCGCGCCGCCGTTGTTTAGAGCCGCTCGAATAATGGTTTCCTTGAGCGCTAGATAGGGCTTGGGCATGATGCGTAGTGTGCTGCATATCTCCACCTCCTCGGGATTGAGCAGCTGAAGATCCGCCTTAGACTCCTTGCCGAACTTCAAGGGTACAGTGTTCGGTAGCGACTTTGGCACGAACTTTGTCTTGGAAAGCTGAGGTGTCAGAACGCCGTTGGCACCATTGACGCCATTCTGTGCGCGATCAGGAGGTGGCGTTGTAAGACCGCTGTTTTGCTTGACGTGCAACGGCAGCTCCTGTGCAAGCAACGCTGTGGCTGCAGACGGCTGTTCGAAGGGCGGTTGCGGCTTGGTCATCCTACTGGACGCAAGACGATCGAACTGCCCAATGGGAGGAGGCCTGGTTTGTCGCTGCTGCTTCTCCTGTTCATACTTCTCGCCGGCTTTGAGGCTCATGATTTGCATGTTTCTCCACTCTTGAAGTTGTGAGATGGCTTGCCTAAGGTTGTGCTCGTATTCAAGGTCCTTGCAGAACTGCTCAAAGTCGGCGTGTTGCATCATCCTGGCGAACGGCTTGGCCTTGTTCATCAGGTCTTTCTCTTCTTTCGTCCGTTTCTTGTCGGCCAGCTGGTTCTTGCGGTACTCTAGCAGCTGATGCTCAAATATTATTTTCTTGCGCTCGACTCGGGCATCTAGACGGTGGTTGTAGATCTCCATGATAGTCATCTTGAGGTCCATCTCTGGCTCGAGCTCGCCCGTCCTTGGGTTCAGGCCATCACCGGGGTCGAACTGCATGTGCTGCACAGCCTCTTCTGCTTCATTGAAGTATTCCGTCTCAAACTCCAGACGGCCCGGCATGTATCCTTGGACCTCATGGCAGGCGGGAACACTCGCCGTAGGCTTCTGCTTAGGCGCATCAGGTTCGCGGCCTGCAGCTTCCTCCTTCTTCTTCTCTATCCTCCGCTTCTTCCTCGCTTGGAACTCATGACGTGGTATGCGGGTACTGAGCTCGGTGTCGTCCTTGCTGCAGTGCTCAGGCAGAGGAAAGCTCGGGCTGTCTAGGTAGGTATTGATGTAGTGGTCACGGACCTCGTCCTTCTCGCGGTAGCCGCCTATGTGATCCGCAATGTCTGCCCATGATCCCAGACCGTATGTTTCAGCGCCTTCTAGTAGGGCCAATTCCTCGTCCGCTCCCCAGTCTTCGGTGTATATAGGTATTGAGTGTTGTTCTATAACTTTGAATTTGTGCTTGGCAGGCTGGTGGTCCCGTGAAGCCTTGCCGTCGGAGAAGCAGGGCACGCAGAGGTCGTACTCGTTACAGACGTCCTCGGCGCAGCGTATGCGGACGGTTGACGTGATGTCGGACGAGCAAACATCGCACACATACTTGGTCCCGCCCTCCGTGCCCCGTGTGCCCGTCTTCTTCTTAATGACACCCATGGTGCCCCGCTAGTTGCGCGCGCAGGTGAAGGCGGGTTGGGGTGATTGGGGTGCGACGGGGAGCTGTGGCTGTGCACGGCAAGGGCGCGTGTCGGTGTCGGCGGGGGTGCTGACTAATGGACGAATGAAATGCAGGATAATGCCGCAGGTCGCAATGCTGGACGGGGACGGGCGCCTGGGAGTGAATAGCGCGTCGAGTGAGAGTCGTGTTGGGCTCCAAGGTCGCGGTGTTGACCTACGCGGGCTGGAAGGTCAACGTTCGCGGCAACGGCAGCTGCAGCCGAGGCTGGGACTGACAGGCCAGATGTCGCAGAGGATCGCGATGGCGCCGCAGCAGCCAGGCAGATTAAAATAGAAAGCAAGACTCACCCGTCCTGCGACACGCGAAACATGGAAAGGAATGAGAGAGGGATTGGCGTGTCAGTGCGTGGTGACCCCGAAATGAAGGCTAGTTTCAGAGACCCAATGACCCAACTTCAAACGAGGACCCTATCCTGAGCATCGCAGCATTGACGAAGGCCTGGGGCACTCGGACGTTAGCAGCATCGCCACCAGCCGCTCCCTATACCTGCCTCCTGCCGCTGCTCCCTCTCTGTAGACATCCTCTGCCTCCTGCGCGCCATCTCCGCCCTTGGTGTGCCCCTCGTCGCCTTCCCGCCTGTCTCCACTCCCTCGCTGTCCGTCTGTTCTTCCTGCATCTACCCACTCGCTGAGCTGCCGCAACCATGTCTTGGAAGCTCACCAAGAGTGCGTATTCCCCAGGTCCGTCTGCTGGAGGCCCCCCCTAACACGTGCCGCAGAGCTCAAGGAGACGCATCTTGCGCCCCTCGCCAACACATTCAGTCGCTCGTCATCGACGTCGACCATAGTCGGTGACCAGCCGACGCCCAAAGCCTCGAGTTCCGCCGCCAGCGCGACAACGCTCGGCGACTCAAAGGACAATGGCATTGGTACTTGGGTCCCTCTGCCCGCACTCACCGCCTGCTGACCGAAACCAACAGCCGCCTCAGAAGCCAACGCATCCGCGCCGGCACAGCCCCTGCGCCCCGGTATCCTCATAGTCACGCTTCATGAGGGCCAGAAATTCTCCCTGCCCGCGGGCGCCGAGCAGCAGTTCAGCGGTGGTAGCCACCACCAGGGCTCCATGTCCCAGGGCGGCGGCCTCTCGGTAGCTGGCTCAATGCGCCCGGGCTCCTCCTCGCACCGACCGCAGTCCGCTGCTGGCAGCATCAATGCCGCGCCCACGATCCATGGTCGCTACTCGTCAAAACACCTGCCCTATGCTCTGGTCGATTTCGACAAGCAGCAGGTCTTCATCAATGCAGTCTCCGGCACCCCCGAGAACCCACTCTGGGCGGGCAGCAACACCCAGTACAAGTTCGATGTGTCCCGTGTCACCGACCTCACCGTATCGCTTTACATTCGAAACCCCTCCGCCTCGCCTAACGCGGGTCGCAACGAAGACATCTTCATTGGAACACTCAAGGTCCACCCCCGATTCGAGGAGTCGCGGCAGGACAGTAAAGCCGGAAATGGAGAAGGTGGAGCTGGCCAGGCCGGTGCCGACTGGATACCAGTGCAGTTCGGTAGCGGCCAGATGAAGGTCGGCGTCAACTTTGTCGAGAACAGGCAAGACCGTCTCGCGATTGACGATTTTGAACTCCTCAAAGTAGTCGGCAAGGGTAGTTTCGGAAAGGTCATGCAGGTGCAGTATGTGCTTATACTTTCTGTTACATTTACAACTACTCACACCGCGCAGGAAGAAGGACACGCACCGAATCTACGCCCTCAAGACTATTCGCAAAGCACACATCATTTCCCGATCCGAAGTCGCGCATACTCTCGCCGAACGGTCTGTTTTGGCTCAAATCAACAACCCCTTCATCGTTCCATTGAAATTCTCTTTCCAGTCGCCAGAGAAGCTGTATCTTGTTTTGGCGTTTGTCAACGGTGGAGAGCTCTTCCACCATCTGCAGAAGGAACAACGGTTTGACATCAACCGAGCTCGGTTCTATGCAGCTGAACTGCTGTGCGCTCTGGAGTGCTTGCACGGTTTCAACGTCATTTACCGTGATTTGAAACCCGAGAACATTCTTCTCGATTACACTGGCCACATTGCCCTGTGCGATTTCGGTCTCTGCAAGCTGGACATGAAGGATGAGGACCGGACAAACAGTAAGTCGAGTCCGAATGAATCTGGGTCAGCCTACTAACACCTCCCAGCGTTCTGTGGAACACCAGAATACCTCGCTCCGGAACTCCTTACTGGCGCCGGCTACACCAAGTCTGTCGATTGGTGGACACTGGGTGTTCTCCTATACGAGATGTTGACCGGATTGCCTCCGTTCTATGATGAGAACACCAACGATATGTACCGCAAGATTCTCACCGAGCCTCTACACTTCCCTGGCCCTGAGATCGTGCCACCGGCCGCACGCGATCTCTTAACCCGCTTGCTGGACCGCAACGCTGAGAAGCGACTGGGTGCTAAGGGCGCAGCCGAGATCAAGGCGCACTACTTCTTCCACAGCATCGACTGGCGAAAGCTTCTTGAGAGGAAGTACGAGCCCAGCTTCAAGCCTAATGTGGTATGTAATGTCATCATTGTTCAAGGAGTCAAATCTAACATACCCTCAGGTTGACGCAAAGGACACTGCCAACTTCGACCGCGAATTCACTTCGGAGGCTCCAACAGATTCATACGTCGATGGTCCCATGCTTTCCCAGACCATGCAGCAGCAATTCGCGGGATGGTCATACAACCGCCCTGTTGCTGGCCTTGGCGACGCTGGTGGCTCGGTGAAGGATCCATCATTCGAGGGTGTGACAGAAAGATAGTGCATTCCTGGGCGTAACAAATTAGGATTCGGGAAATGTCCGTTGAGTATGCGTGTGGATTGTCACGGCGATGGAGCCGACACCAGGCACAACACCCACCGGCTTTGGATCCACAGATAGGAGCCGCGGTGATTGGTGGGATCTCAGCGCTCTTTGATGCTTTTTTGGGTTCAGGTGCAATGGCATGGCGCTTGAGGCAGCATTTGTGTGAGAGGAGCCTAAATTCAGGCAAGCAAATCAAGACGATATCCCGTTTGAGTTTGAGATGCACGAATCTTAGTGATCAGCTTTGTGGTGCTTGCAAATGCTGTAGGGCTGTCGGGGTGGAGCCAACGGGATGTCGTGACAGCAAGCGCGTGGGAAAAGTGGTGCCCCTCCTTCCCTCAACGAAGCTCTGACGCAAGCGGGGCCAGGTCTCGGCCGCGACATTTCTAATGACATCGGCCAAAACAACAACCTTTACCTTACTCACACCTTCTGTCATCTCGCACTTGCAATTGACCCTACCTCTGTCCAATTGTCCAAGTTTAAACATTTATACCCAAACCCCTAGTCCCGTAACACAACATGCCCGGCTTCGCACAGGCTTCTGACCTCAACGCCTGGTCGGCGCTCCAGGACCACCACCAGAAGCTTGGCAAGGACATTGTCCTGAAGGAGTACTTCAAGAAGGACCCTCAGGTAAGCCCAGCAGAACCCATCCTAGTATATTCGCTAAAGCATCGCAGCGATTCGAGAAGTTCAGCCGTACCTTCAAGAACGATGCCGAGAACTCCGAGATCCTGTTCGACTTTTCCAAGAACTTCGTCACCGAGGAGACACTGAAGCTTCTCATTGAGCTTGCGAAAGAGGCTGGCCTCGAGAAGCTCCGCGATGACATGTTCGCTGGTGAGAAGATAAACTTCACTGAGAACCGCGCCGTCTACCATGTCGCCCTTCGCAACACCTCCAACCAGGAGATGAAGGTCGATGGCCAGAGCGTCGTCGAGGACGTCAACTCTGTTCTCGACCACATGAAGGAGTTCAGCGAGCAGGTCCGCAGTGGAGAGTGGAAAGGATACACTGGCAAGAAGATCGACACTATCATCAACATTGGTATTGGTGGTTCTGACCTGTATGCAATTCCACGTTAACTTATGTATGCTTCAAGGATATGCTAACTCTTCTCAGTGGTCCCGTCATGGTCTCAGAAGCTCTCAAGGCCTACTCCCAGCGCGATCTCAAGATCCACTTCGTCTCCAACATCGACGGTACCCACATCGCAGAGGCTCTCAAGGACTCCAACCCAGAGACCTCCCTCTTCCTCATCGCCTCCAAGACCTTCACCACTGCCGAGACTGTCACAAACGCCAACACCGCAAAGTCATGGTTCTTGAAGAGCGCGAAGCAGGAGGACATTGCTAAGCACTTCGTCGCCCTCTCCACCAACGAGGAGGAGGTTACCAAGTTCGGTATTGACAAGAAAAACATGTTCGGCTTCTCCGACTGGGTCGGTGGACGTTATAGTGTCTGGAGTGCCATTGGATTGAGCGTCGCTCTCTACATTGGCTTCGACAACTTCCACCAGCTCCTCGCTGGTGCCCATGCTATGGACAAGCACTTCAAGGAGACTCCTCTTGAGCAGAACATTCCCGTCATTGGTGGTCTTCTGAGTGTCTGGTACTCCGACTTCTTCGGTGCCCAGACCCACCTTGTCTCTCCGTAAGTTTGCTATTTTGCCAATAGGCTTAGTCTAATTCTTTCCAGCTTCGACCAGTACATGCACAGGTTCCCTGCCTACCTCCAGCAATTGTCTATGGAGTCGAATGGCAAGGCCATCACCCGCAGCGGCGACTACGTCAAGTACACTACCGGTCCCATCCTATTCGGTGAGCCGGCCACCAACGCCCAGCACTCCTTCTACCAGCTTCTCCACCAGGGCACCAAGCTCATCCCTACCGACTTCATCCTGGCCGCCCAGAGCCACAACCCTGTCGAGGGCAACAAGCACCAGAAGATGCTTGCATCCAACTTCTTTGCCCAAGCTGAGGCCCTCATGGTCGGCAAGACCCCCGATGAGGTCAAGGCTGAGGGTGCGCCCGAAGACCTCGTCGCTCACAAGACCTTCCTGGGTAACCGACCCACCACATCCATCTTGGCCGATAAGATCACACCTGCCACTCTTGGTGCTCTGATTGTCTACTACGAGCACCTCACCTTCACCGAGGGTGCCATCTGGAACATCAACAGCTTTGACCAGTGGGGTGTCGAGCTCGGCAAGTCGTTGGCCAAGAAGATCCTGTCTGAACTTGACGAGTCCAAGGAGTCTACTTCTCACGATGCTAGCACAAGCGGTCTCATCAACGCCTTCAAGAAGAAGTCCACTTTGTAAACGGATGATGATGTGCGACGAGGCTGTAATGGCTGAATGACTTGATGACTGGAGGATAGATTATATAACAAGCATCTGAAATATCTGTGAATGATACTGAGATCATGGAACGCGAATGGACACATTGAAGTATATTGTCGCGCCTGTATATATACACGTGTCATATGTCAAGCTCAATCGACTCTCTTGCCCCCGCCCCCGTACCCATAACCTCCCAACCCATAGCCGCTTCCCATGCCGCCTCCTCTTCCGTTGGCGACGGGGAGCCCGTATCCACTGCCTCCGTTTCCAAACCCTCTTCCACCTCCACCATTCATCCTATCCGTAGCATATCTCTTGAGCCGTCTCGGCAATTCAACGCCACGGAAATAAACGACGCAGACAGCCGCACTCGCTACGGCACTCAAGAAACAGTACACCAACGTACTAGTATAAATATGTCCTCCATATCCACTCCAACCCGGAGGCAGCGTCGTGCTAGGATACCACCGCACACTAAACGCCAAACTCAACGGATCCCCAATCGTAATCTTGGTGTTGCGCGTATGGCTCGACACGGAATACGCAGTCGCCGCATCCACCGTCCCCGGCGCCACACTCTTAGGACTAGCATGAACAAGCAAGTTCAAATAATTCCCCACATGCAAATGGCTCAACTGCAGCGTTCCCGCCAGCGCAATGATGAGCGGTGTGTACATTGTACTCTGCGTCCCCAACGCACCCTCCTGTGTGCTTTCATCGCTGACACGATATTCGGTTTCTAGGACGCTGGGCGGGAGCGGTTTGGACGGGATGCGGCAGGACAACGGGGCGTCGTTGTGGATGTAGAATTCGAGCAGGTGGAAGAACTCGTCCGTTACAAAGTCTATGGTGCAGTTTACGTCTTTTTCTACGCCGAAGTTTAGGTGGAGGGGTTGCCCGGTTTCGTTGCACGTTGGGAAGGGTATGTATTGGAGGTGGCCGGCGGCGTCTGTGATCTGGGAGTACGCGGGTTAGTTGGGTTGAGGTGTGGGTTTGGGGGTATTTGCGCGGGTGGGAAGGTCGTGGGCGTACATGTTCACCGGTTTCTCTGATTTGGGTTAGCAATTGCACTCGCGTCTTTTGAGGTAGGTGTTGTGACTTACATTGTCCTGTTCAAACAGCTGACTGGAATCATTTCCCCAGGGTTATACCCTCGTGCCTCTTCCGCGCTCTTCATGGGCTCCTGGCCGCTCAATGCTGCTGCGAAGGACGAGAACAACGCGACGACAGGGAGCCATGATGGTGACTGTCGTTTCGATATCATGACGAATATGGTATGAGGAGAACTCAAAGAATCGCTAGGCGCATGTATAATGGGTGCTGCGCGTCAGGCAGCTGCGACGGTCGAGGTGCATGTGTCAACTTGGACATTGTTGAGTACGGAGCGAGGTCCCTGGCCTGTGCCCGCCCGCGGCAAAGACACTCCCGGTGCAACTCCGCAATCCAAGCTTTACCCTCGCGACATGGTTGTCAAGACGAAAAGAGAAAGCAGATATGCGTTTACGGCGAGATGTGTTCTGTTTTTGTTTCACAAGGACCAATTGGAGTCAAGCTGTACAAAGCCAAGGACTGGGATTGACAACACGATGGTTGTATTCATTTGTACTCAGGGTGCCCCCTCGCAGTATCGTGCAGTATGTGGTATTGCTACACCTTCAGCTTTTGAAACAGTCATAATATGTCCAGTTCAGTCAGATCGAGAAGCACCCAGTGCTTCCTATCAAGATGCCGTTATAGTACAATATGTACACGTCCGATTCATACATACACGATCTTCCAACCCATCCCGAACCCACCGAACAAGAGCATGCACATCTACCATCCCTTTCTCGTCAATTCCGTCACTCGGTTTGTGACGTCCTGGAAGCCCTTTCGGAACCTCGCCCTCCACCGCTCAGATGCCAACCGCTTCCGCTTCAGTCCGCCTCTTTCGTGGAACTTTTGCTTGTTGAAGTCGCTCTTGACCTTGTTTCTTGCCATCAGACTTCCCAGCATCCCAATGCCCCTCACAATATCACGTCCACGGTTGACATCCAAGTCTATGGTGCGTCCATAGGAGGGGTTCAAGCGCGGGTACTGGGCGAATGTCTCTTCTTGTTGTACAGCGAGTGGTGACGCCTCGGAGGGTTTGTTGGCGAGGGTGGGATTTATCATTCCATCGGACGTCGCCATTTGGTCGAAATTCAGGCCTGGCCTCCTAACAGGTCGTTTGCTGCCGGAGCCCGCAAACTCCTCGCCGAAGACGCGACCAGTTGGTGAGGTAGACCCTGTGTTCCGAGGCATGCTGCCGAAGAGAGAGTTGATTGTCTGTGTAGCATCTCTTTGGGTGGTGGGCTGTGGCCGAGGTTGCGGTGCTGCGGCCTCTCGCTCAGGAATGTAGCGGGCTTGCGGCCGTTGGGCTTCCCGTTCGGGTACGTAGTGCTTATCATCGTTCTTCGGTAGTGGTTGTTGCGCAAGGCATCTCGGTGTGTTCGAAATGGCTCGTTGACATGTCCATGACGGTGTTGTCCGGCTCGAGGTGTGCTGTATCCGTGTGAAGTTGGAAGGGCGGAGCAGAAGCTCGCCCAACGATCGTGAGGCCATTTTGAATCTCTGCCGCTACAGTATTGACATAGGCGGGAGCAATTAGACAGGGAGGCGGCGGGCAATTGCGGGATGGCTCCGGTGAATGATGGAGGTCATGCATGTCGCGGTTCCCAAATTTGTCGGCGATATCGTGGTCCGAGCGTTCGTCGAGCTCCAAATCTCAACTGTGACTTCTTCTCTCACTGCAACACGCGACAACCGCCCCGACATCTTATCCAATCAGTCTCTTTAAGCAATCCCACCAAGTTCAGCGACTGTATATCTGCTCAAGATGTACGGCTATCCTGGTATGTCAAACGATCCTTTGCGACGCGATCTCAGCTAACATGCCCAGGTGCTCCGGGCTACAACCGCCCTCCGGGCTTCGCAGGCACTCCACCAGGCATGGCAGGCATGGCGCCGCCTGGAATGGGTATGTGGTACTGGTGACTGACAAAACCAAAGCTTACATTGCGCAGGTCCTCCAGGCGCAGCAGCTCCACCTGGCGTAGCAGTCCCCCCCGGTGTCGCGAATACCCAAGGCCCGCCAGCGATGAATGCACCACGCGCTCTGCCATCCGGATGGCAACCACCGACGAACATGCCCACCTTCAACTTCAATGCGCCCGTCATCCGTCTAGGAACACAGGGCGGACGAGCTGGCGCCGTGGACAGCCCCGTAGGCGGCCGAAGAGACAACGCCGCACCACCCGGTCGCCGTGGCCTTGGCATGGACAGAGATGGCGATCGCAGGGACGCCGTCCAGCCTGTCAACCCCCCGTCGCGCGAAGACATCGCACGAACCATCTTCGTCGGCAACATTCCCGATGGCATCGGAGGCGATGAGGGCATGGAGCGCATCTTAGAGACGGCGGGAAAGCTCGTTCGGTGGACGAGAGCTACCGATGCCAACAACAAGCCCCAGACCTTTGGCTTCGCCGAGTTTGGAGACGCCCAGAGTTTGGAGACAGCCGCTGAGATATTCAAAGACGTGCGTGTGCCTACGAAGCGTCAAAAGGCCGGCAAGCCCAAAACCGACGATGGCGAACAAGAGGAGGTCGAGACGACCAAGTTGCACGTCATGGTTGATGATGCCTCGATCAAGTACGCAGAGGAATGGAGCAAGACCCGAAACGAAGACGAAGCCACGGTTCAGTTTAGGCTCGACAGTGCCAAAGAAGCGCTTTCCTCGGTCCTCGCGAGCTTCTTCAACCCACCGAACGCGCCCAACGTCGACTACGCAGGAGATACAACGATGCAAGATGCACAGGCACAAGACGGTGAAGACGTGGAAGTTGCATTTGTCAACCTTGCGAACGGCGAGGATGAGCTTGCGGACATCCCTGCAGAGATGCGCGACATTGTCGCTGCGGAAATCGCTGCTTTCCGCGACCGTTCCAACCAACGCGATCGCGAACGACTCCTGAAAGAAGAGGAGCTTGAAGCCGAGGAGCGCAGGCGTAGTGGTAGACGTGCATCCCCACCACCATCCGCCCCTACTGGACCCGGAGGTGCCAATGGTGTACCGCTGGGCCCCAGAGCAGAACGGGGTGTCCAAGGTGCGCCCAGTGGACCCAAAGGGTCGCAGTTTCCCCGAGACTACCAAGGTGGTGTCAACTTTGTCAACGGCGGTGCCGTACATAACGGCGCCTACATCAATCGCGAGGACGATGATGACTCCGCCAGCGACTCGGAACTTGAGCGCCGTCGCAAGAAGAAGCGAGCAGAGGAAGCTGATGAGGCATACAAGAAGCAACTCTCCCGCTGGCTCCAGACCGAGCGTCGTACTTTTGCTTCCGTCGAACGTACGAACGACTACTTCAAGAACATGGACGCGGAACGTGAGAAAGCTCGTGCAGCACAAGCGAAGCAACTTCGAGAATTCGACGATGATCATGAGGCGGCTTCGAGGCGCGATCTCTACTACCGCGACCACAGTGACTGGATCCGCGACCGCGAGTCAGTTCGTGGTCAGGAGGCCAAGGAAGACGCGATCGATCGAGAACACGAGCGACGCGAGTTGGCAACGCAGAGGAAGCAGAAGGACCATGCCCGCGGTCAGGCCGATGCCTTCTTGGAAGAGCAAGGCGAAGAGCTTATGCGCAGGGAAGAACAGCGCGAGCCAGCTCATTTCAAGATCTCTCTCGGGGCTGCTGCCAAGAAACTCGAAAAGACAGCCGCTCCCCGTCGGACCGCCGCCGATGTCGAAAACCTGCTCGAGGACGAGGATCTCACAGATCAATCCGGTTCCAAGAAGCGAACTCTCGTGCCTATCAACTTCGATGCGGCTGTACGTGCCAACCTCACGCAAGAAGAAATCGAAGAAGCACAACGACAACTGGCACGCGACATTCCCAACGACAAGGAAGGTCTGTGGAAATGGCCCGTCGCTTGGGAGCATTTGCCTCAGAAGAACATCGACAAGGATATCAAGCAGTGGGCTGCCAACAAGGTTCTTGAGCTTACTGGTGTGCAAGAAGAGATGCTTGTCGACGCTATCGTGGACCATTTGAAGAGCAAGGGCGCACCGCAGCCCCTGGTGGAGAACTTGGAAGTGGCTCTCGATGACGAAGCTGAGTCCCTCGTGAAGAAGCTCTGGCGTATGGTCATTTACTACAGTGAGACAGAGAAGAGGGGTATCAAGTGAGCATGTTGCTCCTCGCTCATATGGAACAGCGATCCGTCTTCGGCAGTGCCTTTCGGTTTCCACACCGAAGTGGCTTTTGCAACCCTCATGAATCGGGCGAGTGAGTATTTGGGAGGTCTTGGTCTTGTTTGGGTAGTATTGACGCGCTGTAGGGTCCTCGGATCTTGCATCACGAAACGACGTGTAGATAATGGGTCTATGGTTGGAATGGAGAGTCATACCAGGTCCGTCCTTTTACTTTCGATTGTCACACCACTAATACACAGGTGTTCTTCTTTTACCGTTGTTCAAATTTGGATGATGCTTGGTTGTAGGTCTTATGCGGCGTAAGTATCATGCGTGTTCTTTCCGCTTTGCTGATGATCCGCATTGACATTCTACATTTATGGTACTCATGATCCTCGGGTTGGATTACTCCAGGGCTTTCTGAATCCACTCATGCCACCCCGCGGCCGGTAAGTCTTGTTTGCCGCGGTATTTGCTCACACTTCACGATTGCAAAGAACTCGTTGGAGTAGGTCGGGAACAAGCTTCATATTGATCTACTTGCCCGTGTTGTTACGGCGGCTTTCCACGTAGTTACTCCTTCGCACCTTGCTAGACGTCGTCACGCGTCGTCAAGCCCAAGCTTCTCGCCTAGCCGCGAAGCACCTGGAGCCGCGTTGCTGGGCAAGGGACCCCTATAGTTCGTGGGGTGTAGCACTGTACAGCTCACGCGTGAGGTAAATAAATTGCCGGCAACGTTGCCAAATGCCCCGATTTTTCCAGCCCCAGAAAGTGGCGCGCCGAGATCTTCCACGAATAATGAGGGGCAAGTGGGGTGGATTTCACGATGGCGCGGGCGGTTGGCACTATTTGGCGTGGAGATGCGTGGAGTGTTGCGCCGGATGCCTTGCCAGTTAAATAGACCGTCTAGATCCTGCCTCTCGACGGAATAAGTATCTTGCTCAATCACTTTATCTTGACTTGTTCATTCATCTTCATTCCTGCTGTCCAAGTTTTGCTTCAAAAGTATCTCAACTTTTAGTAGCTCTGCGGGGTATCATACGGTACATTCCGAACATTCCGAGACGAAAACAACACAATGGCCATCACAATCACGGGTGCGGAGACGAGGGATGTGCGGTTTCCGGTATGTTTCCAAGTCAATCAAGCTGTGCAATTGTGAGGAGACTAACGTATCTGGAAAAGACATCACTTGACAAGACTGGTTCCGATGCCATGAATGCAGCAGGAGATTACTCTTCGGCTTACTGCATCCTACATACAGACTCCGAGTTCAAGGGTCATGGTATGGTAAGTCTTGTCTTCTTTGTTGTTGGCCGTAAGCAGAAGATATGAGCTCATATGGCAACTCCGCCCTGGTTCCCTCAACTCTTCCCCCGACTCATGACCACCCCTGGAATGGCGAACTTGTGACCGTTTACCACGTTTGATATTGAATTCATCCGTTTTTTAATTATTACTTACAACTTCCTAGACCTTTACAATCGGCCGCGGTAACGAAATCGTATGCACCGCCATCGCCTATCTTGCCGACCGCATCAAGGGCCACACACTCGACTCACTAGTCGCCAACTGGGGAAAGACATGGCGCCACCTGGTAAACGACTCTCAACTTCGATGGATTGGGCCCGAGAAGGGAGTCATCCACCTCGCTCTCGGTGCCGTTGTGAACGCCATCTGGGATCTCTGGGCCAAATCACTCGGCCAACCTGTATGGCGCATCGTTGCAGACATGACACCCCAACAAATAGTTGACTTGATTGATTTCCGCTATATCACCGACGCCCTCACACCCGAGGAGGCGCTGGAGATCCTGACCAAAGCCGAAGCTGGCAAGAAAGAGCGACTTCAAGAAGCTCTCGATAGCCGCGCCGTCCCCGCATACACTACTTCTGCGGGATGGCTCGGCTACGGCGAAGACAAGATGCGTGGTCTTTTGAAGGAGACGCTGTCAAAGGGTTACAAGCACTTCAAGCTCAAGGTCGGAAGCGATATTGCGCAAGACAAGCAGCGTCTAAGCATCGCACGAGAGATTATTGGTTTCGACAAAGGCAATGTGCTCATGGTCGATGCAAACCAAGTCTGGAGCGTACCGGAGGCGATTGAGTACATGAAGGCGTTGAAGGAGTTCAAGCCATGGTTTATCGAGGAGCCCACCAGTCCTGATGACGGTACGTACCCCTTCCATTCTGTTCATGCTACAGAGAAAGAAATACTGACTTTGCCAGTCCTCGGCCACAAAGCCATAAGAGAAGCCCTGAAGCCGTACAACATCGGCGTCGCAACAGGAGAAATGTGCCAAAACCGCGTCATGTTCAAGCAATTCCTCGCCTCGGGCGCCATCGACATCTGCCAAATCGACGCCTGCCGTCTCGGCGGTGTCAACGAGGTCATCGCCGTGCTCCTCATGGCTGCCAAGTTCAACATCCCCATTGTACCGCATTCGGGTGGTGTCGGTCTGCCAGAATACACACAGCATCTTTCTACGATCGACTACGTTGTTGTGTCGGGGAAGAAGTCGGTGTTGGAGTACGTTGACCATCTGCATGAGCACTTTTTCCACCCGTCCAGGATTGAGAATGGTTACTATGTAACTCCTATGGACCCTGGTTACTCGGTTGAGATGAAGCCTGAGAGTATGGATCGGTTCAGCTTCCCTGGTGGCAAGGATGGGTGGTGGCAGAGTGAGGAGGCGAAGCCGATTTTGGAGGGTATCAAGATTTAAGATGTAGTTTGGTAATAATCAATTCTAAAGAGAGCATGTTCCAGTGAGTAGACACCCCGTGCTATGCGCGTGATTGTCTTGCCTTTTTTTTTGGGGGGGGGGGGGGGGGGGGGGGCGCCTTGCAACGCTCATTGATAATACGCAAATGGTTGTCCCAAAGCGCACGGGTCCCGTTCCCGTGTAGGCATGAGGGAAGTCGACGTTGAAAAAGGGCTGGCTTGTGAATTGTACAAGTCATCCCATATTCTAATGTACAGAATCTAACATGCATCGCAGGGATCACGGTGCAATAGTCGGCCAGGAGGTTCAGCTTGTGGCAAGGCTCGGTTAAAGTATCGCGCAACTTGTCGAAGTACCCGGTCATGACACGTTCTCCGATACAATTGTGTTCAATTTTTGAGGGAACGGATAGTCGAATCTCCACAGCTCTGACTTTAGAAGTCCAAGACTTGTTGCACTGGCGCACGAAGCGGTTGAGCTAATGAGTAGCATCTTGAGCGCATACGTTGTCTTGGGCGAATACGATATCGTTGTGTAACAGTGACAAGTGTTTGGTTCCTTTGTAGAGTTGTTTGCACACGCATTTGAGATGGTTGAACTCGGACGTAGATTCCACGGTAGAACATAGCTTGACGCCCTGCGCAGACTCATGCTCATAATACGCATCCACACACTCCTGGGGGGTCGCTTTCCAGATATTGTCTAGACTGTTGACTTCTTCTTTCATTGCCTCGGGTATAGAGTCGAAGTCGATCGAGTTGCGATAGAAGAGCTGGTGATGATCAGCGGTGAGGGTATATTCATAGATCAAGTTGTGTATTTCGCCTGGTGATTCGAGAAAGAGACTACTAAGGTCCTGGGTAGGCGCTGGCTTGTTGTGCCCATTGGTCATCGCATCGGCGTCGCATTGCGCAACGTTGCTGGATGCGCGAACCATGTCATTATATTCTACACATTTGGTTTTCAGGCGGGCGAATGGGCTAGTAGTAGGTGACGGTGTTTTGGCCGCAGAGAGTAAAGATACAATCATGCGCAAAGACAACCTCAAAACACATAAGCCTAAGCTTGGTTGAATAGCGGCGAGAAACGCTCTTTAATTCACATGTCGAAGGATCCCAGACGAGTTTCATACTTGTTGTGGGGATACTATTAGGCGAACCAAGATTAAACAACTTGTTTGTAATAATTACGATGCCTTTGTTGCCTCCCTTGAACCAAGTACTCAGGAACCCAGCAACTGGAAGTGGCAGCACTGGCTTTGGTTTATGCACGTTACAAAAAAACATTTGCAGCTGAGAGCCATGGACACTGACGCAGGATAACTCAAGACCTCGAAAGATCCTGACTAACAGGTGTGCCTTCGCCACTTTTCTTACCCGTAGTACGCAGATCAATATCGGCGATACTTACACCTCAAACAAGAGAAAAACTAAACAGGTCTGCAGACTACACTAAGACAAGAACATGCAAAGTAGGTACCCTAGTCTTAATGTAGGCTCTAAGGTAATTTGTTTTTTCCTAGGTTGACGTGCTTAAAGCTGCTTCTCGACTCTTCCTCACGATTTCATTCAACTTTTCCGTCATCGCCATATATGTGGAGTCTTGTTGGCGCTCCCTTCTTGGGTCATTCCAAAGACGATCAAAGACGATCTCTTTCCGTTCATTGATACGTCTTACGAACACCACGATGGGGTTATATACGAGAGCCGCGGTATCCCACTTTTGATTCCGAATCTCGAATACAACGTGTTGCACATTCAGAGTCACCCCTGGAGTCTCTTCCAGTCTTCTGAAGGTAAGAACACATGAGTCTAGCAGGCGACGTCGAAGTTCGGGATCGGCTATGCTGGCGTCATTGGCGATCGTGGCAGGGACATTGATGGTAACGTAGGGTAGATGTAGGCTCAGTAATTCGCGGAAGGAGCTGAAGACTTCGTCGAAGTATACGGTTGGTACATCTGTGTCGGTAGTCTGCGAGTCGGTATCGCGCAATCCGAGATTGACGTTTACGTTGCAAAGGTGGGAGTGCGTCTGAATCTTGGGCGCGCCGATAACCGCATTTACCTCAGTGGTAGGATAAGCGACCTGGACCAGATCGATACTCTTCTGTACTGCACGGTTCATGACGATCTGGCTCTCGGCAACTATCATGCTGGACAGCTCTTGACGGATCTGCTTGCAAGCGCAAAGAAGACCAGTAACGTCTCGCAGGCTGGTAACATCCGGCAGAAGATACTGATAGACTTCGTTTCGAATCTCTGCAGGCATCGATAGGAATGATAAACTCTGCCCCTGTATATAATTGGAAACAGGGGTAAGAAAATCCATAGTGTGTGATATGTCGATGCTTCGGGCGTTGCGAACATCCTGACGAAGCCTTTGTGTAAGCTCGTCGTGTAATCGTTCTCTTTACTTCTTCGATATGACCATGAGGATTTTCTGGAGCCTATTGGTAGCTTTGATAATTGTGACTGTCGTTGTATTTGCCAAGTCAGGTGCTTGTTGATCGTATCGCGTGAGTCCTTTTTCGCTGATGTGGGTTTCGCAGGAGCCGGGGACCTTCATGTCTTTCCCGAGACGACATCTCGCTCGCTTGAGAAGAGAGTCTTTCATTAGAATGTGAACACGCAATCAGCCTGGATGCTAGGATCTGTTAACGCTAGGGTTGAGTCAAGTAAAGCAAGAGGATCGATCGCGATACTGCCTCTGGGTGATCGAATGTGCCGATATAGAATTCCCTTCACTGGCATTGGAAATGGCTGTAATCATGACGGTAATAGAGCCGAGAAATATCATGTTGTTTCATTATGTCGACGATTGGCAGCAGCGGTCCAGTCTACCACGAAAGGCAGTGGGGTCAACCACAGAAGCGTCGGTGAGGGGTGGACCGGCCATTCCCAGGGCGTTCTTATTGTGATACACCTCCAAATTTATCTGGTATAGTTTCACGAGAAAGTTTGCTATCTAGACAGTTGTTATTAGACAAATAGAGAATGGCAGATGTGAGGCTCAACAAATGCTATCATCGGAACAGTCGGGACGTTCCGCGCAGCGGCTATTGAAGGCTCACGGCATGACTCCCGATGCTGCCTGATCATCCTCCATCCTCTCGACTCCCATCTTATATAGTATTGTTCGAGCACTGTTGGATATCAGAAACAGGCCTGAACACAAAATCACTCCGGGAACTTCATTGTCAGATATACTACCCCACCTGCACCCCACCTCCCCGCTTTGATCACCAAAGTCTACCAAGAAAGCATACCATTTCCAGAGGCTATTATCAACAGCTACAGTCGCAATGGCTCCTCCTCCGGCTCCGGGCGTATGGTGCCCTGCAGTAACCTTCTACACCCCCGAAAGCGACACGGCAACCTTGGATCTTGCCGCACAGAAGCAGTATTTCGCATACCTCTCCAAATCAGGTCTCACTGGTTTAGTCATTCTTGGCTCCAATGCCGAAGCATTTCTCCTCACTCGTGATGAGAAGAGGGCATTGATGAAATGTGCTCGTGAGGCCGTCGGCCCCGACTACCCTCTGATGGTCGGCATCTCAGGCTTCTCTGTACCCCAGGTAATGGAGAACATTAGCGATGCAATTGAGGCTGGAGCAAACTATGGGCTTTTGCTACCAGCGGCATACTATGGGCCAGCGGCTTCTAAAGAAGTCGTCATGGCCTTCTACAATGAGGTCGCGCAGAAATCCGAATTGCCTATCGTCATCTACAACTTCCCGGGTATCTGCAACGGGGTGGACCTTGATTCTGTCACGATAGCCGCGCTCGCAAGACAGAACCCTGGCAAGATCGTCGGGGTGAAGTTGACGTGTGGCAGCGTCGCGAAGATAACCAGGCTATGTGCTGAGCTGCCGAGCGATACCTTCTCCACGTATGCGGGTCAGGCAGATTGGTTGGTCGCTGGCCTCGCGGTCGGAAGTGCAGGATGCGTGTCGGCATTCAGCAACGTTTTTCCGAAGGTCTGCTCGACAATCTACGAGTGGTATACTACTGGCAAGCCTCAAGAGGCCTTGGAACTGCACCGAAAGGCAGCGCTGGCAGAGAGTCCGATCAAGGCTGGAATCGCACCAACGAAGCATGCTGTTAGTCAATACAGTGCGAAAGCTGCTGGTATCGAGGGCGCAGAGGAAAAGCTCAGCCCAAGGCGACCATACTTGCCAGTTAGTGACGCGATCAAGACGAACGTAAAGGATGCCATGGAAGAGCTTGCTACGATAGAGAGCATCTTGTAAAAGAGGCTGAGAGGATACCTAGGTAGGGTTTCCTAGTTAGTTCCGGTAGAAGTACTCGCATCTCGCGCCATGGCAAGCATAGCATCCCCATCATCACTTCCAAATGTATAATATGTGACGGACGGCCTCCGCTCTCGAAGATATTCTCGTTCCTGTAATGAAGCCAGGAGCCGAGACAAGGACTCGTGAAAGTGCAGACCCTTGATTTAGCGGCGCACGTGCCTTATCGATAACCAACATTCACGTCTCGAACTTTTTCCTACGCTACTCAACACAACGAAATGGCGGCGCAAAGAGGAGCAAGCGGTATTGAAAAGAAGAAGCGGTCGAAGAAGAGGAGGACGAGAACTGAGGGTACAAGCAGCTATGTTCAACAGTTCGCGAGGGATGCGTTAACAACTGGATAGTCTCATCATCGAGCGAAAGTGACAGCGATGTCTCAAGCGTAAAGAGTCAAAAGGCCGCCGCGGTAGAAGAAGAAACAAAGGTACAAGTGTCGCGTTGAAGAGGTTTGATCTGAGCTGACTCGAAGAAGGAGGTTTCGCCAGCGCCAGCGCCAGCACCAGCGCCCGCTAAGAAAGAGAAGAAGAAGAAGAAGTCCAAAATTGGCAGTGTACCAGATGCTCAGCCAGATGAAGATGTCGCTATGACGGATGCACCAGCTTCCCCACCATCGAAAAGGACGGCGTCAAAGGCCAGTCAACAAGCTCAAGACGACTTCGGCGCCCTCTATCTGCGCAAAATCGCGGCCGAGTTCGCTGACGATCTCGACAAAGTGCGTGAAGCGCCAGACTTCAAGGCAAGTAGTGTGCCGATGCTCATTCATGCGCTCAAGCAGGGCGAAAGTCTCTACAGTGTAGATGAGAGAAAGAGGATCGTAGGCGCGGCGAACGCGTGAAGAACAAGGGTAGCATGGGTGGCGTTCGGAGTCTGGAAACAGTTTTGCGCAAAGATCTTAATAATGCAAACATTTGTATATTTCTCAGGGGGCCGGAACTTGGTCCCAATCATAGGCCAGATTCCTCCCGAGCAACCATCGGACAGCCAAACGCCTTGCTATGCAGAATATCGTGAAATCATCTAGTATGCCTCGACCTCCATACCGCTCCGCCATTCCAACTCGATCGTCCAAGCCAGGAGGTTCGGATGCTTGATAACAACCATGTCATGGGCCAGCTTCATGACCTTCTCCCTCTTCTCGGCCTTTTCTCCCGATGGCAGCACCATCAAGGTATCGTACGCTCTGGCTAGTAGCTTCTCCTCGTATTCCCGTCTCAGCTCGTCATCGCCCGTCCAGTTGATGATCTCCTCGTATATGCCCTCTAGCGGGCTAGCAGCGTATATCTCGTTCTTGACAGAGGCGGTGGTACCTTCCAGTGTCGCGCCAATGCGGAGTCGTCTCTCTTCTATGAGCCGCTTGATTGTGGAAGCCTCCTGTGTCTCGTGGATCTCGGCGATGCGCGTGTAGGTTTTTGACGGGTCTGGCAGACGACCTTCAAGGTACGAGTATACCGGTGAGGATGGCAGTTGGGTGCTGAGCGCGCGTGCATATTGCGTCTTGGTGCCGTGAGCGCGGGCGTGATCAACAAGTTTGTCGATGGCGGATTGGGACTTGTGCGCGTCGTCCCTGTTCTTGTCAGCAAGGTCGCTTCTCCATCTGTATATACGAAACATACAGATTCATGTATATCTGCGCTAGTTCCAGTCCAACGTCAATGTTCTCGTCAACCTTGGCGCCCTTGAGACCTTCGTACATGCCCCTTAGTCCGAGCCATGCCTGTGGGTCTTCAGGCTTGAGCTTGGTCGCGTCATAGTAGGCTTTCGCCGCTTCGTCGAATCTGCTCAGGCCGTCATTGGCGCGTCCGAGGAACAAGTAGGCGAAGTAATTTTGAGGCTCCTTCTCCAACACTGCTGTCGCTTGGTTCTTCGCTTCCTCCCAATCCTTTGCGCCAATGGCCGCCTTCGCAGCCTTTAGCGCCGTTTTCGTAGACATGTCGTTGATTTGAGTAGCGATAGTAGGGGAAATAGCCGTCCGTACGGCGTCACTTGTGTTATGACCGTGCCATGAGGAGTGAATTGGAGCTTTGGTGGGGCTTGCTGCGTCGAAAGACCAAGCAATGACGCACGGCATGCTAGCGTCGATCCTGGGCTTCAGCCTTACCAAAAGTCGAACATCAACCTCGACTACTCTGCAACTTACTTGCCGCTACTTTTCACAATTTACCCATTCAGACCACTCTGATAATTCGACTTCCTTTCGATATAGCACCTACCGGCGTTCTGTCTTGCATTGGCTGGGTTCAAAATTCGGATTGTTGTCATGGCGTCACACGCGGACAGTGCGCACGACCTGCTGGACCTCGACATATCGACACTACGGCAATTCGTTGACCTATTCCCCAACGAGGGGCTATCAAAAGTCATCACAGGCTGGTTGAGTAGTGGTATATCAAGATATCCGCTTGTGGAAGAAGGCGACTCAAGAGAAGGACCTGACCTGAGCGAGGGTGGGGTAGCTCTTACTCAAGATGTTCCAGTCTCACAAGAGGACTGTTTGGTGTTGATGACTGAAGGAATTACCGAGGCTGGAAGATCGCCACTTGCACAATGCTTAATCGGAGACTACTACCTGTCCTTGGAGGAATATGAAAGCGCGGTCGAGAGCACGAGGAAAGGCTTGAAGTACGCCGCTGCGGAGGCAAAAAAAACCGACTTGTCTCTTCAAAGAACCCGCGATGCTTTGAGTAGCACGCTTGCTACTGCTTTAGTATACTACCAGGCCCCGAGGAATCATCTGGAAGCCAAGGGTATCTTCGAATCAATCTTGAAGCGCAAGCCACAGTTCACCTCTGCTCTCATCGGCATTGGGTTGGTCCTAGAAGAAGAAGAGGAATATGAGCAAGCCTTCCAATTCCTTGAGAAGGCCCTGAAGCAAGATCCCTCAAATGGTCGAATAGGTGCAGAATCAGCTTGGTGTCAGGCACTTGCCGGTGACTACAAAACCGGGTTGGAACGGCTCCAAGAATACCTCGATTACCCGCAGCTCGATGCTACCAAGCAACGTGGCCGCGAGCTCCGCGCACAGACACTTTATAGAATAGGTGTATGTATATGGGAACTCGATTCGTCAAAGCAAGCGAGGAAGGACCGCCAAGGAACGTATGCGAAGCTGCTTGCAGCGATCAAAGCAAACCCTAACTATGCGCCCGCATATACCCTGCTCGGAATCTTCTACGAAGACTATAACAAGGACCGCAGACGAGCAAGACAGTGTTTCCAAAAGGCTTTCGAGCTATCGCCCTCCGAGGTCGTCGCAGCTGAGCGCCTTGCTCGTCTTTTTGCCAATCAAGGCGAGTGGGACATTGTCGAGGTCGTTTCGCAGCGAGTGGTGGACTCGGGAAAAGCCCGCCAGACACCAGGCTCGAAACGAAAAGGCGTCAGCTGGCCGTTTTCTGCACTGGGTGTCGTCCAAATGAACAAGCAAGAGTACCAAAAGAGTATTGTATCCTTCTTGTCCGCACTACGCATTAGTCCGGATGACTACTACTCCTATGTAGGTCTCGGAGAGAGCTACCACAACTCTGGTCGATACAACTCAGCGTCACGCGCGTTCAACTATGCAGAGAATCCAACAGATGGCGTTGTGTTGAAGAGGTCCGATCAGGAGGGATGGTTTACGAAGTACATGCTCGCCAACGTCAATCGCGAGTTGAGTGAGTTCAATGAAGCTCTCGCGGGTTACGAAGCTGTGTTAGCGTCTCGGCCGAAAGAGTTTGGTGTCTCGATAGCACTCCTGCAGACTCTCGTAGAGAAGGGCTGGCATTGCATTGAAACCGGTTTCTTCGGCGAGGCTGCCGATAGCGCGACCCGCGGTATCGAAGTTGCGCTGTCGATCACTGAGTACAAGCCGGATGCTTTCAACCTATGGAAAGCTGTTGGCGATGCATGCAGTTTGTTCACTTGGGTCCAGGACAAACTCAAGCAGTTTCCCGTGGAGCTGATTGAGAAGCTGCTGCGCAGCAAGTCGGACATGAAAATCGATTTTGACGAACTCAAGGACATCGATGGGCTTGGACAGGACACGCTGGCTGCGCTTTCCGCAGATAAAGATTATACTCTCACCAAGGTGCTCAAAGCCTCGATACTTGCACAAAAACGAGCAGTCTCCAGTTGTGCACATGACATACACGCACAGGCTGTAGCTTGGTACAATCTAGGCTGGACAGAGTACAGAGCACACGTCTGCTTAGAGCAGGAAGGCATGGAGGGGTCGAAACTCACGACGTATCTTCGAGCAGCCATGAAGTGTTTCAAGCGTGCTATCGAACTAGAAGCCGGTAATTCGGAGTTCTGGAACTCGCTTGGTGTCATCACAACAACACTGAGCCCCAAGGTCGCTCAACATGCTTTTGTTCGATCTCTACACCTAAACGAACGAAGTGTGCACACCTGGACGAACCTCGGAGCGCTCTACTTGCTACAAAACGATTACGAACTTGCGCATACCGCCTTCTCAAGGGCGCAATCGCAGGACCCCGACTACTCGTTAGCATGGGTCGGCGAAGGCATCATCGCATTACTCACTGGAGATTCCAACGAGGCGCTTTCCCACTTCACTCACGCATTTGAGCTTTCAGAGTCATCAATACTTTTGACGAAACGCCAGTACGCCGTCTCGGCTTTCGACTTCCTTGTATCTTCGCCTTCGTCGTCAAGCAATATCACAAACCTCATACAACCTCTATTCGCGCTCCAACAACTCAACATACAAGCACCCTACGACATACCGCACAAGCAACTAGCGGCCTTGTTCTTAGAGCGTATCGGTAACTATGACGCTGCTGTAGCAGCTTTGCAAGCTGTGAACGAGACTGTTGAGCAAGAGTATGAAAAGTCAGAGTCGCTGGCTTCCCTAGCTCGTGTTGCGCAAGCCAAGACAGACTTGGCCCGCAACCTTCTCGCTATCGAGTCATACACATTGGCTGTGGAAGAAGCTGAGACTGCACTTGATCTGCTCTCTGAATTAGATAGCGATGCCAAACAGTCTGCATTGTCTGGGGACCAAATTTCGAAGACTAAGCTGTCAGCTCGTCTCACGGCTGGTCTAGCACACTACTTCAGTGGCTCCTTTGACGCCGCGATACCGTACTTCCGAACATCGCTCGAGGCAACTGGGGCCAACCCAGACATCATCTGCATCCTCGCCGAAGTACTTTGGGCTAAGGGCGGAGAGAACGAGAAGCAAGTGGCTCGCGACCAACTATTTACCGCCATCGAGAAGCACGAAGGTCACGTCGGCTTGTTGACACTCATTGGCGCCATGACGGTGCTCGACGATGACCTAGAAACCATGGAAGCCATCAAAGACGATCTGAACCGACTGCGCACGAACAAGGAGCTTGGCGATGAACAGTTGGCTCGTGTGGAGAAGGTTATCGAAGCCATCTCAGTCAGTCTTGGTGGTGAGGAGCAAGAGTTGGACGAAGCTCGTCGCAGTGTCATGCTTGCCCCTTGGAAACATACTGGTTGGACAGAGCTCGCTGACGCTGCTGGGGGTGATGTGTTTGCCAGTACACTCGCAAAGGAAACTGCGATGCGAAACGCACCACCGAATGGTACGCTTGGTGCTGTTGGGTTGGCAGGCGCGATGGGTGGTACTGGAGATGTGGGAGATACTCAGAGGGCAGTTGTACTAGCACCTTGGGTCGCCGACAGCTGGAGTGGCTTGACTAAGTGTGTTCAAAGTGCTTGAACAGAAATAGGGCTGCATTGGTGGCGCATGATATGAAGACCCCCATGCCGCCATGTCTTTGAGAAACTTATTAGCATTAGCGAGAATATTTCCAAGTACACTGTAACACATCTGTGTGACATTATCCTCGTGATTCATGAGGCAAAGTTGGTGGCCAGATTTCCTGTCGCGTTCCCCAACTTTGCTGCATACACAATGTTATATCTTTGCAGGTAGACAGTACGCAACACAACGTATACTTCTACTTGAGTATCTATGTAGAATGCGACGGGAATTTTAGCCACCCCTGGTGGGGGGGCTATACAAGCCGACATAGGAACACTCGTTTCTCGAAAAGTTACTACTCCCATTGTCACCTCCCTGAAATAGAATCCAACGCTGATAACATGATAATCTGAAGCCTCGGAATCTCCTACCATCTGTCAAGCTCCCATCTCACTTCTGTCACGACTCCTTTGAGTGGCGGCAGTGTATGTTCGGTCGCTGGTGTAGCCACGTCAACCACTGCGGCGTCGTGATCTTCGAGTGTCGATTCCTTCGCAGCATTTCCGAGCTCTTGAATGTTCTTATAAGATTCCTTCTTGGCCACTGCAACAGCCATGGCCGCATCGTTCAGCCCATTTGCCGAGGCATCCACTTCCCCAGTCACAGCACGGGTCATCCCTGGAGAGGATACGTTGACTTCATGATAGCCGTAGGATGGACGACGAATCCGGAAGCCAGAGAAGACATGGCCACGCCTTTGCAACAAGCGGACGGCAACATCACAAATGAATTCGGTGGGTAACTTTGCTTGCTCGCTGAGAAGCCAGGATATGTTACCAGAGTCCGCGTAAAGATCTAGAACGAGTTCCCGGGCCTGGCTTTGGTTGGATGTGCCTTCATAAAGCTCTGTCGTTGCTGCAGCCGGAAGAATACGTTGAACGTTGATGCTCAGGGTAGGTTGGCAGGCGATGTCGCTGAAGAATGCGTACATTCCGTCGATGATGTGGTTCTTGGATGTGACGTCTTGTAGTTTCTCCGCTAAAACGTATAGTCGGCATAGCTTCAGCCATTGGTCGGTACCCCTTGTGACTAGCTGATGTGTGTAGATCAGGTTGAGGTATAGACGAAAGGTATCCGGGTCATCGTCTGGCAGTGCTACCACATGCGCTTCAGTTCCTCGAAAGGCCTGACTAATAGCGCACCTGAAGAATCCGGATCTGGAGGTGAAGAGGGTTTCGTGGACGAAAAAGCCTGCTGCGTCCGGGTCCGTCCCAACGCAAACTTTCAGTATTGGACTATCAAAGCTATGGTATGTCAGCAACGCGAGTCATCTCAAGACTTGAATACTCACACTAGAATTTGACTATCGCAAGCGCGTATATCCGTCGGTTTGGGATCTGCATCACCAAGCTGCGTGCTCAATGATGATGCCGGTGACGAGGATCGGGTCGGTGATTCACTAAATTCAAACCTGAATTCTGACATAATGAGCTGATAAAAGCTGTCGTGTGGTTCTGTCTGATTTGCTTTGCAACTGCATCTTCTCTAGCATTATAAAAGCTATTGTTGAAGAAGGATCATAGGAAACAAACAGCGCTTCGCGAGGATCAGGATTGTCTCAGTTACGTATCGACAATGCGCGCGCGTATCAACATAACTACTGCTTATTTGGAAAACAGAACTTCGTTGCAGAAACAAAACAGAGCTGTGTGGGAAGCCTGTAAACGTGACCAAAATATACCTGGTCGCGGTTAGGCAGGGGTGAGGCGTAGCAATCTGAACCACTTGAAGCGACTGCAGCACTTGTACATGCCATAGTAACGAAACTTCGAGTGCAGCATCTGCGAATGTATTAGGCGATTGTGTGATAGCGCTGTTCCGGTTTTGATGATCTATAATAAGCAACAATGGTATGTAGAAGACACACAAACCTTGGCCCCAAAGATGGCATGAAGCCACTATACAGGCGCAGTATCGATAGCGGACAGACTCCGATGATAATTGGTCATGATCTTACTTGTACTATTCGGTGCTTGACGTTCCTATTTCTTCTCTTCTTCCTTGGCCGGTGCCTCTCTCTTCTCCAGTATCTTGTCGACGATGCCAAAGTCCACTGCCTCTTGCGCATCCATGAAGTAGTCGCGCTCCATGTACTTCTCAATCTCCTCCAGTGTCCTCTTCTTCGTAACGTGCGACTGGTATATCTTGTTCAGCTTGTCCCGTATCCTAAGAATCTCTTTGGCATGGTCCGCAATATCGCTTGCCTTGCCACGGTATCCGCCACTCGGCTGGTGTATCATGACCCGCGCATGTGGTAATATGTATCGCTGACCCTCGGCGCCACCTGCAAGCAACAGTGATCCCATGGAGGCTGCAATGCCCATGCATATCGTGCTGACCGGACAGCGGATGTAGTTCATGGTGTCGTAGATGGCAAGACCGGCGCTCACGCTACCCCCGGGGGAGTTGATATACATGGATATGGGTTTCTCGGGGTTATCGGCTTCGAGGAAGAGGAGTTGGGCAACAGCGTTGGCGGACATGTAGTCGTCAACCTCGCCGTTCAGGCAGATGATGCGCTCTTGCAGGAGACGCGAGAAGATGTCGGAAGTTTTCCAACCTCCACCCTACAAAGTCAGCTAGCTCTTGAATAGTAACGCTGCTGAACTCACAGTAGTCTCCGTCACGTAGGGTATTGGCAGTGAGATGGCGCGCGGTGTCTGTTGGTCCTGCTGTTGAGGACTCCATTGCGGCTGGAAGCCGAATTGGCTTGATATCGACCGCGTACCATATCTGGTAAAGCTTCGTAGTTTCGATGGCCTTGTAGCCTGCCGTAATAGAGTAGCCATGATGGTGATGTCGGGCTAGCTCCTGCCTCCCCGCGTGAACGCAGCTCCGACGCGCCAAGCCGGGGGTCCGATGCAATCGTTCGGATCTTCCTGCGCAACACCTACAATCCGCACGAACCACCCAGCCGCTCACTGTCCCGCCTGATGCCAGGCAGATGGATCTGTCGCCCGACGTCATGCCTGAGGCCCACTAGACTCCTTGCGTGGGCTCAATCTCGCCAATCCTCCGCTCATGTCCCCGGTCGTCTCTTGAAAGGCAGTGACCTTGGTCCCACGCGCGAAGATGCCCACCAAACCTTTCGCCGCCGTAAAGACAAGACAGCCAAAGCACTTCCGCTTTCGCCATTGCTCGACCCGGTAGTCTTGGATGAAAGGTCTCGCCACGAACAGACGAAAGAGCGACCCAACTTTGCTGGATTGACGCCTTTCCAGAAGAAACTATGGGAGAATCCATTTGGTATGCATATTGCTGTCCCTTGATGGCAATGTAAAACTAATTTTTCAGCCCATACGTTGGCATCGCCAGTCCGTCAATGTCGCGCAACAATGATCTCCCTTCCCGCCGCTTTCTTGACCTCTCTTCACGCACGTCCGCATCCAACGACTAAAGACCCGTGGCTCGTGCCTGTCTCCCTCACGACCGACAAGAAGCACCTCGGACCCCCATTCCGTTTCCTTGGGACTCGTCGGGTTACTGCACAACTGGGCAAGAAGAAAGCCTGGGAAAAAGGTCTAAACTCACGCATGACCGAAAAGTTTGGCGGGCACAACTTGAAGAAGATGGTTTGGAGGGAGGACATGGCAGACTTCGTACTGGACATGATCCGCAAGAGCGTAGGAAGTAAGCTCAGCTGGAACTTTGGTTTCAGAGGTCGATTGATTCCAATCGCGAGTCCCCGGACTGAAGACATTGAGAGCGTGGAAGACGTTTCTTCTGTCCTCATATTCCGATCGCTCCATACCCGTGGGGATGATGTGCAAAAGCTGGCAGATCTGAACATGGCGGAGCTGGAAAAGTGGTCAGCCTACTTCACGAAGAGCTTCGAGGCGAAGTTGGATCCACATGCTACTCCAGAAGTCACTCACTCCTCACCACACTGGTATACCGGTCCTGTAATCGCTCGCCCGCAACCTCGCCTGATGTTTTCGGAGCTCGAGTTTCATACCACTATTTGGCGAGGGAGGAGGGTTCCGGTCTACAGTTTGATGGATCTACTTGGAGAAGACAAGGCGCAAGAACTGATAAAAGGCAGCAAGTACGCTGATGAGAAATGTGTCGTGATGAAGAGAGCAAGACACAATGTGCCGGTTGAGATACTGCTCATGCAACTCCAAGCATATATAGCCCAACCAGGTCCTTGAGTTACCTCAAGCGCACTTTAGCTTTTGAATCGAAAACTAGACTTCCTCCTTGAGCCTTCTCAATCTGTCTTGACCACTACTGTAATCACCTTCAAAAGACTGCCAAATCCGAGAGACCTCAGATGCACCTCAGGTGCTATCAGTCTCACTCCACTACTTCCTGACACCCTCACGCAATCTTCTCAGCCAGTCTGCCTTTCTCATACCGAACATGTGCTCGTCTCTCATCTCACCATTCTTGTAAACATTGTCCCTCAGTACACCTTCGAGTGCGTACCCACACTTCTCAAAGCACCGCATGCTCGCTCCGTTGCCAGAGAACACGCCGGCGTAGAGTTTGGTCAACCGTTGACCATTGTTCTCATAACTCTCAAAACTCCATGTTGTGAAGGCTTCCAGTGCCTCCGTAATGTAGCCTCTTCCCCAATAGGACTTTCCAACCCAGAAACCGACTTCTGCTGCATGCGCGTATACATCCGAGCCTAGTTTCAGGCCGATGCCTCCTATTGCGAGTTCTGGCGCTGACCTCTCACAGATGACGAAATGGTGTTGATATGTGAGTGCGAGGTTCGTGTTGATCCATGTCTCGGCGCTAGACTGTGTATATGGACTGGGAAAAGTTCCACGCATATACTTAGCGATGAGAGGGTCGTTGGCGTGCAGGGAAGTCGAAGCGGCATCTTTGAGACACATCGGACGGATTATTAGACGCTTGGTAGTCACTATGGGTGATGGAACTGATGCGCCGGTCTGTGCTTGTGTTGTTTGTTCCGCCATTTTGGAGATGGGTACACCGACGAGATGTGCGAATACGGGAGAAAGGAATGGAGATGGGCCAGTACAGAGATTCCGATGTTTGTGTACCTTTAGTGTCTGGTTGCTTCACGGCCATTGACTCATAGATACCGTTTGAGTGACCATGATAAGGCCAGTCAGCACGAAGCATACGCACCTTCCCTGCTGGGCCATTGACCGGTTGCCTGAATTAGCGGCACTCGCCCTTTTGATTAGTCAAAAACAATGCAAGCATATAGCCGTATTCAAAGGACGCTTGAAGACTTGATGACTGTGAAGTATATCCTTGAACACGATGTTTGGGAATGCCCAGGTGACATGCGAGAGGACGAGGCGTGACGTCGCGGTGGGCTGGTACTAGCGCAACGCGCTAAATCGCGTCTGTCGCGTGGGCGGTCCAGCTCTCACAATTCCTACGACACTTGCCAACAGCGCCATAATGTCGTCCTTCGGAGCAAAGTAAGCAGATCCGATCCAATGTATTCCACATGTCTAACATATTCTTAGGAAAGTTGTCAGAACCTATTCGCGACACACAAAGCGCCAACTCTATGATGAAGAGCCGCCTACCAAACGAAGACGCGTCGAGACCGGAATCGAAAGTACCGAAACGACGACCTTGACTCCGTTGGATAATTCTCTCACGATTGTCATCTCATCTCTCGAATGCGAGCGTGAAAGCTCTACTGCCCCTCCGTCCAGCCCAAAAGACTCGCCCGCAGTCTTCTCAGATGAACCGCCTCGGTCTAGTCCACCATCGTCCCCGGCACCGCGCAGCTCCCCTCCACCCGTTCAAAAACGGCGACCAGTCTTCTCGATATTCAAGAAGCAACTCAAGTCGAACACGCCCGCCAAAGAACCCTTTGCAGAACGGAGTCACAACGCGCAAAGCCCACCGAAGCCAGCACCAAAGAAGAAGCAGATGGTACAGATGCAATTAGACCTGTCTTCAGAGACGCGCAAAACATGTAAGACATGTGGAATGCAGTACATACCGTCGAATGCCGAAGACGCGGCGCTACACAAGAAGTTTCATGCGATGAACCTTGGGGGTGTTGACTTCACCAAGCCAGTCGTGGAGCGCTTTAGGAAGAACCAGATATGGAGCGGTGATGGGAGCTTCATCGCCGTGGTTGGACGCAAGGATACATTGGCGATGCGCAACCGGGCGAGTGATGTTTTGAAGGTTGTGAACACAGAGCTTGCTGCTGTTCCCATAACAGACGACGAGCTTTGGGGACAGACGAGTCGGACAGCCCAGGCAAACGCAACAGAACGGACTACGCCTGTATCGAAACCACGACCCTCGGCGAAGAATCCAGCCAATGAGGCACTTGTCGATCGATTCAAAATATATCTATACATTCGAGGGAATAAGTGTGTAGGAGCATGTTTGGCAGAGCGAATCTGGGAAGCCTACAAGGTGTTGAACCCCACCAGTTCTCCCGAACAAGAGCACGGAGATACTGTCGCGCCCCATAGCTCTTCTATTTCTATCAGCACCGATTCCGACCCGGTGGCCTTGGGCATATCGCGTATATGGACGTCGAGTCAACAAAGAAAGAAAGGCATCGCGACTAGGCTGCTGGAATCTGCACGATCCGACTTCATCTATGGGCTGCACATTGAGAAAGCTCGAGTAGCTTTCAGTCAACCAACAGAGAGTGGAGGGAACTTGGCGCGCAAGTGGTTTGACTGCCAGGCAGGGTGGCATGTATATGTCGATTAGCGTACCGTGAAGATAGATAGACCCAGGCATAGATAACCGCGGTAGGTCGCTACAAGATGCCCACGCGTTTACTAAACAATGTAAAGAGCTGCGCAAACCCTGTAGCAGAAGGCGAGTATTCAAACGTGAGCTCTACAACAGGTAGCGCTCGTTTGTTGGCTACCAATCTCGTGTGCGAAATTGTGCCAGATGTTTCATTGGGCAGTGATGCTGTACGAGGTACGATGGTGGGGGCTGTTCGCTGTCCCGCGCCGGATCGCCAGCACCTGCATATCGGCGATGATCAAGTCGCAGAGCCGACTATCAGCAACAGCATTTCTTGCGCGGCACCATCTCACCGCCTCTCTCGCGCCCCTTCCATGTACATAGAATAATGCATTGTTTTTAGCATCCACCATGTCGTCCGGAAACCCGTTCCGCCTTTCTCAAGCTCCCCGTCAGCCCGCGCCGATCCCGCAGACTTCCTTCATCAATACAGATAGCAGTGTGCCTGAGGCGCGCAGGGAGGACAGCGACCATGGTATTCCCTCGCCTTGCCTTTCTGCGTCTGCTGGCATTCAAGGAGTAATTGTCTTACAGTGCTCGAAGATGTCGCCCCGCCGTCGACTGGCAAGACCAAGAAGTCTGTCCGCATATTATCGCCCACTACCACGATTCCACCGCCCATCTTTGACGACCGAGATGTTACCTTGAACGAGCTCATGGCCCGGCGATCGAGCCAAGGTCGGCCTGCGAGCCCACCGCCTCCCGTAACACCCGCCGGCTTTGTCAACAACTCTGTCACAGCGGGTGAAGCCAATGCCCAAGTTATTGGGAAAGACGCCATGGCAATAGCAGACGCGCCTATAGATTCGAGACAATACTTTGTCGAGCCTCAAGCGCCTCAATCGTCGAGCACCGTACCAGCGAACCCGTTCTCGAGGACACTGGCTTCGCTGGAACCGCAAGACAGGGAGAGCGACGAGGAGCGGACGAACACGGGAAGACCGATACTAGGCAACAGCAGAGCCTCTTTGGACGTAGAGAGCTTCAAGAATCTACTCCTGACCGGAAAGCCTACTCCGCGACCATCCGGTCCGCCTCCGCAAACTACAAGCGCATCACAACCGGCCGCTGGCGCGCAATTCGAGACCAGCAGCAGCACAGATACATCCTCAGTCTCAAGACAGTCGCTATTCGAGCCCATACAAGAATCCCACGTTGATTCGCCACGCACCTCTGTCGATATGGTCGACTCGGACGAGGACGAGAGCATGGGGCTAGTCTCAGATGTGAAGAAGGGGAAGAAGAAGCCCCCACCTGCTCCCAAGCATCGACATGGAAAGCTCGTTACGCAGAGACAACCACAGACAGTATCATTTGAAAGCTTTGCAGCGACGGAGCCAACACCGCCTCCGGCTATCAGACGAACAGACAGTTCAGACACAAACAAGCCACTCCCGCCAACCCCCGTTGCTGCGCCGCAGTCCTCCCATATCAGCACACAGGATACGACCCCGCTACAGTCCCCACCAATTCCACCGATACAAGAGCAGCCTTCACCGCCTTCAGAAGGTACAAATAGACAAAAGAAGGCACCTCCGCCCGTGCCATTGGCCCGTAGGCAGAGTCAACTCAAAACGACGACGGCGACGACAGGCAGTAGATCGCGGAGCAGTTCAAACCTTACGATATCATCTCAGCACTCGGTTGACGCCGTACAGAGCCCAGTTCCAAGTAACGTCGACCCGTTTGGAGCAAAGTCACCACCACGTCCTCCACCTTCACGACACGGCGCACGACTCGCGAACCTAGGCAACTCAAGCGCGAACTCTTCTAGCACCGAATTGCCACAGCGTTCAAGTTCGGGTCGAACGCCGAGATCTGTTCCAGAACCCCCTTCATCCCGCCGGAGCACTCTAGAGTCCCAACCTTCGTCACCAGCGCCGAGTGTGCAACGCGCCTCTTCCATATCGTCCAATCGCAATACCCAGCGAAACGTATCTGGAGAAAGCACGGGAAGCAACATGCCGCCACCTCCGCCTCCACCAAGACGTCGATCAAATCGCTCGAGCCTTGATCAGCAAAGACCTCAGGTATCCTCTTCGTCCCCCACAGAAAGCCGAAGGACGAGCACAGAATACCGCCGCACAAGTACAGAGTACAGACGGACGAGTGTAGCCAGCGAAAGTTCATTGAGAAGAGAGTATGCGCCTGTTGACGATAAGGGTGGGAACGAATACGCTTTATACTCGCCAATGGAGGAGAGCGAGAAGAAGCTAGGCCTTGACGAGAATATGGCTGATGGGAAGGAGGGCGAGGGTAGGAGCGACTCGACTAACATTCTCGATGATATGGAAAAATTTCAACGCGAGATCGATGAGCTGAGGACGAAGTACAAACAAGCGGGATAGTGCTTCATTTAAGTAGTCATCCAGTGGGAGGAAAGGAGCGATATATATTAGCATGATGCATCTTCCAACCGAGGGATTCTTAGCATCATTAGAAGATATCGCAGCTCATGTTCATGCGTCTTCCTTGTTTTAGCTTTCCTCGTCCTTGATCAGTTGTCCTGCTTATAATTTACCCTATTCGATGAAAGCCGTACTCAGTCTCAAAAGAATTCCATGCCAGCCAGCATCATTGGTTTACAAAGCCTCCTTCGCCAACATCAGTTACGCCTTCATCACTAGTCATCTGCAAGCCCAAATGAAACCACAGAAAGCTCCTCTGATGAACAAATACAGCCGGCGTCCTCACTCGCGGTAGCTTTGAGGATGAGAAGCTCATCTGAACGTGAGGGCTATTTCATGCGGCACAGGCATAACAGCGGCGTTGCCCTTACGACACGCGAGAAGTACAAGATGCGGAAGCACGGAAGCATAGTTAAACAATATAGGTAGACGGCTTTGTGAGATGTGTAGGAGGCATAATCTCTGTGAAGACCCGGACGCTGTTGTGTTGCACTGGGGTAAGTGGGTGTAGCACGGCAGCATGGGTAGTGACGATGTCTCTTTTTTTATTAGACTCATGGAAGGCTATGAACATGCAATACCATTGGGTAGCTGTCAGACGAAGGATGACACCCCATGCCGATGATAAGCCGCCAATACATTAATACCAAGTCATGAATGGGGGTATCTGGGTCTTGAGGGAATGATCAAGACAATAAGAGGGAGCCCGATGAGTACCAGGCCTCACACTATCGGCTTCGACTGAGAACGCGACGTGTAGCGCGACAACCCTCCTCAATATAGCACGTTGATCTTGTGTGAGCGGGCCTAGGCCATGATAGCCAGGGCTGCAGCACCCATGGCAACGAGCGAGCCCATACCGACGACAGGCGTTGCGAGAGCGGCGCCAGCGGTTTCGACGGCAGTGGTTGTGGGCTCACCAGGGCGACCTGAGGATGAGGGAACCATGAGAGTCGTGGTAGTAGCACTAGAGGACTCGCCAGCGGGGACGTCGGTGGTAGGAATTGGTCGTCCTGAGGGAGGCAGGATAACGCTAGTAGTGGTAGCTACAGGCGGTCCGCTGAGCAGAGTCGAGGAGACAACCGACATAGCGGGAGTAGAGGAGGCAGCTGACGGAGCTGGGACTGGCTCATACGACGGCTTGCCGGGCTCGGGGACGCACTGGGTAACAGTGACAGTCACGGTGGCAGCGGGAGCGCAGACAGCTGTAAGAGATATTAGCTTATGTGCCCGATACCATGTAGAGGTATCCAAGCAGCTTTGCAGCTAAGTTTGAAGCATGTACTGACAGTCAGTGGCAACGACAGCCAGCGCAAGCGCAGCGACAGCGAAGATCTTGTAGCCGAACATGATGATAACGGTAATCTGATTGGTGGTGGGGATGGATTGAAGTATATTCGGGTTTGACTGATGCAGCTGCTGAGATGATGGAACTTTGGGGTCAGTGTCGTGAGAGAAGCAGAAGACGTGGAGGTGGGCACAGAAAACTCGTTTATATGACGTGCGAGCAGCGTTTGCAGTCACGGCGGAAATTATCCCCGACGGCAGGCGATAGGCAGAGGACGGATTGGCAGGAGCGAAAGTGAAGGTGAAGGCGCAATTGTGGGGTGAGAGCGTGCGTCCTTGTTGTGCTCTGCGAGTGCCCAGGAGGGCACCTTTGTGGCACCAACTCGCCCATACAGACCTTGAGTGCCGTGGCGCAAATGCGACTAGCCTTCTCAGCGAATTTGATCATGTACGACGGCAAGATGCTAGAAATATGACTATGGACAAGCACAGGATGGTGACGTTGGCAGGTGGCCGACAGTGAGGGTGCAGGATGGGGTGTGTTTGCTCTTTCCTCTTTGAGACGGCATCGACGACCTAACAGCAATCGTGATTGGTAGCCTGGACGACGGTCGTTGTGATTCGCATCGTAAAGGGAGGAGCAGTTCGCCCACACTAGGCATGGAAAGTACGAGTATTGCCAGAAATGATACTTGGCTGTAACGTGACAGAGAATGCTCTTCGAAGAGTATTGTAGAGAGAGACATACAAGAAACAGAGAATACGTAGAGAATTGCAGACGTAATCTTCGAGCCACTTGCGTGGTCTGATAGATCACCCGGAAGTTAAACAAGGTGAACTCCAGAATTTGAAAAGCACCTTCCTGTCAACTTCCCAACTTCGCTTCGCGTGATTTCGGACAAATATGGAAGCGGATTGGCAGCGACCTTGAATACCACATTGAGAGCTGACTTCGGACGCGACACCAACCCTGTTAGGGGTATGCGTTGCTCCTAGGTACGAGACTCGATCAGCGATCGAATGCCTTCATTTACGATATTGTCTGATGCCATAGGTAACGCCCGTGACTGTCTGACCATAATACCATTGCAAAAAGGAGAGAAATCATGATTGGAAGACCAAGTGGGCGACAATGGAAACAAGCTGCGACTTTGGAAAGCAATGCAAGCATCAAGGATAAAAAATGGCAGGCCCAATGTGAGTTCCTACTCTTTCCAATCTTACCTTGAGCGCAAGAGTTTGTGATTGTGGTGACGAAGCGTAGATACGTTCATACTTGACTGTCTTGTAGTTGTTGGCACGAGATTGTTTCGGAATAGAATGGGCTAGGCTACACTACAATTGGCCTAGATTTCATCCTTCGTTCGCACCCAGACATCAAGACATTTGATCGAGAGATCTGTGGGTGTTCTTTACAAGATGAATTGGCTGTAAACTGGAGTAGAACTCAGCTGGCTGGCCACGTTGGACAAAGACGCGTGGGGATCCGTAGTCCGTCGCCACTCGTCGCGCAAGAGTAACCTCCACCACTCCGAATGGCAATTGTTGTCTCGACGGCTGCTGCAACTTTATCGCCGTGCCGCACGTTGGCCTACAATCCCATGAGCGGAGAAATGGCCGATGTTTTCTCCCTATTAGATGTTCCCGGAAGCTCAATGCAGCCGCAAACGTACGGAGCCGTGGTTCGACTGGATCTCTGCGGAAGTCGGCCGATGCTAGCAGTATCTGCACAGTAGGTTTCCTCCGCTTCGATATGATGGGTCAACGCTAAACGTGGCTGCACCTTGTGCACCTGTTGGTGGATTGTCCAGCTTCCTGTGACATCCACATTCATGGGTGCGTTCCGACTTTTCCATACTGCAGGCGTGGAGTAGAACGCCATACAGCAAGCCCTGGAGATGTCGCCACGTTGTTGTTGTTACGTCGGACGTCGGAATCCGAGCTTACTGCGCGGCCCGATACGAGATGCATACGCTGCTGCTTACTTGCTTATGCTGTGCTGTGAGAACGCACACGGTGGTGATTGGCTTCGTGGGAAGCGAGAAGAGTAGCTTGGACGGGCGGTGTCGTAGCGCGTAGTGAGCTGTAAGGCCCAGATGTTTACACTCGCCTGTGTATGCGGTGCTGGTTAGAGGAGGCAAGAAGCAACGTTCCTCTGGACCCTTTTTGGCCTTCCAAAGCTACTTACCCAAATCATCCGCACGCCTGGAGCAGTCTGCTCACCTGCATATGGTACTGCTTCCAGAAAGCATCGTACTGCAGACAGCAACAATGTGCAGGACGAGAGTATAACCACAGAAATCAACAAAATGAGATGGCCCTGTGATCGAATACCGCAATCTGAGAGCCACACAAAATATGAACCGAGATGAAGTGGATGTGCAACGTTGGACACTCCTCACCGCATCTAGTTTTTGGATAGTCACTGCTTCCACACAAAACGCGCAGTACATTAACAGACCGCTTGTGCAAGCGAACGCATTCCTAAAACACCCAGAGGCAACTGTCGCTGAAATGGAGATGCAGCATGCTTGACGCCGACATTGGGGCTGTGCTGCCGATCTTAACATGTTTGGTGGTGGGCTCCGCGCCAGAGAATATCTCTTGACGTTGCAAATCTACGCTTGAACGACGGTTCAGGCGCTCGGCATGGGAGAGCGGTTGAGTGCCTTAGTATACAGCGCGGGTGTGATGGGCCTGGATGGATCTATTGCGCAATTTCTGATTTTGTACCGATGATCTCGAGGGAGTTCTCTCCGATGTGCTATCAGCCAGTTGTTTAGAAGAGGCTTGCCGCAAGCCAGCCCATCGTATGTATGGCAAGCTAATGCGGCAGATCGAGCGCATCCGCGTCAACTTGACCTCAAGTAGAATCCCAGCACCGTGTAGAATACGGGAAAGAAGGAACGATCGCTTTGAGGAGGGGTTTGGGAACAAGGGTATCTGATTGGATGAGGGCAGTGTCGCCGAGGCGTGCATGCAAGCGAGTTCAACCGGCGACCGTGCATTAGGGCCCGCGGGGCGGGAGACAGAAGCTCTATACCCAGGTGTTGTGTAATTTGGAGGTCATTTCTGTACTCCTAGGGTTGAGTCGTTCAGACCTTCCCGATTGAGCGATGGAAAGATTATGTGGTTCACGAAACTAGACGGCGTTGTGAACCTGAACAGATTGATGTGCGCGCCACGGCGCCCTTGCCGAGTGCGGAGGGGAAACATACGAATTATTTGCCTGTGGGATGAAGTTGAACATACTGGGACTATGAATACTCAATCGTAGCACCGCCTCGGTACATTGGATGGCGTCTGCGTTTCATGTAGACTTGGTGAATGACGATAGAGGTACCCAACAGTAAACAGGCAAGGAGATTGAAGGGCAATCTGACGTGGGGCTGTCGGACGACGTATGCGCTCCACTTGCCGCATTGGAGTGGGGTGTGATATCGAACACCATGTTCGGTTCAAGTTGCAGCCTCGCCTTGTCCAATGATGTCGAAAGAAGGCATTCAGGATGATTGAAGAGGCTTCGGAAGTTTCAGTAGTCAGTTGGCTACTGACTTACGGGAACACAACGCCGCTGTGGGACACAGCGTGTCCAGGATACCGCAAAGGATACCGTAGCCGCCTCAGATACAAGATCATGCAGCTAGGTACACGCTGATCTAAATCCATGTGCACCCACTCAGGATTCCTATCCATGTAGTTATGGGTAGGCATAGAGCGGAACGTACGCGACGTCACTTTGACCTGACTTTGACGCGGAGCGTTGTATTAGTAGGTGTAGCAATGTGGAGCCCGACACACATCACAGCGATCTCAAGATATTGGATTGCTTCTCGAAGGATAAGGTGCATCTGGGCGGGTCAGAAAAGGAGGTGGTCAACCGTATGTAGCGGGTACCAGAACCATAATCAACCCACAGCCCTGCAGTACACAACGCATATTCCGATGTTGTTAAATACCGTCGGACTCAGAGCGTGTGGGGTTCAGCTGAAAGGGATCAAAACTTCATGCACCTGACTGTGGCCGCTGTGCGCTTTTCGCCTTGCCTGTTGGCTCCCTTGTTGCATAACAAGCCGTGTGGATGCACGGCAGACGGAGATAATTGATCTCAGATCTGAATCTGAAGCCTAGCAAGGACGCAGGGATCATCGGGCTTTGACTGGCTGATACTTTGACAGGCCGGCACTAGAGGCCCCGGCGATCTGGCAGTGGGCACTTGCGGCGGGGCAGGAGCGATAGAAGGAAGAACCAATGCCGTGTGACGTCGGCGGACGGCAGGAGCTTAGGACAATGCCATGGTGACAAATACTCGAAACACAAACAATGAGGGTCAATTTCCCATGCTGCCAATAGTGGCATCGACCTCTTGGGAACGATGGAGCTGCACTGGCCGTGCTATTGACAGAGCACCGTCCCTTCTTCTGACGCATGGCATCCCGCTGATACGCAAGCTGTAGTAAGGAGATATCATCAGAGGGTAAAGTCGTGGACCAGCGAGTCGGCGACATGTTTCTATCGAGAGATCGGCGCGCACGTCCTGGACACGGGCACCGAAGCCCTCAGGGCGCTTCAGGGCTCCGAGTTTGCGTGGGAGATGCGATGAGATCGGAGCTATTCCCGATATGGCCTTCGCGTATCTCAGGTTTTCTTTGTGTGATCAGGGCTTTCCTTGTTCTTGAGCCCAAGCGATCGGCTGCCATGAGATGTGTGCAGCACGGTGAAACCAGCCGTTCTGACCTTGTCGCATGGCGGGAGATAGGGCTGTCTGAAGCTCAGTATTGTTTGGGGGGTAGCGATGGCGTTGCGTAGTTGACGGTTATTCGTCGCGAAGTTTTCCGTTCGAGTGTAAGCGCAGAGTTAGGCTGGCTCCAGCACCATCTGGGGCAGGAGACGGGAACAAGCCAACGGTAGCCCGACGGCTGCGTCTCCATAGCGCCGACCACTTAACGAGAGCATGTGCGTTCGCGTTTGGTTGAACAGTATGCGGAAGCCTCTGCGCTGCCGCGATCGCGATTGATTTACGCACAATAGCCGGCGCACGTCTGACTGAGCGTCCCCGGTTCAGCCAAAGTAGCAGGTTGTTAGTAATTGCGAGTTAGCAGCAGTAGTCAGGTACGCTGTAAACGTCGCAAACGTAAGAGGCATTGAGCCAGAACGGCCACGTTAGTCAGTCCCGAGACGACGAGGCCCAACCCCGGGCAGCTAGATGCGATGGAAGGCATGGAAACCGCTGGGCATAGCTGTGCTATGATGTTGATGCGACGCAGGTGGGCTCTTCCCCGTCGTCGACCAAGCACACGCGTCTCGTTTATCGGCGGGAAGTGCCACAGAGATGCTAGCGCGCTCGATCGCCAGTTGGCCAAGACGCGGGCGTGGTGTTGTCCTGATGCTGGGCTGGCTTGCGGGTGCCGAGGGTAATATGCAGCTATTGAGCCTGGCACGGAGCTAAGCCGAACCTTCTCCCCCACTCCACACACGTCGCCGACTGGCCGTCAGAGAGCGCCGGACATTCTGCCGCTGCTGTTTAGTGGTGCCGTTGGGTGCATGCCGTCCATAGGCGCTGCGGGGACTGCTGGGAACTGCTGGCTTCTGGCGTCTACCCTGCCGCTGCCTGTGATTAATTGTGTGGTCAAATTCCAGAAGACTGCAATTGCTTCTTCCCTTGTTATTATAACATATGCTAGGCAAGCCCTCGACGTAACGCACCCGTCCTGCTCCCAATCCGCTGCCTGCTGCTTCACCCCCAAGCCACGTCGCGACGATCGATCTGGTGTGCAAGCGTCGATGCACAAACGGTTTACTGGCATCGAAATACCCAGTCTTCGTCCGCTAGGCTCCGCCACTTGAGCGTCCTGGCCTACCCTCCCCCGGCCCGCAACAGAGATTTGTGCGCATTGCAGCCACTCATACGCCCCTCAGCCCTCGATCGCTGCCACCCCAGCGCCAGTTCCCACCTGCACACCAATCTTCTGCCGCTTTGGGACACGCGGCCAACTTTGGCCGTTGCTTCTGTGCCTCACGTCACTTGTCGCGTATCTCAATCTAGCTGGGTGCTGTCCGAACCCTGTCGTCGCGGTACGTGAGCGTCTTTCTAGCTCCGTTGTTTTTCGGCCCATCTTTAGGCCTGCTCCGCCCAGCACATCCGCACCCGCGTGGACAGTCGCCACTTTTCCCCTCTCCGTTTACATACTTTGCCCGCCCGCTCCTCGCACTTTCTCCTTCTTCCATTATTCTTCACAGTCGAAGTCGTTGCTAGACGTACCCCTCGAACTGTACCAAACAGCCATCTGTTGTTGTGCTGACATCGCTATCTGTCAGCTACCCCACCCTCACCCACACACATACACTTCGCCACACCGCACGTTGCCTACCATCTGTTGTTTGGACCTCGCCATGCCTGCTGAACGTCGAACCTTCACCTCGGCCAGACCGGTCAAGACCGAGCGCACTCATGAAGAGAACCAGGAGCGGTTAGTTGTCCCTAGATACTCCGCACGAAACCAATTCTGATGCCCAACAGCGCTTACATCGCTGCCTCGCGCCGCAGTGACCGCAGCCTGGAGGCTCGCATTGAGTCTGCGCGTAGAGCTTCTGAGATCCACAAGAAGCGTACGGGCCGTGCTCTTCGCGTGACCGAGCAGGATGTCATCAATGAAGAGATGTACGAAGAAGAGGATGATGATCTGCCTACCCAGTACCAGCGTCTCAACGCTCATCTTCAAACCACATCGGTCATGTTTAACAAGAAGCTCCATGACTACATCGCGACCCAGCACGGTGTTAGAAACATGTTCATGTCTCAGTACCAGAACCAGGGCGCGGCCTTCCAGCAGTATGGTCAGCAGTATCCTGCCAATGGCGCACAATTTGCACAGCCGAACAACTGGCTGAACCCGTCAATGCTCCCGCCACAACAGTTCGCCCCCACGTCTCCACAGGGGTTCCAGCAAGCGCAATCTTTCAGCCCAACCATTGCGCAGCCGCAACAAGGATACAGACAGTCGCCATACCAGATTCCTCAACGCACTCACTCTCACCAGCGCGCTCTTTCCATTCAACTGCCTCAGGGCGCATCGCACTTCGACCCATCAGCTCAGCCGGCAAGTGCAGGTATCACGACGCCACAGACTGAGCTCAACCGAAGACTGTCTTTACCGCCGCAAGCTTTTCAACAACAAAACCAAACAGTAGAGCGATCAACGCGTCCTTCTTTATCGCGTTCACCTACTGCCCACTCGCTCCAGCACCGTCAGTCATCTTCACCACAGAGCGCTTCGCCGAATGCAGCTTCCGTGCGTGAGGCTGCACCTGTGCAGAGTGATCCTAATTCGCCTTCCTCTTATTCTTACAGCCCTACGAACTACCCATACAGCTCGCAGGCGCTCAACACCAATCCTTTGACTCTGTCTATGCCACCCGAGTCACAGCAGTTCCTTGGATCTGTCCTGGACCAGAACGATCCACGCACTGCAGTCTTCATGGCAGGCAGCGACAACCTTCCCCAGCCTTTTGCTCCGACTTACACCTACAACCCTAACAAGGTTGGTCGGACAGCTAATACCAGTAGCATGTCTGAGCATGCTAGTGGCTCGGCTCAAACATTGTCATCAGGTCTGAACCTGAAGGCCGAACCTGTTTCTGGTACCACATCGCCTTCGGTACCCAGTGCCATCTCTGATGGCTTTTATTCCAACGATTCGTTCTTGACGCCTGGCACTGGTGAATACAGTGCCTTTTTCGATTTCCAGGGCGGCGATTTCCCACAGCCGTTCGACGATCAATCAGCAAATGATCACGACAATGGCAACAGTCTCGTCAACTGGGATTAAGTATCATATTTACCATTTTTGTCTTTTTTTTTTTCCACCTTTCTGGACCAAGGTCCTTATGTACAATCCTTCTAGGATCCTGTGCGTCTAAGCTCTTCAATACTTTGTCGCGTCTTTGGGTAACGGTTCTGGTTTCACACGCACATGATACCTTTTGTACAGTGTCGTTTACGAGGTTACGACTGGAGGCGTTGCAAGGAGTCTTCCTGTGGGTGAAGAGAAGGCCCACAGTTAGCATGTAGCCATCCTTCTTTAGGCGCTTGAGGGAGCTGCTGCCCTTATAGCGATCTCCTCTCTCAGTAATCCTTCGATTTGAAGTGTTTCTGTATAATACATAATTGTAACGGTGATTGGCCGAATGCAATAGTCCTTCGACGTGGGCAATCTTATGTGCAAGTGATGCGCTTGACGACGTTAATACTGCATTCGCGGCCAAAAGTGCGATTACGAGAGCCCAATGATGTCCCTGCTTGCGGACCGTTGCTTGAGCACGTCTCCAGGGTTCAGTACCCCGAACTGGGGATGGTACACAGCCCGGGATGGTGAGGCCTTCCAACTTGTACTTCCTACCCGGTAGTAAGCGGCCCGTCATAGGGAGTGTAGCATGCACTAGTTCTGGAGTGCGGGTGCGCGCACCTCTTTTGCTACGTAACAAATCACCTTCTTGTGAGCGATGAGTTCACATGGATGCGCCTACACCTATCACATTCTCCATCGATGATGAAGGTGGCCCTGCTGGGCTGGCTCACGTGACGCTACTGAAAGCACGCTAGCGTCATGAACAGCATCGGTGGACATTGCCATCCTCCAATCTTCCAACAGATTCATACCGTTTCCACAACATACCCAGTCTAGCCGGTCTGCATCGCTGTCTGTGTTCGGTTACTGTTTCCTCTGCATCGAGATCCCTGGGCCGTCGGGACGTTCTAACGGCTTTGCGCGTCAGTCGCGCCGTCCTACTGCGGTTGCTTGTGAAACGCAGCACCCTGAGCGTGAGTCTGGTTCCTGCATCTGTGCATCAAGCTAGTGATGGAACTCTACACCTGCAGGCCGTACGAACAACATAGTACGATCCCTGATCTCGAGTCATCCATGGTCCATTTGTCGCGTTCCCCGAGCAGGCTCTTGTATCGTACCCTGGTACATGCGGCTGGCAGGACCCGAAAAGGTCAGGAATTGTGCTTACAATTAGGGCCGGTATCGCAATCCGATCGCGTCCAACACTTTAGAGGAACAGTTGGATTCGCATATGGCTCATGCATCGAGCCAGATGAAGATGGCTAAAGACTGATTATTCAGGCATCTTGCTGACCGTACATAGGCCCGGGAGTCTTGCATCTCTCCAAAAGTACATGCAATCTTATGATAGGCAAACGACATCGTAAGGCATTTCCAAGGCGGTGTGGCACTGCAAACCTTTGTATCACCCTTTGGATGCCCGCGAATACGAGGTCGGTCGAGCGTTACGACGCCGGGTACGCTTCTTCAGTGTCGAGTTACTCGAGTCCATTGGCTCGCAACAACACCATGCCTAGAGAGGTGACTGTATCAATTCCTTCAGTCTCAACAACAGTAGGCTGGGTCACTTCGTCCTTCGTGAGCTTCTTCCTTCGCCTTCTGTACTACTAGTGGTGATCGCTGCGCTGCAGTGTCATGTTGCTATCCGTCCGTCGTCTACCCTCCCGTGATTTACTTTCTTGGGTTAGATTCAAGATATCAGTTTATTGTTGCACTAACAATTTAAATGCATACACCAGCTACTTCGTATGCGGGCTGCTATGCATCGGCCGAAGCCATTACGGGCTATCGAAGCGGTGCATGTCTTTCTCAGAGGCAGCCGTTACTCCAAAATTCCACAGTCAAGAGATGGAGCCCAAAATGCTCAGCACCAAGTGCAAAGAAGTCATGGGTTGCAAAGCAGCCGTCTTCATCGTAGGCCTTATGATGATGAGTCGAAGAAGCGGAAACCGTCGATACAAGCATGATGCCGTGCTGCATGCCCGTAGTGGAGCTAACCGAGTATTTCACTGCGGCAGTACGACTGTAGCAGTGTCGTGTCATGATATTGTCGCGGTGGAACGTAGATCATCACATATAAGGTCATCGTCTCCAGTCAATCGAGGCTCAAGCCGTCCAGCTGTAGTTGTCTGTTCGGCACTTCCTCTCGTTACTTCCTCTCAACACTCGTTTCTTTCTTCATATCTGGAACAGGTGCATCTTGCGACTCACACAACAACCATGAAGCTCAGTGCCTTCATTCCGTTCGCGGCTTTCCTAACGCTCACTGCAGCTGAGCGAATGCCATGTAAGTCTCCCCATAGTATCTGTTTTTGAATGTACACACTTCTTCCGTCAATGTACCAAGCATCCCGTTCTCTCTAATTTTGGAATGTAAGTTAATCGTATGAAATAGTGAACTTCCCACAGCATGTACGGCCTCGGCAGTATGCACCGCCACCGCCATACTCTCCTCCTTACCCAAGTTCAAGCATCACCGGCGGAAGTGCGTCGTCCACCTTCTCTAGCGGCACCGGCGTCTCGCTGTCCACTTGGACGCCGCCCATCCCAACATCATCGTCAACTGCAAACTCTACAGCGCCAGGGCCCTCTACAGTCGTCCACACCAGTGTCGTTGTTATCACATCGGTTATTGTCCCCCCGACCTCGTTAGTTATGATCATTTCTGGAGATATTCGGTCGTTCAACTAATTCATTACCCAGTGAAACTGTCTCTGGAGATACGTCGACCGAAGCTACAGCGAGCAGCTGGGGCAGCAGCTCTTCTTCCATGAGCATCCCTCTTTCGACTGGGCCTCAGTCTTCCGGAACAGGGTACTACCCAACTTTGCCGCCACATGATTCTTCCGCACCTTATGGCAACAGTACTGGTACAGCCTCATCTACTTGGGGTACAGGCACCGCGCCAGGATTTTCAATGTCATCTTCGACCTCCACCGCCAGTCGCAACTCGACTGGACCCAGAAGCTCATACATTCCACGCCCGTCGACAACTACAGAAAGCCCAAGCACCAACGTAAGTGTCATCACGTCCATAATCACCTCTACTATTGCCATTACCACATCCGTTCCATACCCTTCCAATGGTACTATTACGGAGACGAACACTGGGCCCACGGCAACATCCAGTGGAAATGGAACTATTTCTCAAACTCCGTCGTCTTCAGGCTACTACGGTCCACCTGGTAATGCCACCAGCAGCAGCAATCCCACTGAAACTGATACTGTGTACTCGTCAACGATCGACATCTCCACAATCTCCTGGATCACCTATACTTCCGAAGTTTCTTACATTCAGTCGGAGACTCCGACGCCAACCACTGATTATTACACGTCATCTTCAACCTCGGCTTCCACGACTTCCAGGAAGTCAAGAGTCACCCGGAGTCGTTCCTCCACACGCACTTGGTCCAGAACTCTCACCATGTCCAGATCCTCAACCACGGACGGCTCCTCATATACGCCCACTAGTTCCGAAGAGTCGTCGTCAGCTACTGAAACTGAAACCTCCTCAGATTCTTCCTCGTTGGCCTCATACACACCTTCGTACACGGCATCTTCAACATATGATACCAGCAGTGTACCTAGTGCTTCGGAGACTGATTCTGCCACATCCTCATTGTCGCATTCATTGAGCATTTCTTTCAGCTCAATCGAGACGACTTCATACTCTTCCACGCCCACGCCCACGCCAACCACGGAGAGCTATTCGTACCGGTCATCTTCATTCAGCGAATCGACCACTGACTCTGAGCTTGCTTCGTACACTGAGTCGGTAATATCAAGCACTAGCAACTTCCTCTTGCCTTCCGAGACGCCATCGGAGTCGTTGACCAGTGATTCTGGTACTGTCGAGACACCCATCCCAACGCCGACACCCTCCGACAGCTCTTCTACTTCCGACTCTCCTGTCACATCTGTTAGCTCGACCAGCTCTGAGACCTCCGAAGTATATAGCTCGTTCATGTACAGCGAGACGGAGTACACCACCTTCCCCTCTTCCTCCACCGCCTCGGCATCTTCCAGTAGCGATTCCAGCTCTGAGACTGAGATTTCCTCTATTCCCTCAGCCTCCGAGAGCTCTTTAAGCTCAACTTATACCGACGCCACCGCTACTTCCTTCCCGGTCGAGTCCTCAACTGCTCCTCCCAGCAGCTCCACCTCGGGCTATTCCTACTGGACCCCACCCGTCAGCTCGGTCACCAACACGGATGCTACCGCCTCCTCCTGGCCTGTGGATTCTAGCACCTACCTCGCAAGCGCGACGAGCAGTCTCATACTTACGACCTTTGAGACAAGTGCGAGCTCCACCAAGAGTGGCTATGCATTGCCGCCTAAGGTGACGTACGGAGCGCAGAGCGACAAAGTGAAGCGAGGCATAGTAAGCTTCCTCTTACTACCTGATGTCTAAAAGAATGACTACTAACGGTCGTGACAGATGGGCATGTGGTTCATGTAAGCTTTACCGCACGACAACCATCCATTTGGGCGACGATGGTCCATTATGTGATGAATTAGTGAAGCTACGATATGTCATTGTGTCTTTACCATCACAATCCACATTTACATTCTCTACTTTCCTTTACTGGTGTAGACATGCCTTTTCCTGCTGTTGAAATACCTTCACTTCTCTCGCACCGCCCACCCGATGTGTCAACGATGTCTGGGATGGGTATTTAATCATGATGGCTGCCAGAAACTGGGGCATAGTTCAATACAATATGTGTTTTCCTTAGACACAGCTGACTATCTGACCGACGTGACGAATGCCCGATATTGATGATCATCATGCATTGGTATACATGTCGAATGAGCATTCGGCATATTGTGCAATGATTCCGACATCACCCATGCATCCTAGGGCTCAACAGGCGAGCTTTGCTTTTTCCGTACTATGTCTTCAACTTCGTACCAAAGATGAGCACCTGAGTTTCATATAACGCCTTGCTAGGAGTCGTGCCCTGAACATACGCTGAGGTCGTGAAGTGGCGGTACTTGTATTATGCCATGTACGGAGACGAGTCGTCATCAAAAGATAGTCGAACCGAAAGTCGAGGTGAGGCAGCGGAATAGTGAAGCGCGTCACAGGTATCGGGATCGATCAACGCAGGCGGGGATAGTTCTTTATATTGTAGCGTCAGCAACAAAGCGTCAACGTAACAAACACCTAGCATCACCATCCACGAGAGCAATGTTGTCGTCATTGAAACATTAGTTCATTCATTCTGCCGTGACGATTAGGCAGGTGTCTTCTTGTTCGGTGCAGCTATAGCAACGAAGCATGCCTCCTCTATATCATTATGTGTCATCCCTGATGTCAGTCGACGTCTTTACATCTTGCTCTTAGCCTCGCCCTTGAGCTCTTGGGCCTTGCCCTTGGCCTCGCCCTTGAGCTCTTGAGCCTTTCCCTTAGCCTCGCCGGCAATCTCGTTTGCCTGGCCCTTGGCCTCGCCGGTGGTGTTGGGGGTGGCTTCCTTGACGGCGCCAGCGACTTCCTCTATTCAAATGGTATTAGCGTTTGTTTCTTCGTGGTGCTAGCGTGGCTTGTGTGCGCACTGTACGATGTCGTCATATTCTCGGCTGTTAAGAACAGAGAACATCAGGCAGTGTAACGCAGGTAGGACGTGTGAGGGATGGGATAATGTACGTACCTCCCTTCTCAATGCCCTTTACAGCGGCACCGGAGATTGTCCTGTCGACAGCCTTGGCAGCATCCTTGATAGTTTCTACGGGGCTCTTGCGCGCGACGGGTGTGGTGCTGAAGAGGCGGGCCTGGCGGGCGATTTGTTGACGGAACATGTTGATGGTATTGTGTGTGGTGTTGATGTTTCGAGGTGAAGTTGTTGGTAGAGGTGAGAGAGGTGGCAATTGAGTTGTTCGATGGTTTATTAGATGAGGGCCCTTTGAGTGTGTGCGGACGACAGCTTTAAAGGATGTGTGGACGTGGACTGAGCTGCTGTGCTATGACGTAGTTATGATCAGCCAATCGCGGATGTGGGTCCGCGTGTTGCCATGCATGGCAGAGGAACGTCGCGATTGCGGAATTCGCATGCCGGGGCATCACAAATTTTTACATGTGCATGTGCGTTGTTGTGCACGAAATTGATTCATTATGATTATTTTTGCCGTACTAATCGGTATAATACTGAATGGGCTCAGGCTTAGTACAGCGCCTTCTGCCACCATGCACACCTCGCGTTCGCGTTGCTGTCGCGTACATCCTCGATGCCCGTAACGTTAAGCTCCAATACGGTTGCATCCGGACCGTACATGTTGAACTGCTTCACGCCTGTAGCATCTGGCACACCATTCTCGGCGAAGCTGGTGATGAATTCCTGCAGAGCGATGGCAATGGTGGTGTTGGCAACGCCTTGGAGCCCGGTGGAACCTGCACCACCCTCAAAGTACGTATACGGAATATCCTGGCCATGAATAGCCGGAGGTACTGCAAAGAGATAAGAGTACGTCTCATTTCCGTAGGCCCTGGAAAGGTAGTTGGTGTTGCACGTAAAGACTCCTTCGCTGACAATGAGGCTGCCGCGCTCGAAGTTGTTGGTGTATGGCAGGGACCCATCGAACACTGGGGGGTAAAGAGTCTTGGTAACGTAATCAAGAGAAGATTTTGGGGCGTTGGCGAATGCGGCTGAGATTTGGTTTTCCAATGCAGCCTCGTTTGGAATGTAGAAGGGAGTGAAGAGTGCTCCTTCATTCGCATTGTGACCGACCATTACGCGTACGTCCTTGTCGAATCGGCCTTGAGCCAAAAGCTGAGCTGGTTGAAGAGGAGCGAAAAGACCATCCACGACCGGTCCGTAAGTGAATGTGCCGTAGGGAGAATCATAGGTGATCTGCTGAGCGTTTGCGAGCATGACCTCTTCAGATGAAAGAGCCCGCAACTCTGCAAGGGAAGTAGTGTTGGTAAGAGTAAGGTATCGCTGGTAGACATCTTCCTGGGTAACAACAGAAGTTGTAGGTTGCCATCCAGGGCTCTGGGGTACGGCTTGTTGGAAAGGAGCAGAGCCATTAGCACCACCGTATGCAGTAATCTGGTGCATGATCGAGCCACCTCCAGCGCTCTCGCCAAACACAGTGACCTGTAAATGTAAATCAACAGAAATCATAGATACATGGACTAGTTCTCACTTACCCGGTTCTTATCACCTCCAAAGAGATGGATGTTCTCCTGGACCCACGCAAGCGCAAATCGCTGATCGTACAAACCTAGGTTAGATACACCTCCTTCCGCTTGGTATGAAGGGCCACCCATCCAGCCCAAAGCACCAAGGCGATAATTCATCGCAACGTAGATAACATCGCCATTGGACGAGTTACCGGAGGCCGCGAGCAGACCCGCAGGGTTGTTGTTTTTCTCGCCTCCTGTGTAGCCGCCTCCGTAGATCCATACGAGAACAGGAGCCCCGTAGCCTTGCCCAGCTTTGCTAAGCACATCCTCGGGAACAAAAACATCCAAAAATAAGCAATCTTCAGACTCGCGGGGATCCGGTTGTGGGACCGGACTGGTAGCATTTGCTGCCGTCACTGAATAGGTTGTGTTCGAAGCAGGAAGGCCGAGCGCATATCTGGCCAACGCCTGTCCTGCGGCTGCAGACCAAGCGGGATTTGCCTGAGGACATATTCTGCACATCTTAATATGGTCATATCAACATTGATTATGTGTGGCGCTTACCTTGATGTATCGCCAGTATTGATTGATGACCTGTTTTCTGCTGGAGCCTGAGGTGGTGCAAACCTCAAGTCACCGACAGGCGGTGCAGCATACCGTATGTTGGAAAAATTGTAGAAGTTGCCGGTATCCTAATTGGGTCGATTAACAAACTAACATCGAGGGTTTGATGACGGATTACGAACATTGAACCCTGAAGCCTGGTAAATCTCGTAGCCAAGATCGACTGTAGGTAATGAGGAGTTCTGTGCGTATGCAGCACCTATCAAGGCTGCTGCTGCGGCAAGTTGCAACATACTGGCGGACGGGACGAAAGTGTGAATGGAGAGGTAATGACGAGGGCTACCCAGGTCTATATTCCAATTGCTCGGGACTCACGACGGTAGAGGAGTTATAGCCGCGTGCAGACGTGCAAGGGAAGCCCATCCGTCAGGCACGGGTCGAGCATCCATATATACTCCTGTCATTTGCCCTAGTCCTACCCGCCCAGCATCTCGTAATGCTGTCGCGATCACGCATAAGCCGCAGATACGCCCCGCCTCAGCCTAACGCAAACGAATCCACGTACACCGCGTAGTAATCGTCAACAGAGTCAAGCTCGCCTGCCGTGCCGGTGGCTTCGCCAGGCAATACATAAGTGCGTCATTGCGGTGGAACATTCGGCGACTAGCGGTGTCACTGATTCGCTCGTTGAGATCTGGCGCGAAATACGGTCGATACGTGGCTAGCTGTGGCACAGCTGTAAACACTCGTCCAAGTGCCTAAGGCTCTGGGACATACTGCGGATTTTGTATGTGCTCAGCTGTAGACATTTTTGACGTCTGACAGGTAGATTTAAACTTCTCGAAACGTGGTTCGGGGTTCCGGTGAGATGGGAGCGGGAATGTCATCTCGGCTGTAAGTGGTAAGACGGTCCGACGAGGATATTCCCCGCAAAAAGGAAGCAATGCTGGCAGGGTATCTTGCCGAGGCATCTCGACTGGCTATGCGAAGCCTTCCGATGGCCTGGTAAGGCTGGTGTGTGAAAGAATGCGCGCAGTCCGCGGGGTACGTACCACAATATTGTGCGGACGAAATCCCAGCCGTCGCAGGGGCCATCATCTCGATGCTGTAGTTATCCGTAAGGCAGTCAGACAGCCGCAACGTGCAAGGAAAGGACTTCTACTAATCAATCTATGAACCTTAGACGATCAAAGGCGTATTCTAAATCCAACGTCAGTCTTTTCGCTGGAGTCTCAAGACAGAAGTTTGAGAGTACCATCAGGGTACTACATACGCTCTTTGAGCGCTACAGTGACCATAGCAAAGAAGATGTAGTTTTTCGATGCCGTTGTGAGTGAAATCAAACGATAAAGGACCATCTCGCTTCTCCACTAGAAGTACCATGTCCTTGCTCGTGATTCTGTTTGATCTCGTATGAAGGTCATCGCGATTTGTATGTGTACCCTAAATGTAGAGATTCAGCCGTTCTCGAACCCATTCTAGGCCCCGATACATCAATGAAGCCATGATGCATCGCAAACCAACACAGGTGAGCTGTTGCTCGAACGAGCATGCCGACGAGCATAGCCGTGGCGTCGACACATCGACGGTGATTTCGTGACGGCCATGTCTTGTCATCATCTTGTTTTGTTGGTACTAGTGGACAGGAATAGGAAGGTGAGCTGAGATGACGCCCAATGCTCGAGATCTGAGGAGGATGAGGTGGTCAGTGCATCGGCGGCCCCCACTTCGGCACTTCCAGGGCTCTGGTGCTGGCCGGCTTGCGCTCAGCTAGCACCCAGCCCGACCTAGGTATCATCTGTGTCCTATTGCTCACACGACGACCTGTATAGCTGTCACTTTTGAATAGCCGATGATGTCTCGTAAGTGAACAGTGTCGCGGATGAGGTCCCGGTCGACTGAGGACCGTTGCATACAATGACCACGAGGTCGAAGAGCCCAGAATTGCATTTGGGATACTGCTACACAGTCAAAGTTAGGGTAGCCAAGGCCCGTGAAGGTACCTGAGGATACCTAGGTATCAGTGGGGAAAGTCTGAATAACCTAGATTATGGTGTCGTTCATGATGGTGTCTTGAAGATGCTTTCCAATTGCTATCTGAAGCATGCAACTAATCAGTAGTTCGTTTTCACTCTCATCCTGCCTTCATGAGCCTATGGGGGTTGAATCGTCATAACTTCTACTGGCAAACAATAAACTCTGTCGCAATCACAATACTTGGGAAGGTTTCAGACCCGCGATGACCGCCTTCAAGACGTCCGATTCAGCCACCGCGGCGAGCGCTCATGCAGCATCTCAAGTGTCACCCTCTGTCAACCGTGTTCCGTCACGTTCTGAGCCACTGAGCTATCCATAGTGGCAACTGGAACGAGAAACCGCCGACGTACTCGTATGTGCACAATCACTAACACGTTGGGAGCGAACTAGTTCTCATGGCGAGCAGATACCCGGGAAGATTCGATGCAACAACAGGAAAGCAGGAAGATGTTCTATCAAAAGATTGGGGGCGGGACCTTGTGTTGGCGGCCTTGCGCTATCCACTCGACCTCGATATGGTACTATATACAACGTGCCAAGGTATGTTACTCTTAGTTTGTCCTCATTCTGGTGAGCATGTGTCTTGGTGAAAGTGAAAGAAAGGTGCACGTCCTATTTTGTTTGTTCCATGTAACTCGCGAAGCGCGTGATAGATCAAACCCCCGGATGTACCTGACTGCTCCCGAACCTTCTGCGCTCCGACGTACACGCAAACCTCTATTGCCATTACCTCTCGATCAGCTCTCCCTATCCCGGTGGCTAACCACGTTCTTGATTACTCACCGTCAACTACATGTTCCAACAAAATATGAGCTCCGAACCTCGCCCTCATCGAGATAAGAAAGTGAGTAAGTCTTCAAGGGTTAGGGAATCAATCAAATCACAGAAACCAGCCTGCTATAGAGAGGCGCGACATCCCTGACATGCCCAGGAGCTACAATCCCCAATACACCTTCGACTTGAACGATTTAAAGAAGCGCATCCTCTCTAACGCACATGCATATTATGCGCATCACTTCCCTGAAGCGCAACGCTACGACTTCATCACCTCATCCATCCCGCCGACCGACCGCCGAGATAGGATGGAGTACAGGGGTGCACTGATAGTATATCCTGATCCGAAGTCAAACACCTGGGCGATGCTGTATAAGAGCCACTCCTGGCCAGCCGTAGAAGATACGGCGTTTGGAATCAAGTCCTGGTTTGGAGAGAAAATGAGCGCTGTATTTGACAAGATGGACGATGGCGAGAAGTGGGCGGCATCAAAGAAGAAGTTTCAGAACGGAGTGTCAGACAACGAGAGAAAGTCTACTATGGATGAGGACAAGATGGCGGATGTGCAAACTACGAAGGGCAGCCCCAGGTCACAAGATACTATACTACTGCTGACCATGTCGGCAACGGCACTGACATCGGCGACAAAGACATAGACAAAGAGATTCCAAAACAGCCAGAGGACTCCACCTCTAGTGACCAGGTTGAAGCCACAAGCAACACTGCCATGCCGTTTCGCAAACGCAAGTCAGCCGTCAAGGAAGATGAGGGCCGTAAGAAGAGCAGAAAGAACGATGAGAAGGAGCGCGTCTTTGTTGGCAAGAAAGATGACCCGCCTACCCGAGACGAAAAGAAAGCCGCTGCGGAGCCCGTCGTTATTCCGAGCGAGTCGAAGCTTCTGCCGACTACTAAGAAGTAGTCTCAGATCCTTCGCTACCTTCGGGTAACGCGAGTAGATGCATCGGGGTTTGTTTGGCGAGTACTAAAGTACTAACGCATGGAGCAGTCTGCGAAAGTGCGTGTGTCTAGACGACAGAACAATGGGCCTTTCTTCACTCTCGACTGTCCACTGTGTCCATCTCATTACAACTTTGCCTTCACGTCCTTACCGCCTTTCCCACTCCCACCCTGCTCACTAAATCGATATACGATCTCGCCAAATCCACCTGCAGCGAAAGCATATAACCAAACCAAGTCCTCTTTCCCCGCGTTGAAAATTCCATGTTCTGCATCACCAGGGATGAATACAACTGAGCCCTGCCTAACTTCAAACTCTTGCCCATCAATACAAACTATCCCAGTACCAGAGACGACATGATACATCTCTGCGTGCGTATGCCGATGCAACTTAAGAAACCCCGCATCGCCCAAAGACTCCGGACTATGCAAAGAAGGAGTTGAAGCCCCAGTGTCTTCCCTAGAAGAAGACGCGGGACAAGCCACGACCCTTCCAGGCGGACACGTCGCAACGCCCACTGTGAAGGTATCCGTATCAGTCTTCTCATTCGAAACCAACGTTTTCCATGTTACGTTGCCTCCTATGCTGGGATCGGGGAAGCCTTCGGGTGCCATATTGGCTATTTGTGCGGCATGCAGGACTAGAGGTTTGACAGGTCGGTTCGATGTTGTGGAACGCATCGTGGTTTATGTTGTGTGACTGGTGACGAAATCCGATTCTCTTTTGACAGGGGAGGTGCTATCCGGGAGAGAGCGGTAGACTGCATGCGCGGATGCGGATGCATGCAAGGTACGTTTGAATAATGGCAGTTGCAGATGGGAGTACGATATTGCGGAAGTGCGGGTTGAAGGGGTATACATATGCCTATGCATGTACTGTCGCCTCGTTACCTCTTGCGTCTTGTATTGTCGGAAAAAAGGCATTTTTTGCTGCTACGTTGTCTTGACATAGGTCATGTGGGGTTTGAGGGGTAACTTGGGAGCCACACTCGGGATTGAAGTTCTCATTCTCGCCTAGTTCAAGTCGTTAATGGCTTGTGAGAAGGTGGCGTGTTTTCTGCCCGCTTCAAACTGTCGTGATGGTATGGCGACCGCCCGGCGGCTTGCTGTTGTGCTACCGCATTTTCTGCTGTCAGGCCACATGGCATCTGTCGTAGCGACCGCCGTTGAGCTTGACTCCCTGTATGTATACAGAGCATGCAATGATGTGCCAGGTGTTGATAGACTTTATTGAAAGAGAATTAGGCTGCCTTTTGTTGACATAAATGCATGCCTACCTAGGTAGGTATTGATCAACACAAACAAGGGACTCGGAAAGCCACTGCTGAAGCAAACCTAGAGTCCAGATCAGGTTCTTTGCATCGGTACTACCCGAGCTGGTACATTTTTATAACGATATACTTGCCGTTGAGTGTAGGTCACATCGTTGCTGATGTGGGAGACATAAGACTGACATCCCAATGTACCTAGGTAATATCGTATCCAGCCTACCACGTCTCCAGGTCAGATTACTGACACCAACATATACCCACTGTATAGACTCGTAACTTTTATGAGGATGGTCATGATTATCGTAAGATAAGAGGCCGCCGTGGTCGCGCTGCTTACGGCCGTTATTACGATTTGCCTACTTGCGCTGCCATATAGGGTTCAGGCGACGACGCAGCTAGTGGTTGATGCCCGAGGCAGCCAAAATCATCCGACTATGCGACATGGTTTGCATGAAATGTCACAGTGTCAACTCGTCGATGCCGCAGGGTTGGCCTGGCGTTTTGATGGGCGCTGTGCACGGTTACTGTCCACGTTGATGCGGTCTGTCGCGAATGCACACTGACGGCATGGCGCAGACTATATCGTAGGCTACCTGTCCATAGCGGCGCACACAGCAGCGCCCCGGCGTCAAACATCGCGCAGTGGTTGCACGATCGAATCTTCAATATACAACTACAAACCATGATCGTGGTGGCGAGTCAAGCAACTGCCATCACGGCTAGCGCAGCGAGTCGCCCTGTCCAGAATCAGCCCTCTCTGACTGGCTTCTTTATCAGCGGTCCGGCAAATCCGCCGCGTTTCAGAGTTTATCCCTCGTGGCCATGTGGCTTGGACCGGGCCTCGTACCATGCCTGTCGTGTTTACCGATGCCCGAACACTGGGAAAGCTAAGGCCAATCTGTTCTGCATCTCATCATGGCCGTCCAGTTTCGCTCCTGACAACTCCACCTCCTTACCCAACGTCTCTCGCCTACACTTTTTGTGCTACCAAAGGATGCTGCAGTCTTTATTGCGATAATGAAGTTTCAGACGTTGACGTAACGCAACGAAAACGCGCGCTGAGCGCTGCCGCTTCCACGAGGCTGTGTTTAGCCTGGATTGGCCGATCGCGATATGGCCATGGAGAAGTTTCAGAGAGGCCACCCAGCGCCCGAGCGGGTGAGGAACCGATCGGGATCTGGGACTGTGACGGGGGACAAGGTGATCGCGAAGAAGAGATCGAGTTTGGGCAGGGCGGCAGGTGGTTTTCAGAGTAGATTTCTTGCGTCGCTACGGAGTAAGAGGAAGAGTGGTGCAGACGAGGAGCTAGAGCCGAGCCCCTCGAGGTACGTACCGTGTCCACTTCACACACTGGGGAACACTACTGATCATTGCAATGCAGCCCGTTTCTGGATGCGTTGTTTCGGTTGCCAGATGAACTCCACATTTATATGCTGCGCGAGCTGTGCGTCGCGGATCTACTTGCTTTGAGAAGAACGTCGCGCGTGCTCAACATGCTTGTGACAGAGAACGCACCTGCGATTGTGCGCTACTGGGTGAAGAACCGGCTCGGCAATCTTCATCTACAACTTTATCCGGCTCCAAGACCGGACGCGATCGACTTCCCATTCTTACTCACTATGAGACGGCGACACATAGCGTCCATCAGGTTGACACGTCAGCTTGCCAATCACCTTGTAGGGGAGCCAACCGAACAGAAGCAGCTGTGGACATCGGTGTACGAGAGGATGCTGCCCCTGGTCTTTGGGGTAGGCTACTTTCTAGATGAACATCGACGACTGCTTCTGGAAAGAGATCTTGGCCACATTCGACCACGCTCCTGTATTGGCTATCACGTCCGTACGACGGGTGGTATCAGTAGCCAAGAAAGGAAGATCTTGAAGAACCTGGATGCACCTCTGCGACTTCAGTACTTCTACATGTACTCTTTCATTGTGCAGGTACTGCTTCGAAAGTTGAGACCTTGCAGTCGTGCTGGAGCAGTGGAAAAATTCCTGCGGGGATTTTCAAACCAGCCTGCCTGCTCAGAGGATGTGGCTTTCTTCCTCATACTTGGTGGCATCGGGCAAGTTGCAAAGCTCCTCGCTTACCCGGTATATAGCGAGCGGCGAAGATATCTCCTAACGTACAGAGCTCACATGTCGCCGCATACGAGTAAATGCTGGAGAAAGCACTGGAAGGATGCTGGTGTGGTTTCACCTGCGTTACTAGACGATATCCCTTGTACACAGATTGGCATAACACAGCTTGATCAGGTCTGGGCTCCACTGATAGCCCAGATGATGGAGACGGGGGCGAGAGACTTTACAGAACAGGAAAGGATACGCTACGAGGAACTGAAGATGTCGAAGAAGTTCATCAACGAAGTAATGGGGTATGATATCCTGCGAGGTCGGGCTGCTGACGGAGGCGACTTGGATGATGAGCACGAGCCATGAGAGCGAGTTAGCATGTACAGCACCAAGAGAAGACATTGTAGCGGCCAAACTCTGCACCTTCCTCTGTAAGAATTGACATATGTCGGTTGCCGTGCAATTTCCGCTTTGCAGCGGTTGTTGAGGCTTGTACCTGCTGGCTTGGCTTAGTTTCTGCTTCACGATGCCACCAACGGTGACCAACCCGCAATTATTACGTACTTGGCCGGTCGCGTAGCGCGCTATGATTTCTAGCTGATCATGAAGGCCGACGGCAACTATGGACCCTGCATCTGTCACCTAGCCGAGCGAGCAGGTGTTGCATGCGGCCAGTTTCTGTGTGTTCTAGCAAAAAGCTTGACACGGCGGTATATTGTGCTTGACCTTAACAGGAGGGTGTTAAGCATACCCACTATGCTCTCGACTCTGTATAGCTCAGCGCTCGGTCTAAGTGCATTCTGCCATATAAGATGCCTATTTGGGTCGGCAGAGCGCCGCCATCGGCAGATGTCTATATTGCAGTCCCCGGATTTTTTCCATTGCAATTTTCCAGCGTCCGGGTAAGTGGCGGTTAAGAGGACCAGAATCAGACGACAAAGGATCAGACCCTGGAGTGGTTGGCGCAAAGGCCGAGCAGGCAGGTCGTCGTTGGAGAGGCCCACTTGGCAGCTTCCATAGGCGCCCGTGCGTGTCTTCTGGAAAGCGTCGAGCGCTCGTCTGGTCTGGCTTCGGCCGATTGGGACGCGAGGCCAGAGCCAATGGGGTACTCGACGGACTTTGCCGCCCGCGTCAATAGAGAGGCGGACAATTATTCTGCACGCATCGCTCCACCTCATCCCACCATTGACGGGGGCAGGAAGGGTGCAGAGTCTGAGGCATGACAGAGGTACCGTAGCTGTTTCAGGCGGTGCGTGATTGGCGGGCGTTGATGGGAGAGTTGGGTCCGTGGCAGATTGGGAATGACGTGCAACGGGCAGCGACAAAAGCAACGCGAAGCACCAGGTGAACGTTGAGGGCGCTGATCGGTAGTCGAAGAGGCAGTCGCATCCCCTCTGGATCGGGAAGTGGCGCATGGTCCAGCGTGCAGGTGCAGGAGCGACCGGAGGGCGAAGCACGGGGCCAGGGCTGCGTCATTGGTGGCCGATGCAACTCGAGCGACGCTTTGCATGGATGTGCCATCCGCTCGTGTGCCTGTAACACGGCGGCATCCTTCCATCACACACGGCGCACTCGACCAGGCACGCCCGCTGGAAGCAGTGCTGGGTGTGCGCTGCCCTCCGCTGCACCCAGGCCGTGTCACACGAGGCGTGCAAGGCCGTCTACATGTCAAGTGTGTGCTGTAACGAGAGCTGTGGCTGGGCGGCCAATGGCGCGCTGCTGATACTGACCGCAACAACAGGCCGCATTCACCCCGGCCGCAGTAGCGTCGGCTCTTGCAAAGATGCTCCGCTGCCCCCGTAATTGCTCCCAGGAATCCTCGCCATGATGTGAGCTAAATGCGCCAGCTCCTCGGCGCCGTGCGTGTCTCCATGGCCTAAGAATGCCCCTTCGATGCCGTGCAGAGTGCCAGTCGAGTCCTAGCGCTGTGCTGTAAGCCCGTTCCATATAATCCTACGGGCCCGGCCCAAGGTTTGCGACCAACACCACGATCCCCATCCAAGTGCCACTCCACCCTCGCCCATCTTCACCACGCGACCTCGCCACCCTTTGTCTTCTGAAACCCGTGCGCCGGTGCCTGGCTATACCTGCCTCTTCACCACTCACAGCCCATCCACCACCACACCAGAGCAGCCCAGTCCCGACGAGCGCGGCAACTACACCCCTCTGGGCTATCGATTGTCAGCTGAGCCACGACCCCGACCCACCACCACCACCCAGAGCTACCACCATGAGACGGTAGAGATAAGGCAGAGAGCAGGAACCATGGACTTTACGGTAAGTTCCCGCGCGCTTACACTCGTCTGCGATGTCACGCGCTGCCACCCACGACGCTCCGGACCAGAGCCCGGCTAATGCGACCTCAGATCTCCCTCGCACACTTCTGCGAGACCCACGGTCCGACCTCCATCATCTGCACCCAGGCCTCGACCTCGCCCTGCGGCTCCTGCAACCCATGTGTTACGCCGCCGTCCGAAGAGCCGCATTCGGCCTACTCCTACAACGGCCTGTACGATCAGCCCACCACCCTCAAGCTTAACGCGCGCCTGCCACAGCTCACGTCGCCCTTCGAGTCTCCGCCCAACAGCCCGCGCTCCCCCACGCACAACCCATACTTTCCGAGCTTTCCCTCCTCTTCCGGCAGTAGTTTTGGCGGAAGGAGAACCAGCAGCACCATCGACTCCGATTCGGACGCCTGCGAGAACTGCCAGATGGTAGTGCCCCAGAAGTACAGCGACAAGATCCCCAACGGCGCCCCTGGCAGTCCTACAAAAGACGGGCGAGGACGAAACGGCAGCCCGGTATTGCGAAGCTCCCAGAACTACCCAGTGCGACGGCCAGTGTCCCGAGACGACCTCAGTAGCACGGATTCGTCCGATGTCTCAGACACGGAGCAGTCGACTTCCTACCAGAGCGGCGCCTCGGGCTCGTTCCCAGACTCAATACCTCCCTCACCCATGCTCGTGTCGAGAGGCATACACACCCACACATTGAACTACATCTCCACCAGCCAGCCGCAGTCGCCCAGCACCTACTCGCTCTTGCGACGCACCTGCATCCGTACATTGTCCACCGAGGTCCTTCCCCTCAGCAAGCCATCAGGGCCCATCATGTTTGGAGACTCAGTCGCTGGCTACACCATCGCGTACGTTTTTCGTCTGCAGGATCCGCGTTCGCGAGGAGCTAAGCGCACCTACGCCTTCATCGCCATGGCCGGTCGCGATTACCGGAGAGCCACAAAGGCCATGGTGAAGATCATCGAAGCGTTTGAGGGCATCGCCAACCGGATCATCTCCCTGGCTGATAGAGTCCTTGAACGTGAGAGTGCAGCTTCGCAGGTCCTCTCACGTCCCACCACCGCCATCTCTGGAAACACTCCTCCTCTTGGAACCTCCGCCTCTTCAATGCCACCCAATTTCTCCGCACCGCACAAAGAACGGACCTTCTCCACAACGAGCACCCCCAACTTTCGCAACATCACACCGGTGTCCTCTTTCCTGTCAGCGAAGAAGGTCGACCCAGATGGCTTCCCACGTGTGTCCCGCGACGTGATGAAGGCAAAGAGCCTCGTCGAGATTGTTGGCCAGGAGAACTTCTTTGTCGACCTCCACGGGCTCTTCTGCCATCTTCTGCACTCTCTTATCAAGCAATTCGGGTAACCTGTCCTTCCCACGTTGCTTTGCCTCGTTCTTACGTCTTTTCCTTCTTTGTATCTCTTTTTTGTCGTTTATTGTCGTGCGTTACAGCGTCTTCGTCCATTATACAGTGCGTTCAAGCACAGGCGTTGGGGCAGGTGTGATTGCTTTAAAAGACCTTCGAGTCGTCAGAGCTGAAGTAGCTTTATACCCTTTCGAGATACCCCAGGCTTCTCTTTCTGCCGTTGGGATCGAGTAGTACACATTAGACGTGGACTCATCTTTACAATGGCGTTTCAGGGTGAGTAATCGGGGACAAGAGGAGGTGTTTACGATGGTACGGTCGTTGCTAGGATACGACCATGAAGTCGATGGCGTGATGGCCGTGATGGATTAGGTGATGGTAGTCTAGCCTGTTTGTAGAACGAAACTGCACAATACCGTTTACCTGTTGTCCTTGACGTGTTTTGTTGTTTGCTAGTGCGGTACTGCTCCAAGTCACAGAGGCAGTATGTGAATATATGTAACACCATCACGGTGCTATCAAGTAAAGGTCAAAGGTAAATGTGAGTTTCAAGCACGCGATCTGAACGCCTGACGTTTGAGAGAGAGAGAGTCACTATAGGTATCAGCTCATCACAAGAGATGCCCTCAAGGCAGACGAGCAAACGTCGTGTGCGCTCTTCTGGTTAGCGCAGGCACGCATAAGGCTGAACATGTGGAAGCCGCGAGCGACAACATTGAATGCTCTTTACCACATCCACCCAGTCGCAATTACAACGCTCATCTCCTACGATCTAATGGCAGACACGTAATTTCATCACACTCCTATACCGGGCTTTGCGGCTTACTTGCCGTGAAAAACATTCCACGATAAATCGCTTATGCCTGCTCGCTCCACCACCGTCTCCGCATTATGCACGACACGCAAAACTGATCCACCTTTCACGTTCCGCTTTCCGGTCCTAAGCTTGGAAAAAGATTATCCAGGAGCATCGAGATTCGCAGATCAAACTACCTAGTGATGCGTCATACCGGGTAAAGTCCCCTTGAACTCAACGATGTGTGATGTCATACGTGTGCTAGATCGTCAAGCAGCGCTTGAACAACGTGCTTCCACGACCAGTGATGAAATGCTAAGAGAATCAAAGTGTCCGCATCGTTTGATAGGAGGCATTGTTGTGCTTGATAGATAAAGGCCTTTTATTTCCGTAACCCACGCGGCAGCAGGGCCAAAGCCAAGTTTAAGTGCCCGAAAGCCAAGTTTTCTGAAATTTGGCAACCCGTTTGGGATGCAGGATCGCATGATAATGCTCGTACATGTCCTACAGTTGCTGATAGGATAGATAGGCTGATATGATGTTGCTAGTGGTTTGCCATGACGCTTTCCAGAATCATGCCCCGCGGCTTCCTCTGTGAATTCTGAGAATTTACATAAGAGACTGGCTTGCCTTCCAAGGTCGTGGCGTCGTCACCTTTACAAGCCTCAACACGCTACAATAATCACTACGAACCTTAACACACTAATCCTACGCCACGATCCGTACAAGCCGCAGCTGTGAGACTACGAACCTGGATCGCACAAGTCTCCCGCTTACACTCGTCATCTAGACATCTAGCCTTCCCGCACCTCACAAGCTTAAGACAAGATGAACTCCATCCCAGGCAATGCCTCTCAAGAACCCACCAGCAAGGACACATCGACGACAGGTGTTCAGCAGAACCAAGCGCAGCGCGAAGACTACCTCGACAAAGGTCTCGACGCCGCAGAAAAGAAGTTCGGGGGCGCCGCGGGTCAGGATACTGAGAAGAATCGGGGTGTTAACGAGAAGATTGTATGATTTGGCCTTACTAGCTTCCAAGTTGCATGAAGTCGACGTACTAACGTTGACGCAGACCGATGGCGCTCGTAACATGTTCGAAAAAGCAACCGGCAAAGACGTCCCAGACAAATTCTCCAACTAAATGCAGCACATTCAAAGAGACAATGCACAAGTTGGATGACAAGTGGAACAAGTGTCGACCGTACATTGAGAGGATCAATGGAACTATTGTCCCGTTGAGGTCGCGCAGTTTGGACGAACAGGCACAGGAGCATGAACTTGAACATCAGAGGACATTGGAGCAGCAGAGAGTGCAGCAACAGCCTATCGCAACGGCGCACTAAACATGATTTGTATATATAATTACGACCCTGAATGGAACTTTACGACTTGAACCAGAAGTTAGACGTCTCTTCACATGCGCAGCATGGTTTGGTTTGATTTGATTTGGTGAACATGCATGACGTCATGTCACACCGCTTCTACGCTGCCCCTCGCGCCTTCTGCGTGCTATTACTCACATACATGCTCTCAACTGTCTGTTTACCAGGATACTCTCTCCAATCCAACCATCCACAAGCTCTACTCTTCGAAATAGAATGCTCTACGTGGCCAAGTTTCAGCGGCCCGAAGAGCCAAGTTTTTTTGCACGATCGAGCTAAGAATGCACGCGATGCACGACGATGCATATTCTCCTGCACTCAACTCCCGGTTACAATATTGACTGGGCGCAACACCGCCTATTGAGCCAGCCCATCACGACACCTGCAAACCGCAATAGTGAGCTAACATAGCAGAAAGGTAAACGTCACTAGAGGCGCAGTAGACCACGCGGTCATGACGCCGAAGATCTAGACGCTTTTTCCTCAGCTCGCAAAGAGTGGCGGTGCAACATGTGCGATTAGCCTACGCGCCTCATTGGCCGTACCCAAGAAGAGCGTGATAACGAGTTAAGGTTTCACAGAACAAGGGTCCAGGTGAGGGAAGCGTGGACAAGCGCATAAAAAGAGCATTGACTCACGGCCCTTTTCTTGCGATCGACTGGACTGTTTACTCACCTCACCGGTTTGCTTCATCTTCCACTACACCATCCATTTTTCCATCTCACGATACCACTCCATCACGACCGTCATCGCACATATACCCTCAAAGTCTACCACACACCCTTCCCAACCGCAAACATGAACAACCCCAACCAAGGTGGTGCCGGTGCCGGAGGTCAGGATTACCTCGACAAGGCCTTCAACGCCGGAGCCAAGAAGTTCGGCGGCGCGCAGGGTCAGAAGATTGCTGCGAACCGTGGTATGAGCGAGAAGATTGTAAGCAGAGCTCTCCACTGTACTTGCTTCGTGATTAGTAGTAGTGCGCGAGGTATTGCAGTTTGTTGAGGGTGAGAGCTAACGAGGCAAACTAGACCGACGGCATGCGCAAGGCGTACGAGAAGGTCACTGGCAAGAAGGTTAACCCCAAGTACTCCAACTAGGCGGGATCGCTCTTGCTATCGTACTGTGACTGCTCGGGTCCGCTTGAGCAGTGCGGGGAGATGACGGTTTTTCGGGTCAGCACGGCGGGCTGAGTAATGATTGCGGGCTTGGGCGTGGGAAAATTGATCAGAGCAGATATGATGGATATGATACCCAGGAATGAAGTTCAAGGTTTATTGAACAATGAGCATGCGTTATCAAGTGACATAGATGGCGCTGTCGGGTAAATGTGAATGTCTTGGACTTCCACGTCGGACATATGCATCGCTATGCTCGACACCACAAATGCCATGGTGACAGACCAGCATTTAACTATTGGATACCTGCACAGCATGCGCAACCCACCCGATAATCCCGCTGCGTCAAACCTTCAATCGCAAACCCACAGGCCTATCCAGCCAGCTCAACCCTCCTTCTCAACAACGCCCGCGCCTCCGTCTCACTCAGGAGCTCCAATCCCAAGTCCTCCAGCACATCCCTCGCAGATTGATTATCCGCAAAAAGCCGCCTCTCCACCTCCCACAGCCCAAGTTCCCCTCCTCCCTCAACTCCAGACGCTGTGTGACGGGTGGGATTTGCTTTTTGCGGAGCATCATGCACCTCATCACCGTCTTCTGCGGCCCAAGCGTCCGTGTCCCAGTCCTCGTCTTCTTCGCCACCGTCGTCATCCCGACCCGTTGCAGTATCAACTTGCGAGGCTGAAGTGCCTTTTACGGGCAATCCGACGATTTTGACGCCTTCGAGACATTTGGCTAAGCCCGCTTCGGCAACCCCTGGGCCAATGTGCTTGTCCACGACCCGGCACACGGCCGCAAGGTCAGCGTGTAGCTGGGCAGCTCCCTGAGTAGAGAAGCGGTATCGGCTGAGCACGTTCTCCCACAGTGTAGTTGAGATGGTGGTCAAGACGGCCCGAGTGATGCGACGCAGTGGCGCAGATGCTAGAGCGCGTGAAAGGAATGCTAGCGTGCTACGTAGGTAGGTAAGTAATGGGTCGATTTCTGCAGTTGGTGACAGTTCTGTGGCGGTCGAGGCTGAAGCGGAAGGCCCGCTAAGAGTTGCCCACGGGTTGCTAAAAGCAAACATTAGTAAATGGGATTAGGAAGTATAGGGTTTTGGATCCATAGGGCAGGGGTCCAGATCTGGATACGTACATGTGCCGATATGGACGCAGCGCCTCACGCACATTGCTGTTGAGCGTGTCGATGATAATCTTCTCGCTACGTTCACGGAGGCGCGCGTACCACGATGCCGTTTCGTCAAAGAGGGAGCCGCCATCAACATCGTCACTTTCGACGTTCTTGGATGTGCGTTCCGCGACGTCGGCCACGCTCATGGTACCAATATTGCTAGTCTGGCCACGAGCACGATCTTGTAGACCTTCCCAGATATCGAGGAAGAACTACAGAACAAAGGGGTTAGCTAAAGTTCGGGTCACACAAAAATCATGCAGGTGAGGGCCTACCACATCGTCGCTCCAGTCACGCATGGCCCGTTCGAGATAATCAGCACTGCCATACGTCTTGCAAAGGCGCTCCAGTCCCTCGACGCCAAGCAGCTTTTCCTGTTCCTCCTTGGTCACACCGCCCATAGCGCGACCCAGTGACGTGGTCATGGACAGATACGCTTCCAGATTGCTCTGCAGCCTTTCGTGGAGTTTGTCGAATATGGCAATCTGTATGTCTATCAGGAAGGTGAGCTTCTGGCTGAAGGAAGTCAAGGGTCTGTATCGATCTGCAATGCATTGTTGATTAGCGACGCATCTGGGAAGGAGGGGTAGGCGAGGACATGCCGGTTATGGTTTCTAGCAGGTCGTTTACGCGGATCGCTCCCTTGGTAGGCTTGGTGGCTTTGGGATCGACGCTCTCGTAGTCGAGATCACCAAAGTCTGGAGCGTCGACGATGTTCTGATAGCGAGACAATGCGACTGGCGGATGTTAGCGACCCGACATTTCTCCGTTGGGCAACGGGCCAACGTACAGTCTTTTTCCACCTGCAGCCATCGGCCAAACCAGTCGCCCTGAACAAGGAATTCCCATGATAAGCCCTTCCATCCGTCGACGCCATAACCGCCGTCATATCCCCAGGTGTCTCTGATGGTAGTGTCAAAGCTCATAATCTCGTGCATGAGGTGGCTGAGCAGCTGGGGCTGGCCTGCGACCTTGGGCAGTAGCGAGCCAATCTTGGAGCGCAGCATGGGCAGTAGAGCGGTTATGAAGGCGGACATGGCATCAATGTAGACGGGGTTAAGCGCAAGATCGGTTCCGCGGAAGTGACGGAGCAGGACAGGTTGCACATGGTCACTGACGAATGCGCTGTAGTCGTTTAGAAGCGTGGTAATGTGCGAGAGAAAGTATTCTGGCCTATCAATGCGGTTCGTGGGCTTGTCGCCGTCGAAGTGGTAGCGGAAGCGCATCTCGAGCGGCTGCACGAGCACCTCAATGGGGAAGAGGACGGGCGGGAGCTTGACCTTGTCGCCCGGCCCGCTGGCATAGCTCATGCCCTGCAGCTCGGGCAGCTGCAGATCAAGCAGCTTCACGATGGCCGTCTCCCATTCCTCCTGTAGCTGGCTGGGTATGGCGGCCTTGGGCGTGGGCCAGTGTATCTTCTTGAGGGTGCGGTCGAGGTCCGTGGCGAAGGCGTCGAGGATCTTGGTGCGCAGGGCGTGGGCGATGGTGTTGACGTGGTGGAGCAGCTGGGGGGCAGCGCCCTCGGCGTCGTCTTGCAGGTTGACGAGGCGGGTGTGCAGTGCGCGCAGCTGCTTGTAGGGCGCCAGGGCGGCTTCATTGGACGTCTGGAGCTGCGACTGGGCTTGTTTGCTGCGCGGAATCAGCTGACTGAGGCCGTATCGGACACGGTGGCTGTCCTACCTCAGAACGTCGACTTCCGCCAGCAGTTGCACGTATCCGTTGGCGACATCCAGGCGGTGCAGCGTGTCGAGGACCTGCTCGAAGCGGGGCACGGCCTCGTCGCTCGTCTCGGAGGCGGTGATGACCATCAGGCGGCGGTCAATGTCGGCCTGCGCGTGGTGGAAGCGGTCGGCAGCGCGCGTGAGGTCGCCATGATGGGAATGCGAGGCCTCCTTGGCCGTGTGCAGGTCGCGCTGTGCGTCGTCGAGCTGCTGGCGGAGGAGCCCATGCTGCGTCGTCAGCGTGGCCAATAGGGCGTCGAGGCCGTCGAGGTCAGCGGCATTCTGGAGCTTGTCGTCGAGGTAGTCGGCGACGCGAGTCTGGTTGTCGTCCATCTCGTACGATCAACGGGCGGCGGGCGGCGGGCGGTTGTGGGCGTTGGAGTGCGCCTAGGCACGTCGCTACGGGCTGCCCAGGTGTGGCGACGCCGGCAGCCCGCCCTGGCAGCTGGAGCCTCGGTCGGCGGCCTGTGCGCCTGCCTCCCACGATTCTCGTCCTGCGCCACCGATCGATCATCCCAGCCGATTCTCAGATCCAACCAAGATCCAACCGTGCGTCAGGCCACTATTGGAGAACATCCTTAATCCACCTACTGCCGTGTCCTACGCCCTGCAAACCTCTGTACCGCTGTCTCAAAGGCCCCGGCGGTTCTGTCCTGCCGCTGTCTATTTACTGCCGGTCCTGCCCTGTCCTGCTGCTGGAGCACTGCAGCCCTCTCCCCGCCCGATAGCCGAAGTTGCGAAACTTTTTGTGTTGCGCCGCTGCCGTCATCGCCAGCCGCCATGCCCAAGGAACACAAGAAGCGCGGCCGCCGCGACGAGCAGAAGAAGCGCAAGAGGGACGTCGACGACGATGCAAGTGCAAAGCGCTTCAAAAAAGACGACATCGACCAGCTCGAAGCGGAAAACCCTGCGCAGCATGTCGCCGAACATGACGTCGCCCGCCCGGATGCGACGCCCTTCTACGGAATGCTCGACGAGCAGGAGCAGGAGTACTTCAAAAAGGCCGACGAGATGCTCGAGCTGAACCAGTTCGAGAGCTCCGAAGACCGAGACATCTTCCTCGCCAGCGTCTGGAAAGAGGCCGACGGCAAGGAACTGAAAATCGCCAACAGCCAGACGTCGCGCCTGCTCGAACGCCTGATCCTTCTTTCCTCGCCCGACCAGCTCAAGGGCCTGTTCCAGAAGTTCAGCGGACAGTATGTGCCCACCCGCTCTTTCCCCATTGCACTCGCTAACCCGTCGCAGCTTCCTCAACCTTGTCCAGAACCGATTCGCGTCCCACTGCTGCGAAGCCCTCTTCATACAAGCTGCGCCTGTTGTCACCGAAGAGACTGCTGCCAAACCTGAGAAACCGCAAACACCGCCGTCGTCAGACCCCGACCAAGTCCTCGTCTCCATGGAGAATTTGTTCCTATACACGCTGGGCGAGCTGGAGGGTTACATGGGCTTCCTAATGACCGACAAGTATGCATCGCACGTACTGAGAGTACTACTCGTCATTCTATCGGGCGCCCCGCTGGAAAAACAGAACAAGTCGGCTATGCAGAGCAAGAAGAAGGAAAAGGTCACCGTCTCAGGCGCAGAGAAGGAGCAGGAACGTCTACTCGAAGAGAGGGCCGTCCCCGAAAGCTTTTCCGAAGCTCTGGAGAAGGTCATCAGCGAGAGTGTCTCGGGCATTGAGTCGCACTACCTCCGTACCCTGACCACACACCCACTCGGCAGTCCCACTCTACAGCTACTGCTCAAGCTGGAGCTTTCCCACTTCGGCAAATCGCGGGCCAAGGACGAAAAATCCATCATCCACAGACTTTTGCCAGACAATCCCATAGCGGAAGGAACAGAAAGCGCCATCCTGATCAACGGGCTTGTGTATGATACCATTGGCTCCCGACTACTGGAAGTCATCATCGAGAATGCGCCCGGAAAGGTATTCAAGTCCATTTACGGAGAGTTCTTCAAGGAACGCATGGGTACGCTGGCTCGCAATGAGATCGCTGCCTATGTCGTCGGAAAGATCATGGAAAGACTTGGCAAGGACGACCTGGAAGAGGTCATGCGTCAAATAGTGGACCAGATCCCCAGCTTGGTAGAACGTGGCCGGACGGGGGTTATCAAGACACTCATCGAGCGATGCGTCGCGCGTGACATCGACTGCTCGCCTATCAAGGCTCAGCTGGAGACTGCATATGCCGGCTCTAATGGCTTCGAAGTCACACGTATTCTCAAGCTTAGTGAGGAAGACGGCAAACCTCGTGCCAAACATGAACACTCACCAGAGAAGGTTCATGGGTCGCTCCTAGCACAAACCATGATGACCGTCGATGGGCCCCTTGGCCAGCTTGTCTTTGACTCTCTTGCCAACCTGTCCCCGGAACTCGCTGTCCAGCTCGCTCGCGACTCTACGGCGTCGCGGACGCTTCAGGCAGCACTGATGTCGAAGAACGCTTCTGTCATCTTCCGCCGAAAGATGATACAACAATTTTATGGCAAGATTGGTGAGCTTGCGCTCGATCCTGCTGCATCTCACGTCATCGATGCCATATGGCACGGTACAGCTGGTCTAGCTTTCATCCGCGAGCGCATCGCGGAAGAGTTGGCCGAGAACGAAAACTCGCTTCGAGAATCCTTCGTCGGGCGTGCGGTCTGGCGGAACTGGCGCATGGACCTGTACAAACGCAAACGCGGCGACTGGGTCACACAATCGCGCTATACCGCCGGAAATGACGGTTTCCAGAGTTTCCCAGAGTCCAACGGCGACGCAACCCCGCCGCAAAACCATCGGGCGGGAAGACATCTGACGGCTATCGAACTGGCAAGGCAGAAGCATGCCGCTGCGAAAGCCTCACAAGCCAAGGACGGCAAAAAGCCGAAGAAGGGGAGTCATACAACAAACAGCAGTGTCAGCAGCGGAAGCAGCAGCAAAGCCAAGAGCCTCGTCGCGCAATAATAGTGCTATTATACATTATGTACAGGAATTTCTTTTGTCAGCACGGTTCGCTGAGAATGAGGCATCGTACTACGGCGTTTTCCGAGCTGGGTTTAGGGCTTAGGTGGGCCTGTCGCGCATTTTTCTGATTCGACGACTCTAGATACCTTTTAGTGGCATACTTGCATGAGAACAGTTTTGCTTTAGGAATGTGGCTTGTACCCCGAGCAGAAAGAATCGATGACTCCATGTTCGTCATTGCTAAATGTTCGGCGCTAACGCCGACTACTCGGTCACCTTTGTTTGTGTTTGTGACTTCTTCTACACTCATCATTCCTTGAAGTACGAGCACAAGGCTCCATAAAATTTTCCTCCATTACCATAATATAATTTGTGCATACGCTCCCCACCATGTCATCCCCACAACAGGGAGAAACCCTCCATCGCGCTGATGAAGTCAAAGACGTAAGTGACTCGGAAGGGCATTCCGATTCTTCCGATGTCAAGTTTCTGAACTCCCATCGCGCCTCTCGTCCATCAGACTCAGACAGGGATCTAGATATGCAGTAGAGACATCCGCTAACAGCAGAAACAGCTTCTCGACTCCATTCAAGAGCTGATAATACCTTTCATCCGCTCAGCCGACCAAGATGCAGCAACAAAGCACACAGGCCATGGACTGAAAATTGAAGGTGGCGGGCCGAGAACCGCGTTAGTAGAACATCACCCACCCAAGAAGCTAGAGTCCATTATCAAGGAAGAGCTGGAGTTCAACAATGGCAACACTGGTAAGGACGGCTTGGTGAAACTTGTGGGGACTATCTTGAAGTACTCTGTCAACACATGGGACCAAGGATTTCTAGACAAGTTGTATGCCAGTACGAATGCTGTGGGAGTGATCAGTGAGCTGGTATTGGCCGTATTGAACACCAACGTATGTCTTGTTCCCAGATTACATTTGCATGAAATTGTTAACACACCGCAGTCACACGTCTACCAAGTCTCCCCCGTCCTAACCTTGGTCGAAAAGCGAACAACAAAGTACTTAGCAACCCTATTCGGCCTCCCCACTTCTACCTCCGGAGGCATCTCCCAACCCGGTGGCAGCGCCTCAAACAGCTCTGCCATAGTAATCGCGCGAAACACGCTCTACCCCGAGACCAAAACGGACGGCAACGGCTCCCGCAAATTCACCATCTTCACCTCAGCCCACGGCCACTACTCCGTCGAAAAAGCCGCCAACCTCTTTGGCCTTGGATCCAAAAACGTCATCGCCGTCCCCGTCGACGACCGCGGTTGCATGATACCCGCTGAATTCGAACGTTGCGTGAAGGAAAGCAAAGACCGTGGCGAAACACCCTTCTTCCTCAACGCAACTGCCGGGACAACCGTTCAGGGCTCTTTCGACCCGTTCCCTGCTCTCAGCAAGATCTGCAAAGAACAGAACCTCTGGTTCCACATCGACGGCTCATGGGGCGGCAGCGTGGTGTTCAACGAGAAGTACCGTGAATCACGACTCAAGGGCGCCGAACTCGCAGACAGTATCGCTATCAACCCACACAAGATGCTCGGCGTACCAATGACTTGTTCCTTCCTCCTCGCCCGCGACATGAACACGTTTTACCGCGCACTCACGCTGCCAGCGGGTTACCTCTTCCACAATGCGCCCGGTACCGACGCAGCGGATATCTACGACCTCGCTGATCTGACACCTCAATGCGGTCGGCGCGCCGATAGCTTGAAGATGTTCCTTGCGCTGCAATACTACGGTCCTCAGCACTTTAGCGATTTGGTCGCCCGTGGATACGAGAATGGAGAGTACCTCTTGAGCAAACTGAAGGAGAGTGGCAATTTCAAGACTATTAGCCCGGAGCCGCTGCCATGTCTGCAGGTGTGCTTTTATTATGCAAAGGGAGGGCAAATGAAGGAGGACGCCGAGGCGAATAGTAAGGCGACCACGGAGATTGCCAATAGGCTTATTAGCAGGGGCTTCATGATTGACTTTGCGCCGGGCGAGAAGGGCAAGTTCTTCAGGGTTGTCGTGAATGGGGGGTTGATCAAAGGCACGTTGGATGGGCTTGTCAAGGCGTTGGAAGAGACGCCTGCGGACCTGGGATACTAAGTGTGTTGAGATGAGGAGGAGGGGATGGTAAAAGTCGCAAGCAAGGGCCAATTCATCTTATTGAAAAGCATTCATTCATCTGAGTATTGGATATCTATGTTACATGATGTTCGTATCTCGTATCCATACCCATAGCATGACAGCACCAGAAATGATCTTGCACGTACACTTAAGCAGCACTAGGCCACGGGTGCGTCGGCAAGAAAAATGGCAGAAGTGATGGGCGTATACAGCTATTTGTTGAGAGACGCAATAAGAAAGATGCATATCTCAAGACGCAGTCTACGATATCATTCCAACAATATGGTAGCTTCTTTCGGGATAGCTAGTCGAGTACACCCCAGTAACGCTCAGCGTTAAAGGTTGACGCAGAGTCGGATTTCCACTCCGAATCGTAGGCACTGAAGAAGAACAGATCGCCATTGAAACTCGCGCGGAGGGAGTCGAGGGCGATACGTTGGTTCTCGGGCGAGGGGACGGCCGCACCGTTGGCATTACCCTGGCGAGGCCAGCCGGACTCAGTGACGATGAGGCGCTTGTTACTGCAGGCGGCTCTTACACGTTCAACTTGACTCTTGACAAAGGTACCAGCATCCTGAGCTTGGGTGTTCCTGTCGAAGAAGGCGTGGATGTTGACCATGACCACATCTGAGGCGCCGCAGATGGCAGGGTTATCGAGCGTAGCAGGAGCGGTCTCGACTGCGCCCACAGGACCGTTGTAACCGACGCTTCGTAGCTGGGTGCGGGCTTGACCGATTGCGTCGACAACTTGTGACGATGTCATTCTCCGTTCGTTGACGCGCTCGTTCTCGACGGCGAAGAGTTGGATAACATCCCAATTGCCGCCGGCATACTGGTCAATGGCGCTCTTGTAGGCTTTGATGACCTGACTGAGGTCTTCGCCGCCGCCACTGGGATCTAGATACGCGCCACCCATGAGCTTTTGGCCGTTCTTCTGAGCGTTCTGAATTGCAAGTGGGATCTGATTGCAGTCCATGCCATAGATGCGGATGACTTTGTAGTCCGTCATGCTACTGAATTCGCTAGCAAATTCATCCGGGGTCTTGCAGTTGGCGGAGCTGCTGTAAGCATCCCAAGTTATGCCCAGAGGCAGAGTTCCAGCAGCAGCCTTTTCGACAGGGACGTCCTCGGGCGGAGACGGTGGTTGCGGGACCTCAGGCTCTTGTGTAGGAGCTGGCGGCGCAGGAGAGGGCGGTGGGGTTGTGGTCGCATCTTGGACGTCGACAGCAGTAGGCTCTGCTGTAGGGGAAGCAGATGTGGAAGATGCTGGTAAGGGAGCTGGTTCTGGCACGGCTGATGAAGCCTGCGGAGGCTCGATAGTTGACGATGTCGCTTCGGCCGTGGTTGAGGGCACAGTGACAGGTGAAGTGAGAATCGTCGAAGTCGCAGTCGAATAAGGTGCGCCTGCCTCGTTGACGAAGACGGCAACTTCAGCCATGATCTCGGTGACATAGACCACCTCGGTGACAACCTTGCGCTTATAATCTGCACCTTGTTAGTGAACGATGTATCATGAAGGGGCACCGGTATGGCCGTAGCCTCGGCGCAACAGATGAGACTATCGTCATGGCATGTTGCAAGGAGAGAGAAATTTGGTAACTCACTGAGTGGACGCCCGCTCGCAGAGCTCACTAGAAGGCCGGCAGCGGCGAGAGCGCTCGCGAAAACGATGGACTTCATGGTGATAATGAAGCGAGTGTTATGGAATGTTTAAATTGGGTATACAACGTAAAGGTGCTGTGTGTGTGTGGGAATGTTGTCTGTTGTTTGGGTGAAGCCGAGTGCAGCCCAGCGCTTGTATAGGTGCGAGAAATGAGTGAATGACTGCCTGCAGCTGAAAAGAAGGGAAGACTGTCTGGGTCAATTTAGGGAAGCTGTGAACCAACAGAGACTGTAGAGACTGAATTTGGCGTTGAAGAGGAAGCGCGGTCGGTGTTGACGACTAGGTATTGTTGCGCTGTTGTGGTAGCTGTACCTGCGCTAGCGCCTTCTGAGCCTCAGGCGACGCCGTTTGGGCAATCGCGACGAACGGCGAAGGTATCATCTGCAGGGTCCAGACATCGTGGTCACGACTGCCTTAAGAGACACGATGAGGGATGAAACGCCAACCCCAGGTTATGATAAGGAGCACGAACTGAAACCTCAACCTGCCCCAGGCGCTGGGCCGCAAACATCTGGACGAGTAGAACGAAGTGGAGAAGGAAACATTTTAGGTCAGAACAGGCAACCAAATTTCGAGGTCTTTGGCTAGGCACATGGCTTCTGAACACATAGAAGACTAGAGAATACAAACACGTAGAAGCTAAGTGACATATAAACTTGGCTAAGATCACGACCATATGATTGGAAAGCCACGGATTGAGACCGCAACTGACGATTGATGAAGACGTGTCAATTCAAGCCACAAGGTATCATGGTCGTTTACAGCCCGGTATACAGATGCAATTACGACAGCTTTGATCTTGCTGCAACATGCGCGATTGGTTGGGGTTGAGAGGCTCATCTGTTGTAATATGATGCATATCGAATGATAGCAATGTTGTTGCGAGATAATTATGTAGGCGTATGCCACCAGCCTCTCGTTTTGATAAGTTGAACAAGGCCGGCCAGTTGCGCAATGTCTTGTGGGAAGTGAAGAAACGTGAATTTGGAGTGAGAGCAGTTTGTGAGATAGAAGGAAACACAAGCGAAAGGAAGGGACAAAGCGAAATGCATGATGACTCGAATGATGACACTGAGGGCGGAAATATACCTGGGCACGCATAATGTTCGTGTCTAGGTAGAAACATAGAGTGAGACGAACGCATGCCATTTGGATCGAGCGTCCACAAGGCGCGCCCGACAGGCTAAGTATGCTGGAGCTTTTAGAAGAGAGACGCGACTCCAAGAAGAAACGAAGGGTCAACAGGTCTTTAGCCTAGAGGATGCTACTCACTTGAAACCAGCTGGAGACAACGGCCTGCATGACGATGTCCCTCGCAAGCTGAGCGAAGAATGTAAGACGCGCGCATGGCAAGTCACGCGTACAGATTCAGAGAGGAGTCGCATCTACCGTGGGCTTTTACAAGTAATAGTATTGTAGATGGGATGAGCTTGGCTGCGGACAAAAAGGAGGCCCGCAGCCTGCAGGCCGTCGCCATGATGCGGGGCACGTGTGCCACAAGCCGCACCCCTTTGATCTCAAGCGCGGGGCTCTCGCTCACTCACCTACTGCACTTACCTTCTTACCTCCTTTGGCGTTGACCTCCTATAGAAGCGAGACGCATGAGCCCCGGCCGATGCATTGCGACAAGAGCGCGAAAGGAAACACGAGTCGGACACAGTCCGCACCGCCCAGGCAACAACGCACGGCCAGTGCCTCCCTCTCTGTTGCAGACCGTGGGTTTCGCCGCCCGCACTGGCCCTCGCTTCGACTAGCACCTGCGCTGGCTCCACCAGCATCACCAGCAACTTCCGCTCAGTATATATAGCTAATATTTTGGCAGTATCAATGTGCAGTGCGAGGATTTGTACGAACTCATTTCTTGCCTTTTACCAGAAGTGACCGCGAGTCCCGCACAACACTGCACTTACTCAATCTTTGGAAACACCTCACCCTTCGTGGGTTCGAAACTCTGTTTTTGCACTTTTCTTTTTGCCTTTTTGCCCCAACCGACTGCATCCTCTTGTGTAGGCACTCCGCTCTGACAACGCCACAACTATTTTGTGAACATTACTTACAGTCTTCATCTTTTTGCACGTCTCGTGTATCTCGATTTGGCCGGAATGCCGTAGCAGTCTTGCAATTCGCTGTAGAAATCAAATGTAGGTATCATGAACCCACCCAGGAATCTGGTACTCCCAGCCTACTTACTACCATATACACAATGTCCACATCATGACACGTGAACATGTTTGAATTCGGTACGCTCAACGGGGCATCGCACAATAAACCACACATCGTATTTTGCATGAAGCACACACCCGAATTCTCACTCACCGCAGTTATGGATGCAGCGCAGAGTATAAGCGGTAAGTTACTTATGCTGACATCGCTGTGCAGCTAGCTAATAGAGCTCCACCAAGAGAGAACGGTCGCATTACGATTCGTGTTAAACATCCCGACGGAACAAGGTCGAAGGCGACGATCAAGACCGGGGATACCAAGAGAACAGTTCCGGTCTGTAGCGCGACTCAGTCGAACGAGAGCGATGTTGCGTACTGTGAGAAAGAGCGCGAGAGCCTAGAGTACGAGAGCCAAAAAAAAAGGAGGTCGAGAGACATCACAAGAAGATCGATAAGCAGTTGGAAGATGCCGCGAAGCAGTGCGATGCTCCTGAGAAGGAGTGGAATGATGCGAAGAAGTTCGACGATAAAGACAAGAGAAGGTGCTGCGTCGTCATATAAGCAGGAAGAGTCGTCGAAAGAGGACGATCCTGGTACCTATCTCCAAAGTCACTATGAAGTGATACTTATTCGGTGATAGCCGCGGACTAAAAGTAGTAATACAAAGGTCATGCTAATAGCATCTATCCACACGGCCGATCGAGTAGACCCTCCAAGTCTAACACTTCATCTTAATTCCCCTCCTCTTCTCGTTCTCTCTCCATTCAAACATGACCTGCACACCAGTGAACAGCGCGCCACAAGCCGTAGCAAGGAACATCCAACCAGACCAAGTCCCTACAATACCACGGACCAAGTCCTTAAGACCATCGACTCCCAAGGCGAAACCGACGAGATTAGCAGTCATGAGCATGAGAATTTCGAAAACGGCGCCGACTCCGCATAGCCAGCGATACGCATCCGGGCTGCCCTTCCACTTCCTCGCGGGGAAAATGTACGAAGCGATGATCTCTGGGAGAACAAACAGGGTAACCAGCCAACCCCACATCAGCAACCGAAGCTGGATATCGTGCCAAATCGCGATGAAAGTAAACACGGCAAGGTAGTTTCCAATCGATCTTGCCTTGCCCCAGAGACCATCTCCTCTGTTACCACCCAGCGGAATGTAAAGGTATCTCAAACTCCACTTGTTGAAGCTACGATGCCATCCGCGCCAGAAGTGCATGACGGAGTAGTTGTCAGACATACACCTAACCATGTTCTCGGGTGGGTCGATGCCATCTAAAAGCGACCAGAGACGGAAGAAACGCCATGGGATGAGCAGCTTCAGCCAGATGTGCTTCAGGTTGAAGAAACCTAGCATGCTGAGCTGAGCTGGCGTGTACTGCGACCAGTCGGGTCTCTCATGGAAGATGGCGACCATGTACATGTAGTGGATCATGATCTCCATGGTCAACAAGACAACGATGAAGCGGACGAGATACATTGTTGTTCGCTTGGTGGTGATGCTGTGGGGTCGGTAACGGCATTGGGCGATGTAATCGTTGAACGTGATGATGGGCCCGGCCAGGTAGAGGGGTGAGTACATGGCATAGGCGAAGTAATTGCGGAAAGTGTAGTCAGTAGCTTTAGCAGGTATCGTGACGCGGTCCCGCTCGGAGAGGTTGGAAGCGTCGAGTTGTTTCTTCTTGATGTTATTAGCTATATCGAACTAAGGGTGGGCGGGTAAAGTACTTCAATGGAACTACCTGTACGAGAGTTCAAACTCCAGTAGTAATCAAGATTGAAGCTTATTAATCGGAGTATGGTGAAGTTGAAGAGGACTTCCCATCGGGGTATCAGACCACCATAGCTGTCGAGAGTGTGGCCGAAATTGGACGATGGGTGGCCTTTCTCCGATACTGTAGACGGTAGGAAAGTGCCGAGTATGTTGGCGTATGAGTATCCGTCTGAGAACTCATTTGCAAACAAAGTGCCAACGTTGAAGATCCATGTCGCAGCTGGCACATATTGTCGAGAAACCTTTGTGCCGATGCAGTAATTCGCATAGAGAATGGCGAGAATCTTGAATGCAGAGAAGCCATGCAGGGCGGCAAGAAAGATAGCGGCAAAAAGAAGGTCGAACGAGATGCGCTGGTTCATACGAGCATCCGCTGCAGCACCAGGGGTTAAGCCCATAGTAAGGCCATTGCCGGCAGAGGACCGAACTTGAGTATACGTTCCCGCTCTCCAGAACGAGTCGTAGGCCTTACGCAAAATAGGGTGAAGCAGAACAACGATGAAGAGGTAGGGAATATTCTGGCGGAAACCGCTGTATTGAGCATCGGTATTGTCCTAAGGAGTTAGACAATGGCATGTGACAATTGATGTTGCAACGTACTACTTTGCGACCAGGTATCCAGCCATCTGACAGAAGATGTTCAAACTTCGGATAGTTTGGATGAGATTCTGCAGAACGATTAGCTTTCCTCACCCCCTGCGGATCTATTTGCACGAACCTTGAGACACATCTAGTACCAGCTTGAACATGAAGAACACGCTGGCTGCAATGGACACGTAGTAGAAGTAGAACTCCGGCGTCGACCATAGTGGCGCATGGCTTTTATTCTCTAGACCCTTGTCTCCATTTCGTCCATCTCGGACTGGCACTGGTCCAGCGGGATCGAGTTTGGCCTCTTCGAGCGCCTCTTTCGGGGGTGCGGTGGCCGGTACAACGAAGCGTGTGTCGAGGGTATCCAGCGAGTAGAGCTGGCGAATGAATCTGAGCGCCATTGTATTGCCTAGACTATCTCTTCATCTTCTGGTGTTCAAAGGACCCTCGGTGTACGTCCCTGAAGTATACGGAGTGGAGGCGCGGGGGACGAGTGCGGTGATGGAGGCCAGGTCCGCAACCTCAACTTTTGGAGTTCGCGTCTGTCAACAGCTTCGCTCCAACACCAACACCCATCCTGCAGGCACAGCGCCCAAAGAACATCAAAGACCCGTTATCACGCGTCAATCAGGTCTTACACATATCAAAAAAACCTCCATCAAGCTTTGCGCATTGCGATAGTCGCGCGCGATGAACATTCCAAACGCTTCGACCGCACCAGCTGCGGGAGAGTACGCCGGAGGTACGCGAAGCTCGACGGAGCTCTACACGCAGCGTATGCTAATTGAGAACCATAGATGAGGTCTCCGCGATCGTCCTTGACCCCGGCTACTCGACCGTTCGCGCTGGATTCGCTGGCGAGGACGTACCCAAGTCCGTCTGCCCTTCCTTTTACGGCCAAACATCCTCAGGCGAACACCTCTTTGGCGAGAACGCGATACATGCGCCGGTCGGCGGTCTCGATATTAAGAATTATTGGGGCTCAGACGGCATTGTAGAGGATTGGGATACTGCGACCAAGCTGTGGGAGTATGCGATCACGAGCCGACTCACCGGCGCAAAACCAACCGACCCTACTAAGAACGGGCTGAACGATGGCAATGGCGAAAATGAGAACGGGGAGGCTATGGACGTGGATATGGACGCGTTAGAAAACAACGAGAAGCCGCTGGAAGACAGCCCGCTGTTGGTCACAGAACCAGGCTGGAACAGCGCAAAGGCGCGGGAAAAGTACATCGAGATCGCTATGGAGGACTGGGGCACGCCAGCTTTCTTCTTGCAGAAGACTGGTGTATTGGCTGCCTTTGCATCAGGAAAGGCGTCAGGCATCATCATTGACGTCGGCGCGTCGCATACATCCGTCACACCTGTACTCGACGGCATGGTGCTGCGCAAGGGTGTTCAGAAATCGCCTCTAGCAGGCAACTTCGTCTCCGACCAGATACGGACGTCGTTCAAGCAGGCCCAGCCTGAAGTACCGTTGACACCACACTACATGGTCAAGAGCAAGACACCAGTCGACGCTGGCGCACCCGCCCAAGCAGCGTACAAGACCTTTGAGACACCGCCAACCGATTCGTTCCGTCTGAACGAAGAGGAGCGCATTCTCACGTCTTTCAAGGAATCCGTCGTCGAAGTCTGGCCCGGCCCCGGCCGCTTCAGCACCAACGAAGAACTGGCAAAGAGTATGCCTGGCCGACCCTTCGAAATGCCCGATGGCTGGAACCAAGTCTTTGGCATTGAGAGATTCCGCGCCGCAGAGGGTTTGTTCGACCATAACGCCGCGCTCGCCAGCGAAACCATGCCCGCGCCAAAGCCCGAGCAAACAATCCCCCGACTCGTGCAAGCAGCAGTCCAACAAGTCGACGCCGACCAACGTCCTCTCCTCCTCTCCAACATCGTCGTCACAGGTGGCTCGACGCTACTCTACAAGTTCAACGAACGCCTCAACTACGAAATCAACGCCATCTACCCCAGCACCAGGAACAAGCTCATCGCACCCGGTAGCGTGGTGGAGAGGAAGTACGCAGCCTGGATTGGCGGCAGTATACTAGCTAGTCTGGGCAGCTTCCACCAGCTGTGGATCTCAAGGAAGGAGTACGAGGAACATGGTGCTGGTATTGTCGAGAAGAGGTGTCGTTAGGCACAGTATGATGGATGCGATGCGGCGGCGCTGTTTTACTGAGAGTCGATTGACTCTTTCTGTTCTGTGAGGTAGTGTAATGCACAAAAGATTCCATGACTGAACGTTGTGTACATCGAATGTCTGCTCTGAAGATCTGGTGAAGTGGTTCATTGATCGTCATCATATTGCCTTGTAGCTATTCGGCTGGTTCGTCTGGAACCGCGTTTCGGTGTATAGTACACGTTCATGTTCGTAACGCCATGTCTTGCATCGCCCCGGAGCCAAACGCAAACCCCTACGAATCTATATCCATTGTCTCCGCTGTGCCGGCCACATCACCATCCTTGAGCTCGTGTACGGTTACGTACTTGCTGATCTCCTCCTTTGTGATGATCTTCTCGTTCAGCACTGCAGTAGTTCCCCGCTGGAACCTGTAGTTCCTCTGCTTGGGCTGCCTGGTGTTTGGTGTCTTGTAGTTCCTCATCAGTGTGGTCTTGTCCTCTGTGATGACCGCCACGTCCACGTTGCTACCGGAACCCAAATCGTTCCAGATACCTGCCTCGATAGCGTTTGCGCATAGTGTGACGGCATCCTCCCGTGACAGATCGGACTTCCACTGTGTCTCGAAGACGGACATGGCTGCCAATGAACCTGAACCCATGGTGACGTACGGCAGCTTGTCGGTGGAACCGTGGGCGTGGACGGTGAAGAGATGTGCGCCAGTGGGGTCAACACCGGCAATGACGAGGTAAGCGCCAATGTGACCTTGGTGGCGGAACAGGTGCTGCTTCAACATGGTCATGCAGGTAACGACGCGGGGCTTGCGGCCGGTGGAGAGGGCGTGCAGTTCGAGGTTCGAGGAGATGATGGCGGTGGTGAACTCGGTGTCGGCGGCGGTACCGGCACCCGCACACCAAATGTGAGGGGAGATGTAGTGGAGTTTCTCGCAGTTCTGCGGTGCATGTCAGACCAGTGTCCACGGTGATTGCTGTGTCTATGGCGGGGAGGAGCCTACCTTGTCTGCTACAATGGGACCGCTGGTAGCTCGTGTGTCGGCCGCAATGACTACGCCGCCGTTGAAGAGACATCCTACGATGGTTGTTCCTGTGCTTGTCGCCTTGGGTAGCGGGATGCCCTGGGCGTGGAGAGCCGCATTGCGGTTGTAGTTGGAGAAGTCGAAGCCGCCCATGGTGTAGATGTGAGGTGTCGGTGAAGTCGTGGGGTGCTTGCTACGGAGACGGCGTGTATCGTGGTGAGTGTTTGATGTCGCGCGTCTATTCGGGTTGTCTAGGCGGTCGGCGGCGAGGGCGAGGTTGCGTAGCTGTCGTGCCTGGAGCTTGGATGTAGCCTTGGCGCAGCGATGAGCTCCACTAGCTCGGGAACTTTCTCAGAACAACAAAGCGCGTCGCTTCAGAGAGTCGAGCTAATGGTCGCATGCTTGTCGCTCGACTATCCAGAGCGCCAGGCACCATCTCCTTGCATCTCCGCCGTTTCAATCACCTTCACATCCTTCCGCCTAGCCTAGAACGGCCTGTTTGCTCTTTCCCAAAACACACCAAGGCTAGCACGCGCACCCGCGCTCGTCCTCCGATGCATATATGAATAAGCTGAGAACTCCGACGCGCGACACCAAGCCGAGCCTCCTACGCGCCAGAACCTGTTCGGCCTGCAAATCCTGCAGAATGTCTAAGATTCCCGCGCCGGCTGTCGAGGCTGGGCCCGAGGTGCCCGAAGTCGAAACAGAGGTAGCTAGAGCTCGCACCAGACCGCCATGCGACGGTACTAACGACGACATAGCATCTAGGCTTCAAGGTCCTCAACCAGGGCAAACAGGGCCCCAAGAAGGTCAAGATCCTGCCCCAGCCATGGCCTGCCGACAATCTGCCTCCTGCTTGCGCCAACCTCCTCTCCGTCGCCTCCAAACCCGCCCTTCTCGCTGCTGCCGGCCCCAACATCCTCGTCATCGCGTCCACAGACTCCGTGCGCAGCGCCTTCCAGAACAAGACCATAGCCGATGAGATCGCAAACGCCGATGACCCGCGTCTTGAAGAGCGCGACATTGACGTCGTAGCAGACTTCACGCCCGATATCACCATCTCCACTCCCAACCTACGCCATGTCGCTTTCTCCGCCGATGGAGACTTCTTGGTTACATCTGATGAGGCCGAAGGCGGCGTCACTGCGTATAGCGTTGCGAGTGTCGTTAGCCAAGGCAAGAAAGACGCGGACACGAAACTGGCGACTGACGCCCCGGTTCGCGCACTCCTCCCAAACCCCTCCGCCGAATTCGAACAATACTTCGCCATAGTCCTCGATAACGGCAAGTTCGAGATATGCGATGTGGAGAAGGGCGTCAAGAAGACGATCCGAGAGGCACACGTCAACTGCGCCGCTTGGAGCGCGCGTGGAAAGGCTGTAGTCTCTGGCTCTATTGACGGCACCTGCGCTATACACATGACCGCTGGAGACCTAAGGGGTGTTGTCCCTCGACCTCCAGATGTGGACGAAAGCTACGAGGTGACCGGCGTGTCATGGTTGAAAACTGAAGAGTTCCTTGCGGTCTACTCTCTGAAGGAACAAGACCAGGACAACCCGGAGCAAAAGAAGTACAGCGTCATCAAATCAGCCAAGGGCTGGGGATCTTTCACTTACCATTCCTTTGTCTGGGATCCTCTTCCCGAGGCATTCGAAGCTCCACGCCGCCTACTACCTGCACGTATCTCGTCCACACGCCTACAAAATTGGAAGCCTTATCTCGACGACATGCTCATTATCACTTCCTCCCACGCAGACTCCATCGCGATACTTGCCTCCACAAGCAACAAGATCTCCCCGGATCAACAGACCTGCAACGAGCTCATGATGGTCAACGTGGACGATACGAAGAAGGCTCAGGTGCCGCGAACCGCTTATGGAGACGAGGAAATGGACAGCGTCTTTATTGGTGAGGCGCTTGATCTTTCGAGCAAGGAGAAGATACTGCGCCCCATTCCCGCCCTGGAAGAGATCAACGAGGCGCCGTGGCCGCTCCCTGCATACATGGCTCTGACCCATGAAGGTCTTCTTGCGGCCTGGTGGGTTATGTGGAACAAGTCTATCGAGGCTGGCGAACGCTATCCTGGTCTCATCTTCAAGAGCGAAGCCACACAGCATGCGCCATCTTCTACTCCAAGGGCATCTACGCCTGCATCCAAGCTTCCTGTTGCTACATCTACCCCTTTCAGCAAGTCCATGGGAACACCTGGCACCCCAGGAACTGCTGGTATCCCCCAATTTGGCAACACTGGAAACGGATTTGGCACACCAACTCCCGCTCTGATGAAGCCCACACCGCCGGGCTTTGGAACCCCTGGGTTTGGTACTGCTGCTACCAACTTGCCTGCTCCAACTTTTGGTAAACCTCCACAGCCTTCATTCGGTGCTTCATCTTCAATTGGTAAGCCTCCTCAGCCAGCTTTTGGTGCTCCTTCTGCAATCGGCACCCCCGCCAAACCTGCCTTTGGTGCTCCTTCTGCAGTGGGTGCTGGCTCCGGATTCGGCGCAGTAGGTGGAATGGGCGGCAAAGCATCTCCATGGGGAGCGACTTCTCAAACTCCGGAGTCAAAATCCAATCCATTCTCGGCCGCTGCTGGTGGTTCGTCTGGATTCGCCAAATTTGGAGGTGCTGGAGGGTCAAACTCGTTTTCGAGCTTTGGAAGCAACAACTCCGCACAAGCTGGCTCGGGATTCGGAGCACTTGGGCAAGGACAGCAGAAATCTGGCTTTGGAGGTCTGAAGACAGAGCCAAGCTTTGGTTCTACTGTCACTGTTGGCTCTGGGACTGGATCTTCGCTACCCTCCTGGGCGAACACGCCCGCTCAGCAAAGCAGCTCGATCTTTGGACAGCCAGACAAGTCATCGTTCAATACGGCCTCGTTTGAGTCGAAGGACTCCGATGCTAGCGGGGCAAACGACCGAAAGAGGGACGAGGCTACACCTACACCACAAGCTCCGTCCCAAAGCTTGTTCGGCCTTGCAGGTGGCTTCAAGCTCAGCACTACTTTTGCAAGTGACGGCACAGCTAAGGATGATCCAGCGAAGCCTGCGGCTCCTGCTAACGGTTCCTTCTTCGGCAGTGACTTCTCCAACATGCTAGGAAAGACGGGGATGAAGCCGCCCGCAACCCCAGCGAGCGAAAACCCCCCACAGTACATCTCCACGACACCAGCATCCCCGCCAAAGCAGAAGTCATTATTCCCCAGTGACACTCCTGCAAAGGAGAGCGCAACCCCCAAGGCCGCACCCCCTGTGCAAGAGCCCGCTACTCCGGTGGACGACGCGCCTTTGCCACCAGACTTCACCAAGGCTAAGCCGGCGAAGACTGAGGATGCACCTCTACCTCCAGACTTCATCAACACAAAGCTGCCGAATTCGACTAGCGACGATTTGCCTCCGCTCGCTGGTAGTCCTGGCGTAGAGGTGGAAGCACCTAGTTCGTCTGGAGATGTATCTCCTATTGACAACGAGGACGAGGAAGAACATGATCACGACCATGATGACGAGAGCGACGAGGATGATGAGGAAGGCTTCTCTGATGAGGACGATGAGGAGGTTGAAGAAGTCGACGACACGTACCCGCCAAACAAGACATCAAAGCCGCAACCTGCGAAGTCGGGTACCTGGAGCTTCCAGGACAGTGTGAATCAGTCACGACAGTTCTTCCCCCCTGCACCGACTCCTCCAACAATGAAGTCCGGCGCCACATCACACTCAGGAAGCAGCGCTTCACCAGCCCAGCCTTCTTTATTCGCTCAGCACTCGAAACCTGCCACCAACCAACCACCGTTCTCAGGCTCATCGCTGTTCGGACAGCAACCAAACAAAGGCCCCTTCTCTGGTAAACCCGACCAATCATCCATGTCTGCGAAACCGAACTTCCCGCCTCCAACGAGCCGCGCGCAAGACCTTCGCTCGCCTAGCCCAGCTCGTTCGAGCTCAGCTTCTCGTCTCCGACGAGAACCTTTGGTCGCACCGGGTGCTTCATTGAGCTCATCCATGCAGGGATCTAAGCCGCCCACGCCACAGCCACAGGTCTCTGATCTTGAAGATGAGGAGGACGAGCGGATACGCGCACAGCTTGCGCAGCCGATCGAGCCGAGCCGGAACCTGGAGGAGTTTGTCGCATACCAGAACTACACTGGTGGTAAATCACCTAGCAAGACAGGTCACGCCGCTCAGATCGAGTTGATTTACAAAGATATCAACGGTATGGTGGATGCACTTGGCTGGAACGCTCGATCTATCAAGTCGTTTACACAATACCACCTGCAGCCCCAGTCTGGTCACCAAATCGATCGACGTATGCTGGATGATGTCCAAGACGAGGGACCTCACGGCTCCTGGTTCGAGAACTTCACTTTATGCGAGATTCAAGCCTTGCGATCTCTTGAAGATCAGCTTGAACAAGAGCTAGATGCTGGACGGGTACAGGACGTGCTCGTCAAGCTCACACAACTTGCTCGTCTTCTTCACGACAAGGCCAAGCTTATGACTCGTCTTAATGATATCCGCCGCCAGATCATCAACCGCAAGGACCCCGAAAAGGCAGAAGCTCTCCGAAAGGCACCATTACCAAAGGAGCTTGCTGATGGACAGAAGGCTCTGCGCAATGACTATGCTCAGCTTTTGACGTCGCTACGCAAGGCTGAAGATGCAGTCGCAGTCCTACGCTCACGTCTGGTGTCCCACAACGCTCAGAACGGCAGCACTAAGTCAGTGCCTTCTATGGAGGCTGTCAAGAAGACCGTTCTCCGGTTGGCCAACCTTGCTGAGCAAAAGAACAACGACATTTTAGTCCTAGAGGCACAGTTGCGCAAGATTGGTCTCGCAGACTCCAGTCGTCCTTCCTCGTCTTCATCGCGCAACGCCGGTACGCCCCGACGATCACGCGGTACGGATCTCCGCCGTAGCATCGCTGATACACCATACGCCACCCCGCCTACCAACCGCAACAAGATGACTTTGACCGAGCTGAACCGTCGTGCTCTGACCCCCGAAGTTGAAAGTCCGCCTACGCCCAGCAAGGGCTATGGCCTGTTCTACACACCCGAAGGCAGTCCGACATCAGGCAAAGAGATCGCGCGTTTGAGCGACCTGGTCGACGACAACATTGATAGCTTGCGACAGACCGCCAGGACAAGGAAGCAGGTTGCTAAGGGTCTTAAGAACGCCCTTCTCGACCGTGGAATCAAGGTCACAAAGGTTAATTGAGTGGTACATTCTGTCGATATGGGTGTTGGGTTATGATTGTGTATGATTAAGCGTAATTGTTATTTGGGACGTTTGGATAGCGATTGCATGCATGGGGGATGGATGGAAAAGGGAAATGTAATACATCTTGCATAGATAGAGCGAGCGTTGCAATGCATTGATATTGGCTGCGGTTAATCCAGAAACGATTGACATCGAATCATGTTCACTATCACTCTCACTTTCTCTGGCGGTCGGCAAGCGGGTCGGGTGCCACAGCGCTTAGAGCTCACAGCCTCGTCTAGGCTGCAACTTTTCCATCCTCACAACACTGAACACTCTCATGCGGCCTCTGAGTTCAGTTTCAACTCTGTAGAATGCAATACTCTTCGTTGTTTCACCGGCAGCAAGTCCATATGCACAATGGCTCCATCGGCTCCCACGCATGAGTACTACGTTACCTTGGAAGTACTACCAACCGCGCCTCACGATGTGATCAAAGCATCGTATCGCCGTCTCGCAAGAATTCATCACCCTGATAAAAACATTGGATGTCGACTTGCGACAGCAAAGACCCAGCTTGTAAGGACCAGTCTTGAGACAAGAACCAATTAGCAAGTATGCGATAGTAACGTTGCACGCAGATTAATGCAGCATGGGAAGTCCTCAGCGATGAAGCCAAGAGGAGCGAATACGATCGAACTCGGCCACAGCAAAAGGCATCATCGTCAAGCAGTCGCCCTGGTCCTCCACCTGCAGCCACTCCACAGTCGAGATACCAGCCTCCCCCGCGACCTGATACAACAGCGCAAGATGAAGCGCGTGCACAAGCAGAGAGCAACAAGAAGCGACAAGAATGGCTGAATTATGAGAAGGCACAAGAAGAGCAGATCCGGCAATGCCAAAACATCTTGAAGCCTCTCGAGGCTGAAGTTGACCGTCTCAACTCGAAGATCGATGAAAACCGCAAGACGTTAGCAAGTGATGTTCCTTATGCCTGGAACGTGTTTTCATTTTTGAGCAAAAGACTGAGTGAACAAGAGAAGAGCGAGATCAGACTTGCCTCCATCAATGCAGAGAACGCTATCCGGATCAAGCAGATACCCCTCGAAAAAGCTAGGAAACAATTGAGCCAACTGAATGACGAGTTCGCGAGACGAAAAGATTTAGAAGACACAAGACTTGCGGCCGAGAAGACGGAGAGGGCGAGGAAAGAACGACTCGCTAGAGAGAAAGCTGAAGAGGCCCGACAGCGAGAGTGGGCAAGACAACAGGCCGAGCGGAACAAGGTCGCTCAAGAAGCAGCAGAGCGTTGGAAACAAGAGCAAGCCAAACAAGCAAGAGAGACTGCGGAGCGCGATAGAAAGGAACGTGCGGCTCGGGAAGCAAGATGGAAAGCCGCGCAGGAAGCAGCAGGAAAATTCAGACGGGAGCAAGCAGAAGCGGAAACTGCGAGACAAGAACAGAGGAAACGAGCGGTGGACGCCGCACGTAAGTACAAACAGCGTGCGACTCCAACAAGAAACAGAGGACCGGCTCAGAACTCTGCTCGACGCAACGAGAACTCCAGTGGCTGTCGTCATAAATTCTGGTGGAACAAGATTGAAGGCCATAACTGTTGTGCGCATTGTACCCGATCGCTCTATAAGTTCGCAGAGCAATGTCCCGGCTGCGATACTATAGCATGTACGTCTTGTCGGCATATCTTGTAGACGGGAGGTACCCCGTCTAAGATTGAGAACTATAACGACGGAAACAGGAGAAACGCGAAGCCGTGGCAGAAAGACAAACATTATACTTCGGGAGGGTATGACGAAGACTATTGCGATTGGGACTGAAGGTCAACTTATCGTGTGTTTGGTAGCGTGTTTGGGATTAGAAGATAATGGCATTGAGGCTGTGATACGGTCCGGGGTTTGGTAGGATACACTTTCAGGTGTTGAAAGATTGCGTTTAAAGAGACTCTGTCGAATAGGCCATGGCTTTGCAATGACTTTTCCTGTAGGGTATGGTGGTCAAGTACACACGATCGTGCGTTAGAGATGCGGAAGGCGGACGACATGAGTCGGAGTTGGGGATAGCTTTACAGCCTCGACGTTCTTGGCTCGTCACAGTTCTTTGATGCGGTCTAGACTTCAGAATGATCTCTGAGATCCAGAAGATGAGATATTTGGTGAGCGCATGCAATCATACCTGGTCCCACTTCGTTACCCCACTTTCGGCCCTTTCCTACGTCAAGCTTGGTGTGGGGCAAACAGCTCGCCGTCGTATGCGGCAATATGCGACAGAACAACACCATAGCTCTATTCCCTCATTGCTTCATTGTCTGACTTCCAACTGTGACTTACACCCCCTCCAGTTTATTACCCACTACTTAAAGCACCAACAACGACGTCTACACAAATTACGCACCAAAGATGTCGGAAAATGCTACCGAGGTTGTGTACATACCCATGAAGTCCGGCCTCGATCTCTCATCCGGCGAAGCAAAAGTAACGTGGGAGTCAACTCTGAGTACCATTGCCAAACAGCCCGGTGTCAAAGCATTACACTGGGGCCGACAAATAGAGAATCCAGATACCGTGCAAATGGCAGTAGGTGCGTAATCACTCGTGCCTTGCCCAACCGATCGCTGCGCACGTAATGCCACCCCCATAAATGTTCGCTGACCGAATGTAGAATGGGAATCCATCGAGGACCATAGGACATTCGAAAACACCCCAGGGTACCAGCCATTCCTGGCAACTATCATGGAAAAGCTTGCATCTGGCGGCCCAACAGTCTTTCACGTCAAGTTTCCCACTTCGCACTCTGGAAGCGAGAACCCATTCACCATGCCCATAACTGAGTGCATAAACGCATTCTTCACCTCAGATTACTCGCAAGAGGAGTACAGCTCCCAGTTCTCTACTTTCCGCAACATGGCAACCGAGATACCGAATGTTGAGGCCAGAGGAGTGATTGGTGGATGGAGCGTTGAACCGCATCAACACGAGAGTTTGGGTGAGGGTGTTGATGGAAAGTTGTTCGCGGCATTTATCGGATGGCCGAGTGTAGATGCGCACATGGAATTCCGCAAGACTGAGGACTTTGGGAACCTTATTCCGTTCCTGAGGGGTGGGCCGAAGGGGATGAAGGTTTGGCATATTGCGTTCCAACAGTACAAGTAGGATTGATGCAAAGTTGTAATGAGCGATGGAAAGGAGTCCGTATTAGTGTTGAGATATCCGGGTGTGACTGATACTTAGTTCAATTCCGACCTCAGCATAGACATCTCTGAACACTTTCTATGCTGTTGTCAAGAAATCGGGTGACGAATATTGCTAAAACAAGACGCACTTTCCCAATGCTTGGGTATCAGTCCCAAAAATAATGGCCAAGAGATGGATGTTTACGCTGTAAGCCGCAGTGTGGCAAATCAAACTTTTCTGGGTATATCCACGACTTAGGTCTAGGTCCATGTCGGTTCTGTTATCATTTGCTCCCAAACGCCAGATTTCTTCAATTACTCCGATCCATGCATTTCTCGTTGCTCATGACATACCCTTAGGCGGGAAGCTAGACTCCTTCTTGAATCCCTCCTTTGAGATTCTGGAAAACTTTAGCGTGGCCAGCTGAGCCCACTCGCCGTTCCACTCCTTCAGCTTCTTCAGGTTTAGGACGTCCTCAAGGTCCGGTACCCAGAAGCCAGCAGCATACTCGTCTCGCTCGGTTTTCTGGTGGATCTCCAACAAATTCTGACGCGTGCTTGCTGGCCGTCCCGGACGACGAGCTGCTTTCAGTTGGGCCAGCTCTTCGTCATCGCGACCTAAATAGTCCTCGATCATGGCCTGGATCTCAGGCACGCTGAGTGGCGCAACATGCTCTGCGGTATATGATTGGAATGATTTGACTCTCAGAACTATCACTTCATTAGCTATGACTCAAACAACTGATCACGAATTTCATGCGTACTGTATGTTCGATTTTGATCTTTTCGTTGTTTGAAAACGCGATTGAGCTTTTCGTCTCTCTGCGCTGCGCTCTGTAACCGCTTGGTATCCCGGCTGCCCTCGTGAAGGTTGGGATTCTTTCCCTTCTTCTTTGTAATCTTCTTGTGCACCTTGTCAAGACGATTGCTGACCATTTTGAATGTTTGACGTTTTGTTTGGTGTTGATGTTCGCGCAAGAAATTTTGGATATCCATCGGCGCTCGGCGATCGCGACCACGCTAGCCATCGGACGCGGACTAGTGCATATGTTAGCGGGGCGCGTTCCTGTCATCTCGTGTACCCGCGATCAATGACTGCTCCACACTATCGATGTGAACGCGCTCCCTTTTCTTTTTCGTTTGATTCCCAGTGCATAAGGGCTTCTCTCCTCTTGTCACCAAACCACGAAAGCACCATGTTGCGGTAACTGTTGCATCTCTGCCCGTTGTATAGGCCGGACGCGTGAGCGGCAAAGGGTACAAGATGGGCATCTCAGGTTGGTACATCCAATCATCCAGTCTACAATACTGACAGTTGAACAGGCCTCCTTCCGCTACTCAAGTCCGTTCAGCAACCATGTACCCTCAAGAAATACGCCGGCAAGACGATAGGCGTCGACACCTATGGCTGGCTCCACCGCGCTACCGCGACCTGTGCGATTGACCTGGCGCTCGAGAAGCCAACGACCAAGTATGCGTTGATGCGTTCATGAATGACAGGTATTTGCTGACTTTATCCCTAGATATGTCGACTTCGTCATGCACCGCGTACGCATGCTCATCCACTTCGGCGTCACCCCCTACCTTGTATTCGACGGAGACAACCTACCGAGCAAAGCTGGCACAGAGAAAGATCGAAGAGAACGAAGAAAGGAGGGCAAGAGGCTCGGACTGGAACTCCTCAATGTCGGAAAGACAGCTCAGGCGCAACAGGAATTGCAGAAGAGCGTGGACGTGACACCGGAAATGGCGCGGATGGTCATCGAAGAACTGAAGCAGCACAACATCGAGTACGTTGTCGCGCCTTACGAAGCTGATTCGCAGCTCGCATACCTGGAGCGGAAGGGTATAATCCATGGGGTTCTGTCCGAGGACTCCGATCTACTCGTCTTCGGCGTCAAGTGCCTGATAACAAAGCTGGACAAATACGGAGAATGCATCGAGGTCAATCGGAATCACTTCACTGCCTGCAGGGAAGTCAGCTTCGTGGGATGGTCTGACGCCGACTTTCGGAGAATGTGCATCCTGAGCGGTTGCGATTATCTCTCAGGTATTGGTGGACTTGGTCTGAAGACTGCCCATCGGATGTTGCGGAAACACAAGACTGTCGACCGTCTCGTCAAAGCTGCGCAATTCGACGGCAAGCTCAAGGTGCCCGCTGGTTTCTTGGAATTGTTTGACCAGGCTGAGAAAACCTTCCTTTACCAATGGGTCTACTGTCCGGTCGCCAAGCAGCTGGTCAATCTTACACCACTCGAGGAAGGGGTCAATCTCGCTGATATGCCTTACATCGGAGAGGAAGTACCTGCACACCTTGCCATGGGTGTTGCAAGTGGTGACCTATACCCACGCACAAAACTTCCGATGAACATCACCAGCAACAGTCGACCTGGCGGAAAATCGTTTGGCCCCTCTCGGAGAGCCTCGACAGTTGTTCAGACCCCCGACGCCAAAGGCTCAAAGCCGATCGATTCGTTCTTCAAGGCTAAGCGTACGCCATTGGCCGAATTGTCGCCAAATGTTTTCACGCCATCACCCAGTCAGCAAGTATTGCTGGAACAACAGAGAGAGTCAAATGGATGGGCCGCAGTACCCGCTCCAATCTCCCGTTTACGACCGAACCCTCCGACGCCTAGTACGGCGCCTCAACCACCACGACGCACCATGACTGATCCAACTGCGGGTAGACGTTCGGTTCCGCATCCTTCTAAGAGACAACGCCTGTGCTCCGATTCCGTCTCCGAGACACTCACCACTGGCGACGAGGCTGTTGTGCGGAGTCAATTTTTTGCACCTTCTATACCAGAACCAAGCCCAACCTTACACCGAGAAAAGAAGAGTAGGAGGAAGACCGATCACGACTTCGAGCTTTATTCGGATGACTCAATACAGGAGGTTATGGCCGAGGTGGCTGATTTAGAGCAAGCGGCGTCTGCCCCCAAGAAGAAGCTACGGGTCTTCAGTGATACACAGTCCAGCGCTAGAAGCGAATCACAGTCGACCGTCTTCTCCGGAGGCAGCACTGCCCACTCACAAGATACTATCGGCACCCTCACGCCGGCATCTTCGCCCGAGCCTGAGACGGCCTTCAGCGCTGCAATCTCATCTACAATGAGTGAGCTGCGATCAAAGTTCACATACAGGTCTCCCTCACCAGCACCGGGTATACCAAGAACTAGTAAGAGTCGTCTGAACCGTCGGCCCACTGAGGCATGGCAACCTACACCGCCATCTCAAGCTTCCGCTCTTACAACCTTTGCGGCGGCCGATGAGGAACTCATCATCCCCGGAACACCGTCCAAGAAGGATGTAGACGTGAAATTTGCAGTCTCTGCCTGGGCGTCTGTAGAGGCTGAGGTAGTCATAGCTGCGAGCTCACCGCCCCCTATGACGCCTGCGAAGAGAAGAAGATCGTCACTGAAGGGGAGCGAAGACCTCCTTGTTCCGGATAGCGAAGCCGAGAGCGAGTGCTCACCCCGAAAACCGTTATTTAACCTTAAGCGATTTGCATTTGCCGGTTAGTCTCGCTTTGCATTGCGAGTTTTTAGCATATCATTACATGAGCGTACGACTTGCGGTGGTATTGTTGGCGTTTGTTGCGGCTAAGCGCGTTTTTTGTGTTTGCAAGGTTGTTACGATCACGACCACGGTAGGCGAAGGCACACGAAGTACTATAGCATGTATCTTCATTTGGTAGTATACCCTCAATATCTATCTGTTTTAATGGCAGCTGGCTCGACTATACGCGTCTATGTGGGACAATTGGATGTGCCCAAGACCCTCTAACTCACGGACCAAGGAACAGCAGTCGGACCTCACGGTACTTGCCTTTTAATTTGCAACAGCTCCCTCGACCTTTGACGTCTTGGGACAAAGCGTCTTCGCCATAATCACTTAGTGGATTTATTTCAACCACTGCGGTTCTTTACTATGGCTTTGTTCGCGACCATTTCGGCCGCGTGCGGCGGTCGACACAAGACAGGGCTATTTAGTTCGCGCCTACTATCCCGCCTACGGTTCAAAATCTCAAAGTCATTCGCCAATCTTCGGAACACAATATCTTTGTAATACCCAATCAAACTCAAGACCAAGCCACTACCTCGATCCCAGGGGCTAAGGAGGGGAAAGGCACTAGGATTGTATGTAGCATCAAGAAAGGGACGAGGTCTGGACCGCAAGGGGTAAAGAAGCCTGGAATTACTGGCAAGAGAAAGACAAGCACCAAGGAACAGCAAACCAACAACATAAAGAAGACTAAGGAAGGCAGGGTAGCAAAGAATAGCGGAACCAAAGGTAGAAAGGCCAAGAAGGAGGCGGATGTGGCTGCTCACGATTCGGATGATAGTGAGTTGGAAAGCGCCGAGAGTATCACGACATCAGTTCCTACTATGTCGGCTACGGAGGGAAAGCGGGCTACTAAAACTAAAGCTACTGAGTCAAAAGAGAAGAAGAAGGCTCCAATTCCCAAGACAGGGCGAGTTGCCAAATGCCGCATTGTCACTAAAAGTGCACCTTTGATTGAATCGTCAGGGGAGGAGAGTCATCTTGAGAGCGAGGATAAGGAGGATATTTACATGCCATAGGCGAATTGACGTATGGATAATTGCTATCTATAAGCTGATTGATCTATAGACTGGGGGCGATAGGATATATATTCCTAGCGATGATGCTGGGTTTCAGTACGCAGTCGCAGTGAGGGATCGCATAAGTGACGATAGTCTGATGCAGGACCAAACTTCAATGAACGTCAGTGTTTCGAAGAACACGGAAAAGCCAGCTAGGCTGAGCAGTCGGGAAGTGTCAAAACCACTTTAGTCAAGCCTAGTAGCGACAAAGTCCTCGACAAAATCCCAGGCAATGTGGTCTTCGTCCTCGTCGTTTTCCTCGACCCACGCTTTCATAGTCATGTTGCGAGGAGTGGGGTGGACCCAGGTGCTGTTGAGTACAGTGTCGATCGCTACACGAATGTCAGTACTAGTTGACGGGGACACATTTCCACAACAAGGAGTACAAAGACAAGACTTACGCAACAGCACTTCCATGCCACTAGCCATTCGGAAGAGCGCAGCCTGTGCGATAGGCTCAAGCTCTGAACGTTTCTTCGTTGCTGGACGCACATCTGGAGCACCGTTCTTGTAGATTTGCGCAGTCTGGTCATTGATACATTGACCGTGTGGATCATTGTATGCCTGACAGTATTGCACGCCATTTGCGGCCGGATTGCCGAAGCCGACGATAAACTGGCAGGGCTGACTGTTGCATGTGCCGGTGTAGTATTCTTGGATAATACGGCCTTGACCTATGAAAAAACTATTAGCTCGTTTGTGTGGTTGTCTTTGGGGGAGGTGAGGACTAACGACTGTTGTGCCTGCTGATAACACACTTAGTGACTTGACCACCCGCATCGGCGTCAGAGGTGCTGGCGAATGGATACTCGTCGCAGTTCTCGCCAGCACGTGGATTACCACCGGCCGTCTATAAGTGGGTCAGCAAATTCTTTGGAAAGTTGATGCACTTCATTCAAAAAAAAATACTGAACACCCTGGAGCCTAAATCAATATAAAACATCCAAAGTAGGTGATCTAACGTCAACGTAGGCGCCAGGGTGTTCAGTCCTTCTCTTGGACGAGGTGGATGAAGTCTTACGCTGCAACGGTTGGGCCTAGGAAGACAGCCAGCCGATCTTTGACGGGCTCGTCCGACAGCGCTGTCACGATTTCCAGTACCGCCATAGCGGTCGTAGTCCAGTGTTACTCCAAACGATGGTCGTGTGCAGTAAGCGCCCCAGCACATGTTGTTGCAGATGTCTGAGCCAACTTGAGTATGAAGTAGTTTCGAAGTTTCAGGAGCCTTTACCTTGAAGATTGTCGTCACAATTGAAGATCATGCCAGGCGCAGCGAGCCCGGAGGCTATCAGGCCAGAAACCAGAAGAGTCTTGAACATGATGGCTTATGTGGTGGCTTGTGTGGTATGTATGTGTTTGAAGACGGCTGTTTTGTAGAACAGATGAGAACGAGCCTGCTTGCTATATACTCGTCGTAGCCCCCATTTACATGCCCGTATGAAAGCCTGCCCATGTATTGGGAGGCCTCTTCTGTAGTCATAGCTGAACATAGTCGATGCAATCGTATGATCGAATTCTTGAACTAGTCTCAAAGTTTTACCAATGATTTGCAGAACCGCAGTTGGAGTCGCCTCGAGTAGAAGTTAAAAAGATGGGTCGCGAACTGATCTGCTTGTAGTTGCCGCATACGACGGTCTGAGATGGCGGGCCTAATCTCACAGGTATAGCAAAGTGAACGCCGATTACCCGAACGATTGCTGCAAATAAGCCGGAATTCGGCACTATGTCTGACTTGTGATCGAGATCATGCTGAGAATTGACCAATGCATTTCATTCCACGGTCCTTTGTATAGTTGATGAACTTAAAATATCAGCAGTAGTTCACTAGAATATGCTTACATGTTGAACAACAATCGAATATAGGACTAGGTCGTCAGCATACTGAGATATTCTCATTGGACAGGCTGAGAGAGAGCGAAAGTGTCGCACATTACTGTCAAGATGTGAGAGAAGCGAGAGGCTGTACATGAACGGAAGGCTCGGCCCGCTGGTGAGACCCCCAACGACAGGCAACCTCTGACATCATAGTGTGCAGCACAATACATAAGCTTCGTGCGACTCTGCCCCACTTGTGACTTGTCGTCGTACCACGCAGCTTACGCCCGACTGATGCGACGCTAGGATTTGAGCAACAATAGTGTACTCGGGAACTTCTCTGATCACAAGGCTCGCCCCACAATAGCGCTCTTCGTTCCGTATCTGCGACTGCCTAAACTGGCCCACCTGAGGATTAAGGCTAGGACATCGTCTCCATCTACCCATCCACCTCATCTATACCAACTCTTTGCCTCCAACCAGACCACTCAATACAACATGTCTTCCACAATAGACCTCGCGAAAACACTCCCTAAGAAAGCGCCCAATACAGAATACCACCGCGCCACACTAAATGGTCTAAATCGTTTCAAGTTTGCCATCTTCTACACAGCTGCTCTGGATGCAGCGGAAAGCCAGCGGCTTGAAGAAAGCATTAACACGGGCGAGCTCAGCACGGGAAGGTCTAAACTCGCTCCACAGCCAGACTTCAGCGGTCGCTCGTTGCGAGACGTGTACGACTACTTCATCGAAGTACGCGACCAAGACGATACCATTCATCCGCTATACTTTATAGTAGCCGACCAAGAGGATTTTGACAACAAAGGGGTGTTGGTCGTTCTGCTCAATTCGAGCCAAGACGAGGAAGACGTCCCAGGCGTTGGACGCTGCAGCAATGTCGAAGCAGATTCATGGGGTTCCAATATCGATATCGGTAACCAAGATTGGCTTGATCTGAAGGAACTGGAGGCTGAGGAATGGGGTGGAGATGACCCGTATGCAGATGATGACGACAAAGATGACAAACTAACGCAGGGGTCTGCCACTTCGGATGCGTCGTCCAAGAAAGTGTACGGGTGGTATAGCTTGGTGAAAAAAGGTACCCAACGCATGTGCTCATGTACGAGACTTTGCACGTTAGCTAACTCTGCATAGCCGTTCCGATCAACTCCATGCTCGAGCCATCATGGGCAAAGATGAAGAAGACAGAAGAGTCTCGCTTCCAGATGCTCGGGAACTGGCATTCTTCAAGCGATCCTTGGGCCGATATTCGCAGAGCACATCCACAGCAATGCGCTTTCAGACCTACTGTCCATCGAAACATCATCCTGGTCGCAGAGAAAGAGGATGCTAATGATCCCGAGGGCATGGCTCTTGTTCGTTTGAAGTGGGATGGAAACACCGATGGCGTTGAGAATGCGAGCCCAACGGTCATGCCGGAAGTTGAGATAATAGGCAAGATGAGCGCATACAAGGCTTTGGAAGAGGCTGATCGAGCGGCATCATAGCTCAACACATTGTCAGTAGTATTAGCATGTGTGAGGGGATCAGACGTTCCTGATCGAACGCTGCAATCGATCAATGATAGCCTGTGTTGTACTAGTAGCCATGTTTGTACATCATTGCACGGGATGGCTGGTGTTATTTGGTACGGTGCCGGTGCCTCTATCGGTTTGAAGGATGATATGTATCGTGAGATCAAGATTGATGCTACCGTCATGTAACCAATTCCGAGCGGTAAGAGCGATAACGTGATAAGGCGATGCGTGTGTTCACTTCGTCTCCTTGTTACGTTCCCTAGCGAGCGTCAGACCGAATCAACGCATAGGTTGTAAGCCAGACGAGGTGTCAAACGCGGTCATACTCCTCTGAGGATTGTTTGGTACAGCTACGGCCTGACCGGCAACCTCAAGATAGCGATGGGGATCAGTCAGCCATGGCTTTTCGTCTACTGAACGGGACATGGGCGGCTTGAAGCTTGCCCGTAGTAGGTCGTTCACGAAGTCTCCGTGCATTTCAGCTGCCGGATCGCGTATCTTGTCTAGTAGTGTTGGCCGCTTTATAGCGCATATGTCAACCAGGAGGTTCCTTATCGAAGCCCCCTTGGACGTACCGACGTAGACCTCCTTCACTATGCTGAGATCTGGATATCCCCCGACACACGCGCGTTGTGTCATGCTTGCCACGACTGCATTGTGAAACGTGGTATCGAGCAAAGTGATCCCCATGAGGAAGGCCCTCACCATCGTGTGCCACATATATTTCATGTCTATTATATGTCCGATCTGCTTCGTATACAACCAAGTAAGGTATATCCTAAACGTGGCCGTGGTATGACCGTGAATGCGAATTGGGTTCTGTTCGATGTCGATCGCGACGATGCTCGCATCGTTTTTGAAGAAGTCTGAGGTCGCACATGCCAGTTTCTGATGAATCTGAAAAATCTCGTCCTCGACTCGGACGGCGCGTGTTGTGCCCGTGAAGCTAGTTTCTGTAAGTTAACGCCATCATTAGAGTGTCATTGACCCACTCAGGACCACTCTGAACCTTAGCTCTTTTTAGTCGTTTTGCAGAGGAAGCCATCTTACCTGGGAATTAAAACGGTAAGTTCTTGCCTGGGGTGTTCACAACATGGATTTCAGGTGACAGAGCTTTGGTCAGAAAAAATCCATAATATTGCGCAAGCTCACCATGGTCGCTGCGAACCAACATCCTTCTCTTATTACAACACCACTTCAGCAACTCAGCCGTAGGCCAGAGGTACTGCACATCCCTTGTCTGACTCCGCGAGCCAGTCTTGGTAGATTTGAAGCAGTAGAATGATGGGACGTCAAAATGTTCGAATACTTCTGCGGCGTCCTGCCAACCGAGAAGTCGAAGGAGTTTTCAGCGAATGCATTATCCTAAGTTTGGTAGAGTGCTCGAGGGGAAATGGAATGTCGGTCGTCGGGATTGCGCCATGTGAACACGAAAGCTAAAGCGTATTGGAGATTGCACATCGCAACATATGCGGAAGCATCAAGGGCTACAAATGTGCCTCTTCATGCTTGGAACTATGCGGGTTGAGATGACTGGAAGGGTAATCGCGGGATGACGCGTCTTTACGCATTCGCCAAGCCGCTACGTCATAGTGCTATTCGGCTCAGTACACCTCCTGCGAGGTATGGATCAAAGCGGCTGCATCTTTATTTTCGCGCTGGTCGTGTGATAAGTTGCCTTGCGTTGCAGCCTATCCCGACAACGTGCCTTCTCGCCATCATTCAGCTTGACTTGCTCCTACTACATACCAATCAGCCGCATATACATTGACAAGAACACGTTGATACTAATAGGTTGAGCCTATAGGCGGCTGACGTGCTGTCGGTGTTTGCCATGAAATCACACGATGTCGAGGAGACTTCACACCGTCGTCAAGACATGATCATGAGCACAGCACAATTGGTACCTAGACGTCTCTCTAGGTTTGCTAAGCCTGTAGAACAGAGCGGGTTGCATTGTGTACTACACCGACCCGATCGGGAAAGCCACCTTCAATCACTCATGCACCTGCCGCATTTGTGTGATTTTTAGCCGACTCATAAAGTGAGAGGCCGACCCCAAGGTGATGGCAGATTGTGACCCACTGTCCAAGTGCTCCCCGTCTTGCTAAAGCTATTGTCTTCTTTGATACCACAAGAAGTATCCTGCACGAGACAAAATCCAATCAGATTATCCCAACTCACAATCAACAACCCTAAGAGGGCATCTCAACATGCCGCTATTGAATCTACCCATAGAGATTTTTGAGGAAGTCATAGCGACGCTGGCAAACACAGTCGGCCGGGAAACTGTCGTACGTTATCGACTCGTCTGCAGTAAGTGCAAATAACAGGCCTCATGCACGAGTATACTGAGAAAAAGCAGAAACATTCGCAAACACAATCAAGGATCATACCGTTACAGTCGCTGCTGCCGGGAACCTTGCCAAATTCCTGGAAAACCCCTTCTCCGCCCGTCTTTTCGACACGTATCGGGTTGAGATCCTTTACAAGGCTGCTATGCGACGCCAAACAGCACCAAACCAAGTCACACACTTCATACGGGCCATGGTCAAAGCGTCCAAACCAGATTCCACACTTTACCCAGCGCGGATCATGCTCGTATGCACTAGCATGAGGGCCCTGGAATCAAAAGCCCTGTACGGTTACATCAAGGGTACTGAGAAGGCCAACAAAGGAGGACGTCGATATAACCTCGCAGACATGCTACCCGTTATCGCTGCTGCAACGGGAAATTTGAAGCTCTTCGAAGCGCCCCATCTCACACCAGCTCTGCTCCTCGAACAGAGTCATGATCTTTTACCAAGTGCGCTCAAAGCCGCCATCGTGGCGGATCAGGATGCCATGCTTCGAAAGATCCTTAAGTATGTCGTTGACAACGTCAAGGGCAAACCCGACGCTAAGACGTGGAAGGATATGCGAAGTGCTGCTCGGCAGATTGGCGAAGCTTTGTGCATGGCTGTGCGTTTGCATAAGAATGTCGCAGCAAACACGCTGTTCGACTTCCGCGATGCGAACGAGCCCTTCGCTAGATCTATGTCTTGGTTCTTTGGCGACCGGCTCCTCGACTGTGCTATTGACAGCACTAACACTGCCGTATTGTACCGCGTCTTGGGAGTCGACAACCCTGGAGTTGTAGCGCATGTCAAGGGAGGAACTAAGACTCACTACCGTATCGATTCTGTGTCTATGGAAATGCTGTACAAAAGAGGTGGGATTAAAATCTGGAACATGTTGCTGAAAGATGGCGTCGTCGGACCAAACGAACTTTGCTTGGACAAAACCCCACTCCAACACGCTCTAAAGAGAAGGCGATACGACATTGCACGCATTCTTATCAAGAGTGGTGCAGTTGTCGACACTATCACACCCGATGGAAGCAATGTCTTATGGCAGGCGGCAAAAGATGGCTTCGCGAAGGACGTCGAGTTCCTGCTTGATCACGGCGCAGACCCCAATTCTGTTGGAAAGGACGGCGAATCTGCACTAGCGGCTGCGGGATCAGGACGATATGGTAAGTGTCGTTTCTGGCTTAGGCAAGCCATAGATCAGAGGAAGGAGGCATTGAAGCGTTCTGGCACATTGGAGTCTCACGAAAACTAGGCTGGCTTTCGGTATTGACTTCGTTGATGTAGATAACTCTCGGGTTGTCAAAGCAGTGATGCTGGGCATGACGTCAATCTGGCATTGAACGTGTCAGGGTCAAAATTCATTGTGAGAAAGACAATGCGAAACGGATACGAACACATTCCAGTCTAGCGTATTTGAGGTTCTAGTCGTCGGCTCCGTTGATGTCCTTTGCGGATGCCACAGCGAGTTTGGATTTCTGAATTTCATCAACGACAGAAACATTTAGATAAAAGCAATGGTAGCCTTCGAATGCTCAAGTTGTGATCCTATTTTGAAAGTGCATGAAGAAGTCACAATGAAGAGAGCTGTTTTACTGGAGGCAAAAGACCACGGTCCTGACGTAACGCTGCATCCGGAAACATGGAGAAGTACAAAGAGACGATGGTAACGGATGCGCCTATCGTTATTGACTAGAGCTAGCTTTGCCAGGTTTCCTACTCAAGCTGGACGAGGCAATTTGTAGACTTGAGAACATCTCATTCGAACACAAAAGTGAAGGCTACGCCGGTCCCAGACAGAAAGAAGTTCCAATTGAGTCTAGCAAAGCATACCCAGAATAGACTCGTAGGAAGCTAGAACCACCATCAAGCATCAAAACGCCGTGGTCTCTTTGTAACCTTACACTGGATATCACAAATACAATGGATCGTACACAGTACCTCAGTACTTCTCCTCCAGTCTCGCCGTCATACCGGTGACTGTTGTCCTCCTACTCTCCTCGCGCTCCTTAATGTGCATCTCACGCTCCAATTCCCGTTGCACGGCCATCTTCTGCGCAGTGGTAAGCTGATCCAGAACCGCGGAGATGCCTTCTTCAGTCTGGCCGTTGAAAAGACCCTCCAAGTCCGTCTTCGTAGCTATGGCGAGCTGGTCCTCCAATGCCTTTAGTGCTTTGGTACCGAGTTCCGAGACAGCTCTCTTAAACTTTGCCTCCTCATCAGCTTTGGCCTTTTTCGCTACCTGTTCGCCCTCATCGACATTGGCCTCGCCAGCTTTACGCTTTGAAGCCTTCAGAGCTTCCTTCTTCGCCTTAGCAGCGAGATAACGAGCCGAGTGTCCCAATGCGCGCCCATCCTTAGTCAGCGGCTGTTCCACATTGAGCGGCGGTGCGGTGAAGAACAAGATACGGCCCTTTTCGTCACGCTGGAACTGCTCGCGGATCTCAAGCGGTATGCTGGCGTTTGCATGGTCGGCCATGACGTAGACCTCCACAGGCTGCGGGGCCTTGTAATTAAGCGGCAGTTGCTGTGGATACGGTTGCTGGTAGCCTGGTGCGGCGCGCGGTGTCTGGAAACCCTGCATGGGCGCGGTTGGTTGGGGTGTAAAGGGCACATGTGGTGTGATAGGTTGATAGGCAGGTGCCTGGGGTGCCTGCGGGTGCATATGGGGGGCGGGCGATTGAGAGTGCGTATGGTAATGTGTCGCATGGGTTGGTGTGTACGCTGGTGCGACATGGTGCTGTTGCGGTGTAGGAGCAGGCATTGGCGTTAGAGTCGGCGCTTGCGCAATCGGATAGTTCCTGGAAGACTCGTAGCCATGTGACGAAGCCGTGGGTAAGCTTGGAGTAGGCATAGCGGGCGCTGGTGGAGGTGTCGGAGGCGGCGGTGGGGTGGGCTCGGGAGGTGGTGAATCCTAAAAGGAATGTTAGCTTTGGGTTTCATAGTGGCCTAAAGCGGTTTTCACTTGCCTTGGGATCACGCGGACGACGATGCACGGCGCCAATCTTTGGGGGAGCATTCTCAGCTCCCCATTCTGGCTTTGGAAGATCGTCGTCCTCCTTTTGCTCGTCCTTGAGCAAGTACGCGATCGGACTGGGCACCTTTTTCAACTTTCGAGGCGCATCGAATAGATCCATTACATAGTCCTTGTCTCGCACTTCGTCGGGTAAGCAACTGGCCCATGTCTTGATCTTGTTGAGCTTATGGTTCTCCTCGTTGTATCGAGCCTCGCAAACGTATATCTCCTTGTCAGAGGGAAAGTCGCGGGGACGGCCCTTGTTGTAACGGGTGATGAACATGACGAAACATCGGTCCACAACCTCATCGATGCGATGGTCTCGATATTGGCCAGTCTTGACAACTTCGTTCTCGAAGAAATGTCTGTCGAAACGGTGCACGGTCTGCTCTGGGCGGTAGTACCAGCAGGCGTTTACCCACTGCCCACCATTCGCGTCCTGCCAAGTGCGGTAGATCTGGGCAACAATCGGCTTTGTGAGATCGTTCGCGTTCTGAATGTGCACCCAATCCCCGACTTTCCACAGCTCGCCATTATGAACGATGCCGCTGGGCATAGGGATACGGCCTTCTTCCATTACGTATTCGGTATCCGGCTTCTCCTTCTCGGCCTTTGCAACCTTGCGCGACTCCTTTTGGAGATGCACAGCGTCCTTGTAAATCTGGCTGTCCTCTTCGTTGTACTGCTTTGCGTTTTCGAACATGAGCTCTACATCAACCATGAAGTGATCGACTGAGTTGTACTTCTTTCGTTTGAGCTTGCGCTTGAGGATGTCCATGGCCATTGGATTTTTGATCTCAGAATGATACTCGGGCATGACCGTCTTGTCCGGGACGCGCTCGAACGCGCTCACCATGAGCTTGTTGAGTTGGTTCCGCGGTTTTCTGATTGCTTTCATAATGGTCTTGATTCGCGCTTCCATAGGAGTGTCGACCCGCGGCGGTCGTCCGCGTTTCTTCCGCGATTCTGGATCGTCGTTCTTGGTGTCTTCCTTTGCTGCTCTTGAACCGCCTTCGCGCTTGGTGATAGCTGCTGTGGATCGCGGTCCACGGCGCCTCTTGCGCTTGCCCTCATCTTCTTCGTCTTCATCCTCTTCCTCGTCAACTTCGAGCTCTTCTTCATCGTCATCTTCCTCTTCCTCTTCTTCCTCCTCTGGTAACAGCGGGTCTTGTTCGGGAATCTCTCCCAGGAACGGCATGGTAGCGACTGTCTCAGGAACGACCTTATCGTCCACCAGCCTTTTCAACTCGCGTTCGATGACCTTCTTTACTTCAAGCGCATCCACATAAGCCTGCGAGTCCTGCCTGTTGTACACCTGCGCATTGTGGGGAATGAGCGCCAGGTCGCGTACGAACTCAGAGAAGTTCTTGTATTCTCGCTGCGCAATCTTGGCCTTTATCGTGCTCAGGGCCATGGGCTCCTTGATGATATCGTAGTAGTCGGGCACGGCGCGCTTGTTCACTTTGCGCTGGAAGAGCTTGGTAGGATCGTATGTTCCACTGCACGTTGATCAGCTGGGAACGGCATGAAGCATGTATAATTGGAACTTACTCGTCAATCCTGTAGTCGTATACATTCTTGAGGAGGTTTGCCATGGCCTCCCATTCTGGCGCCGTGACGGTAGACGTTGCGCCGGCGGACTCAGCCGTCTCGGTCGTAGGCACCGGTGTCGAGCTTGGGGCGCGTCCGGTCGCCATGTTTGCGATAGTCGACTCGATGCTGTCGTGTTCCGGTATCCTTCTTGCGCTAGGTGTTGGCGTGTCGCGTCGTGGACGCTGGAAGTCGCGACGCCGGGCGGATGTAAGATTCGCCGATCCCGGGGACGGCCGGCCTACTCCATGATTCGGGAACCTTCACGTACGCCATGTCACCCGATCCGTGCAAACTGTCGCCTTTGTAGCGTTCTTCCGTAGCTGACAAACGATCCTTGTTCTCCTAACAAAGCTCTCCTCATGTTTGCGCATTCGTGAAGATTTCCTTCTCTTCATACAACTCACTGATCGCAGCTTCCATAACACCAGCGCAGCTCTCCACCGCTAAGTCGCCCCACCAGTCAACTGTCATCACGCGCCACGCCTTCGAAGCTCCCTCACCTGTATCACTCCGTACACGTATATCACTCCATCTCTCCAGTCGACCCATCACACCATGCCGATTCGCATCCGGTTACGCGCGCCCAATGGCACCCACACACTATCACTCGACGACAACGCCGCCGTCTCGGATCTTCTCTCCTCTATCAGCGAAAAGACAGAACTACCACTCTTCGAGCTGAAATGGAACCACCCGCCCCAACCGCTCGACCCTTCCCTATACGGCATGTCGACGTTGCTGAAGGATATCGATCTCAAGCTGAACGGCGCGTCCATCATAGTCATTGCACAAGCCACGGGCGACCCGAGTGAGCGGAAACAGGAGCAAGAACTACAAGCAAATACATCACAGGCGGCGCCGCTATCCCTTCAACGGAAGCAGAACTCAGCGCTCAAAGAAACGCCTGAAGTTCCCGTGCCTGATCGCGGTGGCACTATGGTCCTTCGCGTTATGCCTGACGACAACTCCTGCATGTTCCGAGCTGTTGGTAGCGCCGTTCTGACCGATTCTCTCGATTCCATGACCGAGCTTCGATCGATGGTTGCGCAAGCTATTCAAAGAGACCCGGAACAGTACAACGAAGCGATCCTGCAACGCTCTCCAGATGAGTACTGCAAATGGATATCGTACGCCGACTCGTGGGGTGGTGGCATCGAACTCAGCATTCTCTCTCAAGAGTTTGACATCGAGATCGCCAGTGTCAATGTTCAAGACAACCGGGTGGACCGATTTAACGAGGGCAGACCGCGGCGCTGTATCGTGGTGTATTCTGGTATCCACTACGACACGATCGCCTTCGTGCCCCAGGGTGCGTCAACGCAAGATCCTTCGCAAGATGTCAAGATATTCGATGCGGCGGACGATGTGATTCTTGAAGCTGCGAGAGAACTCTGCGGGCAGCTGAAGAAAGCCCATTATTACACTGATACACAGAAATTCGACCTCAAGTGCAACACATGTGGTTGGAAGGGGGCAGGAGAACGGGGAGCGATGCAGCACGCAGCCGAAACTGGACATAGTGACTTCGGAGAGGCAGACTAATCGATCTTTTGATACCCGTGGACGCCTTTAATAGGTCTTGTACCATTTGCCATGTCAACATTGTATTTACGTTCTCTGTACTAGTATCAAATACATCGATGGCAGTCTCTTTCGGCTCGCTCTTGGTCACCATGAGCCACAGCGAAATTCCAAAATCTTGTTATAACTTACACTGAAAGGTGAATATGTTCTGTGGAAGCATTTTTATCTAGACAGAAGGGGCCTCGCAATTTCAGCGGTCTTGAGATCAATAGTTTCGTGGTATTCAGGTCCCTGATCTTTCAATTCACGCAGTGTCCTCTTTGGGCAAGCGCTGCGCTGAGGCACTCTCACTCTACCGCTATATTTGCAAATGTCGCTAGCGAATGTCTTTGCCCTCTCTGTATGGAATCTCTCTATTGTCAATCTGAAACACCCGCTCCGCACTCTCAACTTTACTGTCACCATCGAACCGACCTCGTCAAGTTATTCGACCATACTTCAAGTGTATCCATCATGTCACTACCTGCGCCATCTCCAGAGCGAGGATTTATCTGCTATGATACGAAGGATCTTACTGACATCTCATAGTGTCTCCAGCGCGCCATTTTCCATCAAAGTGGGCACACAGAAGTTCCATATTCATGCTGGTACACTGACGGCCACATCCGGATTCTTCAAAAACGCCATGAAGCCAGAGTGGCGTACTAACTCAAGGAAACCAATTGAACTATCGGACGAAAAATCAGAAGCGTTTAAGCCATACAGTCGGTGGCTCTATAGTGGCAAGGTTGTTGTCACGAATCCTCGTGGGGACAAATACGTGCAACTCGCCCGCATGTACGTTCTGGGTGAGAGACTCACTAACGACGCTTTTCAAGATGCTGTTCTTGTTGGCATAATTGATGTCATATTAAACAGCGATAACTATCCCCCGGATCGTGCTATACGCATCATCTATTCGGGTACAAGCAGCAAGAGCTCTCCAGCATGCCGGCTTATGGTAGATTTATACGTACATGCTGGTAGCAGGCATTGAATCGAACCAGGGATTTTCTTAAAGGACACATGCACCGATGTTGTAGAAGAGTTGGTAACGGGGTTTCTTCGCGATCGAGAAGACGCTTAAGAAGTAGACAGCCAGTGGCCCTGGATAAAGGCATCTGAAACATAGCATCGCTGCTTTGAAGGCGGAACAGAACAAGGGAAAAAAGACTAAAAAGGCGAAGAATCGATTGATGGATACTTCTGAATAAGTGCTGTTAGGACAGCGCCAGAGATATCTATGGATACTCTGTAGTCGGGAAGGTACCTCGATCTTAGGGCTAGGGCTTCTAGGAGAGTTTCTAATTCGTCTTGGAGCAGGCCGCTGTCAATAACTCAAACATTACAATCATGCACTGTTGTCAAGATTTGACCTCAGTAATCGCCAATTGCCTCTCGAGGTATGCGCAAGACCTTCCATGGATCCCTCAGATACATAGGTCCTCGAAAGCACCGAGTGGAGTGCAGACGCAGAGCCCGATTCAGGCGGGTATGACGAGCAGCTGCAAGAAGTTTGATTTCGTGAAGAATAGTGAGATATGCGATACTATTACGAGGTGGAATGGGATTAGTTTGGCGGACCTTGTGAAGTGGAATACGGGCGTTGGGTCGGATTGTCGGTCGATGTGGGCGGAGGCGTATGTTTGTGTTGGGGTGTAGGTACTATTGTATTGTTCTAAAATATGCCTTGGGGTCCAGGTAAGCTCACCACCCGACATACGGCCTGTTCACACGATCATAGTCCTCTGGCATCGTAGTCGTGACGGAAAACTTATCAGCTCCCCATCTCTCCTCCAACTTTTTCGTAGCCCACCTCCACAACGGATTGCATAAGCGATGCCTATACTCTTGGTTGCCGCCAAATGCATGTTCGCAGCCCTGATTCGTTGCAAATCGGAACTGCATACTGTGGAGCTTGGGCATTTCGATGATGCGATCAAGACCATACTTCGCGACAAATGTCTGCAAGTCTTGCACAAGACTCACCTTCTCTTCCTCAAGGCTGCGACCTTCGGGAAGATCGTAGTGCAAGCCATTTTCCCAATAGCACTCTTGCTCGTTGGTGTAATCGAACCTCTCCATGCGCACGCCATCTTCAATGCTGGGAAAACTGAAGATGATTTCGACGAACTCGAGCTGGGTGAATTTGGAAATCAGTTCCAGGTGCGTGGGAGTGCCTTGCTCGGTCCAGTTGTATATTGAGATATCCTTGACGCGCTTGGATGCTGCATCTTCAGGAAGATAAGAATACAGGTCCAGGAGCTGCTTCGACTCTTGAGTGTTCCATGAAAACAGGTTCTGAGCAAGGAAAATTGGCGTGGCTTCGTTGAACAGTTGGCGATTGGCTTGACACGAGGCTGGAAGGTCGTGGAAGAGCGCGATTTTGCTTGATGTCGTGATCGCAACTCGATTTTTAACAAAGGGCTCCGAATCGTCGAAAGTGTAAGTGTATATTTGATCGCGCAGTTCGCGAGGAAGGCGCAGAAGTGGAGACGGTGGAGAGACTGAAACGGACATCTTGCATGGATCGAGATATTGAGAGGGCTGAAGAATGGTATTGATGGAAGAGGGCGGGACACTGGGGTTATATGGTGCCGAGGGCGGAAGAATTCATGGGTAATACTGTTGCAAGGGCCCGCTGTAGGGTCGACATTGGATCCTGCACGTGAACACGGCTTGTTCTGACCAATTAGTCTTTAGTGTAATGTCCAGCAATAGAGCATACATGTGTAGCCGTACATGTATTCCACGGGAGATCCTAATTGCAACACTAAGATAATTGGCATCTCGTCTGTCGTACCAAGAACGTTAGTGCTTTCATTATGGGGGACACGAGAGAAAGGCGCATTTTCCTCTTTGAGACAAATTCACACTCACTTTTACTACGTACCGTTGAGCATCAGAGCAGTGCGCGGATCGGCTCAGGCTGCAGCGTCCGTGCTCTGTGCCTGTTCTGTCGCTGAGTTCACTCTCGAACCAATACCTTGACCACGACTGTCCTGCTTACACTAACCACTCCGTCGCTGTTGCGTACCTTGGCTACTCACATCTAATAATAAGGAGCGGGAAGCCTATCGCTTGTACTACCGAATCTCGTCAGCAGTAGCGATCAAGATGGCGACCCTAGACTCGTCTAACCCAGCTGCACTAACCTCTAAGATACCAAAGTGAATTGGCGCCTTTGTCATCTCGATACACTGGCGTCTAACGTCTTTGGTGTCTCCGGCGAGACAATCGCAGTCCAAGTCGGCCTTCAAATCGTCTACGTACACAAGGAGCTCATCAGTAGCAGCTCCGAGTTCTTCAAGAACGCTGCTAAACCGGAGTCAACGCTAGCTTCCAGGTAAGTTCTGGCTATACGAAGCGCATTCATATGAGCCATTCAATGACTTCGTACGCCTTCCTCCGCAGGTTCATCGACCTGTCCGACGAAGAGCCTCATCTTTTTGAGAAACACACTCAGTGGCTATACACTAGAGTCTTTGACAGAAGATTGCTAGGAAAGAAAGGATTCAAGTACCTGGCCCAGATGTATGTCTTGGGAGAGAAATTGATCGACCACACATTCCAGGACATGATCGTCGAGGCCATAATTCTCCGCCATGTCACCGCGCGACTGGATCAGGAGCGGCCGCGCGAAAAGGTACCTGGTCTGGAAGTTATTAGGATCATCTACGAAGGTACTACGGGGAATGCACGTGTGAGGCGTCTTCTTGTGGATATATGGGCTTTCAACATGGACTCCTCTTGGGTAACGGAGACTGAACTTCGAGCGCCAGCCAACAAGCCTTTCCTCGACGACCTTTTACCGGTATTGCTAGACAGGCGAGGACTACCAGATGCTTCTCAAGCTAGGCCATGGATTTCCCAACGAAGTTCGTATTACAGCATAACTGTCAAACTCGAGAGCGATGTAGTGGGAGATAGGGGCGGCGATGCGATCTCTGAGCCTTCCATCAAGGATGAGTCTTCAGCTGAGGATGAGCCTCAGATCAGGGAAAAGCCTTCTATGATAGATGAGCCCCTCATCAAGGAAGAGCTTTCCAGCGAGGCAGAATCTTCCAGGGAGGATGTATCTTCTAGCGAGGATGAGCCTTCCACCAAGACTGAACCTTCCGTCAAGGAAAAGGTTGACGTGCTTGAGGCATTCTGGGGTATGTAGGAGATCATGTTCCCAGACTTGTATCCAATACTCGCTACAAGCGATGAAGTACTATAGAAGTATACACAGTCCTCTGGTCTATGAGAAAGCCAACAAAATATAGGGTGAATACCTTCAGGGTAAATTTCGATGCCAAGGTGCGGATTCAAACGGTAGTGAAGGTGTAATCTTCTCCTCTCACTCGCGCAGTATCTGGTCTTCTTACGTCACAGTCGCGCTTTGTTATTGATAGAATCCAGGTCTTCAGTTCCAACTGTGCGCCGTCCCTGGGTATTGAATCACCAGCCACTTTCTATTCCTCTACCGCTCACTCCTACTGAACGACATGGCCACCCCTGCCGCGAAACCGTTCCTATTGGTAGATGACTCCAAGCGCTATGGCAAGCTTGAGTAAGTGCAGCTCTTGAACGGAAATCCGAACAAGTCTGCAGCCTACATTGAGTAAGAAACCTACAAAGTAGGCGACGTCGTATCCATTCTAGTCAGCGACAAGCTTTTCCATATCCACGTCGCTGTCCTCACTAGGAACTCCAAGTTTTTCGAGAACGCCATGAAATCAGAGTGGCGCACCGATTCCACTAAGCCCATTGATATGAGCACTACAGACCCGCAAACCTTCGAGTATTATTGCCAGTGGCTGTATACAAGGCAAATTGTGCGGCTGTACAACGTCTCCCCATCAAACCAGCTAGCGCATCTCTATATCCTCGAAGAACATATCATGGACACAGTCTTCCAAGATGTTATTGTCGACACGTTCATCCGACGATACAAGGAATTTCTTCTTGTGCCAGATAAGTTGGCCATCAAGATTCTGTATGCGGGAACTGCTATCAATTCACCCGTTCGTCGTCTCATGGTAGACATATGGGCTTTTAGCACGGCTCCAGATCACAAGTTCAATGGCATGACCAACCAGACGTGCATCGAATTCGTCAACGATCTGATTCCGGCGTTACTCGAGAGGCGACCGCTAGTCAAGAACGCCGCTAAAGTGGGACGGAACGTAGACTAGCAGGAAAGATATACCTTCACACCTACTAGCTACCATAACTCATTTCTCAATACAGCCGAAGCAACGATATCATACAGTGGAAAACGCCAGACTGTTCTACCCATGTGACTGATCACTGCGCATGCTCCTAAACTCCAAGTCATATAAGTAAGCAATAGCAATAGTCTAGAAGCCAAAACCACCGGGGAAACCACCCGGAAACCCGCCGCCGCCGCCCTGCTGGAACTTGAAGCTACCGCCACCACCAGGGAAGCCACCACCTCCACCTTGTCTAAACATGAACTGTTGGCCGCCGAAGGGTGAACCTTGGAAGGGATTGCCTTGTTGCTGCTCGTTGCTATTGGGGTCGTCACCGCGGTCGAAACGTTCCTTGAGTTCGGGGTCGGAGAGGACTTCGTAGGCTTCGTTGACTTGGGACATCTTCTTCTGCGCATCCTCGGGTGTCATGTTGTTGGTTGAGGCCTTGTCGGGATGGTACATCTTGGTGAGCTTGCGGTATGCCTTCTTGATCTCGCGCTCATCTGCGTCGCGTGTTACGCCGAGCACCTTGTAGTAGTCCTTTGTCTTCGACCGCTTGAGCAGTGTCTGCGCTTTGTGGTGTAACTCGTCGAGCTTCTGGTTCTGGTGGTGCTCCTTCGCGTGCTCTAGGGTTCGAACGCAGTCTTCGAATTCGTCGGCGTCAAGTTGGCCTTGAGCCTTGTGAAGGAGGGCATGTAACGAGTCCGGGTTGAGTTGTAGGGCTTCGGTACAATACGGTGTGCCTTTCTTTAGGTTGTTCATTTCGACGTAGGCTTCGCAGGTCATCTCTACAAGGGTCTGGTAGAGACCTTGAGGTGAGTTGGCGTAGATGTAGCCTTGTTCGGTGTAGTCCTTGAAGTCTTGCTTGACCTCTTTCAATAGACCCGGGTCCTCTTCGCCGCGGTCGATGAGGAGTTTCGAGGCGGTGGCGAACTGGCGCTTCTCGAAGAACTTGCGCACCTTTTGGATGTCCTTGTCGAGGTTCTTTTCTCTTCTTCGCAGCTTCATGCAGACCTTCGAGTCTGGGTCTGACTGAAGACATTGTGCGATGTGCTTGAGTCCCTTGTCGGTTTCGCCCAGGGAGTAGAAGGCCATGGCGGAGCTCTGGAGATGTGGTTCGATATCGCCCTTGTTGATCTGGAGGAGATGCTGCAGGTCGCTGATGCCCTCAGCAACCTCGCCCTTCTCGAAGCGACACCTCGCTCTTGTCTTGCGGATGTCGTATGCTCCTCCCGCGACTAAGATGGCAGTTCCAGAGTGCGAGATACATGCGTCCCAGTCGCCCTTCTCTGCCGCCTCCTGTGCCATGATGGCAGCGCCCTGCGCCTCTTCCAGCTGCGCGATCGCATCGGTCTTACCGGCAGCCTCGTAGTCTTTGCGCGCTGCCGCCCAGTCGGCCTTCCTGGCTCTGATCTTGCCCCTCTGCACTAATGCGCCCTCGAAGCCAGGCTTCAATTCCAGCACCTTGTCGAAGTCATGCTGTGCTTGCACCGATTTGCCGATTTGCAGGTAAGCGGCGCCGCGCCTGAAGTAGGTGAGGTAGTTGCGCGGGTCGCGGGTGATGGCGGCGTCGAAGTAGAGAAGGGCGTCTTGGGTGTTGCCGGTAGCGAGTTGGACACTGGCGTCCTTGATGAGCTGCGACACGGGAGTATCCGCGGGTATGTCCGAGGCGGAGAGTGCGCTGGCGAGTGGGAGGAGCCCGAGGGCAATAGAGGATAGTCGGAGTATCATGGCGGAATGCGGTTGAAAGTGTTATGAATGAGCGACAGTAGGTTGAATGAGGTACACGTAGGGATATGGTCCGCGCAGAGAAGCAACGGCAGGTGCGACGGTCAGTTCATGGAAAGAGCGGGTTGTGTCTTTATTTGGTCCTTCACTATCGAACAATTGCAACTTGTCCTCAGCGACCAGCCGCATGATAGCCGGGACGCACTGACCCCCGCGACCCCCAGAACGCTAATGCGGGCAGGCATGGATTACGACATGCCCAGGTGCATGCCCGTGAACGCCGCCGCTACGCCATCAGGACTAGACAGGCGCATACCTCATAGCTCCTCTTCACATCCGCCTTGCGCACCTTTTCCTATTCCTCTCATTCACTCCCCTCATACCCGTCCACACGCCTGCCACCAGTAATGTCTCCCATTCGGCTGCGTATCGACGGACGCATATTCCGGGATCCTCAGAACCGCGAAGTCACGCTGCACGGTATCAACTGTGCAGCCGACGCCAAGTTCCCTGCGAAGCCAGATCAGCCTTCCCACATTCCAGACAACTTCTTCGACGGCGACAATGTCTCCTTCGTCAACCGACCCTTTTCGCTAGAAGATTCCGCGACACACTTCTCGCGATTACGTAGTTGGGGTTACAACACCATCCGCTATGTCTTCACGTGGGAAGCCATAGAGCACTCGGGACCGGGCAAGTACGACGAGGAGTGGATAGACCACACCATCGCTCTATTACGAAAGGCAAAGGAATATGGATTCTACATCTTCATGGATCCTCACCAGGATGTCGTAGGTAGCACCTCAATAGATTCAGTTACTCGCTCTCTAACATATCGCATAGTGGTCAAGATTCTCTGGAGGTTCTGGCGCGCCCATGTGGACTCTGTATGCTTGCGGGCTTGACCCCGAGAACTTCGCCGTCACCGAAGCCGCCCTCGTGCACAACACATACCCCGACCCTGCCACCTTCCCTAAGATGATCTGGACCACCAACTACACACGATTAGTATGTCAGGTTATGTGGACACTGTTTTTTGGTGGTAGGGACTTTGCGCCCAAGGCCATCATAGACGGAAAGAACATCCAGGACTACCTGCAAGATCACTACATCGGGGCATGCGAGCATCTTGCGAAGCGGATACACCAAGCAGGCGACTTGTGGCACGACCCGATAATTGGGTGGGAAAGTATGAACGAGCCCAACAGAGGTCTCATCAGCTACCAAGATATTACCCAAATCCCGAGCGAACAAAAGCTACAGAAAGGCACCTCACCGACGGCTTGGCAGGCGATACTTACCGGATCGGGTAGAGCTTGCGAGATCTCGACTTGGGAATTTGGCGGATTGGGACCATACAAGAGTGGTTCAGCGTTAGTGGATCCCGAAGGCACTATGGCATGGCTATCAAAAGATTACGACGACTCCAAATACGGCTGGAAACGCGACCCAGGGTGGAAATTGGGCGAATGCTTGTGGGCGCAACACGGTGTCTGGGACCCGGCGACTGACACGGTCTTGAAGAAGGACTACTTCGGAATCGATCCCAAGAATGGGGCAAAGATTGACTACGAGTACTTCACAAACCACTACTGGCTTCCGCACTACCGGGCGTACAGCAAGATGGTCAAGTCCATATTCCCGGACTCTTTGATGTTCTTCCAGCCGCCAGTGTTGGAAATACCGCCAAAGGTCAGGGGCACAGAAGATGATGACCCAAACATGATCTTCTCGCCGCATTACTACGATGGTATCACACTGATTACCAAGAAGTGGTATGTTCCAGAATACTGATTCTTATCTTATGTCGTCTAACATCACATAGGAACCGCGTATGGAACGTTGACGTATTTGGTGTACTGCGAGGAAAGTATTTGACGCCAGCTTTTGCCATAAAGATTGGCGAGAATGCTATTAGAAACTGCTTCTCCCACCAGCTCAAAGCAATCCGAGACGAGGGTACGGAGTATACTGGTGTCCACCCCTGTATCTTCACTGAGATCGGAATCCCATACGACATGGACGATAAGTATGCATACAAGACAGGTAACTACAGCAGCCAGATCGCCGCTTTGGATGCCAATCACTTTGCGCTTGAAGACAGTAAAGCCAATGGCTTCGCCCTATGGACCTATGTCGCAAATGTATGTTCACATCCTGTCTAACACTGAATCCAGGCTGACAAGGACCAGAATTGCCACTATTGGGGCGATCTCTGGAACGGAGAGGACCTCTCCATCTACTCAGTAGACGACAAAGCGGTCCCTGCAGGCCCCTTTTCGCCGGCCGACTCTCGTGCGTCGCTAGACAAGAATTCGCCCACGTTCTCAAGAGCACAGTCGACCGATACCCTTAGCATCAACCCTTCAAATCTGCAGAGGACCATCACCACAGAACGAATGAGCTCAAAGAAAGATGACGATGACGTTCGGGGTCTGCGTGCAGCAGAGGCCTTCATCCGCCCCACCCCCGTCGCCGTCCACGGAGACATTTCGTCGTACGGGTTCGATCTCAAGAATTGCACATTCAAGCTTGCTCTTTCTGCGCCAAGCTCGACATCAGAAGATTTCCCTACGGTTTGCTACCTGCCTGAGTTTCACTTTCCGTCAGGACAAACCAATGTCGAGGTCAGCGGTGGCAAGTGGACTATCACATCCGAGGAGACCGATGGCGCGCTGCAGCAGACGCTGCGGTGGTGGCACGCGGAAGGTGACCAGGTCATGACTGTCAAAGGCGTCATGCGAAAGCCGGGAAGCGCGTTAGGCACGGAAGAAGATGAAGGGTATCTCCAGCAGTGCCAAAAGCAGACTTGCGCTGTCATGTAATGTCGCAAAGTTGACGATGTCGGAGTTTGGTGTGGTGGGGGATTTGACCAATCGATGCACGGTGATGCAATATCATGCGACGCTCAGGTCACGCAGTCAGCAGTTCTTGTGCGTATGATTCATTTGGGCAAACATGAGCGTTGGGCGACTCTATGTACTCGTCAAGGTGTTCAGGTAGCATTTACGATGAACTTATGATTTTGAATATACCTAGCGATATATGTTATGGACTAGTTCGGAAGCGACGAGCCTAGTTCTGGCGGCAAAGCAGCTGACATCGCGTCGACGTGACGTGCCTTTGGGACTGCAGCCTGCAAAACGCGTCTGTGGAACGTGCGACATGAATATAGGCCTCGATCGCCTTGCTGGACCCTTGAAACGAAGTGTACCACGTCCCGGCCTGTGAGTCAATGAATCTGGGCTTACACGCTACACCGCCATCTTCTTTGGTTGTTGCAGACACCGGGCGCCAAAGCTTCCTAACCCACGATCCTTGCCCTCTACGTCTTCCGCTTTCAGCAACTTCCGCCCGGATCTTCGAAACCCAGAACACCACGCACACGACATTGCTACGATATCCCCGTGCAGTTCTCGCCAGACTCATCTGACCTCACGTCTTACATACCGAGGCTAGAGACGCCCTCTGCACGATGAACGTTGGGGCAGACCAGGCCCCGCAAACGAATGGCGGCGGTGGAGCGCAACACCGACAGTCCAACGGCAGCGGAGACTCAGACCTCTCGCAAATATTAGAAGCGCTGCAGGCCATATACGCAACCTCGTCAACTAATGATACCCGCCGACAGGCAACCGAATACCTCGAGCAAGCGAAACGGCACCCGGAAGCGCCTTCACATGGTCACACGCTCGCACTCGACCGCTCGCAACCCGCGCCTCTCCGCTACTATGGCCTCACTATGCTGGAGCACTCGATAAAATACAGCTGGGAAGACTTCACAGAGGACCAAGGGACGGCATTACGAGGTTATGCGATCGAACTCGCCCAAAACGTGTCGGAAGACGATGCGGCATTCCTCAGGAACAAGGTCGCGCAGCTATGGACGGAAATCGCGAAGCGCAGTTGGGGCGCCGAGTGGCTGGATATGGACGAACTGTTGGTTTCGCTTTGGACAAGTTCTCTGCACCACCAGGCTGTCGTGTTATACGTCCTGGAAACGCTTTCTGAGGAAGTCTTCAATCGCGAAGACCCTACAGCAGGCCTTCGAGGTAGCGACCTGGGTCGCGCCTGTGTCGAGATCTTCACACCGCTTGCCGTCATACAAGACCAGCTCCCTACACGCGAGAAGAGTCTGGATGTACGGTGTGGAGATGAAGGATGGCTGAAGAGACTATGCGACAACTTGGGCTGGTGCTTGGGGCAGGACTACCAGAACCAGGAAGCTGTCAAGGCAAGCGCGATCAAGTCTATGCATGCTCTCAAGGCGGCCATGCCGTGGATTATGCCCAAGGCTATCGCTGCAACACAAGTCATCGAGGCCGTCTGCAAGGCGCTGGCTACCCCAGCCGTAGAGATGCAGATAGTACGTCGACTCTACACGCCCACCCATATGGACAGCTGCTAACACGGACAGGCCGCTATCGAGACCCTCCAGGCGATCTATAACCGAACCCACCTGCACGACGACGAGTTTGTAGAGCTTGTATGCCCCATGTTCACACCTGGCAGCGTTTCACTCCTGCGAGAAGTATACAGCTGGACGCTCACGGATATGGATGTGAATGACATAGATGATCAGAAATACATGCTCTGCAAGAGACTCTCAGAAGTAAGGCTCTCGTTTACTCTTCGGATTTGTAATACCTTGCTAATGATGACAGTTGGCCAACAGCCTCGGGCTATTCATCGAGCAAAAGCCCCAATCGATACCCGATGGCAGCGACCTAACCGGCATATTCGGTTTCCTGTACGACATCATGCGCAACCCGAGTCTCGTCGTGTCCATACCTGTTCTTCATTGTTGGACCAAGCTATTACGATCGAGCATCGTGCGAGACTCTGACGTCGTCAACTCCATGGTTGGCGGATTACTCGAGACGTGTTGCGCCCGACTTATCCGATACGAATCGTTACCTGAAGACACTGAAGACGTCACGTTGCAGTTCCTCAACGAAGACATTGATACAGTACCGGAACGTCATGCTTTTCTAGGCAACTATCGGCGTTTCTGCGCAGACGTGATCGAAGTCCTGGTTCGCAAGACACCAGTAGAGGCAATGGCGCATATCCTTGCTCAGGCGACGAACATGCTCCAGAACCTGTACCATGATCAGCCTGCTTTCCAGCGCCAAAACTTCACCAAAAACTCTCCGCAAGTCCTCCAGGTCGATGCGCAGGTCACTGTCATCGAAGCTGCACTTAAGGGGTACATGAAGTGGCAGCAAGGGCAAGGCGAAAACGCGCAAGATGATGAGCGGACGCGAAACACCTTGGAAGACTCGCTCGAACAGTGGGGCAGACAAATTCTGCAAGCGCATTTTGAAGATCCCGAAGTTGCGAGGAAGATAATATCTCTGATGGCAACTCTCTCAACAAAAGCCCTTGGCGACCGCCCAGGATTCGCTCTTACCTTCTTGGAGTATATGCTTACAGTACGGCTAGCCGATGATACGAACTATCCACAGTACTCTGATGCTGTGAAGGACCTCGAGCGCATATGCAGTCTTGAGATGCAGAAACTAGCGATGAAATTCGCTGACGACTTTATGAACGTCTATGAGCAACTAGAGGCCAAGGTCAATGAGATGATTAATGACCCTACGACTGACGAACGCCAACGTATGGCGTACTCCGCTTTCCTTTTCATCATCATACATAGATGTACAACATTAGATCGCGCCACGCAAGAGGAGCGCATGCGACAGATGCTCAACCGTGTCAAGGATGCTTGGCGCAACGATGAGTTCACCCAGGCTATCTCTTCATTCCAGTCCTTCTGTGGCGTATTGGGCATGGGTCAATTGCCAGAGTTTCTATCTGCGAACAACTTCCGCGGCGTTCAGGACTGGTCTGATCAACAATTGCCTAGTGACGGCCAGGCGTTGCAGGCCTCAATTCTTGACCGCTCACAACAACTCCCACTACGACTTACTAAGACGTTACTGGCAGCATCGACGGAAAAGCTCCGCGACGGCACTGCTGCGTACGAGACTGCTGCGCTACTCTGGGCAGAGGCCATACCAGTGCTGCTCCCAAACCTTCTACAGCTCGTGAGCCATGCACAAGCATTCAACGATATCGACGCCAACTGGTCACACTTGCCGGTAGAACTACAGCAGGTTATTCGAAGAGTACTGACTGATCGGTTCTGGCAAGCGGGCATATCGACCGAGAGCCGAGACGACTTCTTTGCAAGAGTTAGTGGCTCCAAGTCGACGTTTGAGGGTTTTGCATCGACGGTACGAGGCACTGTAAGGCAGATCAGAGAGAGCTCGTACTACATCCTCTACTCGTTAACACGATTTCGAGACTTCTTCTATGGCATAGAAGACCTGCCAGGCCCACTGAGTCAAGCCCTGTTTGGCCACGCAGGCGCTCTGACTGCGCATCATCTATCTGTCCTACTAACCGTATCCACCCATCTCATTGAAGGTTGCCCAGCGCGTCTACGGCCACATTTCCTGCCACCCATGATACAGGGGCTATTCAGAGAGCTGGATCGAAAAATCTCCGGAGAATGGAACGAGGTTGCCCGACAAGTGGCGGAGTCGGGACACAACGACAACTTGACAGACGAGATGAAGACTGAGAGCATATTAAGACAGCTCACATATGCTGCGGTTTCGCTTGTCGCTGTCCTGCTCGATTCGAGACAAGGTAAGTCGCCTTGCATTTATCCTGCTTCCTGGTGTTTCTTTCGCGACTGCTATCTGCATGCGGATATCGGTTTTAGTACCAAGTCTCCTGATCATGTTTATGACTAAAAGCTGACCTGGTTACAGAATTTGCCCGTCACGATGAGCACAGTCGAAAAGAAGCCGACGCACCGCCCATGTGCGATTTCATTCTCACAACGCCTGCCGTCCTCGAGCCTATTCTTCTCTTCTGCAACTCAACAATACGTTATCGCGATACTAGGTCCGTCGTCACCATGGTCCGCGTATTGCGCACCCTGCTCCCACGGTTCAAGGAGAAGTCGCCCATTCGGGACTACTTCTGCAACGACATCCTCAAATCGGCCATTACGTCCCTCCATGAGCCATACTTTGTGGACTGCCAAAAAGAGCTCGCCTCACTCATCGCTGGTATCATCCATCTAGATGAGGATATACCGCGCTCAATCATCTTGTCTCTACCCGGTATGGGTGACCAGTATCGCGTCGATCGCCGTCTTGCAAAGCTCCGTGGAGCGAACAGGTCGGACGAACGTATGCAGCGCAGCATCGTACTGGATCTCATGAGCAGCATCAAGGGTGTTAGTATCCACGAGCAAGGCAAAATCCAAAGGCCGACGAAGACCAAGACCAGGACTGTCATGATGGAGCAGTATATGAATGTGGACCAACAGCCGACCATAGTCCGAGGTACCAGCCCTGGATTGGCGGGAGTGGCTGATATGTTCGGAGAGTCGTGAGCTTTGTGGGAGGCTGGCATGTAAGATTCTTGTTGACGAAGGGACTCACGGTGGAACCAAAGGGCATCAGGGACGGCAGTACAGTCAAGGGGCAGATGGATTACCGAAGTATTCTGGGACTTAAGGCCGAGCAAGGGACAAATGATATGCATAGCATTCTAAAGTTGGTGTTGGCCTTTTCTAGACGATGGCTTCGCGGAAGCATCACGTGCTTGGCAGCAGTCTTCGCCACAGTCTTACCCTTTACATCCCGTAACAGAAGCATGTATCGAGAAACGCCTCACATTCTAGCCGCATTGTGCTGACGCACGCTGATCCGTTCATTGCATCTCGCAACCACTGAACGTACCCCGCATTGCCGATTACCTGACCCCGCCGCTGTACTACGGCGTGCTTGCCGTCCCTACCTATCTACCCAAAGCAGAAGCAACCCGCGAGTCAGCACCTGCCTGTTCGTCTTTTCGTTCCTGCGTGACAACTAGTTCTCACTTTGCCACCCTTGCGTTTCAGGAACTCCTACACAAGATGAGCGGAATACCCGTCGTCGACTTCGGCGCGTTCCTGCACGGTGAAGCGGAAGGCCGGGAGAAAATCGCCAAGGAGATCGACAATGCTTTTCGCAGTGTGGGCTTTGTCTATCTGAAAAATCATGGTGTGAGGAAGGAGCTGGTAGAGGAGTGTTTTATTTGGTCGAGGAAGTTCTTCGATCTACCGCTTGAGACCAAGATGCTGGCTCCGCATCCGCCGGGTGGCAGTCATCATCGTGGATACTCCGCTCCGGGCGTGGAGAAGGTTAGTCAGGGCGTTTATGATATTAACGAACTGAACAAGCTGAGGGAGGTTAGTTGGATGCATCTTCACTTTCCATGGTCTAAGCTCACGAGAAGCAGACGCCTGATTACAAAGAGTCGTTCGAGTCTGGCAACGTGAAAGATGAGACTCAGCCAAACATCTGGCTTCCAGAAGATAAGCTTCCAGGGTTTCGTGGATTCATGGAAAAATACTTCGTCGAGTGCGCCAGTCTAATTCACAGCATCCTCGACGCTCTCTCCCTCACCCTGAACGTCCCAACACCAGGTCTCTCTCCTACCCACTCGCAGTCGCTCTTCCAACTCCGGCTTCTGCACTATCCTTCTATCAACGCCGAACAGCTACGCAACAATGAGCGTAGCAGGATCAACGCGCATTCCGACTTTGGCACGCTCACTTTGCTGTTCCAGGATAACGTTGGGGGACTTGAAGTACAGGAACCTGCTAACCCAGGTACTTTCCGTGCTGCGGAGCCCATCGAAGACACCGTGTTGGTCAATATCGGAGATCTCATGGCAAGATGGAGTAACGATCGCTGGACAAGTAGTGTGCATCGTGTTGGGCTACCCCTGGCTCTTCAAAAGGTCACTGAAGATGGCAAGCAGAACGACAGGGAGATATTAGTACCAGATCGCTACTCAATCCCCGTATTCGCGACACCAAATATGGATACAGTTATTGATGCAATGCCGAGTTGTTGGGATGAAGAGAAGCCGAAGAAGTACGAGCCTGTAACCGCATGGGGGTACGTGCAGATGCGGATGGCTGCGTTGTATGAGTCGTGAAGGACGTTGGATGATCGCTTCCTTTTGTGGGAGATATGCGTCTTGGTAAACCCTTCTCCAAAGCGACCTGTCGCATGGTGACACGCCGCATGCGGGCCCTTTCACGCGAATGTCATACAGAATCAGGCAGCAGAGCCGAGTTTCTCACATCTACAATGTTTACGGTTCTGACTAGGCGGCACAGTACGACTACGTACCTATCATCAGCAGTCTGCTGTGCTTCAGATTCAAAGGTGAAAGGTAACCCCGCAACTCGCACGTGATAACGCGCCTTGCCCAATCCCTTAGCGCCATCCCCACTTTCCCAGTCAGCCAACTCGCAGCGACTTGTATCTTCTTGCCTCACATTGCCTACTCTTTCCCCTTACTTTGCGCGACTTTGGAGCCTATCGCCCCCACGTCTTGTGGGCCAGCCTTTCGAGGCACAACCGTCGTTCAAGATGGACATCTTTATTCCGAAAGTAAGCATACAGCACTACCTGAGCTAGTGACCGCAGGGCGCGAATAGGGAGGCAGTCACTAACCAGATGCCGTAACATTAGGTTCCCAAAGACGCCAATCACGTCCTCCTACACTTCACGCTCCAGGAAGCTCTCCACAGCGTTGACGTGTTTGCATTCGACGTTCGAAAGTTCTCCGGTCAATATAATGATTTCGCCATTCTCACTATACCGAGTATTAGCAGTGGAAATCGCTTTCTGGAGATACGCGGTAGTCAGGGCCGACGCCAGGCGCTGCAACCTCTTTATTTCGGAAAGCAGCCACTCGACTTTCGCCAGAGTAACAAGCGACGGGAAGATCCGCTCCAACTCAAGTCACTTAAAGAGAAGCAAGAGACAGAAGAGGCCAAAAGATTCAAAGGTCCGGCGCCTATCGCGAAACTCCAGCGTCCGGGAGGGTCGACGCTGTCTTTTCGTACCCTGATGACAGGCGTTTGGGATTACGATCACCTGGGCAACCTCGTCTTTGACCAGAAGCTCAAGGATAGAAGGCAAGGTTACATCACATTCGGCAAAAATGCTTTAGTGGTAAGTGTATCTTTCTATATCGAATATGTCGCTATCGGAACGGTCGCTCATCCACACAGATATATCTCCGGGCAGAAACTGCCGAAGCTTTCAACTGGCATTGCAGAATTGACATTGATTATGCCACTGTAGAGCACATCATTCCGTCTCGCGGCAATGGCCAACACGGAACGATAACATTCACCCTCAAGTCTCCACCGAAATTTTACGACATTCAGTCAACCAATGATCTACACTTGTATGCTGGTGAGCAAGCACCGAACGACATCTCTGTCGCATTGTCGAGACTCGGCATTAAGCCGCCCAAATCAGTGCTTCGGCTACAGAGACTATGCAAGTTGAGTAAATCGCACGACATGAACTCCGCTTTGTGTATGGTCTACAAGATCGCCTTCCCCGACACCCGAAGCGTTGATCTCGCTTGGACCTTTGTTAAACCCTTCTTCGCGGAACCCAACACAAAATGGTGGAAGACCATGGAGCCCGCCATTTTGACGGGCAGCATTGAACACGAGTATGCAGTCGTCAACAACATGCTTAGCGACTATGGACCATCCTTCCCGCAGGCCTTCACGTTCAATATCCGTTACCAACTAACGGCGCTCATGCTAGAGGGTACAATTGCTCCGTGGAAGATGAAGGAATTGATACCAGTAGTACAAAAGGCTGCTGAGAAGTACGGTGCAGAACTCACCGCAAACGCAGTTCGTCTCCTTGGGAAGCGGATACCAACGCCTACACCGGGGGTTAAGGCAACAGATCCTACTTCAAACGCAATCAGTCGCCGGGGAAAGCGATTACCGACGCCTGCACCAGCTGTTGAAGCGAAAAGCTTTATGATCCAAACCATCAAGCGCATTCTTGATGAAAGTATCGAATGCTGTCAACGTCTTGAAGAGCTTTCTCGGACCTGGGACGCCAAACAGAAGAAGCAAAATCATCTCGCCTTAACATACAAGGCTACAGTCACACCTACCGGTATGTAGATTTCCAGTACTGCGAATTGCACAACTAAAGTCACGTTTTAGGTATCTTGCTGCGCGGCCCTGACTGGGTCGTCTCCAATCGGATATTGAGGAAGTACAACACCCATACCGAGTTCTTCATGCGCGTGTTCTTCGCAGATGAGGACGAGCTACCGGTATTCCATGACCCACGGGCATCCCAAGAGAGAGTCTACGAACGCTTTGGAGGCGTACTTCGAACCGGTATAACGGTCGCCGGGCATACATTTCAATTTCTCGGCTTTTCACATGCATCACTCCGTACTCATGAAGCTTGGTTCATGGCTCCTTTCAAGAAAGATGGCATTGTCGTCTGTGCAAGAGATGTGTGAGTATGTAGGAATTGTGTGTGGGACATGTACTGACTTCATACGAGCATTCGCGATTTGGGTGACTTTTCCCACATTCGTTGCGCCGCAAAATGCGCGGCAAGGATAGGGCAGGCGTTCTCCGGTAGGGTTCAATCCGGTACAAAATTTATGTGAGATGTACGCTGACGCTGTACATCGACATCTAGATACAACATTCTCGGTGCCAATCTCGAAAACCGCTTATGTAAACGAAATGAAGGACGACGTCACGAGAAACAACCGCACATTCAGTGACGGCTGCGGAACCTTGTCATTGAACCTCTTCCAAGATGTTTGGAACGCTTTCCAGCCGGACCGTAGAGCACTGAGGCCGACGGTGCTTCAAGTCCGGTTCAGAGGTGCGAAGGGCGTACTATCACTCGATACGACGTTGCAAGGTGAGCAATTGCACGCCCGAAAGAGTATGACTAAGTACGTCGCCAAAGAAGAGTGGAGGGATTTGGAAATCTGTGGAGCTGCCTACAAGCCTCTCAGAGTATATCTGAACCACCAGTTCATCAAGATCCTTGAGGATTTACGTATACCTGCGGAAAACTTCAAGGCGGTCCAGGATGAAGCTGTCGCAGAACTGAAACTCATGACGGAGCATCCTCTGAATGCAGCCAGCCTTCTCGGTAAGTTCCGATTTTCTAGCGTATGATGTACGGCCTGAACGGAGGTTTGGGTCGTACCCAGCGGCATCGCCATAAAGCGCTTCCCGAACGTATGGTCATATGTGCTAACAAGTCTGCTAGAATACTCTCACTCGGGTGATCTCGCGAGAGTCCCTTCACTGTTTCGGCGAATGAATGAGATGGGTTTATCTTTCCACGCGGACAACTTCCTTACCGACATTGTGGAAGTGGCAGCTATGTCAAGCCTGAGAGATATAAAATACCGCGCACGTATTCCAATCGAGAAAGGCTGCCTCCTTTATGGCATCATGGACGAATGGAATGTTCTGAAAGAGGGCGAGGTCTATATTCCGCTACAAGATTACGATACGAACGACAAACTGAAGAGAACGATACTCGTTGGCGAGCGAATAGTCATCACGAGAGCCCCCGCGCTACACCCAGGTGATGTTCAGGTCGTCAAAGCAGTCGATGTTCCAGAAGGTTCAGCCCTCAGGGCACTGCACAATTGCGTCGTATTCTCACAGCAAGGTCCGCGGGATCTACCTTCGAAGCTTAGTGGCGGTGATCTTGATGGAGACCTATTTCACATCATCCACGACACTCGACTAATTCCGAGCATCGTTTATCCACCCGCCGACTATCCAACAACGCCTGCAAAGGACTTGGGGCAGCCAGTAACTGCCGACGACATTGTTGACTTCTTTATCGAATACATGAATATGGATCGATTGGGACAGATTTCGAATAAACATAAGATTCGCGCTGATAAGGCTCCTGCTGGCACTGTCGATCGAGAGTGCCTGCTTCTCGCCAAGCTCGCGTCCGATGCTGTCGACTTTGGCAAATCTGGGATTCCTGCCAACATGACTGAGATACCGCGAGCGTCTGATCATATCCGCCCTGATTTCATGGCCCCAGGATCGAACCTTTTTGTCAATGAATTGGGCGCAGCTGAGCTCGAGGAGCTTGAGGGCGACGAGCTCGACGAGGTGAGTGTGCTGAATGCCGAGAAACCAAGGAGTTCATACTACACAAGCACAAAGATCCTAGGAGTTCTATATCGGCGTATCGACGAGAAGACATTCTTCGACAAGATGAAAAACGCCTACAGAACGTCTCACCATCGCCGGGGTGATGAAACGTTGGTACAGAAGCTCAAGCGATATGTGATCCGAGAGACCCGTGGAGTCCAATGGGAACATCATTGGGATTTCGCGGAACAACTCCGCGAAGCATATGAAGAGAACATGTTCGAAATCATGGACACACACCGTCCGTCTCGAGGCCAACGTCTTACCGAGCTTGAGGTGTTCAGCGGTAACATTCTTGGCAAGAAAGATCGTGCACCATCCCGCTACGTCCGCGAGGCCAATCTCGAGGTTCAGGAACGCTTCAATCGCGATGTCAGCGACATGATCAAGAACATAGTAATGGGCAATGGAGATTGGGATGGCGATGCGGATTCGGAGGCGTTGCCGCGCTCCATTGCGTGCTTCATGGTCGCGCTGGAAACGGATGGTTGGGAGAACTATCGCACGCTGCGAAGCTGGAAGTACGTCGCTGCTGCGGTGTGCTTGGAACAGTTGTGGAAGTACAACAACGGCTACTTGCGCCGACTTTGAGTAGTGGCATAGTGCTACGTTTTGTAGCGGCCCTCCATCGGAGAGGTGCCTGGTTATTACGACTTCATGATAATACCGCGCAGGATATGCGCTGAATATATGGTATCTCCAATAGTTTGAGCCCAGTGAGATATGCGACGTGATGCATATCTCTTTGGAGAGACATCCGACACTTTGAGGGGGCACCGCGACAGCCCTTGCGCGCAAACTGTGCCCAAAAGCCTAAGCGAATCAGCGGTTTCGTAGGCACAGAAGCGGTTAAAGGGGCAATCTTTGCCTCTCGCGTTAGAAAAAATCGGACCAAATATTTAACGGCTCAAACATGCTTTTTTCGACTGCTGAACTTTGTGTGTCGTTGTCGCGTCTCATTCCAGCATGCTGCGCAGTCGCGTGTGTGTTCTCGAGGTTTCCCACATCAGCCAACTAAAATCCCAGCCACAGAACCCACTCAGTCGTGCCAGTCCCATCCACGACCCTGCGTCCCCTGACTGGCTGACTGATATCCGGTAAGCCCGGGTGCCATCACCACATGGTCCACGAGCCTACCCCGCATCTAATGGTCGGTGTTGGCCGCGTAACACTTGCTACCCAGACAAAGCCCCTCAAAGCCATGCATTGAGGAAATATAGATGCATAATTTGAGCTTCCTTCCATCAAACACTCATCCATCTGCTTACGTCATGTGACGGCAACAGCAACATCTTCGATGGTCTAGTGGTCATGATTTCCGGTATGAATGAGCGTCGCCAGAATCTCATGAACCAATCAAACTAACGGTGACGCAGCTTGTCAAATGTTCACGAGGTGTTTACAAGCGCGGGAGACCGGGGTGTATGTGCTATCTCTTCAGGAGTGTCTTGAACTTGATCTAATCGTGCAAACAGTCGATTCCCCGTCGGAGAGCTTATTAGCCACGCGCCTTTTTTTTTGGACAGTGGATGGAATGATAGGGGATGGGGGGTGCGTGGCTTGGGTAACTTTTTGGGTAAAGGTGCGGGGTTGGGCGATAGGGTGGATGATCCCGATATCGTTAGATTATGATAATGCTACTACGCTTTTTGCATTGGAGGTATGGCTACAGCCTTGTCTGTGACTTGTAAACTCGTGATCTGAATGCAAGTATGGACTATTGCTTTCTGACCTGAGTGAACAGAATGTCCCTCAACTTGCTGGGAAACCTGCTCGGGCCATTTTCTTGCCTCGTTGAGCTTTCCGATTATGGTTCGCACTTGAACCCTTGTTGGCCTCCTTGCGCTGCCGTGATATCTGCGTACCTTTGTCGTCAGCAGGACCTGCGACGCCGGCACCACCACGACCACCACCTGACCCACCACGTCCACGCCCTCTACCTCTTCCTCTACCGCCGCCGCCTCTTCCACCACGACCACCCTGTCCGTCACCACTAGCTTCGTCGCCAGACCCTGCGGGACTATCACGCCATGCTGTCGATTGAAGCTCTCGCTGCTGGCCTTGAAACGTGGAAAACTTGGCCTCGAGCCGCCGCAGTGCGCGAGGGTTGCGTCCCATCATGATGGCCCAGCCCTCGATTGCTTCATCGGTCATACCAGTCTCGCTCTTAAGAGCTGTTCGAGCCTTGCCTCGCCTTATTTCTGACTCGCGTCCGAACAGTTCAGGTGTCATGGTGTAAGCGCGGAATAGAGCTTCTTCGTTCTTGTCTCCCAAGTCGGCATCTTCGCCGGGTCCATGCGCGGCAGTGTCGACAGAGGCGCCGACGTCTTCTGCATCGTACGTATCGTCCCGCTCGTCGTCATCCGAATCGAAGGCAGCCAGCGCTGCCATGATTGCTGATTTGGCGGGTGCTTTACTGCGGTCGGACAAGATCTTATCGGCGGTCGAATCCTGACCTCTGCGACCAATATGGAATCGCGATGTGTCGACTGCAAGCCTGTCAAATTCGTCGTCGTCAAAGACATTGCGGCGTTCTGGAAGGTGTTGGCTTGATCTAGGTGGTGGCATTGGCTGTGACGACGTTGCTGGTGCGGGCCTATCATACATTAGTATCTCTGACTGGAGCTATGATATTGTGAACTCGAGAGAAGGTACTTACAGTTTCTCACTACGATCAGCCTCGGAAAGGTGTGGCGGCAAAGAATCTTCCAAAAGATGTGCGGTAACCTGCTCGATGTCGTCGTTGTACTCATCCAAGCACTTGACGATGAAGCCTGCACCCAGGTCTGGAAAGAGGTCCTGGATCTGGCTAATCATACTCATCCGATGAACGTGTATCTCACCGTTGAACGCCCCGTGTCCATAGCTATCTTGATCAGCTGCTGCTTTGCCTTTGTCTACCTTTCGTCGAATCAACCTCTTCGGTCGAGCTAGACTAGATTGTCGGAATGCGCTCAATGATGCTGCAGTGTTCTTCACTCTCGTTGCTTCCGGAGTAGTAGCCTTATCTCTTATCTTTTCCAGTAAAGGTGTGTTGGTGACAAGATCAGCTACCAACGTCTTCTTGCCCGGCTCCTTCTTCTGATCTTGCTCCTCATTGGACTTTAGGCTGTACAGGTGATCAGAGAGCAACGAATAATTCGGTTTTGGGCCTTCTAGCGCGGCTGTTAGACCAAGGTATGCAGTCGTGACCAACTTCTTCTGCATTGATTGCGGTACTTGTGGGTAGGCGAACAGGAGGGAGTCCAAGAAGTCGGACCCTGTGAGCATGAATATGCTGGCATCTGACGAGGCTCTGAGAAGAGGTGCGATGCGATCAAGTGTCTTTTCGGCCTCTTCCGGTCGCTTTGATTCCAAGTTTCGTATCAGAGACGTTTTTGCTGTCTGCAATGACTTCTCGATTGCCGCACCCTTTCGCTTCCACGACCCTTGCAGGAGCGTACGGAACTGCTCGCTCTTGGGATACGCATGACAGATGTCAGATAGTGTTGACCAGCTGAGCAAGGGAGTGGGTATCTCTTCTCTGGAAAGAAATCTGTGTAATAAAAAGAAAGTCTTCTTCCGTAATGACGCAACTTTAGATGCTAGCTCGTCGTCCAGGGCCAGTTCATGATAGAAAGACAGGAGAAATTGCGTGAGAGAGCTCTCCTCTTTGGTCGCCTCCGAGAACTTTTGGTCCTCTAACCTCAGATAGAGCTCAGCTAACGAAGCCCACGAATCCAGGTACATCTGCCATTCGTCGGGCAGTATGCTCTTTCTGACTTTTGCGTCTGGGAATGGCGCGAAGTGGGGTAGCGACATTTCGGTTGGTGATGTTGTAAGACGAAATCCAGGACCGAGCTCAGAGGTGCAGTGCACTATATAAGGAAGGTGAGAAGCCTTTAAAAGGTTCAATTTCTGTTGTTTGTCTGCAGTCATGCAGTCATGATGGCTCATGGGCCCGCCTGCCGAGCGATCAAAAGGGAGCGATACCAAATATGGCACTAGCGTCCGCAATCTTGGCGCGCATCGCCCACAGATCGAAAATGCGCATCGCAAAGAACTTAACGACTTCGAACGCCGTCGCCAATTCTAACGCCACCCCCAGTCATCACATTACCGCGATCAAGGATCCAGGTCGTGACTGGAATCTAAATCAGTACCTACAACAACACCACACTCCAATCCGACAAGATGTCTTACAACAAGGGCGAGAAGGACTTCGGCGAGGGCCCCAAGATCCACAAGGCAAGTCTCCGTCTGCCCAACACCCACGAGGCTGTATACTGACTGCGCTTCCAGATCCGCATCACCCTCACCTCCCGTAACGTCAAGAGCCTCGAGAAGGTCTGCCAGGAGCTCATCGACCGTGCCAAGAACAAGGAGCTCCGCGTCAAGGGCCCCGTTCGTCTGCCCACCAAGCACCTGAAGATCACCACCCGTAAGACCCCTTGCGGTGAGGGTTCCAAGACTTGGGACACATTCGAGATGCGCATCCACAAGCGTAAGTGCATACCACTCCAGACAGTCGGCCGGACAGCAGCTAACTGCGGACTTAGGCCTCATCGACCTCCACGCTCCCACCGAGGTTGTCAAGCAGATCATCATCAACATCGAGGCCGGTGTTGAGGTTGAGGTTACCATCGCCGCATAAGGGCTTGGTCCGTACAAGGATCATAAAGGAGTGTCAACGGTCTGAACAGACGTGTGGCTATGAAACAGCTCTCGAAGCTGGATATACACGAAATGAAATGATTCAGACATGATGGCACATTGCATTGGGATGTAAATTTGATCGTGAGAGGCTACCCTGAGCTACAAATAACAGCCGTCACGATATACAGTGAACAGAACAAAGAAAGTAAGAGCCAGACAGCCAGAAGACGCTTTCATGGTCGATCAACATGTGCCGACTGACGAGGGCCCACCGACAAGAGTTGCACTCTTCTTGGATGAGAGTCTTATCATCTGCATGTTTCACATATCAAATACTTATAACATACGTACCCGCCACTCTATAACTCACACCACGATATCCCAACCTTCCTCTGTAGTTTTCAAAAATCAGTGCCAGCGGCATTGTTAATCAAGATTGCACCATCGAGAGGAATAATGCCAGGTGGTAAGTCGTCCCATCCTATCGATTCGCCCGCTTCGAATTCTGCCACTATGGAAATCAAAAAATTAGAGCTCTGCTTGGGTCATTCGAGCTCGAGTTGCACATGTCAAACTCACCTCTACTAAACCAAAACGCGATTCCGTGCCGTGGATGCCTTATACAACCTGCTAAACCTTCCTCTCTTGCTATGTCATCCAGAGCGTCTTTGAGCTTCTGACTTCTCATCTTCACACGTACTCCGTCGCCCTCAAAAGGGACGTCTGGCTTATACATAGCTAGCAAGGCGACCTGACCATCTTCCGAGGATGTAAGATAGGTGGACTTGGCTTCTACAAAAGCTGGATCACATCCTTCGAAAAACCATATGTCCCAGTCGCGCATAAGACTTTGACACGATTCATTTAGTTCAGGGTCGGTCACGGACATGTCGAACTTGGGTAGACATGTAAGAAGTGGGACACGACAAGTACAGGAATTTTAGTTGTCTATGAGTCTACGATAGTACTGCGTGAGGTAAACGCATGACTAGGTAGGCAAACATTCTTCTTGGATCCTGCAGGCCCGTGCAGTGTCACCGGTCTACGTACACTTGCCATATTCTGGACAGCAGCTTACCACTGCCAAAGGTCCCGGTGCTAGTGCTCCGAGAGACTAAACATCAGACATCGAGAATTAATCAACCAGGTGGCCAGTTTGCCAGAAGGTATTCATGCACTTCAAGGCTCAGATTGTTTCAACAATTACTCAAGAGCTCTTTCCTGTACATCTTTGAATGCGTTTTATGTGTATGATTTACAGAGGAGTGTGTCTCCAACCGCTGTCTCAAAGGCCTCAAGAGCATTACAGATCATTCCAGATCATTCACCTTGTCAGTGACATGCTCATCTCGTAACGAGACCCTAACCGCTTGCCTGTTCCAGATTCCAAGGCTCATAATTCTTATCAGCCTTATCCTAAGCCCAAATAATCGGTAGAGGGATTATCGTTTTCTCGTTGGTAACATCGGCTTTGCCACTGGTCACTATCATCGAAAAGTCAGAAATGCAAGTTCAGGACTGTAGGAGGGTGTGGAGGAATACTTGCGTATTGTAAACCAAATGACGACTCTTGCACCGCTGTCGTACACACAGTCGGACAAGCCTCGAAAGACGCCTTTCTCGCTAGCCAGTTTCCTCAGCTGATCGAGGTTGTTCTCGGCGAGCAGATTATATGTTAGTGCGACTTTGACCGGGTTTGTCTCCGGGTTTGTGTCGTGGGGGCGGCGATAGTAAGTTGCTATAAGACACACGTTGCGTTTGTCTGAGTGTGGTGTGGCCAGCTGCAGTACGATCTCCGGTCTTTCGCTGACCCATACTTCCGCTTTGCCTCCGAAGGTGCCCTTGAAACTCCCATCTCCCATCATTTCGACGCATTGTTCTTGGAGACTCATGGCTTTGATATTGGCACGAAGGTGCTTCTTTAGGTAGGAGTGGGCTTCGGTAAGGGATTTGGTAAAAGTTGACTTGTAGTATTTGTCTTTTCGAGTGTGGTGAAGAAAGAAGCGGAGTGAAACTGCAAAACGACTTCTTTTATACTCCTCCCTGGTGACTCTCATGCAAGTGATGATGCGTTGAGGGACTATGGCATGATGGTTGGTTGCACATAAGCCCTCATCCTGCAGCGCACGTCTGTCCTCATCCCCTTACGGCAACTTCACTTTGCAGACCACAGCGCACTCTCGAAATTCAGAGAAATTTCCAAATGGTAGCCTGTCAAACTTCGACATCTTGAGTGTTGGCTTATCACGACGGCATGAGAGACCCAGAGGCCCACATTACCGTGCGTACCTGCGTAATGCAGGTCTTCTAGTAGATCCGGGAGGCTGTCATGTCGTTATACAATAGTAAGTCTCAACGATGAAAGACAGGTTTGCAGGCTTCAGCATCATCACCATGTACAGATATCAAGACGTTGGGGTATCCAGGTGACTACCAAGACCTCACAAACATCACATATTATAAGTAATCAGTAATTATAGAACCATTTTTACTATCTTGTGCTAGTCAGCTAGCTATGAACTTTGATGACAGTTTGCCATATCTCCGTGAATCCTTCCCATAGTATAGTACATGTATCATAGAAGAGTGAAAAGTGAAGAGAAACCATGAAGAACTACCAAATTCTCTTAACCGGTGCGGTTGCCGTTGCCGTTGACAGGCGTGTTGGTGGGGGGAGGAGGCGAGGTAGGGGGGTTTGCGGGAGGAACCAAGGGGAACACGCGACGCTCGATAGTGCCGTTCGGTCCGAGGACGAAGAGGACTCGGTGGGGGATCTCAGACATGATGGCTAGACGGTTGAGGCACTCGTGCTAGTTTGGTGCTTTCGTTTTGATAGTTGACGGATCAGGTGCGAGCCCTTGTGCCACCAGGTCTTGAGGCAGTCGATGATGCGGTGTTTGCGGTAGTCAACTGCTCTCATGCCCTCCGCGTCACGGAAGGTATGGCGGTTTGCGGTAGTGAATGACGTGAATGCTTGAGCTTCGGCAGCACGATCTTGGAGGAGTGAGGTTGTTGACTGCTTGGTCGACTCGGGCGAGGCGAGGTCTTGTGCGTTGGTCTTGCTTCGACCAGCTCGAGTGTTTGTTTGGCTGTCAAGCGTAGCTTTGCGAGTTGATGAAAAGCGCTTGCGGAGCGAGAGCCTAGTCTTGCGTGTGGTGTCGTAGTGCTCGTCGTCAGAAGTGTCAGAGGCTGACAGGTGGTCGCGGAAGATAGCTGTAGGGGGGGATAAGGCAGAGGTGGGGTAGCGTTCTCCGACTGCGTGTGGCTGGTCGCTGTTGCGGCCAAAGGTGCTGAAGCGGTGATGACGCGCGTGTGCGGTGCTATCGGCCGGTGACCCGAACGGGGAAGCTGTGGCTGTCTGTGCTGTCGAGAAGGAGCTTGTAGTAGACGCGTCAGAGAGTCTGTTGCGGAGGTGGGAAGGGCCTGGGTGAGGAGAGTGTCTCGCAGCAGCTGGACGAGGAAGGGAGATGTCAATAGCGGGGTTTGTCGACGTCGCCCAGGGATAATTCTTGTCTGAATTCCAGGGACGCGTCTCAGTTACTGTGGGCATAGAAACAAACGACCTCAGAGACCTTCTTGAGGAAAGAGCGGACTCCCCCGAGATGCGAAGCTCTTGGGGGCCGACGGTGTGTGAGCGTGGACGGAGAACAGCTGGTGATGGGACTCGCAGCTCTGGGAGCGGATTCGTCTTGTGGTGTGTTGGTGTGCTCGGTGCGTCGTCGTCCTTGGGGGGCCTGCCTGTATTTGAGTCTGCCTCGCTAACGCCGTTCACAGCAACTCCATCGTCGGGACCGCCTGGACTGCCACACCCCCACTCCTTGCTTGTGAGCTCATCATACAGATCGTCCTCGATAACAACCATGTGCGAGACGCCACGCATGGGGCGAAGTCGAGCGGAAGAGCGCTTCTGCGTCGGATGGATCTCATGAATCTCCTCCAATGCGTGCTTCTCCATCTCCTCCTCAATGGGAAACTCGGCTGGCTCACCGCACTTGTAGTATTCCTTCAACGACGGGAAGAACTCTGAGAGGCGCTGGGTAAGCCCCCCTACAGAAGGTATAGTCAGACGCTCAATCTCTGCCATGAGCTCTGGTGAACGAGCACGGTGCATCGCGAACAAGTTCATCATGGCGGTAGGCTGCATTGACAACCCTGAGCGCTCCGCTTCATTCAACTCGGCGAGAGAAAGGCGCAGATCTGTGACATCACCGGCTGATGCAGGCCGCGGACTACCTCTGCTCAACCTCTGCGACGCATTGGGCACCTCCTCCATTGACCTTGAGTAGCGAAGGCCAAGGTCCTCAATCAGACCATCAAATAGATTCATCCGACTAAACCGCATCGAAGGCAAACCGTGTGCTTGTCCGAGCGCGCTGTCCACGTTGCTACCAACAGCACTCCGACAATGCGACGCTGTAGACGACCTTCCCGAGAAGTTGATCGGTTCCTCTCCCGAAGCCCTGACCCTCGACGGCGCGCCGAACGGAAAGCGAAAACTCGAGCTCTTCAAATTGCTGGCACTCGTGTTGAGGCTCGAGTCCTCATGCGATTCCTCCTTCAGGTCAGGCAGATAACGCGCAGGGCCAGGATACCTATATCCGGATAGTCTGAGGTCCGTCGTAGTGTTTTCTTGGATGTTGGACAAAGGACCCGAGCCCAAAGAATTCAAATGGTTTCCAGCACCACTCAGAGGACGTAGCGACACCTGCTGGAGTCCACCACCGTGAGAGGAAGGCCTATATCCATGCCAATCAAGGTGTGTCGTAGTCTGGCTGTCGCGATGGCTAGGCTCCTGGGCTACCGGAAGTCCATCTACGGAGTCTTCACATGAGCCTGAGGAGGTGTCGTGGATCGAGTACACAGAGGAGGGCTCCAAAATCGCAGGAACCAGGCTGTCGATTGGTTGCGCAACAGGAGCCGGGCTACTACCGAGCACCTTGGATGGGTTGCAAGCTTTCCGAGTGTCGAAACTGATAGCTCGTGTCTTCGCAGCAGGTACACCTTTTGGTTTGGTCGACGGTGCTCGCGGCGTCCGCTTTACCTCCATGGCGGGCGGTGGTGAGCTGGTCATCTCATCGAGACTAATAACGCCGTCTGTGTCTTGACTCGAATTAGAGGCAGATGGAACCGTCTCATCTGACTTCGGTAGCTCTTCTTTGTCAGTATACTTCCGTGACCTGGCAAAGCGCAATGGTAGTGGACGCATCAAGAACGAGACCGCGGCGTGCACATGTTGGGCCTCCTTGGAAGTGCTTGACTCTCGGGGTGGTACTACCGGTCCCTGGTACGTAGTGCCCAGCGTGGATGACGAACCAGATACCGATATCGAGCCTTGCTTCATGCTCTGCTTTGAGCTGGTCCGCAGTTTGTTCGCTACGATAGAAAAGCTTGATTCTCGACGCGGTATAGGAGGCTGTTTGCGAAGTATAGCAGAAGAGGGCTTGGAAAAGGGTGCCTCCACAATCAGCCTGCCCTGGTTCAAGACCACCGTTCCTAGGTTGGACGATTGGAGTCGAGGCGGAGGTGCGAAACTAGCACGAATAGGGTGCACATCAGTCGCAAAAGAGTGGGTATCTGCTTCCTTTGATGACGCATCTCGCTGCGGCACAAAGTCAATGACGGATGTGGAAGAATCTTTGATGAGGTCTTTTCCTGGCTCGGATAGTATCGATTCCGAAGATACATCTGGCAGATCGGTACAAGACTTGAAAGACAGCTCATCGGACGACCCTTGTGCATGACTACCTCTGGATCGAAGGGCAAGAGGCAGCGGCTTCATGTCATGGTCTGTTGAAGCATCTATGTGCTCCTCATGCCTGCTCTCGTTAGCCGTCTCGACTCGTACCAAAGCGTCGGTCTCGTTCTTGTAATCAGATCCCTGATACCCTGCAAGAACATCCGACATACCATCCCCGGTACTATTGCCAGGACTGACAGACGTGTTTGTGGTAGCATGAACTTTGATACCTGGCTCGTTCTGGAAGCCACCGCTATTGGCCGTTGGTATGTAATGCTGGACCGCGAATTCAAGAGTGGACGAGTCGAGGATGCTAGATCCAGTCTGCGATAAGATACTGTGGCGGTTCTCTCCACGGTCTGCCGGATGCAATGCGACTCCAAGAGGTATATCAGATACAGAATACTTCTTAACAGGTATATCACAAGAATGAGTGACCTCATTGGTCTTCGACAGCGGCAGAGGCCCCGGTGTCAGAGACCTTGGTGTCAACGACCGCGATATCAGCGACTTCGTCGGCGACTGCGGTGTCGGAGACTTTGGCCTTGATTGTAGTGTCGGAGACTTTGGCCCTGAGTGTGGAGTCGGAGATCTTGGTACGGGGGGCTTTCTTGACGGAGATAGAGGCTTGCTCGGGAGCGATGGAGATGGCCCCGAAGAGGTCACTAACTCCATTGAGGACTGGATATCGCCCGTCGTTGAAGCCTCCAGACCTCTTAGGATCAAATTCCTGGTGATGCGGCGAACTACGGGGGACGCTGGGAGCTCCGCAATATCGCTTTCGCACTTGCTTCTGGGCTTGGCACTCGCGCTCGAGCTCGTCCTCGAAGTCTTCTCGCAATAGCTCACGGTAATGGATGCGATGTTGTTTAGCTGGGGAGACACGACCTCCATCGACATTGATCGTGCCTCTTGTTCTAAAAAAGGCTCACTCTTCAATGCCGCCCCAGCCGGACGAAACTGTTCGACAGTGGCTATCCTTCGGTCTATGAAGCCGACTGGATCAGCCTCCGTCCGTGGATCCGCAGTCTCTACAGGTCCGAGCTGGCCACTCGTGTCGTAGTATGGTACTGAAGAAAGCTCTCCCTGAATCACAAGGCGGTTCGTGTTGGTGGCTTTAAAGACCCTGTTTCTATCTAGGTTTCGGTGCACTTCCATGGAGCTACCATCTTTTGGAGTTGGTGGCAGAGCCATGTCGGACGATGGTGGCTCTGATTCGGTGCGCAAGTTTGTGTTAAAACTGGACATGGAAGTAGGCGCAGACCTCTTGAGACGAGCTTGTTCGGCAGCGATCCGTTGCTGGTGGCCGGCTGGTAAAGGTGGCTGATATTCATCCTGACGCCTGCGCTCTCTTCGATCTTCTGAACGAGGCTCGCGGGTGGAGTTGCCTGTCATCTTGCGAGACATTGGTTGTCCGGTAGCCATGTTCTGCACCTGCATGGACTGATCCGGATGATTGGCTTCGCGGTAGACAGGGAAGTCGTCGTCTTCCACAGGAGGATCCTCAAGGCTCATCGTAGACCGAGAGGATGGATTCCTGGTCCTCATTTTTCCGGGGCCTTGTCGGTTATGCAAGCCTCGATGGCCTTGTCCTTGTCCAGCATGCTGCTGCCCATACGTATGATGTGTGTATACTGGGTTGCCATAGCCTTGTGCCTGGCCAGCATAGGGCAGTCGCTGACCGTCGTAGGTTTGCGGCCCTCGCAAGTGTACTCGGCTGTCGTCGCTCAGTGCGGGCTGAACCGGTCGTGGGTATGAACCAGGCGGCCTGTGACCACCTCCGGCGGGGTGTACATAGTATGGGTTCAAAGATCGGGACGCTGGCCGAGGGCGCAAGCTGGGATTAGACCTGTTGCTGGAGAGGCCGTACGCTGGGGGTTGTATGGTATGCGTCATCGAGTGCGAGCGATGCGCGTCCCTGTCGCGGTTGTCTCTTCGGTTGGAAGGCGATGATCCGGTGGCGTTCATCATCGTTGGGGATAGCGTGTCAGCAGTATACACGGGCCCATGGTGTTGCATTGGCTGGCGCGGTGCAGAAGAGGAAGAGGGGTAGGCACGGACGTGCTGCTTGCTGCCCCGACTGGAAGTGTTGGACATGGAGGAAGCTTGCGACATCCTGCTGGTCGCGCGCGAACGCATCGAACGTTGTGCGTTGCTCATGTTAGACAAGTCGTCGAACTGAGGGCCGATGCCAACGTTGCCCATCTCGGTCCCGGTGCGGAGCATGGACGAGACGGCGCGGTCAAGAGGTTGAATGTCTGCACTGGGTGCCCGCGATGCGGGTTTACCTGATGTTCGGCTCATGGCAGAGACGTTGGAGGCTCGGGAGTTGCGGCCGCCGCCGTTGGGATCCTGATCGGACAGCATCATGCTGCCGTCGGCTGCGAAAGTCGCTGCGAGAGGAGCAGAAAAACGTTCTACGCGGGGCGTGAGCGACGCCGCTGCGGTGGTGGCTCTCCTGATTGCGGCGCTGGGAAAAGATGTAGGAGTTATTGGTATAACCAAAAAGAAGAAGCGATACTGCACAAGGCGGCGAGTATCCAAGAAAGACGAAAGCGGGTGACCTTTACGCAACCCTCGAGAACATCTCCGCCAAAAGGAGAGTGCTGTTGAGTGTAGCGGTGTTGTGGGTGGGGGGAAGGTAGAGGAGACGGAGGGAGCTCGGCGGAGACGTTGTTTTGATGGCGAGACTCGCACCTCCTTCACGTCCATCACGGCAGAGGCTACCCTTACCCCGCCAGTATCTCGCAGAGGAAGGAAGAGACATCAGACATAGAAGGAATACAGAGACGATACAGAAAGGGTCAGTAGCAGAGATGCATATGAGAATGGTCACTGCCTACTTGTGCGTACAGCTTCCCTATACCTACCCCTACGCCGGGCCTACCACCCGCAGTGCCAAACCGGCAGCCAGCAGCTCTTCGCTTCTTCTTCTCGCGCTTCTCCTTCTCGCACCCCAGCTGCCCACCACGCGCAGGATAACCCAGCATCCAACAGCAACCCGTTCCGAAACTGCCCCCAGCAAGCACATCAGACTACCGCATCACCGACGTCCTCCGCACGACGCCGCCTTCTGCCGCGGTGGCGTCCGCACACGAAGTTAAAGACATTATACGTTGCTCGTTACCGCGTTACATCTACCAGGGCGAAAATATGTACATGCGAAAGCCCCAGTAAGCCATCGAGAACGCTGGGCAGAACCCCAGCAGAGACTATGAGATTTGGATTGCGTAATACACAGAAACGCAAAGTCAAAGGGGTATATAGCCTTGCAACGCCAGACAAGAGGACCAAGGACGGGACAAGGGATAACAAAGATCAAACTAGAGGGTATCACTCGGCGATAGGACCTATATCGCCAGATTTCTTCTTGGTGAATAACCGTTTGAGAGATGAGAAGCTACTTCGCTTGGAAAGCCGCTTGTTCGAAGCATCTGAGAACGTAGACAGAGATGTTGGTGGTCGGCTTGGTATGTCCGCAGCCTTGGGTGTTTGCTCAGGACGATTGAATGTAGGAGAGCTGGCACCTAGTCGACTAGACATGGAACCCTTCGGCGTACTCAAGTTTCGACTAGGGAAAAGACCGAATTGGGCAGTTTGTCGCGAGGACATGGAGGACACGGAGCGTGGCGATGCGAAGCCCGGTGACACGGCTGAGGCGCCCGACACAGAACAATATGCCGAATCTTTTCCGGTCAAAGGAGGACTGTATTCTCCATTTTGTTGTTTCGCCGACATGCGTTTTGTTGCTGATGAGCTTTCCTCTGCAGATAGGTTAGATGGCGAAGACACGTTATGTTGGTGGCCCGGAACATGTGTTGCACGACTAGACTCTGCATGCGGTGTCGCTCCGTCACGTTGCTCGTCGTTGCGCCAGGCATCACGGTAGTACCCGGACTGATTTGCCTGACGTCGTATATCGACGTCCGTGTTGGAAACAGCAGACGCGGAAGACGAGTCTTCGCTTCGTTTGGGCGTCTCTGTGGTGGAATCGGATGCGTTCGCGATCTCTGGGTGCTGCTGCTGTTGCTGCTGCTGCTGTTGTTGTTGCTGCTGCTGCTGTTGCTGCTGTTGCTGCTGTTGCTGCTGTTGCTGCTGTTGCTGCTGTTGCTGCGGTCTCGCTCGTAAGGTCGAATGTCGCTGGGGAGTGCCAAAGCTGGCAGGCGTCTCCCTACCGGATGACGACGCGCTCATGAATGGCGGACGTTCGGGTGGAGGAGTTGGAAGAGGTTTGTTGTTGGCAAAGTTTCGGAATGGGCGTGCCTCGCGCGAATTAGACGAATTTCGTGAAGATGTACGAGTCGCAATCTATGGCTGTTAGCGAAGCTCCAGCTCAGAACATAGTCCTCGAAGCGGGTTCGAAGCGGATTCTGGCAGCGGACATACCAAACTTCGGCGACTTGCAGCGCCACACCGCTTCTCGATCTCATTGCAATAGCTGCTGACTTGTACGAGAACAACACCCAGCCTTTCCGCCTTTGCTACGAGGCTTTGCAGGAATTGCGACCAGCCGCCGGTATTGCCACACATGGCTGAATATATGCGCCCAATATCCTCATTGCGGTATGTCCATTCGTCTCCTACATCGCCGAGGTATAGATCGAGCTCCTGGTTCGCTTCGCGAAATACGTTGATATCGATCAGGTAGTCGTTGAGCAGTTGCGACATGCGCCCAATGGTGCGTTCGATTACGATGTTGCCGTCGAGGAGTTGGGCGCGGTATGAACGGTCTTCGAGAAGACGATCGAATTCGTTTACGTGTTCCATGGGCACCTTTAGACATTTATGCCGGAAGAGCATGTCCTTCATGCTGCTTTCGAGGTCTTCATTCGCCCGCTGCAGGAAGCTGTCGAGCTCGTTGACATGCTTTAGCAATATGTCGGCCACATCGGCGACGGACTTTTCCAGATGCTGATGCAGCAGGTGGACACCGAAGATGATCTGCGCGACGGTCTTTGTTAGGGGATGAAATTTGCCCTTTGCGTTATTCCTCCAGTGGCAGTTGTACGTAAAGTTCCACGAGGGCTCAGAAGCATTCTCCTCTCTGCACAGCATTTGCTGTCGCGTCTTAACGCTCTTCTTGGGAATGGCGAAGGGAACGTGCCCCGTTTCGCCAGTGGCGTCGAGCATCGACTCCTCGAAGGGCGCCTGCATGGAGGAGAGGGGGTGTATGGGGAAGGTGGCCGTCATGATGCGTTTGTCTCGCTCGTCTTGCCATTCGTAGGAGTCGCGGTTGTCGAAGCTGCGACGGCCCCTCTGCGATAAGCGTCGAAAAGGAACCATGGCGAGTAGCGGGTGGATGCTATTCCAGCTCGGATTATGGTGCTACAGAAGCCAAAGCCAATGCAAGCCCAAACTCGCAGTTCAAGGATCCGGGCTGTGCATAAGCACGAAACACTGGGTTGTCGAGGCCGGGGCGCTGGAGGGTGTATCGTCGTCGGGCCTTCTTAAAGACGCATGGTGCAGGATGGCATTGTGTGTGCAGAGTCTACGCCGCAGGGGATGGAAATGTTGAAGGTGCCGGAGATGGCGGAAGGAAGACTGGACACGGTCCCAAGGTTCAAGGACCCCTTCGGTTCGTCAGTCATCAGGTCACAGGTCACAGATCAGCCTGGGATCTGGCACAGAGACGGGGGGTTTCTGGTCGCCAGGAGGTCTGCAGGTGGTGCAGGAGGCTTGCCCGCAAGCGGGCTGGCGGATGCCTTAGTGCCCGAGACGGTTGGTATCCAGAGGCAGGGCGGGGAAGCCATGGCTACTCTCCACCATACAGCCTTCACGACTAGGAGCAGACGGGCAAGCCTCAAACAAGAATAAACTTTGGCAGTGCCTATCCCCAGCGGCGCCCTTTACTACAGATATCCGTTTTCTAGAACGCCCGCGACCTTTAGCTGGCTGCAACGTGTCGAGCTGGTGATTTGGCGGTTTGGCATTTTGGCCGTGGCATCTCACTGTGTGCGCTAGAAGACGCATTGCAGCCGCCAGCACAACACCCAGGAACGCCCCCAAGCTTTCCCATGGCGGCCCTGAGCGACGATCCCGCCATGTCGCCGTTTTCCAACTCGGCCTGGTCAAGTGCCGAGGCTTATCATGCCCCGATTGATGCTCTAGCTGCCAAATGGCGCAACCCATACCAGACGTCATGGATTATTTCCAACGTGAGTTTCCCAAGCGCCACGGTTCCTGGCCGATCTCCGCGGGAAGCTATGGATCCCAAGCTTTGGGATGCACGCGCATAACTACAAACTTGTGCTTGTGCCTGGCAAGCATACTACGGGTCACGAGCATCCAATCACAGTGCACGCGATCGGCAAGCCTCACCCAGCGACCACCACTTCTTCCATCTACCAAACCGTGCAACATGCTTCTGGCGCGGGGCCAGAGAGCGGCTGGCAGCCACTAACAAGAGAAGGTTTGATCGAGATGCAGACCAATGTTACAAGAAACAACGGCGCGAACTACCCTCATGCGACGCCGCAGTAGCAAACGACGGAACTCGTATCCTCCCATCCCATCGCCGCAACCCGAACCCGACGAACGAGATGTAGCCGTACCGGACATTATACGCCGTCAAATGCAACTCGTCCCGGATCAGATCAGACGGTTTTGAAGACCGCAGAACGATCGGTGCAGACACACGCGATGGGCAGGACAATCGTGGCGGAAGTCATCAGCAGCTTTTCATGCCGACAGCGCCAGGACCAGATGCTGCGCGAGTCGTACAGGCCTGCAGACATGTCAACTCGGAGTGTGAACAGATTCAAAGTCATCGAACTACACACGCAGATTAGGCAGCTGGAGATGCCAGACTCGTTGACTTTGGAGTCGTCGCCATCCACACGCGCAGTACTGGCAGCACAGAGTCGAGATGACGCCAGTTGAGATCAAGCAGTAGGAGAGCCTAGATATCCCAAAACCCAGCATCGCTTTGGAGGTATGAATAAGGTTCTCTTACAATTACCGTGACATGGGTTATAGCATCGGAAGCCGAGTAATATCGAGCGATCATAACGCCTCATCCTACTCCTATATCCGATCACCAGCCCCTCCATCGGGCCCAGACATCCACCACCGTATCTCCACCCGCGTCCGAGTCGACCAAAAGATACCATCCGAACCCAGCGCCCGCCACACAAGCATGGTTGGGCCAGACCATAACCTTATCCCCGATCGTTAACTTGTTGCATTCGCTCCTATCGCCCTCCCATGTCAGAATACCATGTTCTTGGCTGATGCGTCCAACGATCCATCCCGTCTTTCCCTCTCGCTCGTCGTATATGTGCTTAGTGGAAGCATTGCCTAGCGCAGGCGTAACAATACCCCATCCCGGGTAGGACTTGCAAGGTTCGCGACCCATCGCTAGAGAGCCAGCGGACACGAGAGCTTCAGGCTTCGATCGCTCATTGTACACACTTGTTACTTCGAGCAACATCCGGATACCGATGTTCGATTTGGAGAGAGGCTGGAAGGATGACGTGGCTCCACTAGATGAAGTCGGTGGCCTAGCATGTGTTGCGACTTGTTGGCAGTCCAGCAACGGGTATACCCCTGCATGCAGCTCAACGACGTGATCTTTCTGCAGACGTTGGAGTACGTCTTGGAACTCCTGGACTTTAGGGCTGGAGCTTGACAGCATGTTCTGTGCTGCTGTCGCGGTAGGTGTTGCACCTACACTCAAAACCAACTTTCCGTTAAAGCTCGCGGGAACAGCCTTGATTGCTGTTTCTAAGCCCACCAGTTCCTCGATGAGACCGTTCGCGGCATCGTCTTCTGATGACCCACCATACGAGTGTCCGAAGTGCGAGTAGAAACCTTGCAGGAAGCATCCAGATGTCGGCTCCTGGCTCTTCTCTATTACTGTCTTGACAAGTGATGGGAAAGCCGAAGAGGAAGTCTTGACGCCAGCGCGTTCATAGCCCGTGTCGATTTTGATGAAGACTCCTATCTCCACCTCCGTATCAGAGGCAGCGAGTCGCTCGTGGAACTTGAGAAGAGCTGCTTCGTTGTCGATAATGACATGGACAGATCTAGGCGCCAATTTCGAGGCCAGAGAGATGAGACGTGGAATCCCAGATTGAGGGATTGGGACGCCATATAGGACCTTGGGAGCAAACGTCAGTGATGCCTTTGTGATTGTGATATAAGCCATACACTGGCCTCTCTCCCCACCCCCTGCGCATAGCACAAATACGGCAACAAGTTCTCCGCCTCCGCAATCGTACTAACGATGAAATTCGCCGGTTGGCTCTGCTCCACTCCCACTTGCATCTGAGAAAGCTCGAGTGTCTTGTGGCTCTTGACATGGGCGCGGAACCCTACTTTGAGCTCGGCGCAGATGTTGAGCATTGCGTCGCAGTTTCGTCGTATGATGGCGCGGTCTAGGACGATGGCTGGTGTGGGCAGGTCTTCGAGCTGCTTGCCCAGAAACTGTGATAGTAGGGAGGCCCGTGAAGGGAGTGGGTAGAAGGGGAGAGGGTTGATGTCTGCCATTTTAAAATATCTAGGGATATTCAATGTCCACGTTGAAAGTTTGAGGTAGCCGGTGTTGATGTTGCTACTCTCTTTATGAAGCTGTAGGAGCGCTTTATATATATCTTCGATCAACACCGTCGCATAAGATTTCCAGATCAGGGCCCCGGTTCGTGAGTCACTCTCTTCCTTCTCGGCGCGAGACCAAGTGAATTCTTTCCAGACTCCGTTGTGGTGATGCTTATCGGCCGTAGGCGTTAGCCGCCGGAGAAAGAATGTGCGGTGCGGATCGGCCGCGCAGCTTCGTCGAACACGATCACGGTTTTGCAAGGCCGCGGATGGTCAGAGGATGAGCTGTTTAGAATGCTGGGGGTAATGAATTCTACTATCGTCGCGATGTTACCTCCAAAGGGTTGATGTGCAATAAGCTGGGGGAAATAGCTTGACGTTGGTTGCGGATCTCGGCGTTAGTAGGGAGTGGGGTCCTGCATCGCGACGGGCCTATTAGACAAGCGACTGATAGGCGACAACACACAAGTTCATTGAAGATGTACGATTTGAGTTGATGGGGTAATACAAGGTACCGAAAGTCGTTATAGTTTGTGGAATGAGACAGCCACGAACCTCCAAGGCTTGACACTAGCGTGTAGACCGCCAAACCCGTTCCTAAGCGCCCGGTCCTGGCCACACGCTACTCAATCTCCTTCTTCTTCCCGTCATGGCACTTCCTGGACTAACACTGCGAGTACCTATGGCATTCGCTGCGAAACTGTTCTCGAGTATAGCGTCTTCAAGATCATCCTCCTCTTCAATTCTATGCACTACGTCCTCTGGTGGCTCCTCTTCAAACACGGCCTGCAGATCGGCATGTGGGCTCAACTGCTTCCAGCTCCTCCAGAAACCGATGTCCTGTAGCCATGTTGTGCGTTTGGAAGGTCCAGGGCCGTTGATACTGAGTTGGCGGCGGGGCTTCCACAGGTAGCGACGCTCGTAGTAGTTGATAGCGAGGAGAATAGGGAAGTTCGAGATACGTATCGCTGAGACGTTGATCTTGTGGAACCAGCGGGGCGACAGTATGAACTTGAGAGGGAGTAGAATGATGAACGCTAATAAGTTAAGGGGTGGGCGGTAGGCGAATAACGAATCGGACTTGACGCCTTCAAAGGTGAGCACGGCGCGACGGAATTGGATCTCGGCCGTCGCATCTGCTGCGATCTTGCTGAAAGTGTTGGAGAGGATCGAGACGAGGACTGTCAAAAACAGGGTGTTGCCCAGGAAAGCATATATCACCATCAGGGTAGGACCGAGAATCTCATGGAACCCAGGAGCTTCATCGATACCTTGGCCATCCAGACCGAACCAGATCCATAGCATCCATTTGGAAATAGTGATAGAGTTTGGTGAGTCTTCGTAGCCGACTGCGGGGTTGCTGATGCTGAGCCATTTGAGCGCCAAGAGGAAGCCGCCAAAGCACCATACAGCGATCAGACTCAGTGCTGTGAACTCCTTGACCATCGCCCTCAGAGCAATGAACAGCATGTTCTCGGGCATAAGGTTGAATGCGATACGTGGGAACAATATTGGGGACGCGACAGCAAGAACGTCAAGAGCTTGTCTACCCGTTTCGTCTTGATTCGTCATCCACCCATGGCACCGCATGCCGAGATAGATGAGAAATATGCCGGCGAATGTGACGTCCAAAAAGGCCCAAAGCTCTTGCGTGTGTACCTCCCAGCCATGCTCAAGGATTGATATGAGTTCGTCTAGTACCCAGCCGCTGCTGTAGAGTAAGAACGTGATCTCGGCACCAGTCAGGTAGTGATCTTGTCGCATGGTCATACACCAGCAGTACAGTGCGAGCAGTATGAAGAACTGTACAACTTCGATGATGTTGCGCGTTCTCGGTACCATGAGGCGATACTGGTTCAGTGTCGGTGCCTTGCGTGGATCGTAAAGCGAGATGGGCTTATACTTATAGTGATCCGGTATGATATCCATATAGACGGTTGGAGTGTATACGATTCGTCCCCGATAGATAGCGTCAATGACCTTTTGGCTCGCGGAGCCAGCTAGCAGTACCTTACTTTCGGATACGATAGCCACTTCCAGCGCCGTCAATTTACCCTCATTGTCACCCTGACCCTGGTACTCTGATATGTGCCGCGGTGGACAACGCTCTGCAGGCGCACCTTGAAACGGCTGGAATGGAGCGACCATGACCTGTGCTAAAAGTAGTAGGCCAGCTTTACCGGTAGATTCTTCGTCGTGCCGGCGCAGAATCTTCATGGCCACCAGCTCGCATAGATTGGCACGCGTTAAATCAACGGTCTGATGGTGTTGTTGGAACTGCTGTTCTCGAAGAAACTGCATGCGATTTACGAGCAGACAGTATACAATGGATATGTCTTCTTCATCGTAGAGACGGTCAACCAGTGGCTTTACGATGAGAACGTTCATACGAGGCTCTCGCAGCTGTTCAACTGTGTACGGGTCCTCGATCACAGCCAGGACGAGACGTCGTATCCTAGAACACGGTCAACATCCGCGTCGCGACTCATATCAACTGCGTTGACTTACCTGTGGATATTGAAATATGTCTTTTTGTTGTTATTCAAATCAGGTGCACTGGCTGTCCTAGGGATCATAGGTTCACCCTGTCCATTGAAGCAGCCATCAGATCCAGCGTAGTCCTCCTCGGGGAGTAGTGTCTCCTGCTCCTCCCTGTTCTTTGCGGATCGTAATGCATCGCTCAGCGTTCTCTGCGTCTCCATCATATGAGGGCGCTTCAAGTACTTCCTAAACTCGATGTGTTTTGATGGCTTCCGCTGAGGCGAAGGTCTACGCTTCGGTGAGACCTCCTCACCACCATTACTGGATGGTGCAACAGCACTGTCATTACTGTCGTGGCTTTTGGTGGGATTTGGATTGAACGGTGGCCGAGTGAACGTGCCGTAGGCAGGACTGCCGCTTCTGTTCCAGTCTGGGTTTGATGTTGGGCCTGACATATGAGACTTAGGTAATAGCGGTAGGCAAGTTTCCACAGGCTGCACAAGATAGAGCGGGTCCTTCTGGGGGGTGCGGCAGCGCGACAGAGATGGGTAAGTCTCACGTCTGAAGCGTGACTGGCGGAGGGTGCTGCCGTCTGTCGAACCTCAATGCGCTTCGCGCGTCGCGACAGATGGGCCTTGAAGTCGCTCAGTGTAATCGCTCAGGTAGTCTCGTCACAATTGATGGTTTTGCGTGGCTGCCGATAAGGTGGGAAAAGAAAACATGGCGCTGCGCCGGTTGAAGGGTCCGCAAGTGAAGTTTCACGCTAACGTGATCGGGCGAGATCTCCCTGATCGCCAGCGACGTCACCCAGTGACAGCATCGCAAAGCTGTCGGTTATCGCAGCAGCGTGCGTGTACAGCCATTATCTCCATCTTTCAACTATCATTTTAGGGTTCTTGCCTCACTTTTACGAAAGGTGTGACCTCGACCAAGTGGGATCTAGAGAGCTGCCACCTCGTCTTCGCGCACGTGAGCGACGCTATGCACGGGTGATTGCCCGAGTATCAAGTTTCCATGTTGACATGGGGGCTACATACCAACGACTGAATAGTATTACGAATGAGGCTGAGACGACAGGACTTAGGCGATATCGATGTTTGCTGAAGAGAGAAAGACGCCTAGGAACCTGGGAAAGAGACACGGATGTTCGTCAATTGCACCTTTGAGCGGCGTCTTTCATTATGCATATCTAGCTACTTCGTGTAACTCTGTTGACCGCTACATCTATTTCTCGACTCAAGCTGTCAGTCTCAAGACGCCATGATACCCGCCCCACGTCTGCTGAGGTTTCTCAATCGGACCGAACCGCCTCTGCGACGCCTACATCGACGCCCTGCGCCGTCCAAGACCCTTCTTGCTGTGTCTAGTCGTGTCGTCATTTATACATCAGTTCTGTGAGCCTTATGAGTTCTCACTGCTTAGGGTTTGTGGCAGGGTTGGTAGCGGCCTGGATGGGCTGCTTGGGGAAGATGTAGTTCCGCGGGTCGGTGATTCTGAAAAGACCATGTGGGCGGTTACAACGTCTCGAAACACCTACAGAGACATTCACGATGAAGTCTTGGTTACATTCCCGCTGGGGAATATACCACTTGATGGTGGCGAAGTCAACGTAGCAGTCTGCTAGAGAATAGCGCAAGGGGTCCCAAGCCAGAGTGTAGTTGTAGACATAGACATGGTTGATCACGTCAGGTTCGGGGGAATATTTGAAGCCGTTCGGCCAAGTGAAGTAGAAGTTGTCTACAATAGCGCGAAAGACGATCTGAGCGGAGCCAGAGTCTTCCATTTCCACAGAGAAGAGGTAAAGACTGCTCAAAGTGATGTAGCACATCCTGGCGGCAGCGTCCATGGGCGGGTCGCCAGCAGTTGGAAATTGTAATCGGGGAGGATCGTTGTCGCGAAGGAGGACGATGTAGTCACCGATGAGACCTGGCGGCCGGCTTGTCATGTCCACCGTGGCCTCGTGGATCTTCTCGCAGTGCTGAGCAAACCTTGCTGAGCGTTCGAAAACGAGGTCTCGACATAGTATTGCTTGCACGACATTTCCACTGTTTGGCAAGCGGTGAAGGAAGGTGACCATAGCAGGTGGCCTGTTGGATATGTGTTAGATGAAGACGAAGGCTTTGGTAGTGGGGCTTGTACTTTCTCATCGCATCTTGCACCTTGAGGAAATTTAAGAGGACTTGCTTGTCGGCCATGGCGAAAGAGACACTTGTTTGGTCCTGTTTGATCGAAAGGGTTCTGTGTGCGATCAAGGAGGGCGGGCGGAGTATCTTGGGAACAAGTTCAACATCGTTTGCCCGGTTTAGTCACGTTGTCGTGGCGCACGGAGCCTTTTCTTTCCCTTTCTTCCAGTACGTCATTCACCGTAATTACGCTCTTTCAGTAATCACCGCGTTCGAAATGCTGTGTTACAGGATTGATGTGTTGCAATTCGTCGTCTCTAGTAGCGGCGACCGGCTTGAGTACATATTCACTTGGCAGTGTCCAAGGCACGGTAATACCTAAGACACATGCGCAAAACGAGACGAGGGCAAAAATCATTGACTGCAACGTATGAGTCTGAGTCTGGTTTTCATGTGTGAGAACTTTGCCACATGATATTTTCTCTTTACTGAATGAGTACTACAACATCCCTTCTTTCCGTATCCAGCGAAATCTTTTGATCGCAATCATGGTCTCCGGAATGATCTTCGTCTCAGACGCCCGAGTATGAGATTACTAGCGAGTGTGATATTCCCACAAGAGCACCTTCGGTCACAATCCATCGACCGGACCATCCACGTAGAAAGCCGCTGTGAAGTTATCGAAGTTCCGTTGCTGATGATGATTCCATATCGTGCAATTCTTCCCATCTGGTGAGACGTCATTGACCCAGCCCGCATTTTGGCTTGCAACCCAATTTGCCGCCCTTCGATTCGCTTCGTTTATCGCTGTAACAAGATCATTGCAGACACATTTCGTAAACGCACTTTGATGTATTAAGGCATGTTGATCGATGCGTCGTATGCCGGTAAAACCGAGAGTAAAGTGATACGGGGGTATGCGGCAACACACCACCCATTTCTGTACCGCCAGTCCGGGCAATGGCTGCACTGCAACAGGCATGACGTGACCAGTCGCTAATGGACTATATACAGACATGGAGGAGACGGTTTAGCGGATGGAGGATGAGAATGGAGGACGAATGGTACACATTGTGCAGAAAGGTTAAGAGCGCGACTGATAAAGCCCAATAAGTTTGATGAGTCACGAGAGACAAGACAACAGTTTGACGTGGATCATCTATTCACAGACCAACAAAGATACATGCTGGTCCGCCACATCGCCCTTACGCAAAGACTGATCTACTCAGCGTATATCCCCAATCCTCTATGAGCATGTTCACTACTGCAAAAGAGGGCTCGTGCCTCTGAGGGGTTTGCTTGCTGTACGCCGAATGATCAAACCCAAAACTTACATCGTCTTGTGTGATCGTCGCTGCTTATCACGGTGTCGAATACATCGGCCCACAAGGATGTCTGGACACCTTCTCTCCACTGCCCAAGCCGAAGACGCAATCACACAGAGCCACATTTCTCATGCTCTTCATGAACGCAGCATGCCACGTCGACCATGAGCGAGACCTCAAATTGAACGAATAAGATGCGGCTCATGCATGGCGCGGATCCTTTTCTGCCCACTTATTGCCGCGGTAATATTGTCATCCACCGCGACTTTGGCCTAATGAATGTACCGTCCTGACCTGATAAAGCTTGTACAGAACTTTCCAATGTTCAAGGAAGGTGCTAAATACTTCGATCGGTTCGAGGAGATGATGGGGGTTGAGCAGCGCAGTCCGAGACAACGTGGCTACCTACCTAGGTAGTAGCTCTGGAGTTGATAGAAACTTCACATTGAAGACCTCGGGAATGATGTGGAGACTACGAAGGATAGTCTAACCAGGAGCAGAAAGGGGTAGCCAGAAGCAATTGGACCAGCGCGCCAGTCGGTATACAGCTTTCTGCGCGATGTTCATGTTGGAGTGGATGACGCCCGATATGTCAAGGCATCCAAGGATGCCAGTGTGGCATGAACTCTCGGCTGGTGCCTCAGCATCACCTGATTACGCGATGCCTCGCTAACACGACTGTTTGTATACACATAATACCATTCTCTCAATTGAGACAATAGCGCCTACACGGAGCTTCTCTCCGCTTCTAAATCGCGCCATTCTACTGAAAACTCCTCGTCTGTACTACCATCGTAACCCATATTTCCGGCCACGCAGCCAATGGGAGCCTCAGATTGTCCTTCATGGTACTCTCAGTCACCTAGAGATGGCGCATATACCGGAAATAGAGGCGTGCCTGTTTGTAATTGTCGGTGCCTGACAGGCGTCTATCCGTATTGAGACAAGCGGATCAAAGAGACCATCGCAGCGGGAGATAGACCAGATCCACCCAGTATCTGGGTCACTCCCGACCGATCCTCAGCCTCGTCTCTTGACTTTGACCAAGTTCTTGATACCTCACTGCTTCGCTGAACCTCGTCGTTTTGCTGAACCTCTTTGCTGAACCTCTTTGCTGAACCTCTTTGCTTTGCTGATACCTTTCACAATGGCCACTAACACTTTCCAAGACTACTACGCGGACCTCGGTCTCCAGCTTGGCGCTTCCACTGATGCCATCAAGAAGGCATTCCGTGAACTTGCTAAGACACATCATCCCAACAAGACCGGTGTGTCAGATGCCGCTGTCTTTCGCCGCGTTCGTGAAGCCTTCGAACAGCTCACCAACACCGAGTATCGCACCGAATACGACCGCACCTATATGCGTAACAAGTACCAGACTGGCGCTCCCACTGAGCAGAAGAATTATGATGCTGGTAACGAGAACTTTGGTGGCAAAGGCCCCGCCAACTACGAGGCTGGTAGAGCATACGAGTCCGGTAGAGCAAGCCCGCCGCCTCAGAAGCCGTTCCGCAAGCCACACGAGGCAAGTTGGCAGTACTACCTGAGCAGGGAGTATACCACGTGGCAAGAGAAGGACGCCGCCTACCGCATGAGGCACCCTGAGGTCTACGAGACGTATGTAGAATCCATTATCTTCAAAACTGATCTTTGCTGATGCTCTTCCCAGTCTGTTCGAGGGTGGACCCCCGACTCCCAAGTCTGGTGCGAAGGCACATGGCATGGTCGTGCAGATGTCTCACCCCTGCGGCCAACAGACTTGCATCTACGAGAGCACGGCATGGCGTGTTCAGGTTGGCGGTGATGATTTTTGTGTCTTCTGCATGGCCGCTCATACCGGCGGCATGAGATGCCCTGGTTGTGAGGCCCTGGCCTGCAAGACGTAGATACTGAGTCTAATGAATGGGACTTCATTTACCAACTGTGTAATCCCAAACTTCTCTTCATCGTGAATTTCGTCAGAAGCTTACACCCACAAGTACTTCGAGCACGTTCGCGTGAATGCCTCGTACAAGAAAAATAAAATGAACGGGTCTGTAGCCTACATCAGTATGAAAACATGCAAAGTAGATGGCCTAACGTCGACGTAGGCTCTAGGCTGTATCTGAAACCAGCCCCTTTGGTTTCACGCGGCAGCTGCTCGCGAAGCCGCGGTCGGTTGTTCCTGCCGCCCCTGATGGCGCATTGACCCCGCACGTCCAAGGCTGGGCACGACCTTGCATCATTGACGCGCCCAGCCGTCCCACATTTTAGAAACGCCGTGGTGTGTCACTCCACTTATTGACGCGCAAGCCCCTCAAGCCTATCGTCAGCCCGTACCGGGAGGGGACCTCCATGTATGACGCCCGGCGCTGTGCAGCTCCGCGGGTCATGATTGGGATCAGCTTGACCGAGCACAAAGCGGCTATTCTATTCGGGACACCACGAAGTTAGCATGCCGTGTTCGTATTTCCTGTCCTAACAACGTGAGTAGTGGCACGGGACAAGGACACTAATTCGTTCTACACCAATCCATTCCCATTCCATTCACTGGGCCATTCCCTCCCGGAGCTAGTGCTGTTTACAACATCTTGACGCATCGAGACCTTGACCTTCTACATTCCTTTGTGTTTGCTGGACATACACTCAACCACAACCGACCATCGCCCTTCGCTCATTTTCAACAATACAAGTCCACATTCAACATGGACCTTTATCGAGCTACATTCGCCGGATCGCTGGTGCTAAATGCACTTGCTTTCTACCAGTCGCACCGCTCACGTAAGGCGGCCGTCGTGGAGACTGCGACTACGGAAAAAAAAGACGAGCATCAGCATATAGAGCCTGATCTAGAGGGCTTGAGCAAGCTGAAGAAGCGCTTCTTCCCTATTTACTTGCTCGTCAATGCCGCGGACTGGCTCCAAGGACCATACATATACCCTATTTACAAGGGCATGTTCAACCAACCACTCCTTCACAGTTTGAAATGCTAACATATGTGCAGATGAGAAAGGACTCTCCGAAGAGACAGTCGCATTCCTATTCCTGACGGGATTCATCGCCGCCGGCATCTCCGCATCTTTCGTTGGCGCACTCGCAGACCGATATGGGCGCAAGACAGCATGCTTGGGTTACTGCGCTCTGTACTCTCTGTCGTGCGCCACTCTCCTTACCAACAACATCTACATTCTCTTCTTTGGTCGCATCCTCGGTGGTGTTTGCGGTACCGTTCTTTGGAGCGTCTTCGAAAGCTGGCTGGTTGCTGAATTCAACCATCTCATGCTTCCCGACGGCGAGCCCCACCTCAGCGCCATATTCAGCACGATGACCACGTCTAACACGTGTGTGGCTATCGGTGCGGGTATCTTCGCTGAGTGGGCAGTCAGAATGGCAGGCACCGCAAAGGCGCCGTTCATGGCCTCCATTGGGTGCTTGAGTCTGTCCTTCCTTGCCATCTCGAACTTCTGGGGGGAGAACTACGGCTCAAGCAGTCGGAGAGCATCAGAGACTGAGGGGCTGCTCCAGCAGGAGGAGGCCACCCCAGCTCCTCCAGCTACTTCTGCTCTCCGAACCATTCTGCGTGGTATGTTGAAGCATCGTTCCCTGAAGTCACTTTACTAATCGAGTTACAGATCGCAACATTATGATGCTTGCTTTGGTCTCAGGATTCTTCGAAGGATCTCTTTTCTTATTTATCTTCTTCAAGTTTCCAGCGCTGAAGCTCAGCCATAAACTGGCGGGCTCAACAGATGGTGAGCGATCCTATATTCAGCTTATGCCAACAAAAACAGGCTAACACCAGGTAGAACTACCATTTGGTCTCATCTTCGCCATTCTGATGTGTTCGATGATGTTTGGTTCGCTCCTTTACAAACACCTCTCCACGTCTGCCTCACCCGTGCCAGCACAGAAGATGCTCACAGGCATACTTGCACTTTCGTCCGCCTGCTTCTTTGTTCCTGGGCATTTCCGGGACGAGCGCGTCACGCTGTGGTGCTTTTGCATATTTGAGCTGTGCTGCGGAGTTTACTACCCCGCAATGGGCTCTTTAAAGAGCAAGCTTGTTGAAGACGGCTCACGAGCCAGCATTTACGGCATTCTTCGCATTCCACTAAACGTTTTCGTTGTGCTTGCCTTGAGCACTACGAAAGAAGGTAAGCATCGCCGCTTTGTTCGGAACAAAGAGCCTAAAGCTAACAATGAATCCAGGCGAAGCGCATCGCGACACGGTATTCACCACGTGCAGCGTGCTCTTGGTGGCGGCTGCAATTGTCGTTCACAAGACACTGACATGATCTCATCACAGTTTCCACTTTCCTTTTTCGTCCCCCTGCATGGCACTAAAACCGAACATAACCTCGGGAGCACACATCCATCATCAATGAGCCTCGCGTAAAGCGGAGCAGTATCCAAGATAGTCGCATCGCGAAATAGCGATTTACATGTATTATACCCACAGTTCCATTGATAGACACAATCGATCCTATGACATCATGCTTGCGACGCGTCTGGAATGTGCGTCTTGAAACGCGTGCGCCGTGCCTCAGCTGCAGGAGCAGCAAGACAAAGACACGGACGAAACAACCGCTTAATGATGATCAACCGACCCACATCTGCCCCGCCGCCTCATCGTCCGCCGTGCGGCTAATCACCCTCCCCGTCGCCCACTAGTCGCAGTGGCATTCTGACTGGTGCGAAGATAGCGGCGTGAGGCTTGAGCGGGGTTTCGTAACATCCAGGCCGCACGGGTCTTGGACGTTCTTGTTCGATCAATGCTAAATCTGTAACGGGGGTCTTCCTGATGTTTGGTTGTGATAAGCGCTCGGCAGATGTACACGTAACACTGTTGGTCTTTCCGCTGCTCTTGTTTCGCGTGTCCTTGGCATGTCTAAAGGGCCGATGTCCACCATGCCCCCAGACTAGGAGTCGAGTTGTTTGGGGCCTACTTGTCGTGAATCTTCATACACTTGGCTTCACTATTGTTTACTCCCTTTCTTCGCTCTTCTTTCTCCCTTTGTGTACGCTTGACGCGATTGTTACCTCCACCGATTCAACTCGGAGGTCATACATCACGGTCGTTCTTCGACTCAACTCTTCCCACTAATCCCACGTCACTCTTTTCCACCCGTAAAGATGTTGAGGTCTTTCGGTGGTAGGTCCAACTCCGTTGATCCTCTTTGAACACGTGCTAACAAAGTGTACAGCCCGCATATTCGCTGGAATATTCGTCGTCGTTTTCCTAATCGTTATTTTCCATAATGAAGAATCCGCTGGCACGGCACTACTTCCTTACCTCCCCGTCCTCCCATCAACAGGGTCCTCGCAACCCTCTTCCATCCTGCAAGCATGGATAAAAGACCGATCTGCGCTCTCGGAAAAGTCGTGGAAGAAGAGCGTTGAGCTCCGAGACCAGATGGCCAAGTCGCATCCGGACAACCCGAAGATTCCATTCTTCCCCATGGACTTCCTCAAATACCCCTTCACAATCTGGGACTTCTTCCCACCAACATGGACATGCCCCCACGACATCCAGCGCGTCGGCAGACTCGGCGATGGAGGAAAATGGGTATGCGGAATGAACATCTACGAGAGTCTCCCCGCGCCCAAATCCGCTTCCGCCACCATCGGATCGCAAGAGCCGCTCGTGGATGCGCAAGACGGTCTCGTCATGTACAGCTTCGGCATCAACGGCGAATCCTCCTTCGAAGCTGAGATGCTCGAACGCGTGCCCAGCGCTCGCATCTGGGGCTACGACTTCTCCGTCGACTCGTGGGGTCCACAAATCGCCGAGAAGCACCGCCATAAAACCTTCTTCAAGAAGGTCGGCTTAGGCAAGGAGGACAAGCACGAGTCCGACCCACCATTCTGGACCCTGCCCAGTCTGATGAAGCAAAACAACCACACCTACATCGATATTCTGAAAATCGATATCGAAGGCAGCGAATACGACGCTCTAGACACGATGATGAATGCTTTCGACAACATGAAGACTGCATCTGGAAAGTCTGTCCTGCCCATCGGCCAGGTCATGATTGAACTACATCTCGGCGACGGCATCAACCTCGAAAACTCGGGCGGCGGCGGCAGCGTAGACTTTGGCCGCTTCAGGTCATGGTGGGAGAGGCTCGAGCGCATGGGTATGCGACCCGTGTGGATGGAGATTAACCTTTTTGCTGTTACCCTGGGTAAGAGCAAAGCAAACCCGAGATGTACGGAGTACGTCTGGGTCAATGCCAAAGATCAGCGAAGTGTTCTTTGGAATGTATAAATAGCATCTGCTTCGGCAGCAGGATGAGTGGCGTTTGGAGCTTGACTCCGGCATCTTAGATATGACGTTCAGCCAATTCATCCCTTTTTTCCTCGTTGACGAAACGTGTTCTTGATTGAGGCGTAGGTTACTGGTGATGTCGTTGTACTTTCCTTAGAAACGCCGAGTTCGAGAACTGCCGTGCCTGAGGATGACGCTGATGTCAGATTGACGCTTGCCTGGATACGATCTAGCGCCTAGCTCTCCGCGCCGCTCTCAGGTGCTCACAGTGCTACTTCTCGTAACCCGCCATCTTTTCATCACGAACAAACCCCAAGACAAACAAAGACACATGTGACAACGCCAACAGAAGTCCGCCCCGCCCCATGCAAGACGTCCAGGCCCTAACAAGCCTTGTCGCAAGCCTCCCACCAGCGCCTCACATGCTGCACCCATGCCCGGGCAGCTAACGTTTCGGCGCCGAACACCGTCTGCGTTACAAGATCGAGCCTCGCAATCAACCCGAGATTGTAAGCATTTCACCCGAATAATCCTATGCAACCAGTGTTGTTAATATTGTGGTTCTGCGGATCCGCTGAGTATGATCGAAAGCTCCCACTCGGAGATTGGAAGATCATAATCAGAGAGGGGTGTTGATACCGCGGTTGGAACTAAGCCGTGATTAGACTTCCCCATGGGGCCGCTATCTTGAGCCGTTGCGCCCTCGTCGAGATCAAGGTCTAATATCCGAGGAGAGACCGGCAGTAAGCCCTAGGCATGGAAGTTTGGAAGTGTAGAACTTCCTGCGCATTACGCCACATAAGCTCCGCTTAATTGACGGTTCATGGATCCGTAGTGCCAACTGCGAGATCTGGGCTCTCACGACTCGTCTGAAACCATGCCAAGCGCCGAGACGTTAGTAGACCACCGCTTCTAGAAGTCTGGCTGCCCGGGGAGAAGTATGAAGGACGGACTGCTGAATTGCGAAGGTTCTGCAAGGACGGCGTTCAAAACGATGTCCAAACGGAACGATATACCTCAGTTTGAAGAGACAATCATCAAGAGCTTCGCGAAGGTGTTGCGACAATATCTGAGTAGACCGCTTTTGATGCGGGCCGGGCCGACGCCGTTTGGAAGGGTACACGTGTGCTACAGAGAAGATCCAACGGGGTTTGTAATGCGAGGTGAGTGCGATGCGTTGTCTTGCTCATCTATTTCTTGACCAAGAATGCAAATCGCATCTACGAGTCCATCACATCTCCATGAGCCGCAACGGGGAGGAAAAGCAAACCTTTAATGAATATCGGTGTATTGAAGCCTCGTTCCAATGGACATGATCGTGATCTGTACTACTCACCGCTACCAAGTCCACTCCCAAAGATCTTATCTACCCTGGTCGCTCTCTCCCATACTACCTCTCCCCTTCCGTCTTCTCCACCCTTCTTCTTGAAGTACAGTATGCGATGCTGAGGAATAAACTCCTCATCCGTCTGTTCCGTCTTCCATTTCTCGAGACCGGTTTCCTTCGCGCCCAAAAAGCGGTCCTCGTATCCAATAATATAATCGCTCGGATCAAGACTCGGGTCCCAGCGTAAACGGTTGAGCACATCGGATGCAGGTCGTAGTTTGGTTCTTGAAAGAGGTGTTGAAGTGGGCTTGGGGCGCTGGGGTATCGTGCGCTGAGGCTTGGTCTCATCGGCGTTTTCGAGGTCTTCATCGACCTCTTCTTCATCGTCGGAGTCTGAATCCATGTCTACGGCGTAGACACCCCATTCTCGATCGTCCAGTCGCAAGCTCTTGACGTTGCTAGATTTTACCAGCGAAGCATCGATCCATGAAGTGCTTGCGTCGAAGTTCTTCTCGTCGGTCCGCAGCTGCGTCAAGAAACGGTCCAGTACCTTTTCCAGAGCTTGTTTGGCCAGTTGCTTGTCGTCCGCGCTATGTACTGAGACGGCTTTCTCGGATTTCGAGAGGCCGATCAGGTAGCATCCCTGGTACTCCTTGCCTTCGTCCACGTCATTCGAATTGCTGTCGACGAAGCGAGCTGGCCAAATCTGCACTTCTGACTTAGGTATGGCTTTGTGAATGTCTACCATGGTTAGTAAGATAATTGCGCAATAGATGCACATAGCAGATTGCTTACCTATGACGAGCGAGATGCATCGAGACTCGACCCAACCGACGAGACTCTTGCCCTTTGCCAATGTGCGGCCCCAAAACTGAATGTCAACCTTGATGAAGTTGTTGTAGTTGCGGAGAAACTCTGCAGCTCCATGAGGGAGTTGCAACTCTAGTTCTGGAGCAGATGGTGCACCGAAGAACGCATCCCACTTCATTCCAGGCTCGCATAGCTGCTTCTCGGCGGTCTTGAATGCCTCGACCAGCAATTGCAGGCCAGGAACTGTAGCTGTATGAGCGATGTTCGAGTTGGGTGCGTGATAACCCAACACCACCATCGGCTCTCTTGCACTGCGATAATAGCGCGGCCTCTTCTTGTGGAATATGGCATCGTAGACCATGTCGTTTGTCCAATCGAATTTAGCGTAGTGACTAAAGAAACTCGCAATGATTTCTGCAGCTGTAACTGGGCCAGCATCATGCCCAAGTCTTTTGCAGACCCAGGAGAGCATGAGCGTGATGTGTACACCTCCAAGGAACCCGAACTTCGCACTATACATGCCGCGCTGGACAGCCCATAGCTTGATGGAACGATAAGCTAGGCGGAATGCAGAAAGCGAAGGCAATGTACGTTGAATGTGTAGCAAATCGCGGTAAGGCTTGAGCTTGCGGAGTGAGAGAATAGACAGGTTGAAAATGGGATCGGATGCTGGGATGTTCCGGAACTCATGCCACCTAGTTGCTGAATCTTAGCAGTGCTATATCACAATCGTTCCATGAGACTCACCTCTCGACGACCTGGGGTGCAGGACAATATTGCAGATCAATCAATATGCCGTTGACGGACAGTTCGAGCATGGTGCCGGTACTGGCCTCAACCTTCCGCAAGATCCTGACACCTTTAGCTTCTGCTTTGGCAAGTCGTTGCCGAGCGAGCCGGAAAAAGGTCTTAGAGCTAATGGTGCCGATACAAAGGCAGTCGATGTCCGAGTCTGCAGTCCATACACCCAGGGCGTACGAACCAACTGGCACTATAACCAATGGTATATCAGGTTGCGCTGGTTCTCCATCATCTGATGTACCCAGTAGTATGTGCTGGAGGCTTGCAAGTGCGTCGCGCCAGTCGCTCGCTTGATCTTCGTTCGGGAACATGCCGTGGGTTTCGAGCACGGAAACGAGGCTCGTACTCTCTGCCAAAGCTCCGTTCACTCGCTTGTGTTCAACGGCAGGCTGATTTGACGAGGCTGCTTCATTCCCGGTGCTCGCTACCGCTTCGTTCACCTTTATCTTCGCTCTTACTCCGTAATGGTCACTAGCTGCGACCTGTACACCGTCGATCATCTCCGGAACGCCGAAATGGTTGAAGCGGTCTATGCGAAGTGAGTCCTGCGGCCGAAATAGTATCCTATCGTAGCGCTGTGGTCGATCGTGAGAAGTCGTAGTCGTTCCTGCGGCAAGTCGGTTATTCTGGGGATCGAATGTCGCACCCTCTTCGCCCTCGAACAAATCTCCGGATGCAATTGTACTTGGTTCGTCCACTCCTTCCACGCGTGCAACAGACCAGGCATCAGATAGCCCAGCTTCCCGGATCTCGGCCTCAACCGTTGCTAATAGGGATACAGTCTCCCTGGATATGGACTGGCCCTTGATAGAGGTCTCAATGGTGTAAGTCGACGTCACTAGGTTGAAATCCCCTGCGATGACCCATGGCTCGCTTCCATAGTGTTGTTCTAGGTAACGTGTCAGAGTCCCCATCTGGGCTTTCTTAGTAGCGACTGAGCCATCAGTAAGACCGGCAGTCAAATGGACTCCAGCGACAACTAAGCTTCCCAAGCCCCTAAACCTAGATGCCGTAACGCCTCTCAATTGCGCAACGAGAGCACTCTTGTGTTTGCGATGGAAGGGGACTGAATGCCAGCTGAAAGGGTAGCGGCTCAGAATGACGACGTTTCGCAGACTGGGGAGAGGGCCCAGATCGTTCTGGCATGGCGGACCATGCGAAACGAATGGGTATCTTTGTGCAACATCCTGACGAGTAAAAAGTAGATAGTCGAGAAAGTCGTCGGAGACCTCTTGCAACACTAATACGTCGGCTGTCGCTTGTTCGGATAGAATAGTGTCTACGACCAACGGATCGCGGTCATGATCTGGCGGATACTCCGTGTCCACCAGGACATTGTAACTCGAAACAGTGATTTCCATCACTTCAGCCTCGCTCTTGTCCTCACCTGTATGCGGCAACCATCTAGATTCGTTGGGGTTAAAGTAGAGAGCTGGTTCTTCGCGCACCTCTTGGTTCTCAGGTACAGATTCTTGCTGGTTTTCATCGCCATCCGATCGAAGCGCGGGCGGATTCAGGTTGGGTAGCTTCACCCAGTGGTCCGGAATATGAGGTCTCCAAACATCGCCTGGAGCCCCAATATCGATAGTTCCATACAATCGCATGTAATCTGTGGATTGTGCGCCAGTCGTTCTCTCGCGGATCAGGATAGCAAGCGTGCCGACGCGGAAGTGCACATGTGGCAGTCTTTGAGCCTTGGCTAGGAGGTAGGACTGCGAGAGTAGAGGATTGCCCTGTGTTTGACCGATGGTGAGGTGGGGTGTGAATCGGGAAGGGCCTTGGCCCAAAGCTTGCAGTACAGTCGTACGCAGCGAGACGAGAGGCGAGTCGCCCTCACCACCGTCATCGGTACCAAGAAACACGGTGAAGTTGTTCTTTTGAACGAAACCACCCGCTTGAGCCAGTTCTACATCGATGGGTGTCTCTTGAGTTAACTGCTGTGCCAAGTACCCTTGAATCTGCTCCTGTGCTTTTGGAAGCTGCTCTGGTGCAACGAAAGGGTATACGAGGTTGATGTGAGGTGGCCACTAAAGAATTGAAAGACCCTAGTCAATGTGTGCTTTCTCTAGGTCTAGGGCATATATAACTCACCTTCCCATAAGCCTTATCGTAAAGTTCCCGCAGCTGATCTACGTGACCGCATTGAGAGGCGGGCGGGATGATGCACAACGCTGTATCGTATGAAGTCGTTGATATCCGCGCTGGAGGAGAGGTATGATCGGCAGTCGCCATGTCAGAAGAATAAAATGAGATGCAGAGAAAAGAATTGAAAGGGGTATGCCGAGTAAGTCAGAAAGGATTCTAACGTCTAATGATTCTGGTCTCTTGTAAGTGTACGGCCATCTTTATGTCTTGTACAAGAGACACGCTCAAACACTTTACTCCACTCCGTGAATCAGCCTGCTTCCCAATCAGGCGATACATATGACTCCTGGGGTTCTTAAGCCTCATGCACGAGGCGCAGGCCGGGTGAGCGAAGATGAGTCATTTGCGCTAACCAAAACGAAGCGATGACTACCTTCACAGCTGCGTGCCGTGCTTCGCGAACGCACGCAGTCGAACCTGTATCGCGGAGGTATGTGTAACAGCATGGAGCGTACCGCAAGGTGACTCAAACAAAGTCGGGCCTGTTCATGCCAGGGCGAGATGATGGCTGTGTGGGAAAGCTCTCATCGGCCCGAGGCCCAAGTGGGGTTGCGCCTGCGCCTCACAGGCTGCGGTGCCCGGGCACTACGAACAATCGATCCAACCTTCCCGCACATAACGTTGTTGCAACCTCTGCCAGCCAGCAGCTATGGTCGGCTTCCTGGATCTACCGAGCGAACTAATTTTCATTATCATCGACCTCGTGCTCTCGTCCCCTGCCATTTTACCGAAGAACGGCACGCGTCATCGGCCCAGCTACCCAACACAATCACGCAACTTGTACTGTGTACCGAGCCTGAACTATTTGAAAGATTCAGGGGTTCTGAGCCTTCTACTAACTAGTCACCGAATGTATCGCGAGACCAAAGAATTTCTTTCAAAAGCACCACGGAACTTCGAGGTCGATATTGCGGTCATTGATGACCACTGGTTCTGGCCGACAAGGCGCGTTGTTCCCTTGCGCAAGCTTGAAGGAACCATCGAGAGATTAGACATCAACATTATCCCGTGCTGTACCGCAGAAGAACGGCATTTGCAGACGAACTGGGATCAGGGTCCAGTGGACTTGTCTACTTTCCACTCACTTCTCTCGGCGGGACTGATGTCCCCACTGACTCGCTTCTTAGTCGAAAATGATGCGGAAAGCCCTACATCACAAGGTTCCCAGGGCTTGGAAACATGGATCGACCCACCGTTGGATGAACACTTCGATAATGGCCGGAACCCACCTGTTAATCGAATTGATACTATGACTATTAACTTCGATTCGGGGAGGTATGGAAACGGCAATGGAGCCATTGGGCTTACAGACATACCGTTCCGTAAGACTAAAGGCCTAGCGCATCTCAACTTTGAGCAGCTGTACCCAGTCGACTTCGCAAAATCAGCAACCTACCTTCGCGAAGTGAGCAGATACATTGATGAGTGGACACTGGTCAATTATGGCACAAGGAGATCAGCGAGAAAGATCAGGAAGATACAATTCTACCTCGATGGAAAGATGTCGAGAGAACTGAATACAGAGGTATGACGGCCAAGCTGCCCCGCAAGACGACACGATGTGGAACTCACAAACAATCCCAACGGCATACAACATCAGCGATATCTGGTCCATTAGATCTAGTCAACAAGCTTACCTTCGGCACCATGGCTATGGTACCACCTCATACAAGGAAAATTCTGAACCCCTATCTCCTAGAAGTCTACATTACCTTAGAGCTTCGTTAATATTAGCTCTTAAGCTAACGTAGGCGGCAGAGCATCTGTTCACAGTTTTCCTTGTATGAGGCGGTACTGTCAGCTCAGCGCATTACCATCTCTCGGGATATCAAGCGGCTTTGAGGCGGTGACGACTTCATAGGGAACAGCATTTGCTGCATCGATTCGAACGTCACTTCCAAAACAGGAGGGCTAGGATGCATTCCAAATGTTTGACCGTATAAAGCGCAAGGCTTGACCCGCCCTCCGGACAGCACCAAGCGATGCGGAATGATATTTGGATGCGAATGCGATTAGCGCTCAACAAAATTGGCAGAGCGAGCATGCAGAAGTTCCTCGCACAATCACTTCTTGACCGAATCAAGGAGCATTCTGATCACTCTATGCTCGCGCAATCTGGTTTTCATGCGAGAATCGATTAGCGGAATCCTAGCCTGTTCATAGCTTGGAACTGCAGAAACAAGCTCCAACGCGATCACCGCCAAAAGCAATTGCCCACCGGTGGGATCGTCATTTCACAATGATCAGCCCCGGGATCGAGCGATGCGGCAGCCACGACGGGTATGCTATTGGAGATCGGCAAGGTTCTGACGCGCACTGAACTGGTTGCCCACACATGGCATTCCCTCGAAACACGGTTGAGAAAAAGCATGGAATGTTTTTAGTGACGTACTTGCCTTCAATACGTTAGCACCACATTAGCGACATCACGTGCATTGATATTCAATCACCAATCACGCCTATGTTGTGGCTTGTCTTTCGGCAGCTACCCAATGTAATGACGCACCGAGCAAGCGCAAGGGCAAAACGCCTTTGTCATGGAACCAGCCCAAGCAAAATCTCCGCGGTTCCAGGTTTGATGTGGATGCGGAGTGGCTGGAAGCGAAGCTGACGGTGACGGTGAGTGACGATTGTGTCGAATGCGTAAGAGGGGTCTGGTCTTCGTGTCTCATCATACTTCACCCATCTCCAGGGCTATAAGACACTTGCTACACTTGCTCTCCCTTTCTCAAACACTCAGCAAAACTCATCAATCCATCCTAAGGTTAATTCCATCAACGTCAACACTTCTTACACCAACATGGCTCGTACACAGGGCCCCATTGACGGCCCAGTCGATTACCCAGCCGTCGACAAGCGCGAGCAAACTGGACTTTTGACGCGTTTTGTTCCCGAAAAGTTGAAAAACACGTCGTTTTACCGTTGGTTCTTGCGATTCACTCGCCTACTCCAATTCATCTCTTCAGTGGTCTCCCTCGGTATCTTTTCTCAACGACTCTACAAAGTATACCGCCTTGTGAACAGCGTCAAAACGAGCCGCGGAGTAAACGGTAGCTTTGGTGCCGTTGAGGGCATCCTCGCAGCTGCTGTACTATACACCCTCTTAACAATCTTGCTATCTTGTATCAAGAAGTCTGCGAACCCGGGAGGTAGGACTCTCCGGTGGATCTGGGTACTTCTCGACCTAGCGTTTGTTGGTGCGTTTATTGCTGTGGCAGTGTTGACACGCCCGGACGGTGGCCTCGCTGGTGCGAAGCACTGCTACAATCCTAGACGTCTGGCAAATGGCAGTTCTCCCAACACCATCACTGGGGAGACAGCCAGCCGCGATGACTCTTGCAACCTCCCGTGGGGAACTTTCATCCTAGCAATTATCAGCACGCAAGTTTTCCGTTTCCCAGAATTCCGGAAACATCTTCTAACTATCTACCAGGCTCCTCCATGCCATTACCGCTTCTTTCCACGAGATTCGAGAACATCGCCGAAACAACAGGCTCGAGAAAGAGAAGGCTGTTCACCCACAAAACGAGGCGGCGCTGTAGGCGTTTCATGCCATATGCGCAGCCCACTTGTGGCTGTGTAAGACCATAAGGCTTGGAGGGTGTGAGGCACAGATGAGGTGTGCGGCATACAATTCTTTCACAAGTATAACGAATCAACACACATGTATACCCATAGTGCATCAGCCCAATCCTTGATGCACTATATTTTCACGAAAGTTTTGTTCAGCGATGGCGCAACTGGGTCGGAGTTTCTGTAACCGCTGGGCTAAAGAGTCCGTCATTCAAATAATAATAACACATGAAGTACATGTTTCTACTCGAAAGTGCCTGTTAATTTGGGATGCCATTGCTCGAAGTAACAACGCAACTAGGTGTGGGAAGACTTTGTGTCGCATAGATACTGCTAGATCTTAACAACTAGACGGTTGCTAAAGTTATGTGTACTCATAGCTCAGAATTTTCTGCATAGAATGCGACACGAATTATAGGCCCTCCTAGTGACGCTGAACATTTTGAAGAGCCTCCCATTGGCCTATGAATCGCTCAATACAGCCTTTTCGAAACCTTCCGCGAACTCTCTCGCTGAAGAGATTGCTCCAAACCAATACCCGCCTCTGGCGTCCTTGCCAACACAATTTCCCACGCCTCCTGGACCTTTACCCAGACCGTTTACCCGTCTATCATTGCCATATACACTAATGTACGTAGGCCTTCCTTTAGTCGGCCTAATCGTCGACCCATCCCCATCATCTTTGTCAGAAACAACGGCAGCGCTAAAATCCGTCTCGAACAACTTCGCCTTTGCCCAATTCGAGAACACGAAAACCACCGGCGCCATCTGCGCATCTGCCGGCGGCGTAGCTTTCTGCTGTCCGCTGCGGCTAGCACGCTGCGAAGCTTCCACAGCCTCTCTAGTCCCCTGCTCAACGAGGTCTTTGCGAATACGAGCCGCAATATGACCCAATGGCATACTGAGAAACTGCTGTACGCTGAATGGGGAGATGATTCCTGCTGTGCAGTTTGCTACATATGCTTTTCCTCTGGGAATCAAGGCTTCGTACTTGGATGAAGAAGTCGATAACACGTCTCGCATGCCCAAGACGTTCAGGATTACAATGGGTCGAACGGGTCGGGAGTTGAGAAGAGAGGTATTGGTGGATACAAGATGCCGGATTAACCACGCTGAGAAGATGTCGCCGTCTGAGAGGAAGGGCTTTGGTGCGGAAGATGTCGTGGTGTTGTAAGTGATTTGGGAGGCGTCGAGAGAGGTGAGATCGCGCGTTGCTTCAGTTCGCAGGCGAGTCATGTAGTCTGCAGGCATGTAGAGCATGCGGCCGTTCTGCATTGTTTCCAGTCTGAAGAACTGGGAGTAGAGGTATGCGAACGTTGCTCTGGGGTCTACCAAGCGTGAAAGCCAGGTCTTGAGGTTTGACAGCACCATCCAGATTTGAGACTGCGCCTCCTCTTGCACCTGCGCATGAGCGGTACTCGTACCCTCTGCGTCCTGGTTGTCTTCGTCGAGAGGAGCTCCAAGTTGCTCCAATGGATCGAAATCGTAGCCCCAGAATTCTGGTACATCGTCGTCTCTTCCTTCCAGTACCGCTGTCCACGCTCTTAGTAAAGTCTGTCGTCCCATCGCGTCGAGAAGCGTGTGTAGCCACGTCAGGGTAACAAGTGACGCATCCTTGAAGCTCGCTACATGTAAACCTAACTGCGCTTTATCATCGTAGAGCCAGTCATCGAGGAATACAGTACCATCCTTTGCACGCGTAATCTCGCGTAGCGACTCTCGAATGTCGAAGACTTGGATTCTGTCGTTACGCTCGTCTGCACAAGGGAATTGGCGACCAATAGGGTGATCCTTTAATTTGGTGTTGTAGGTCTCATGGGTGAAGTTGACTGGTGGGCGCTCTTTGGTGTACTGTGTTGGTATGTGGTATTCCAATTTGTCGTTGCTGGTGTTGAGGCGCAGTCGCGCTCCCAACTTCCTCCAGCCCGGCTTCTCCAGCAATCTCCATAATGCGTCGACAAGCTTCTGCTCATCGATAACATCGTCAAAACACATTGTGAATTCGATTGATATGTTTCTGTTTTGCTCCGTGTCGTCGCGGCTGTGAAGTGGGATGACGAGATCCGTGGGTATAGGCGGAGGAGCGACTCGCTGCCTAATGAAGTAGTTCGATAGAAAGGACATGTTTGAGAGTGTGAAATCTATCACTGGGTGCCTCACAGAAGAAGGAAAGGAGGATGAACCGATGTCCTGTCATTTTTGGTGCGTATAGATACTTCAAATATATGTCTTGCGTGTAAGCGACCCGAAACCAAATGCATGTGCCTTAAGCAAAACGGTATCTCACGTGAGAGGTCTCGGATAGTCGATTGCACATCGCTTGTACTCCTTACATTCGCATTGAAGGGCGTTCAGACGTGCGCCTACCAGCAGTAAGAGTGCCAATCATATGTCCCTGGTCTCGATGAAGGGCTAGGATTAAGTAGCCTACCGGCTGAATGTGGGTAGTTTCGCATTAAGGCTTACTATACGCCAAGCCTTGCATACCAGTTAGCGGGATCTCGGGAGAGTCTAATCCCCGACTTGCCGGCAAGTCGAACTGTGCGAAGGTCGTGGCGGATTGAAAAAAGTCCGAGAGTTTCCTGAGACCGTATCAACGGACAACATTCGCCGTCGCCTGCAGCCTTTTTGTAGCCTGGGACTGAGAATTACATGCAACATATAGCAAATGGAGATGTTGTAGATGATCGTGATTTCGTAAGTACCGTTGACAAAGAAACGTCAATTGCCAGGTCCAGTAAAATTCCCAATAAACACAACCAAGATCGCACAGTAGGCTGCAGACGCAGCGAATAGTTCATGCCTCGCCGCCTTGGTCAGTAGACTCATCGCAGCACTGAATAGTAATGTAAAGACTATCAGCACACCAACCGCGTTGAATGTATCTCGCTTGTTGATGTCGACTTGACTTTGTGTGGAAGTGTTGCCTGATGGATCCGTCTCAATATGGGCGGCAGTGTTTGTCAGCTGGTACATGGTGATGACTGGTATCACGAGCAGACAGAATATGATGAAGGTGATGAGGACGTTGACCAATTTGTCGACGCGAGAGCTGCTGTAGTAGGAGATGTCGGCATCACTGGTCTTCTTTTGCGCTTCTGGGGTTCGGAAGTATTTCTGTGCATCATGTTAGCGATATGACTCTTCCGATTTGAAGATTGGGTTCATGTACTTGTAGCGGGGGGTTTTCGGTATTGAACATTTTCTGGAGGAAGCGGTCTGTTTGCCCTATCATCGTCTCCACCCCACCATCGAAACTTGCCCATTCACGACCATTATGGATGGTGACTATGTCTTCTTTGGTGCGAATGGAATCAAGTACGTCATCCATGAGCGGCTTCTTTTTGTAGCAGTAGCGTCGCACGCTGCGGTAGTTGCGATCTGATGGCTTTTGGAAAGACTGAAGTTCTCTTGCCTTGATGAGCACCTCATCTATAACCCACTTAGCCATCTGCTTCTCACTAGGATATTCGCGGTTGATGCTAAGATATACATACCGTATTCGATCAGTTTAGCTTTGATCTCGCGAAGTATGACTCGACGGCTGCGATCAGCTCCTTCACCGATAGGCTGCTGGATGTCGTAATCTCTTGATTTCAGACGACTGGGATTCTCTGACGCATCCTCGCAATCGATCTCATCGAGTTCTCTTTCCAAACAGGTGATCTCATCCTGCAAATCAAGAAGCACACGTGCATGCAGGTACCCAAAACTTCGATATAATGCAAAATTTGTGTCACTAGCTTGGAATGCTGCAAGCCTTGGGAAGCCGTTAGGTGTATCTTCCACTGCCTTTCATCAGTGACAAGCGATATGAAGAGTCTTGAATATACTCACGTGTCCGAGTGTTGGTCTCAGTCACGAAGAGAGGTTCTGGCTCGGAGCGGAATGAACCTGTCATGCGATGTATTACCCCAGGCCGCTTGTTGTCATTCGCTGAAGAAGTGTCAGTGTTGCTCATACGGATGCCAATCATAACCCTAGATTGTAATCACGTCATGCATACGAGCTGGCTGACCGGTGTGAGCCATCGCGCTTCAGCCGATGCCGAGCATCGACCATGTTTGGCGCTGGGGGCCAAAGCAGTCGCATGGAGTGACCTACAAGGCTGTGCACTTTCGATGTCAACGTCGACATCACCTGAGGTCGTTGGCAATGAGGGCGACATAGTGGGATGGTAGTCGCTATTTTCGTCCGCTACTTCGATGTATGCGTCACCCCTTAGGGTTGTGTCGGTACCCGTTGGAGATACTGGCGATTGAGGTGTCTTCTCATCGGTAAACGTATCCCCGGTCATGGTACGAAGAGGGGTCATGGCGAAAAGAGACAAGCGAGGCTTGCGTGACAGCGTTGAACGAGCGGACGAAGAGAAGACGAGCGAGGTATTCCGCACAATCAAATATCACTCAAGCGAACATTAAGAGTGTATTGTGGCTAATCGGTTGTGGCAACGGAAAGGTGTAAGTAGTATTGAGCAACGGGAATCAGAAAGATGATGGTCGTATGGGAAAGACTCAGCCCCAACGCCCCCTCTCACAATTGGCTGCGCGCGTCACAAATTCAGCTGCCTGGTGACATTCCGGTGAGCTCAGCCTCAGGCAATATAGCACTGTTCAGGCGCCGGCCCTGAGGTCCCTTTCGCGTGTCCAGCTGCCGTCCACTATTTGCGTGTAGTAGTCTTGAAGCTGATACTCGATCCAGCCATGAGGGCTGCTCCTGCGCGCGTAGATGGTATAGGCGGACTTGGATTGAGCACCACCAGGCGCTGATGCCTTCTTGCGCACTCTGTCGCCCTTGTTGAAGCGCGCATCCGCCTGAGTCTTTGTTAGAGAAGGGTGTTGCGCTCGGAAAAGAACAGACATACTAGATCCGCGTTTGTGATTTGTGCAACCCCAGACTTGGTCAGAGGAGTTGGGTTTTCGGGTGTAGAGTCCAAATTTTGACCCTGTGCCTGCGTATCAGCCCTGCGTCGCTGATATAACGGGGCGCGACTCACCTCCACAGCCTGAACAGGCTGATGTTCGAGCATGTCGGTTGCCATGATTGCTGGAAGTCTGTAAAGCGAGGCAGGATAGCCTTGTAGGTGATGCCCTTGGGAAGGAGCAGGCTGTCTTCTGTTATAGAGAGGGCTATTGCTGGCCTCCGTGACCACGTACTTGCTGCAGCCCCAGGCAACACAGGTTCGTGACCGGTATTGCTGATAGTCGGGACCCCTTGAGTTTGCACAGCCGCAGCTTGGAATGTTTGCTTAGGTGCATGCAGCGATGCCGCACCAATGCGCCATAGCCCCATCTACAGGTGTCCTACCGCTGAGAAAGCCGTCATCGCGAACGGCCATTTACCGAAAGAGGCTTTGGCACGGGACGGAACGCTCAGTTCTTAGTAAGACGAGCGTTGGGGGTGCATGGTGGAGGCACTGTCTGTGGCCCCCATCATGGTGGTGTGATTGCGCCGTGCGCTGATTGGCCAAGGCCAGCTGCATCTGCTATCTCCGCACTCTTCAAGCCGTGGTGCATGTACCCAATATGGGGGCTGAAGGTTGCTCCAAGGCTAGGAACTCCATGCTTCAAAATGGCGGGCACCTGCGAACTCTCTCAGCCTCGCAGCTTAGAGGCTTTTCCACCCAATGGCTCCCCTTCCAGACTCGACGATGCGCGTCGCGAACGCAGCAACGACGGCCGAGATAGCCCCTCGCAACGCAAACCCGCTCCCCGACAAGGTCATCAATGCCGACATACGCATACGGTCGATTGAAGACGAGCTTCAGCGCAGCGGACAGACTCCCCCAACCCAGGAGACTCTCGTGGAGAGCACGCCCACCAAGGAACATGGCGACGCGAGTGTAGAGTCGCAAAAGAACTGGTGGGCCGAGGCCATTGCCGAAAACATGGATCTGGCAGATGGCTACACCAAAGTCGCAGTGCTATTGATCAAGTGGGAGGACGGTCTCGACGAGCTCATGACTGGTGACGAGGTATGCCAAGGCGGAACGCGTCGCGTCGCGTCCGGACTGACTGACTGACAATTCCAAAGGCCAGAGAACTCGCATCCCTCTTCAGCGATCGCTTTTACTACCAAACCAAGACGGTCGAATTGAATGTACGAGAGAAGCCACAGCACCAGCTCAACAAGCACGTCAGTCAATTCATCTGCGAGCATGACGGAACACAGAGTCTGCTCATTGTCTACTATACTGGGCACGGCGTTTATCAAAAGTCCACCAAAACTTTGGAGCTCACCGTCACTCAAAACCCCGATGAAGAGAAAGGCCTTAGCAAGATAGGCCATGCGAGCTGGAACATGGCAGAGGAGCAGCTCCGCCAGCCAATCGTCGAGGCCGACGTACTGACTATATTGGACACTTGCTACTCTAGCAATCTTGTCAAGTCCAGCCGGCAGGAAGAGAAGAAATTTGAGCTACTTAGCGCCTGTTACATCGACGAGACGACTGCCGCCCCCGGCCCCAATTCGTATACCCGTGCTTTCATCGACGCTGCCACATACTTCCTCGACAAAGATCCCAAGCGTCCGATATCTACCTTCAGCCTAACACAGCGCATAAACGAAGACAAGAGGCGCATCGATACACCGTCGCACCTCTGGGGCCGTAGCCGGATCCCCCAGCCAAATCAAGAGCACATCTTCTTGACGCCCCTCAGTCCTGCCAAAGCCGATGCTTTACACCAATACCGTCCAAGAGCCAATGGGTTCTTGACCTTACGATTCGGTCTCCGCGACGCCTCGCTGAACCAAGCACAAATTGATTACATGGCCAAGCTTCTTACAAAGGCATGGAACAACAAGGATTCGATAGGCTTGAGGAGAATCGACTGCATAGAAATGAAGCCGGCACCACCACTGTCGCACTTCGAGCGCGTGACATCCGTCCTGCGTGTCAAAGCGCAGTGGAAGAGGGTCATTGCTAGGAACAAGGAGAGAAAACAGTCGCAGAACGGCGGTGATGCGAACGGGTCGGTGAAGCGCGCATGCGAGGACACAAACGAACTACCACATGCCAAGAGGCAGCACCTGGGCCCAATACCCCCGCCATCACCGGCGGTATCGGACGCCTAGGGCGGCGTTTCACTCATTCCTCTTCGTTTCCATCATTGCAATCCTCTTCTTTTCAGTCCTGTTTGAATTTCGGATACCCCACTCGTGCTTGTCGTAAAGATTACGTTCTATTTTTATATATCGGTCATTACATATCTAATGTATTCGCAACTCAGATTGCACTTGATTCGTTGCGGCCATGCATTTCCATCGGCTTGTACTCGGAGGTTGCCCAAACAGGTGGCGCCACTTTTTGGTCTCACCACCATCATCACGTTAAGCCTCGACACTACAGCAGGATAATGCTAGACACGTAGCACACTATATACAGAAATGCCTCGAAAATTCCTTCTCTGCTCCTGCTGTATGATACCGTGATCGACACGTTGCGCTGATCATTTGCAGTGTGGTATAAAACCGAAGCTTCCACGAGGATATGCTCACATCAACATCCAATCCACCACTTCAGCCTACAATTCGACGTCGCAGTATAAGCTTCATCGCTATTAGCGATCAACCAATCTAGTCATCAACATTCTACCACCCAATGGCTACACCCAGCACAACCGCCGCTACCATCCTGACACCGGACCGACACAACCTCACCATCGGTCATTGTCGCGCGCAACGACAGGCACTCTATTCATGCACCGACCTTGGTACACCCACGCTGCTACAGAAGACCTCGAAACCCATCCTCTTGACCCCACGGGTAAGTGAGGATGAGTGGGCGGAAAGTCAAGAAGAACTTGAGCGCTGGGGTATGAGAGCCACCGAGACGAACAAGCCAGGGTTTAGTCAAGTCACAACACCAAGCCGTTCGCAAGGAAGGGGTTTGGAGTACGAGGAGGTAATAGGATTTTGCTAATGGGGAGGAGGAAGACGAAAGAAGAGTGTTATCAAGACTTCGCCATGGGAGTCTGGTGCTGCGTAGAAGAGGGGAATAAGGTAATGTCATGTGTTATGAGATAGCCGTGAGCGTAAATCTGAATATTGGGTTCAACGATATGTCGCACTACTTCATTTTCGACCCTTACATTCTCTTAGCCCGCACTCCCTTAGCTCGTACTCTGTCTCCTCGATACTCTACTTAGTCAGATCTGAGTCGGTCGACTTAACAAGGGGGGGTGTTCAAGTCACTAAGTATGTCATGAGGTAGCGGTGAGAGACAGGTAGAGAAGGCAGGAAAGACGCCTTCGCCATCTTGACAAGAAGTTGCTTGACGGCTACATCTTCTCGCTGTATAACACATAGACTGTGTTTTGACATTTGTATTCTGCAAACTACATCTTCCGTGCCCTCACTTGAAGCCTCTTATTAGAACAATCACCATTTCGTGTTGCTGCACTTTCTGATTTGGTGATCTCTTATATCGCAGAAAACGTAGGGCAGGGTCTGGAGAGACGCGTCGAAGTATACAGGCGGCAGCTTGTTAGTAATAGTTTCTCTCACGTGTTGCACTTACCAGTCACACTGCTCTTCATATAAGCGTGCAGCCGTATTGCGAGCATACAAACATTGAGCGTAATCTTCTTTCTTTTCCATAGAACTCAATCCAACTTCACATATCTAGGTATCGGTTACCTAACCGTGTTTTGTTGCCTTTCTCTGCATCAATATTCCACCGTAATACCAAGGTACCTTTGAGACGAAGTGAGTTTCCGCCAGTTCGTGTTATTTTAGAGCACAATAGGTAGGTATGGTGAAGCTAATTTGTGTAGAGAATCGAAATGTGTCTCACCTTGGCGGGCAACCGCATCCCGCTGAAGCTCCCTAAGCTCACCAACGAGGAGATAGACAACATTCCTTCACCGCCCAAGTTCGTCGCTCCTGTGCGCCCTCCTACACCCTCTCTGCCTTCCACAACTCCTCCGCCCTTCACCTCCACCTTCGCCGTCACCAAACTCGACTAGGCTTTTCTCTGTTCTACAAGTTGAAGACGCAGATCCGAAAGAGCAGGGGAAAGGCGCTGAAGCGGAGGGAATAACAAAAAAGGGAGGGGTAGGTAAATTTTGAAAATGCGAGATATTCCGAAGGAGGGAAGGCTTGAAGTCACAATCGAAGGATACATGCATTAAATACAAGACGTGTGCATTGGGAGAAGTACATCAAAGTTGCAGTGTCAAAATGGTGATGTCTTCGTATCGGGCTCGGCACGATACGTGGGCGGGAGATCCGCTAGCGGCGCATTGCTGATTGGTTTCATGCAGGTCCGCTTCAACCCCAGAAATAACTCCCCAAGCCGCGCATCGTGAGCGCCGCTGCCACCAAAGTGTTGCGCCTGTGCTGCTGGCGAGCGCTTCCGATAGTCTTCTAATCTTGCAGTATGTAGAGCGCGAGTACGTCTACTGTACCAAGGCTCGAATCCGTTCGGCATCATGGACACGATAGCAGTGGCCCCAAAGGCGTCGGCGCTGGCGTCGCCCAAGATTGTTAAGAATGCAAAGGGCAACATTGTGCCGAGCAGCCAGATGGCGCATATCGCATATGGATGCGGTAAGCGCTCTGTCCTTCAGATTGCCTAAAGGAGGCTACTAACACATCGCAGAGCACATGGGCGAGATGTTTGAGAAGGCGCGCAAGCAGACGCTTCAGCACTACCGAGCCATCCTCCAGAATATCCACGAGAAACCGAGTATAATAGCCCAGACGTACACTGCGCCGGCAGATGCGCGCAACGTTGTGTCGCTGAGGCCGCTGTACTTATGTCTGCAGTGTCCGAGCATCATGACCGAGGTGGATCGCGATTTGCACTTTGAGACCAAGTCGCACTGTTTCTGTGGGTTCAGACGATACCGTATACTTGCGAAGGCTAACAGGAAGCAGCTGTAGAGTCGCGAGACGGCAACATATACTGTGGCAATTGCCAAGACTTCATCTACGACGAGACGTTGGACGTGCTGAGAGTACAGAAGGGTGCGTGATTGGCATACTCGGATTCGGAAAGATCAAGGTTGGCTGACTACGATACAGGCAAGAAGCGGAAGTACGAAGACAATACCACGACCGAAGACCACAAGCTCGTAATCAGCAACTCGACCTTCCTCCCCTGCCGCGCGATAGGCCTGCGTGGGCTCTACAATATGGGCCAGACATGCTTCATGAGCGTCATCCTACAGACCCTCGTCCACAATCCATTCATACGAAACTTCTATCTTTCCGAAGGTCATAAACAGACAGAGTGCGAGAGGGACTCATGCGTGAGCTGTGCGCTGGACGAGATGTTTGTCGAATTCCACTCGGCCGAGAAGACGGAGGGCTTTGGCGCTGTCAGCATGCTCATGGGCAGCTGGCTGGCGGGAGAAGCTCTCGCGGGATACCAGCAGCAGGATGCGCACGAGTACATGCAGTTCATACTCAACACGCTGCACCAGGCGAACGGCGGATCGACAGACGACTCGGAAGATTGCAAGTGCGTGGTGCATCAGGCGTTTTGCGGGAAGCTCTCAAGTACGGTGACATGTGACAACTGTCGCAATGTGACCACGGCGCAAGATCCGTATATGGACCTTAGTTTGGACGTACGGATACAGGGCAAGAAACGGAAGATCAAGGAAGAAAAGGGTGAAGAGACTCCTTTGGATTTGAGGGACTGTCTCGAACGCTTCACGGTGAAAGAGAAGCTGGGCTCAGCAGAGTACACATGTCGAAACTGCGATAGTCCGCAGAATGCGACCAAGCAGCTGAGCATTAAGAGGCTACCACCAGTCCTCTCCATTCATCTCAAGGTACGTACGGACAGTCATCTGTAGCGTCTCTATACTAACACTTGTTCAGCGCTTCGAGCACACGAAATCCACGTCCTCCAAGATCGAAACCCCCGTTCGCTTCCCCGTCAAACTAGACATATATCCCTATACGACCTCACACAAAGCCGCCATGCGCGCCGCGAAGACCTCCGGCGCACCACCCTCGAACCACAACGTCAACAGCCCGGCGAACGCCCTCGTATACGAACTGAGCAGTGTCATCGTACACAAAGGCAAAATCGACTCTGGACACTATGTCAGTTACAGCAGGGAGGGCAACGACTGGTTCATGTTCGACGATAGCAAGGTCGTGCTGGTCAGTGAGGCAGAGGTCCTCGCTGCAGAGGCCTATCTGCTATTCTACATGGTTGGCGGACTAGAGGTATAGGAGCCTCCTAGGAGGAAGGTGGAGTCCCAATGGTTTAGTGTACAGTATTGTCCGGGCATGTTACAGGTCAAGGAGCTGCATTAAAGGCGTTGAAAGGGCACCCGGCGTTTGTGAGGGAGGTTGAGAAGCCCTCTTTATCCTAGGATTATCTGGCATGCACGGCTTCAACGTTGTCACTTTCTGAACACATTACAAGTTTTCCTCCACAGACTTCACCAGCTTCACTACGCAGTAGATCATCCTGACTTCCTTCGAACGCATTGGTGTTCATCATCCCCTTCCCAATCAGGCCGTCAGTCCGATTCATGCTATCACGACTCTCCACTCGGGCAACTTTGCCGGGGCCAATACCGCCGCACGCACATAATGCGCCGTTTCAACACGCACTTGGTAGGGCAAAAAGCGATCTGAGCAGTACCCATTTTCACCGCAAGCAGGCACATCCGGTGGCTCTACACCGCTCATCACAACCTCTTGCAGCAACACCCCACTCATGCAATATATCTGCTATCGTTCATGATTCAGAATTTCGTTGACTACATATATTAAGGTATCGCTGCCTCGCAGACTACCGCTCATCTTTATTCTTTTTTTTTTTTGGTACATCAACTAATTGAACGGCGATTTCGCCTTCGTCGAACTCGAAGAAATATTGCTTCTTGAGCTGGAATCCTCAAACATGGTTTCGATCTGGGTATTAACTGTAATGCCCTTCCCGCTCACAAACTGCTCGACGCCACCTATTTGATCCGACGGCGGATCTGTGAAGAGCGAGTCTTCTGATCCGTTCGCTCGATTGCGCGTATCGTGCGTGGAGTGCAGACCGCCGGAGATCTGATTCGAAGCAGTCAGACGGTTTCCGCTGGCTTTTCGCCGCGCGGACGAGAGTTCGTAGTGGCGACCGTAGCTGTTGGCGGAGTCTTTTGTGGTGTTGTTTGTGCCGAGAATCATGGAGCGGAGAGCGGGGAGACAGGTGGCGATTATGGCAATTGCTGTTTCGATCATGGAGACGGTGCAGGTTAGCATGGTTTCGTTCCTGTGGGAGTAGTAGGCTCGGACGACTGGCACGATGTGTTAGTGGTATTCCAATGCGTCTCGAATCTGGCGGTACGTACTGCTGGCAATAACGACGAAGAAACCCAAGGCGAAGATTCCGGCTACACCGAGCTTCTGCTTCAACTTCATTTGCAGCCGGGAGACCATGGTTATGGGCAGGCAGATGATGAACACGTCGGTTGCGATGTTGAAGCAAATGGTGATCCAGTAGTTGATCTCGGCGGCTTTGGGACTGCATTGATCTGCGCATGGTCAGTCTCCACCGTTCGCATGCATGTGGGTCAGGCTTTGCTTTTGCTCACAGTTCGGATTATTGGACCATCGCTTATTGTGGGGGTAGCACTGGAAGATGATGTCGAAAAAGATGACGAGGTAGGTGACAACTAATCCGGCAAGCGTGAAATTATACACAAGGACCAGTCGGGAGCCTGGCGCAGCGAGACTCTTGTAAAAAAAGACCAGGGCGAACTTGATGGTCCATAGTGAGGAGACGTAGAGTGTCGATCCGGGGATGATCATCTGCATTATGCCCTTGAAGTTCTCTGGGGTTACTGACGCCATGTCGCCCAGTCCTAGGTTCCACATGTGCTGCTGGATGACGAGATCACCTATCAGACATGCCAGAGAAAGTAGGATGAGATAGTCGTCGATTCCGAGGTTGCCCAGTCGCGACCATCGCGCCCACATGCGCAGCGCAACAAACGGCACCGTGGCTATAGTACAGACATACCATGACACCTACGAACTGGATCAGCGCTGCACGTAGCAGACGAAGCATGAGGAACAGGAGAACCTACCACCTGCCCGAGCCCATTGTCGGCCATGTTGCTTTGCTTGGGTGGCCGTCACCGAGAAAAAGGCCGTGAGGAGTTCGAGCCTGCTCGCTCCACTCTAGATGAAGATCCAAGAACAGTGGTGTGGAGAGTGTGACGAGGGTGAGCAGAATGTCAATTGACAGCGGGGCTGCCGCAACAAGTACCCTTTTTCCTACTACACGGGCAAACGACCCCCTAAAGTAAGTTTACAGGATGTTGCGGGTTGTGCAACTAGTATGCCGTCCCGTAGCGTTGTGGCATGATAGCATCAGGGGACCTCCCAAAGCCCAACCAACCGTAAGCTGGCAAGCATCTGAAAGGTCTCGGCCGCTAGAGTCGGCAACCAAAATTAAGCTGCGAAACCCTTCTACGGCCGCTACTTAGTGGCAGCAATTTCATGCGTTAGAGCAGGTTCAGCTACACTGGTTGGAAGAATCTGACTCGAGACGACAAAACTACATGTATAGCATCGTGTCCGCCGAACGGGGCAGTGGGAAACCGAACGCCACTGCTCGCATGTGAAGAGACTACCGAGTAATGGATGGCAAAAAACCGTCGTTGGTCTCGGGGTCATGGGTGCGATGGTGAAAAGGGTCGTGCTCAGATCCGTATCGAGGTTCCATGGTTCGGTCCGATGAGGATGCAAGCATCCTAGCTCGCATGGCGATGGACGACAGGGAGCAGCGGTCTGGAAGGCGAGAACTAGACACATGGCGCACGAGGCCGACAGGTTCTACCTTGGTACGGTCGACCTTCTAGCGTTTTTGGTGTCTCAGCCGGACTTCTAGCATGGATGCCAGATGGCTGCTGCGATTGGTTCGACTCGCTTAGCTCTCCAATTCTGCGGTCCCTGAATCTGATCGGACCTCGGGTCCTGCGGAACCTGCAAAGACGGAGATGAAAATATAGAACGGCTGGTCAGGCTCCACGCCGGGCAATCTTCGGCAGTTAGACGTTACATGGTGCTGCTGTGCTGTTGGCGGCGAGAAATCGTTCCACGAGGTGGCAGCCCGGCGAAGTGGTGCCCTATATAGCCATGTGTAAGCCCAAACACGATCTACAGCCTCCCGCCAAACTCTATCTCTTACCCAACATCGTGTTTCCCTGTCTTGCGTCATGAAGGTTCCCTCGGCTCTGATTGGCTTGCAAAGCCTTTCGCTAGGCGTTTTCCTCGGACAGGTGTCTGCCACGCCGCTACCTCCGAAACCTTCAAGAGCAACTGTCGTGGATGGAACGGCTACTCTCGATCAGGGAACTGTGAAGGGTTTCACTGATGGCTATGGAAACTCTGTTTTCCTTGGCATTCCGTTTGCGCAGACAACTGGAGGACAAAACCGGTATGTAATGGCGGTCCTGCATCGCCTCCGGTTGTACTGATGATCGCGTAGATGGAAGGCTCCCAAGGACGTCAAGAAGCTGAAGAAGGGCGAGGTGCTCGATGCCACAAAGTACGGTGCAACATGTCCCCAGGCCATTACCGGTACAACATACTCCCAACAAGATGAAGATTGCTTAAACCTCAACATCTGGGCGCCATCTTCGAACAGTAAGCTGCCACGGGCACCGCCGATTCCTCATAAACCGAATGGACCTCACCATCCACCAGGCCCTCCATCGGGCCCACCAGGCCCACCGGGTTCCCCACCAGGCCTGGACGCACCCGGCGGTCTTCCGGTATTCGTCTACATGTACGTGATTTTCCTGTACGAACTGTATGTGGAGCAAATACTGACTCGTAGATTAGGTACGGCGGTGCTATGGTTACCGGTTCAAGCAGCAATCCAGCCTACGTCGGAGAGAACTTCGCTCGCAAGGGAGTTGTCTTCGTTAGCTTCAACACCCGTGAGAGTCTTTGGGCATACCCTAACTCCGCCGAGCTTGTCGATGGCGAAGAATCACAGAACTTTGGCATCCTTGATGTCGACAAGGCTTTGCAATGGGTGTTCGACAACATCGCCCAGTTTGGCGGTGATCCCAACCGTGTTGTGTTCGGAGGCCACTCTTCTGGCTCAGTACAGGTTGACCATTACCTCTGGAACCACCCTCAGACCCCGCTTGTCGGAGCTGTCCAGATGGCTGCCAATGCAAAGTCTGGCCCGGCCGTCGGTCCTACCAACCAAGCGCTCGACCTCGTTGCCAAAGAGGTTGGCTGCGCGACTGGTGCAGGCCAGCTTGAGTGCCTGCGCAAAGTGGACATGTACGCCTTCCAAACCGAGGCCTTCAATGCCACTTTGAACACGTACTTCACGCCTGTCGTAGACGAGAAGACACGGTACCAAGACTATGCCGCACGATTCGCTGCTGGCAGTTACGCTTCCCATGTACCCCTCCTGACTGGTAACTCCGACAAAGAGGGCGCCCTTTTCGGTCTGGTGTACGGCAGCGAGAACACAGACTTTTCGGCTTGGCTCAAGACTTTCGATGCTGATGTCGCGGAGATTCCGAACAACATCATCGAGGCTGCTTACGACATCGCCGATTACTCCAGTGTCTCGGAAATGAGCGGTGCCCAGTACGGTGACGCACGCTTCTTCTGCCCTGTCGACCATTTCATCGACTTGCGCAGCGAGACCCAAGACACTTGGTCATACCGCTTCCTCGGCAACTACTCCAACCTCTTGCCTCTGCCTGTCGACTACCCGACGCACGGAGCCGAGATTCCCTTCTTCTTCGGAGGCAACGGTGCCTTTGCTGGTGTCCAGGGAGTGACTGCCGAGGAACAGGCGCTTGCTGACTTCCAGAACGACTGGTTTGTCGAATTCATCAAGAACCCCGCCGCTGGTCCTGGATGGGAAAAGGCCACTCCTCGCAGCGGGCCGATTGCGAAGCTTGGTGTGCCTGGAAACGAGCTTACGGTTGAAATTGGCAACACAGCCGATTACAATGGCAGATGTCAGAAGGTGTACAACCCATATCTGCCAAAGTACCCTATCATTCAGAGCGTACTTTCTGGTGTCATGGATATGGTAGAGGGCATCATCGGAAACTAGAATAACGAATAAATGATCAACTGGAAGGCTATCATGATATCTTACTAGCTTCCGTAGTTAATCCTAATGTAATCACACCAACAGTATTCGTCACAGTTCAGAGAGTTCTCCCCACCATGGTCATAAGCCAATCGCATTTTCAGAGGTCTTGTCTCAGGTCGAAAAGAAAACCACGTGATCCCGAGGTCTGTTATGAAACTGGGCTCAGAATCTGTAGGGGTTTCTGGCGATGAAACTGGTATCGTCGCTGATGCGCAAAGAGTCATGCAAAGGGATGGCAACCTTGGAGTCGGGTCGTGCTGATGAGATCGTTGGAATGCATCAGCAAGTAGCGGAAGTAATCGAATTGTGGTCGGCGACGTTGCTCCCGGCGACACTGCGGAGCGGTGATTGCGCAGGATACGCCTCTGGGGAAATCCGCGTCCTTGCAGGGCATGCCCTCTCGACAAAATGGCATCTTGAAGTTTAAGACATCGCACTGCGGCTGCTAGGGAAGGCTTTCTAGACCCCCGAGAATTCGGAAAGCACCCGTCTTGGCGAAAGCCAGCAGGCTCTCCCTGCTCCGCTAAAGGAAGGAGGATATGACAGAAGGATTGCAGGCGAGGCTCGCAACACGGGCTTTGCACCTCGAAGTGTTTAGCAAAGTAAAATCCGCATGTGGGACTGCTCAACACAAAGTGCGAGGCTGAGTCTGGGTTGCTGGTGCCCAGGTGGTTACCAGGCTGTCGCATGGCAGGTACGACGGCGACACGCCTCGTGAAACCTGAGCAACGTCCTGTCTATCCCCACGATAGACCCTGGAAACCTTTCATCGTCCTCCATGATTCCACGCCGACGCACGCGTTTCCACCAAGCTTAAGCCCCAATGTTCCATACTAGGCGGACCCGAGTTTCGCAATCAGCCAGGCTGGGGCTGATTGGACCAATACTGACGGTTTCTCGCTCGCCCCATCCCGGCTTGGCCCCATGCGGGCCTCACCCACAGCACCCCTTTTGCCAGGGCTCCTGAGATGCAATTGACACAATATGGACGGAAGGAACATATGGATATCAAGAGTCAAATGGAGCAAAAATCCTAACGCGGTGTGGCGCCCGTCAATGTCAGCTGCTGTCAGCTGCTGTCGGCTTCCTACAAGAATTTTACAATGGAGTTCACAGGGGATGAGACGATCTACATAAGGCCTCCCCTTGGCACATGGGGGCCTAAAGCTGTCACGCACCCGTCGACAAGGGCGGTATGCCTCATGGCGCGCGATGCGTGTACTGTACAGGCTGCGCCTCTCCACCCCCCACTGTGACTAGATGCGCATTCTGGAAATGATGCATCGGTGAGCCCATGTGGCTGAATTGCAAGCGTTCCAACCGCTGCGCGGGTCTGGACCTGGGCCTGTTGTCGGATGCCAATTTTGAGATGAAAAGGGATCCTTTTGTCTCTGAAAGACTTTTAACGTTGATCTTGTCAGGCCATAACCGCAGACTAACCTTACTGTCCCTGCCAGTCGGTACTCCACAACCTTCTACCTTTCGCTCAGGTCCACAAGGCCCGTTTAAGCTGGCCCACACCCCCGTTATCACACGCCTTGTCCGCAGCATTCGACTCTTTATAGACTCGCTTCCACCCATGGCCTGCACGTCGATCAGGCGTCCGAGCAAGGTTTTGGTGCAAATCACGATCGAACTCGGTCTCCCTCCGCTGCACTTCCTTCACACCACACCCGGTTTCGAATCAAGGCCACTATGACCGCGCGTGCCCGTCTCGAACGCATCGATGAAGACCAAGAGTCTCCCTTCCAACGCCGGACCGTATGCGACCGACTCCAGGACTATCGCCAGCTTGGCTGGCTGGCATGCGCTACGACCTCGCTGCTCACGACACGGCATTTGCTGATTGAAAGAAATCTGCACTATCCCTTGCAACTGTACATCACCCAGATTGCGGCTACGGCACTAGTCGCTTTCCTTTTACATCCATGGAGACCGAGCGCTCAACATGCCAGCGAGCAAGAACAACGTAGGAAGCGACCAGTTCAAGGTGCACTGTTATTGGCCGCTTCGAATCTCTTGCAAGCGGTATCTACATTCTGCATAGTGCAAGCAATCCTGCATACCTCGAATCTACCCCTACTATGCATGATAACGGTATGTTCCCTAGAGCAAGCTTGAAATGCGTTGCGCTGACCATGTCAGACGATAGCCTTCTTCGCTGAAGGTGTAGTTCTCTATGTATTGAACTACACACCTCGCTCAAACGCAGAAGCCCTGTCTTTGAGCTTGCTTGCCACAGCTTGTGCTGGTATCCTGTTCATGGAATACCGTCTAATGGTACCAAGCTTGATCGCATCGATCTTGGCAATGCTCCTCGTTGGCGCAGCGAGTGCACTGAAGAAGCTTGCTGCTAGACACTATCCGGGAGAGTATGCTACCCGAAGCATGAATGCGATGTTGCTCGTTGCTATGGGCGGTTTACTTGCATTGTTCTGTCTTGTCAGCAACTTTCCGGGCGAGCACTGGGACTCATTCGACACAAGCAGCCTGCCTCTCCGGACTCTCAATGCCTTCTCAACAGCAGCGGCATTGTTGAGTGGGGGTTCGATCCTTTTCCCAATGGACATGCAGTCAGGAGGCCAACTACCCGGAAGCAGTTTTGCCGCAACACAACGCGTCCGCAGCGCCACGACAATTCTAGCCATGGCAGCCATAACTGGTTGCTTTACTGTTCTGTCAACGCGTCGATCCTACACCAGCTTTTACCAACTAACATGCTTTTTCCTCGCCATCATGTGCGCATGTGGTAGAGATATCTACGACACCGTGTGGAAACAGCCCAGCCGTCACGATGGCTCCCGCGGAAGTTACGATCTCGTCTCACGCTCCCCGAATGCACCGATCGATGACGAAGAGGATTTTGGTACCAAAGCACAACGAGCATCACGACCAAGATCGCAGGGCAACAGTGCTCGCTCTCCTTTGGTCAGCTTGGCCTTGATTGTGCTGTGGACAGCATTCGTGAGCTTGAACTTTGGACAACGACAATACCCTCGGGAGGAGCCCCGTCTGGATCTACAATACGAACCCATTGGGCCCTTAGAAGTTGTCATCAGCATGTACAAGGAGCGCACTGAGGATGTTGCTGCGCTCATAAAGAAACTAGAGAGCATGCCACAAATGACCGAGGCTCTTGTCACGATTTACTTGAAGGATGGCGAAGCAGATGAAAGAAAGATCAAAGCGGAAACAAACGCGCACGAAGTCATCAAGCTCCCAAACATAGGACGCGAAGCCGAAACCTACCTGAACCACATCGTCAACCGCTGGGACAGCCTTGCAGAAAGAACGATTTTCCTCCAAGCCGACGTGCACAATCCACGAGAATTCTACCCATTCTTCGAGCGATACTTCCGTGCGAATCAGACGGGCTTCCTCAACCTGGGTTGGGCGGGAATATTATGCAATGGCGACGACTGTGGGGACAAGCGCGGCTGGCGTGACGAGACATCGCTGTTCGCGGACGTACAATCCCGAATCGACGGATCCACTCGTGAGAACGTGCTGCTCAGCTACAAGGGCCAGTTCGTTGTCACTGCCGCGCGCATTCGTGGAATCGACAAGTCCATCTATGACGATTTGTGGCAGCTCTTCATCGACGAACACAGCTGGGCCCACCAAGAACCCTACCTTCAGGAACGACCCGATTCGATGAGCCAACCCTGGTTCGGATACACAATGGAGAGGATATGGAATGTGCTGTTTCAGTGCTCAGACATGGATGTTGCATGGCGATGCCCGACCCTGTTGAGCGGGTGGAGACCTGGTGGTAGCATTGCCGACTGCCAGTGCTTTGATTCAGAATTGGCTGAGTAGGTGGAGAAGCATGCGTAGCGTCTAAGCACTTTTTTGTTTGTTTGTTGTGATACCCCTAGACGTCGAAAGGCGCAATGCGATGTCCCGAATTACGGTCGCTTGTTGTTAAATATAGATGACGCGCAATAGAGCGGAATAATAATAGTTTCCTCAAATTCAGTGCACACAACCTGGGAACGATCATGATTCCCGTCAGAATTCCATACACGCGAGCATGCTTTTTCCTGCCCAGCGGAACAGCACGGCCGTGGAGCCTGCGGACGACCGTGCCATGTAAAAATGCTATCCCGAAGCGTTTGAGGTCTTCATGCATCCAAGGGCTGCGGATGCAGGAGGTTCGAAGCGCCAAGCTGAAACACTCTGTGCCGGCCCAGATCTCGCGGTTGCCGTTTGACACGTGATACAGACACCCCACTTTCAATGCACGGGTGCCGCAATCGATCCTTGCGCACAGGCGAGCCACCACTCACACATGACTCGGCCGCATTGCACAGCCATGGCGTCGCAGATACTCTCCTTTCTCACGAAACGTTCCATAAGCTCACTCGTGGCGACGCTTTGTACCTAGCCGACCAACTTCCCATGCCCACACAGGGACACTGCCCGTCTTCAAGCTCTCGAAAGCCTGCGGCGAACCCCGTATATTGCACCTTCTAATACTCCGGGATACCAACCTGCACCCACTATCACTCCTTCAGGAACTAAACGACAGCGTTCCTTGCACCTCGAGCTAACGGACCCTGCATACTCCCATGGCGACTATTCAGCAGCGATCGAGCAATAAGCTCTCAGTTTCTTCAAACAGAAGCTCAGATGGTCTATACAAGCATCGTCAAAGCATGCTCTTCCGAGAACTGGAAATTCTACTCGAACTCACACCGAGCACCTTTAGCTCACCACTTCTGGCCCTTCCAAGAGAGATCCGCGACCAGATATTCAACTATGTGTTACCTGATCCCACAAGGAATCGTCCGGAACTTCACACTTGCCTATGGGGTGCGGAGATGTCCAATGGAGAACCCTGGAGACACGACATTTTCGGATATGGATCCTCCGTAACCAAAGCATCCCGCCTACGGCCGGAGCTTCTCTTGATTAACAAACAAATCCGGGACGAGCTGCTTCACAATTACTTTCGCCGCTGCAAGATCACTCTGCATGCTGAACTACGGAATACGCGGACGAACAACGACTATTTCGAGTTCTCACAACACATCCTGCAACTGCCCATGTTGAAGCATGTAACGCATATACGCTTCTACGTTGAATGGAACTACACGACGCTGAAAAACGGAGGGCGAGATCGCATGATGAAAGACCAGACCCGTATGACGAAGAACCTCCTCGCCGCCATGGACAAGATCGCCCTGTCGCTCCAATGCATCGAGACGATCGAGCTATCAGTACTCTTCTTTTGGAAGTTCCGGAGTGGGAAAATGTACAGTCTTTCCATGCAGGACCTCTTTGACCTCGAAGATGTGTTCAAGCGCTGCGCAGAGCTGCCCTGGCTTGGTTTACTCGGCGAAAATGACCTACCTGGAAAGAAGAAGACGACTACTTCTACCTACCTCAGCCCGACTTCGGCAACGATGAACTCTTCGGCGGGTGTGGGCTACAAGATGTCGACGGAGAAGAAGGGTACGGAGCAGAGTGGAGGTATGGAGATTTGCATCAGTCGTGACTTGGAGGATGCGATGGAGGAGAGGAGAAAGAGTAGTGTTGACTTTTTCGGCAACTACGAAGTCACAGAGCCTTTGCCTCAGCCTAGTTATCGGCATGGTGCTATGATATGAGGTGAAGGGCTCGTAGGATTATTTGGTTTTATGGATTGAAGATGGCATGCTTTCGCCTGAAGCATGGCCAGACATTGCCAACGACAGCACTTTTGACAGACGGCTCCTGGTCTTACAACATCTGCTTTGCGTACAATACCACGATCCGATTACTGACGCTATCACAACGCGAACGAATAACGTCATCTGCGATACCAGGCTTCATGCATCGACCGTTGGTTCGCGCAGCGCTCATACGACGTGTTCGGCGTACGGATTGGATGAGATGATTCTCACACATTTGAGCTCATCAACGACTCGGTTCCACAACTTATACACTGCGTATGGTGAGAAAGGACTTAGTTCACGAATCCGCCAGTAAGGCGTGGCAGCATGACCTTGGCCATGCTAGACCCCACCAGAGGGGTATCACATCCCGAGTTGTGGCGTGCAATCTACGCTAGATCATGCGGCTCGGCCGAGGCCACTCAGTTTGTTGCTAAGCAAACGCGGGGAAGATGGGGAGGGTCGCAATTTGGCAATTATATCGATTTGAGACTGCTAAATTTGAGCTGGAGTAATGATCGCATAATTGTTGTGATAACGTCGTGTTCTGATGCCTCTGTTGTTCTTCTCAGTGATACCCTCCAAGAAGCAACGTGCAAAGTTGTGAGTGGAGATGACGCACTATCTCGGTAAGGGCTCACGGTAGTCTTCCGCGTCTTGGTGCCCCATTACTGTGCTCATGAACGAGACTGTCCATAGTCAAACTGCAATGGAGTAAGCGGTTGATTTTTTCAATAGGATCATGTTTTTCTTGGTGTGTTATGGAGTTTATTCGAAGCGCTGCACCTGTGCCTGGACCCTTGCTGCGTTGCACTTAACGGAATTAACGCTCAAGATCTTCACCGAGCAAGCCACAGAACATGCGGCAAGCAGGTAGCCGCAACCGATGACACCTCTCACTACGGCTAGCTGCATCTCACTCGTTCTTACTTAACGTTGGCCTCCGTAGCTGCCTTCTATGGCGCTGCTGCGTTCTACCCTCCCCCGGATTCAAGCCATTCGAGGCAGCCCTGCACGTTATCTCCGGACACCCATGTGGACGAAATCTCCACATGCCAACATCATTAGCCTGACAGCATTCGCTTCGCGGTTTCCGGCAAACGAGTTATAATTGCTTTGTGCAACTGAGTAACGCACGACTCAGCGGTGACGCATAACAACTGGCGAATATATTAACCTCTGAACTCAATCAATCGCTACGAGCCACCAACATGACGCAGCCAGAACCACCAGGATTGTATCGCCATCCGACAAGAAGCGAGATCATCGATCTCGCCGCAGCAGAAGGCCATGATGCAGATATCCCAAGCAACCTCGGCTCCATACACCAAGTGCCTAGTCATACATCGGAAAGAAAGCACTCGCTAGATGAGAAGAAGGGCGAATACACAACTGGCGAAAGAGATGTTGAAAAGGGGAACGGCTCGGGCTCAGTCTCTAGTGCAGACCAACCCGATGCAGAAGAGGAACCTGAACGCGATCCGAATGTTGTCGACTTTGACGGTCCTAACGACCCAGAGAACCCAATGAACTGGAAAGCGTCCAAGAAATGGGGCATGGTCGCGCTGATAAGCGCCATCACGTTCCTAACACCTCTTGCAAGTTCGCAATTCGCCCCCGGCGTTCCGGAGGTTATGCGCGACTTCAACTCGACGAGCGATCTACTTGAAGGCTTCATGGTTTCAGTGTACGTCCTCGGCTTTGCTTTTGGGCCATTGATCATCGCACCGCTTTCGGAGATGTATGGTCGGCTGCCATTGTACCATAGCTGCAATTTGCTGTTCATTGTCTTCACAATTGCGGCTGCAGTGGCGAACAACATGGCGCAATTTGTTGTATTCAGGTTCTTCATGGGCTGCTTTGGAGGAGCGCCCATGGTACTTGGTGGAGGGACTATCGCGGATCTCATCCCACGAGAGCAGCGTGGAACTGCCATGGCTGTCTGGATGATGGGTCCAACAATAGGGCCATGTGTCGGTCCAATTATCGGTGGCTTTTTGACAGTAGCAAAAGGTTGGCGGTGGAACTTCTGGTTCGTTGCTATAGTGGGCGGCGCATTCTTCATCATGTCACTCATTCTGATGAGCGAGACATCTGGCATCATCATTCTACAACGGAAAGTCAATCGTCTCAGAACTGAAACAGGAAATACGAAATTACGATCCAAGCTGGATAGCGGTCTCACCCCACGTCAGCTCTTCAAGTTTTCCATCATCCGACCTGCCAAGATGTTGTTCCGCTCAACCATTTGCTTTGCCATTTCGCTCTACATTGCGATTACATACGCCTATCTCTACATTCTGTTCACCACCTTCACTGCGGTGTTCAAAGGACAATATGGCTGGCGTGGCGGCATCACTGGTCTCTCATTCCTCGGTCTCGGCATTGGCTCCCTTATCGGACAATTCACTTACATCCACTACGGCAACAAAGTGGTACACAAGCACATGGCACGCGGCGACTTCCGACCTGAACATCGGCTGAAAATGATGTGCATCGGCGGCTTCTTCATTCCTTGCGGTCTCTTCATCTACGGCTGGAGCGTGCAATACCAGACGCACTTTATGGTACCTATTGTTGCAACGGGTATCATCGGGTTTGGTCTGCTGATGACGTTCATGCCTGCAACCACATACTTGGTCGACGTGTTTACTATCCATGCCGCGAGTGCAATGGCGGCAAGTACTGTGTTGCGTAGTGTTGCAGCAGCATTCATCCCTCTCAGTAGTCAGACGATGTACGCGCAAATGGGTTACGGTTGGGGTAACACTATGTTGGGGTTCATTGCTACCCTACTGATCCCAATCCCGTTCTTGTTCATTAGGTACGGAGAGAAGATCCGTGCTAGAAGTACAGTTAAGCTTTGAACGCATGCGATGAAATATAGACATAAATAGACCTATATGTAATAGCAAACCAAATCCCATGCCTTAGCCTTCACACAGAGCTGCGATTCGGGTCATGATCCACGACTCCTGCTACCTGACTCGTATAGGCTATATGCAGCCTCGGTGTATACTCCGAAGCCCCACACAAGGTCTTGCTGAGCAACATTGGAAATCCGACGTCAATAAAATCTTGGCCGCATCTTGCCATAAGTAGAAACCCGGAAGTAAACATTAGTTCCCCAAGTGCTCTATCAATCGCTCCGAAATAGCCTCCCTCTCCTATAATAATACGTGACTCGCTCCGCCGCTCACGGAAAGTAAGAGCTACCTCATCATGACATCCTCACTACCAGAGTCCAACACCTCTCTCACATACACGCAACCTTCATCTCAACCACATCTTACACATACACCCATACCGAAACCAGATTCCCAAGAAGTTCTGGTGAAAATCAAAGCCGCAGCTATCAACCCAGTGGACATCCAACTATGGGGAAACCCCGTGATCGGCTGGCTAGCAGGCAAGAAGGAGAAAGGAATAGGACGCGACTATTCTGGCGAAATTGTAGCCCTGGGCGAAGAAGCAAGTAAAAGCGGAAAATGGGAAGTTGGTGACGAAGTCTTTGGATTGTGTAATCGACCTGTAAGTCAATTCTTTGCATGGCATGGCTTGAGTTTTTGGGAAGAACTACGTTGTAACTAATGTGAAATAGATGGCAGAAGGAACATTCACACAATACCTCTCCATCAACCCAACTTCCGAGCCCATCGCAAAGAAACCCAAGACCCTTTCCCACCACGAAGCCGCCGCCATCCCTCTAGTCGTCCTAACCGCATTCGCCTGCCTCGACTGGCTCCCCTCCCCATCTACCTCCCCCTCCCCCTCCCAACGCCGCGTCATCGTCTCAGGCGCAAGCGGCGGCGTAGGAATGTGGTGCGTCCAACTAGCCAAAAAGCTTTATTCTTGTCACGTAACTGGCATCTGCTCCGGCTCCAACACCGACTTCGTGCACTCCCTAGGAGCAGACGAAGTCATCGATTATCGCACACAAGACGTACCCAACTCGCTCCTTTCCAAACGGCCCGGCGGCACGAAATACGATTTGTACGTTGATTGTGTGGGCGGCACGGAGATGTTTGCGCATTGGAACGAGCTTCTCCATCCGTCAGGCGCGTATATTACCATTGTTGGGGATAAGACTTCGAGGACGGCGATGGGCGGGCCATTGACGTATTTTACGTATCCGTCGCAGGTGCTGAGACATGTTTGGGGGTACTTTTTTGGACCGAGGTATGCGAATGTTATCTTGTATCAGAAGAGTGAGTTGCTGGAGCAGGTCAGGGAATTGGCGGAGAAGGATGAGGTAAAGGTTGTGGTGCAGGACATCGTTGTGGATATTCTGACAGAAGAAGGATGTAAGAAGGGTTGGGAGAAGGTTAAGGGCTATATGGTTGAAGGGAGAGTTAGGGGGAAGATTGTTGTCGACGTTGCGTAGTTTTGATGATACGATCGAATATGATGAGTGAACCGGACTAGCAAACGAAGGGGAACGATCAATTAAGGCAAATTACCATCTATGTACTATTGGGTGTATCACGCCGGGTATCAAGGGGGTAATGAGACGCTTGAGCACGTATGCTCAGACGTTTTGTGACGAGGGAAAGAGTCCTAAAGGAAAAATGTTGACAGATCCATCACGGAGATCCTCACAGAAAGGCGACCCAAGTGTAAACCTTGCTCTTTGCCAGAAACCCCCAGCCTTTGGCTAGCCCTTAACCAGCTGTTTGTCGTGAATCCACAATCCAGTCGTCCGAGTCTTCACCGTGATTTTCCCATAACCCAGGTCGTTCAGTCGTTGTCGTGAGACGCTTAGTTGTACTTCAGGAAAGTCGTGGGCTCCCGTGATGTGGCATTTGCCGCAGGTATCCTGACGTCACCGACGGTTGTCTTGGGATATTCACCTGGGACATGCAGGTCGCTAACGCTGATGTCGGTGTTCATCCGCTTGCCCATACCCGGGTGCGCCATCTCCTCTGCAGTATCCACGAGGCCCACTGGGACGGGCCCGCCGTTGACAGTCTCGCCGAAGGCAGGTGCCCCTACCTCAGACTCGCCTAAAAAAGACGAATTAGCTCCTGGTGTATCCAACCCGCTCGCATGCTGAGATTGAGTGTGGCCATCAAAGACAGGTGCAATGATCGGGGCAGGGCTTGGCTGCGCAGCAGGTGCCACAGAAGGGGCTACGTAGCCTGTGTCGTCGATTTGATCGGGGAGGATATGGTCAGGATGCCGCTCGGGGACTTGCGTAGGGGTGGCATCTGGAAAGTCTGCCGCGCGAGATTGTTCGACTGGATGTTGCTGCTCTTGATTGAGCTGCTGGGCCTCATAGTGTTGTTGCGCCAATTGTTTCTTCCGGAATGCTTCGTTTGCAAGGGCACCGGTGGCTGCGCCCCCAACAGCAGGCGCCATCCAATTGCCGTGGTGATTGCTATCGTGACGTTGGATGGGCTCAGCATGTTCCAAAGATGGCTGGTTGTACTGGTCGACCGAAGTTGGCTGGACAGGGTAAGCCTGAGAAACCGGGGCGTATGAAGGGTTAGCGACGGTGTGAGGGGCGTATGACTGCTGGGCTGGTGTGTATGGGTTTGCGAAGCTGGTCTGCGGTTGGTATTGGGCGGGCTGGGTATACTGGACTGGCTGGACGGGCTCCGGCTGGTAGGCTGAGGTTTGGGCAAGATACATCGGGTGCACATCCTGTGTCGGACCTCCGGACATGGTGTTTAGATCATTGCCGACCTCTGAACTTCCGCTAGATGGCGATAAAGGCGCTTGTAAGTTACGGTTGACCATCAAATCAGACGGGAATCGCCCACCTGGAGAAGGTCGGGAAGGTCGCTCAGACTGGTCCCGATAGGCCTGTTCCTTCATGGACTGATTGGCTGAGAAAGGAACCGCGTCTGCCTCGTCTTCCTCTAGTCCGCCATCCGAGCTGGCCGAACGGGCGCTGCCGGCACTGGTACTCCTGACGCTTGCATGTCGACGGACAAAGGCATTGCGCTCTTCTCCACTCTTCTCAGTCAAGGCCTTGATATCTTCAAACCATGCGACCATGGTGTCGTACGTCTCCGCCCGGAACACCCAAGTATGGCCACGATGCATGGATCCAGCCTGACGGCCTTTGATAACGAACTTGTGGGAGGAACTTCCGGGCTGGGAGCGAGAACCAAGCTTCTGGTCTGGCAGATATAGGGACATGACTGGAGGCTGAGTGTAGATGCGGTCGGCCGATTTGAACTCGTGGAGATGCGTCGGCGACAAAACATACCTGAAGAGTGTTAGACTTGAAAAGCTCACAAGATCAAGTTGCTTACCAGCCCGGCGTGTACGACTTGAGATACTTGCTCTTCCGCTCGAGCATGCCCGCTCTGACCTCGGTGGTAGCAGGGTGGTGCTTGCCGGGGTACTGAATGTCTTCCAGTCTGCGCAACGGCATATCTGGGTTGACGAAGTGAGGGTCGCTTCGTACAAACCTGCTCCATTCGAGATCGCGCGGCATGGCAATCGGGCCATTGCGCAACCGCTCAACAGTGCTGTACTGCTCATCGGCATCGCGCTTCAAGATAGTAGCAAGAGCATTGTAGGCTTTCTGGACTTCGCCAACGACGATCGACTCGAGTTCGCGGCCAGAGTTTTCAAGGTTGAGGTAGGCCTGTGTACGTTAGCTGAGTAGCCTCTATGCGTGCGTTGACTGACCCTATGGAGGTAGTTCTCCTCATCAATCTGCCTCTCCACCTGGCGCTCGACACCCAGACGAACGACATAGGGATCTCCCTTGCCTGCAACTGCCGTGGGATCGGAGTCGGCCAAAGCCAGCGCCTCCTCAAGTGCTGTTACACACTTCCTTGTGGTCTCCTTTTCTTTCTCGACATTGTTCTTGAAGTCGCCAGACAGTGACTTGATCTCCTTGATCTTCTGCGCAAGATCAGCCCTGAGGCCGCTGAGCTGGTTGATGACGTCGGCCTCAACGTCTCGCGCCTTGTTGGCCTCGAGAATGGCTTGCTTGTGGAAATCGCGGAGGATGCGGTTGGCGTCGTTGAGACCTCCTTCTATGAGGAGAGCGGCTGGGGCATTGGTGTTATTGATAACGTTCGAGACTTTCAACAGCGACTTGGCGCGGTGTTCGTATGAGGACGCAACCTCGCGGAAGTAGGTAATGAGATCCTTGAGAAACTTTCGCCAAGCTGTCAGGTGTCAGTACGTTTCACGAATCTGTCACGTGCCCAACATACTTTGGAAGCGTTCTGCTAGTATCTCCGTGGGGGTGCCCTTGGTTGGTACAGGAGTGTAGAAGACACTGTCCTCGCGGTCATAGCCATGCTCTTGGTCGTCAATGGTCACACCGCGTATCGAGCCCGCGTGCATGGATCTCCTGCTTCCACTACGCTTCATGCTGCTTGCCCTCTTGACTGAGTTCTTCTTCTTGAGCGTGCCACTTCGCGAAGGCGTGGCGCCCTGGTTCAAGGTGGAGGAGCGCGAAGATGAGCGCTGGTGCATATCACCGTCAATAACGGATGAACCACGTGTGCGCGCATCGAAGTCCTCCTCGAACCGCCCCAGGCGCGAGCGTTCATTTGGCGCGCTTAGTGGTGAGTTTCCAAAGTCATTCACAGAGGAGGTGCCGTATCCGCGGCTGAGATGGGCCGGGTCGTCGATGTGCGGTACGGGGTCGTATGAGGCCGACGGGGTGACTGGTCGCTGGGTCGCCATAGTGGGTGCTGCCTGGTCGTGGATACTGGCTGCGGCAACGATAAGGTAGACCCTGACGAATATATGTAAGAAGACATTCGCAAACAACCCTGAGCCGCGTTCGCTGTGGCTGGCGATGACGTGTGGAGTCGCGCTAAGGGGTGAGATGCCTCGGAGGGGTCGAGGCGCAGATTGCGAGAGCCCGAACCGACATGGCGCCGCAGATCAATCAATACTTACTGCTCGGAATGCAATTGTGTCGCAAACTGCTCAATTTGATGAACTTAATGTGAGCCTGAGGGTGCTTGTGATGTCGAAAGGCAAATGCCAGATGTGAAGAATAAAACCATGGCCATCCGCGGCGGCTTCGCGGCACTGAAGAAGCTCACAAAGATGCTTAGGTGATGTCATGTTCCCTTCAATGCTACGCCCTCAACACCATCCGGACATGATCGTCATCGTGCAGCAGTGCCCGACCCTTGAATCGTCTTAGCCTGTGGCGCGGCTGTTACACTTCGGCCTATCATGACTTGCTTGCATTTCCATCCATTGCGCCGTTACTTGCGCCCGTCACATCGATTGTCCTAGCAGCTGTCACATGCAGGCTTGCGGAACACGTAGGCGACACAAGAGGGGCTTCGTGGCCTGCCAACTTCTTCACTTTGACAATGTTGGTCTCGATAAAGCCTCTCGGTGACTTTGCAGCCGTATCGTCCGTTGCCACTTCCATCGTCGCTGGCCAAACACGTGGAGATTCAATGTGGGGAGAGCACAGCCGAACGTGCCGACCCAAGTCTGCCCAGCGATTTGCATTCATCCTTCCGCAGATCAGTGCAGCACGGCGGCAATGCCGAAATCCTTTCTCCAGCTTGCTGCCCTGCGAGCTGCGCGTCTCTCGTGGGACCTATCCCATTTTTTTCCAGGGGTCCTCTCGTACCCAACCCTCTAACACTAGCTGGACCCCGTAGCATCACTAGCCTACCACGAAGTAACCCAGGGAGCATTGTGGGCTGCACTGCCCCTTTGCCGTCATTGGTCATCTCCGGTATTCTCTGAAGGGCGAGTAAGATGCAGTATGTCTGTGTTGATTTATCACAATTGTCCCGCGTACTCAAGTACAACTTCAATAACCAACCCAATCAAGACCAGGACAAAGCGATACCGAGAGAGAGATATCCGGCCCGGGGCCGCACTATTCCATTGACGACTTGTTTAGTACTCGAATCCGCAGCTCTGATATCTCACCTGTGTTGATCGACCGCTACAAGAAGAGACGGATGGCAGACGTTGAAGCACCTCATTGAAGAGAAGAACTAAATACTCACCTAAAGTAGATAGTCCGGAAGTCTGCATCGCTGTAGGATTTTGTCAACTTTCGTTTTTATACCAATGTAGTCTGCAGTGCACCCTTTGGTTTCTTCCTTGTATAAGGCAGGAGCACCTAGCCTTGCAAAGAAAAGGGTTGGGAGAGGTAAACAAGAGCGCGGTCAATACGCTGCACTAGGCATGAAATAAATGAAGTGGAAGCAGTCGCGAGGTGTCACAAGATCATTTGCATGCCGCGACGAGGCGTCAGGCACAACAACAATACGGTGCGCTTTGGAACTAGTGATAGTCAGGGCCTTGAGGTGAGCCTTCCTCAAAAGGCTGTCAATGTTCTCGGTAGTCTTGTCTACCTTGCTTCTGTGTGAGTAGCAGAGTAGAAGTTTCAGGTCATGATCTGATTTTACATTCACCACAGGAAACCTCTACACGCAACTACGCTCTACTACGTTTACAGCGCAGAGCTCGATACGATCATCGCTAGCGGATATCTCGCTTCCAGGTACCGGTCATGTGTCTCTTTACTCACGGGCCTCAATCGCGAACAGTATATTAACCGGCCACACACAAACACCTACTGCCAAGCACTGATTCCGGGTACGTGGTTGCACAAACCCATCTATTGCGAAACAAGATATATGACCGCTAGAGTAAATGGAAAATGCTCTGCCTTTATTGGTCTCATTGTACGACTACCGACAGCAGCCACCTTTACCGTGGTGAAAAACAAGTCTGGGGCGCACGGAGAGATCTTGGAGGCTCTTTAGCGAAGGCTTGCGTGTGGCGTTGTTATATTGCAGCCCAGCGACTGAGATGGACGATAGACAGGTAGAAGCGTCATGCTGCTGGTACTCGAGTGTCGTGTGGACATGGGCGTAGGAGTAGGATGAGGTATATAAGGAGAGGCACGACACCCGGTAACAGCACCTCATCCGCCCATACAACTTGACACTCGACCGGTACATCTATACTATCAGTCTACCGTTCAAGATGAGGTTCCTCGCTGTCGCCGTCGCCCTGCTACCCGCTCTTGGGTCAGCGCACACTATCGCTCAGCGCGTCCGTATCAATGGCCAGGATATGGGCCAAGGCAACGGTATCCGCGTCGCCCCTTCCAACAACCCTATCACCAATGTCAATGACGGCAATATTGCTTGTAACTCTGGTGCTTCTTCTTCCAGCAAAGTCATCGATGTCAAGCCTGGAGACAAAGTCGGTGTCAACTGGGGCCACGTCGTCGGTGGAGCACAGTAAGTCATCCTGTTCTTGATCGTATTACAACTAAATCGCTAACTCCTCAAAGATTCGCGAACGACCCCGACCACCCGATCGCGAAGTCTCACAAGGGGCCTGCTATCTTTTACATGGCAAAGGTCTCTAATGCCGCCAATGCGTCACCCTCTGGTCTCCAATGGTTCAAAGTCGCTGAGGACGGTCTCGACAGCTCTGGAAACTGGGGCGTCGACCGTATGATCAACAACGGCGGATGGACTGAGATGACAATGCCGTCCTGTGTCGCCCCAGGCCAGTATCTCCTCAGGGCTGAGATGATCGCACTGCATAGCGCGAGCACGTCCGGTGGTGCGCAATTCTACATGGGCTGCGCGCAGATTAATGTCTCGGGATCTGGATCAAAGACTGGCAGCACGGTCAGCTTCCCTGGTGCCTACAGGGCTGATGATGCGGGTATCAAGCTTAGCATCTACAACGCTCAGGGTCAGCCTAAGGGCAACGGAACGCCTTACAAGATTCCTGGTCCGGCGAAGCTGCAATGCTAGAGCAATAGCACGTCAGCCCAGGAGAAAACTGAACACCATTGGGCCTACATTACCATAAAGTTTTCTAGTTTACTTACTTTGTCCTAATGTAGTCTGCAGACCTGTTCAACTTTCTTCTTTTATGAGATGATGTGAGAGATTGGGCGATTGACATGAGCGTGCGCAGTTGGAGGTAATTCTGGAGCTTTGTGGTTTTTTGCGAACATCTCTACGACCTTCTATGTATATACTGTAATGGTAGATTGGGGGATAAAATGCTGGTGGCCGAGTAGCAATATCCAATCATTGTGTCGCTGAGAATAAAAGTGGTATGCGATGGTGATGTGATGTGTCGTTACAGTCATGCGCTTGTGCCTGGGCTGTGCAATGTACGGGCTGGTCGCACAACGGTGAACGGTGAGTGAGCCTTGCATGTACCCCGCTTCAGGCGCGTCCACGGAGGAAAATGCAAAAGCACAAAGAGAGGGAGTCAATACCTAGGTAGAAGTTTGGAACAACTATTATTATGTCTAAGCTACATACATCTAATAGTCTTGCGCTTTTCGCAGCATTCTGAACAGCGTTGCGTTCGCGGTAGTCCATGAATGTAGGACAATGCATAATGGTGATAGTGGATTCTTGTGGCCGCATTCCACCGGTAGATGTGTGGTCAGCGGACATGGTCGTGGTGGGCGCCGGCCCCACCACCCAACAAAATTCTACGTTTGAAGAACCACTGAGCCAATGATTGAAGTCGCTCATTCAGCTGTGACTGGTGGTCTAGACAAGTCCAGGTGATGCTATCTTTGCCCCGCTTTGGTCCCATTTGCTCAAATGAGTCCCCAGTGACCAATTCTTACATAAGGATATATTTTTTGCTACTGGATGATTTTCCATCAATCATCACAACCACAGGAGTCGTGCCAGAGTGGTTAATGGGTATGACTCGAAAGAGCTGTTCATTCAGAGCAGCTTCAATAGATATCATATGCCTTCGGGCGCGCAGGGTAAGCACTCACTTCTGAATAACCACGATACATTCAATTAACATATATGAATAGTTCGAATCCTGCCGGCTTCGCTTCTTTTTGCTCTTTTATAGCATCCTGTGGGTTATCCCGAAGACTTGTATTGATGTTGATAGCAATAAAGGGGTGAATTGAGATGTTTTTGGCCCAACATCACCATTTTCCAAGCAATCTTAAATCCGAGACTTCCAAACACTTCTGCACTCCGAGCATATTCATTCCAGTACGAAAAATTGCTTATACCTAGGTATTGGGGTAAAACACAATCATTGGTCACGTGAGACCCGGAGGGCTCACAAACCCCACTTCGGCCGACGAACGCAGTGCGCAACTTCAATTCATCCACAACGTTCAAACACAACTATCAATCTTCTCGCTCCGCTAATGCTCTAGGATTTTGGTGCGCATCGCCTTCTTTTTGCCTCAGGCCATCGCGTGCTGATTTCCAGACTCCAGGGGTGTAACTCTGGTAATCTCCCAGAAATCCCAAGTTGCCTTGCGAAAGGGTCCGACCTGGCCCAACTTTACCTTGCGCACATATATCAGCTAACAGAGTTCTTGCCGTATGGTCTTGGTTGCGCTACTATTGTAGGCACATTCATAACTTCCATCGATTACGACCTCGCCCAATGCGCCTCTCCAGTATCGCAGCGCAGTCACTATGCCCTCAGCCCGCTGACCCGTCCGCGGTTACATATTGAGCAGCCAAGTTCAACCTAATGATACAGCCATTCTCATTTTGTAACGGTCCCACTCCTTGCTGCCGTGCATGATGTGCAGAGTTCGAGCGCTGAATGGCTTCCACACCCGCTCTAGCAACTATAACAGTCACGAAGCGTCGCGAAAGCCGCCTCAGCAGCCAGGACCAAAGCCATTCTCAGCATCCACCTCACGTCCTGCCCCCGCATCTGCCCTTACACCAGCATCGATATCCTTCGCTACACCAGCGCCAACGATCTCATCCACAGCCGTCCCAGCGCTACTCCAAACACCAAAGGTAGATCGAGAGGGGACTGAACAGCGCACTTCTCACGGCGTTTCCAATGGCATACCTAATACAGGGGGCGATGAAGTCATCAGCTACAGCGAGCAAACTACTCACCAACAGCATCGACAGTAGCATCCTCTCTGGCTACCACGAAGAGGCTACTAGCGACAACGGCGAAGATGTCAGTGACGATGAGCATTCGACTATTAACGACAAACCAATTGCCGAAGAACATTCCAAGGCGGACGTCAAACTCATTGCAGACATCACGACAATACGCTGATCATCATGATCATGGCAACACCAAGACGAATATAGAGATTCTTTTGTGAGCAAAAAGATTCGAATACTGCAACAGAGGAGTTCAACCAGACGTCTAATACTGCCCGGCCTTGATTTCATTGCTTCTTACTAACAGATCCGAAGACGAACGATGGAGCACAGCTGATGCCGGCAGGCCTGTATGCTATTGCTTCTGTCATATGCTTCTTACCAACAGCTTTGGAATGTATGAGAGAGGCCTGATCAGACATCCTGACGCTGCCAGATCTGGATGCCATCACTCTTGCCTCGTACTTCTTACTCATGACTCCGGAGTAGACAAAAGAGGTCCGATCGGAGGTCCCGATATCGCCGGATCTGGATACCATCGCTTTTGTCTCATGTCTCTCGTCAGTGACTCAGGAGTGAATATAAGAGAAGCCTAGTCAGACATTCCAATGCCGCCGGGTCTGGGCACTGGGAGTAGCTACAAATTGTGTCACATTCTACGACAAAAAGTCCAAAGTATTACTAAGATTATCTCTAAGTAGAAGTATGCATTATCTTTAGAATTGGCTAGTTGTCAAGTCTTACAAGTCTGTATGCAGCAAATGCGAGATGAATTCTAGCCACCCATGATGGGTGCCATCGCTCCTATCTCCTACCTCTTACCGACACCACGGAGTGGAAACCATCAACAAGCGCACCCCAATCACACCTCACCAACGTCGCGTCCTCCTTCTACTCTCTCCAGTCTCTCATCTCCACGCTTCTCGCTTTTAGTGCCTAGCAGCCGCAGCCTTCGTCCGTCTGGCAGGCCTGCAGCCACTCACCACCATAGTCTCTTATTACTGTAGCGTTCTTCTCGATTTTCCCTCCTTCCTCATATTACTACGTTTGTGCCAGCCCCCCTGCGCACCTTTGCAATGCCACCCAAGCGCTCAGGGCTGAAGCCTATAGCACAGCCAGATAAGAGACAGAAGACGCTTTCATTCACACGACTGTCACCCACGGCAGGGGACAGTGACAAGGAAAATGAACCACCGGCCTCACAAACACCTTCTCAACGGAGCAGCGGCGCGCCTTCAGATACCAGCTGCGCTTCCCGCTCCAGTACCAGCGGCATGCCTTTAAACGTCAGTCGCGCTTCCCTCCCTAGTGCCAGTCGCAAGCGCACGTTGCAAAGCGACGACGGTTCATCCGACTACGCGAACAGTGAGTCCAGCGAAGAGCTAGAATATGAAGAGCAAGACATGGGAGAGCAAGAGCTAGAGGAGGCATCCTTGGGCGAGGACGACAGCATACCCGTAGACGACGTGAACAATGATAAACACGAAACCCAGGATATCATCCGGCGCTGCTCTATCACTGATGCGGAGCTATCTGGTGAGACGACGGTCCAGCAAGTCAAGGATTTCGTCAAGCGTATAATGCCTCCGCTATCAAACACCAAACTTGACGCCTTTGAGAAAGAAATTCGCGAACATGTATGCTCATCTTCGCCATACTTGGTACCGGCCCGAGTACGCGACCCTAAGGATTGGCCATACAACAGACGACTACATGGATATAACATGGAGACATGCTTATGTTGGAGAGAAGGCGATCCTGCTAAAGCAGATTCCAGCCTGGCTCAATATGGAAGAAGAGAACCTGGTGAGACCTACAGGCTCTCTTCGCGATAGCCTCATGATCATTTCCTCTTACCCTACTGCCGACGGAAACAGTACTGTCCATCGTCGACAAAGAATCAGCCTGGACATATCCAATCTGTACATGCTACTACTCTTCGCTAAATTCGGTCTGCATCTGCCATCTCTCCGACAACACAGAGCCTTACACGTGCATGTAATGCCTCGTCGCATCAACCGGAAGTGGGTAACCAGCGGTACAACTCCGAGTCCCCGGTGGGATGGCTTGAACAAAACGAGCAGAAAGAGACTGTGAAGCGGCTCAGTCTATCGGTATACCAAGCCGAGTCCTTTGGCAGAGATCGAAGTGTTCATGTCACCAATAAGAAGTATCAGTTCGCCATTCAGGAGAGGCTTATCGACTGCACTATTGTACTGCTATGGAATCAAAAGCATCTTCAGACGTCCATGTGCTCAGATGCGTACCATGACATTCTGACCAGCCTGTTGCTGCATTCCTTATCCGATCGCCTATGCTATCCTCACCAGACTGCCGCTGACTTGGTTGCTACATATGTAGACTGTCGCAACCCAAGCTTCCGTATCAGCTCAGCCCACCGCGACTGGTAACTCAAGCCTCAACGCAGCATAAAGCTATCACCTCATGCAAGGAAAAGTCCGAACTCCCTGGAGCCTACATTAACGTCAGAGCACCTACTTTGCATATTCTTATCTTAATGTAGGCTGCAAACCGGTTCAGATTTTTCCTTATTTGAGGTGCGATGGTCAAGATAGCGGACACGAGTAGAGCGAGAGCCGAAGCAGTGGCGACGTCGAGCGATCAATGGAGAGATATATCTAGATAGCCAAGCAGGCGCTTTTTGATGGCGGTGCCACGCATCTCGTTACCCAGGTAGTGATAAGTGGTCCTCTGATTCGGTCGAAGTACTGGGGATGCGTGACAGCGAAAAGGACGCGCGTCATATTGTCTCTCTGCTCTATTGTTGTGTCTTCTATGCACCCTGTGGGCACCTCCGCTTGATAGCGCTCGGAGGTGTGCGGTCATATAGCCCGGTAGGGTAGGTGGTGCTCCTCTTCCTAGGTAGATGCTTTATATAGACAGTAACCCCTGCGTGTCCGATAGTAAGACCGACCTTAGCCTCGTCACCTATTACCAGGTTATGATCAAGTCGTCTTAGAATGACGTCAAGATGTAGTGAGCTATTTTATTAAGAGTAGACGAGGTGCATTACAAGTTTAGCGTACGGAACGAACGTAGAGGTGTTTGACAAGTCGAGAGTGTTGGCATACTCGTAATGAACAGTGTCAACCAGGCGAGTAATGGGGTAAGAGGGAACATTTAGGAGGTAGTCCTCAACGCTTCCTGCAAACTTGACGAGCGTTTTCTACGTCGTGTTGAGAAGAGAGGGCATGTCGATACCTGTAGGAGGTTCAATAGCTTTCTCTTTTCTACAGCCATGTCCCAAAGTCTATTCGTCCCATCATCGAAAGAGGCCTAGGTAGTTGGCGCTCTGTCCCGGGTTAAGATGCAGAAGGGCGGAGGAAGCTCGGCATATAGGCGAATCTCGACGTAGAAGCTCTTCTAGTTGGACGAATTTAAGGGTGTTCGCTCTATGAACATACTCAGCTCATCGACCTATAGCTCACCAAGCAACTCTTCATCTGCAATAGACCATCAACAGATGACACCGTCGTCGGGAAGCCTCGTGGCTGGCTGAGCTGCCACCACTGTCGCTGGTGGCTACAACGGGGCTTTTCTTCCCCTACTCTCAGCCATAGCAAGCCTTGGAGCATACAGTATAGTCTGTCGTACTAGTCCATCACCGTGAACCCCAGCGAACACCTCCAGGGTACAACTTCAGGCCTAGCTTCGACCCAGCGAACTTTCTGGTAGCGAACAATACCAAACATGTGGAAAGCTCGGATTCGCGTTTCCAATCCTGAGATGCCTACCACATAACGCCGCGCCTTCAGTTTCGTTTCAGACCCCAGGACACATCAGAGCAGCGAAAGAAAAAGAAAAATACACCGAATGCTCACCTCGGCTTTACATTGCAGCCACACCTAGGCAATGCACGAGAGAGTCAGTATCAACCGCAACGGCATGAACAAGCCCTCACTCTCAGCCCACATTCACAAGTGCCCAGATGCCATGGCCTTCCCACAAGCTCTCCAAATGCCGAAGCCCTTCATTTCCCAGAACATGCAACAAACGCACCGACGCACATAATCCCCGTTGAAGGCCAAAGCAAGTGCGAGAACAAAAAAGCACGCATGTCAAAACATCAAGACAAACCGACCCTTCTTTCCCTCTCTGGTCGGGAAATTTGTCTATACCCTCGGGGAGATCACGGGTCCGCACTCTCTCAGCCTCACGGCGACAGCGAAGGAAACGAGCAAGGACGGAGGAGGGGTGGTGAAACAAGAAGGGAGGCCGAATCCGCCGAAGTCTTCCCCACCTTTTGCCGTACCCAGCCACAAGGACTACGGGCACCTCGGAGTCGGCTCTTTCACGAGACAATTTCACACCAAAGTGCGGAGAAAAAGGCGGTCAAGTCCGCCTGGGTCACTTTGGTTTCAATCTTGCCTTGGGTAGCATTGCGCTGCGTTATAGGTACGTTTCAATCCCAATTCGCGTGACCTCGAGCCTTTCTCGAAAAGGGTGGTGATTAGCTGGGTGATCGACGCAAAAGTATAGGGAGGGGGAGGGAGATGGTGCATCATTGGTGGTAGTTGTACAGCGCTTTAATGGTGATGTGCAAGGCTGAGGCTGAGAATGTTGGGCTAGTGTGGCTAGGGGAGGCTGGGGCATCGCGAGGGCTCGCGTGACACACAACCATGTGCAATAATTGGTGCACAGAGCTTGAATAGCATGGTATGTTGATGACGTTGGTTGTGTGGCTGTGGGGATGATGCTCGTAATGGCGATTAGTCACCGAGTTTTGTAGGAGTAGTTGCAAGAGTGCTTCGAGCATCACAGTAAACATTTCATGGCCAACCGGTAATGTGACTGATTTTGATTGGCGGAGGTGGTAGATAGAGTAGCTAGAAAATGGGGGGTGCTTGTTGGCAAAAGGTGGCTACATGGCGACAGGCAAGAGGAGCACACATGGGGATAGGGAGCGGCAGGACAGGAACTAATGCCCTCGGGTAAAGGAATGGCTTGGACGAAATTACCGTCCGTAAACAAAGAACAAAGACAAGGGAGCGACCGTGGTGCTCTTGTGCGCCGGATGGAGTTATAAGTGACCCATTCAATTGCCCGGTATCTAACACCCCACAAACGCCCAATTGAGGAAACAAGAAAAGGTTGGATATAACACAAGAGAGGTGAAAAGATTCTTCGGTGCAGCCGCCACAAATCTTTCTTTATCCTCGTCAGATGCTGGTCTGCACAACGGTATGGTGGTTCCGTCGTATACTGAATAGTAACGGGCTAAATCGCAAGATGATTCTTACTCTCGTCGTCAAAGCGTGATTGCGCGCACCGTAGTGCGAGACATGGTAGTGAAGGAGATTAGGTATTTGCGTAGTCAGGGTATGGAGGTGTTCGTCAGCGACGCCAGTCGTGAGAAAGGGTCGACGTGAAGAGCGCACGTGTTGCGCCAATTGCCCTGGTTGAGGCACTTATACGTTGGTAACCTAGTAGAAAGTCAGTGGGTGGCGTTTCCTCAGGCGGCATCATGGATCGCATACCTTCAATATCCGCCTCGAGTAGTCCTCGTTGTCTGCAATACTGCCGTTGCTCTGCCTCCGGTCGACGAAGCTCGGGTCCAGACGCGAGTCGTTCATGGACGAGTTGCTGGTGTGGAGCTTGCCGCCGTTGACGAAAGAATTTACGTTGGCGGCATTGCGACGGTAGTCTTCTTCTGCTTGGTGCTGACGTCTCCGGCGGAGCAAGAACCATACACCAAACATGATCGAGGCAAGGGCTAGTATGCCGACGACTACGCCCACTGCGATGGCGATTGTGTTTGGCTTGCTGTCTTCTTCCGGCGCCGCAGATGGAGTGGCCGAAGCCTGGGCGGCAGCGGTTGATGTCGGCGCAGCAGACGACGACTTTGGTGCTACTGAGCTGCTGCTGTCCACTTCGGGCTCGTAAAAGTCGACTGGGTTCCTGGTTGTTCCTGTGAGAACGACCCATAATTTGTCCTTCCCACCACCTAAGCGCTGTCAGTCGTGAGGGAAACGAGGGAAGGTTGTCAGCTTACAGGTCCATGTTTTGTCGCCGCTACACGTGGTGCCACATGTCTCGTTTTTGGTCTGCCATTCTTGGGCCGGAATCTCGTCACCACACCAGCATTCCTCGCCGTTAGACAGACCCATAACGGGCTTGCCTTGCTCAATGCAAACGAGTTGACAGTTACCAGGCGACTGAAATTTGAAAGAGCCGTGGTTCTCGAGTGGGATTCCGGTCTCGAAGCAACCGATGCTCACCATGGCACTTGCTTCTAAGGTCTTTGTTGGTGTGGTGATAGGGTCCGTGACGGTCGCCCATGTTGGCGTTGGCTTCTCTTCCGCGGCGGCCATCATGACCATCGAGGCCGCGGCCAGGACGGAGGCGAGTCTGATGTAGACCATTGTGGTGATGTGCTGGGCTGGTTAGTGGTGCGCGTCGGTCGACGGTGACAGCGTGTCGCACGGAGGGCTATATGCAGAGGCGTCGACACATGCAAGGCCCTGTGGGCGTAGATAGGTCGGGCGGTCCGAATCGGCGGTGGTGATGGTGGTGAGAGAGCGAGTTAGGCGTGTTCGGCGTGGATGTAAGGCTGAGTGAATATGGGGATCGAGGCGGAGATGGAGTCGTCAACAGGCGCGATGGACTGGGACTGGAGGCTCGATCAACGATGCCCAGGGCTGTCTGGTAGTGTTGAAACGGGGGGCGTCGTGGCAGAAGTCGAGGCGATGAAACTTGTCGGCTGCCCCTTGGTGAGAACCCCCGTAGAGTGACGCAAAAGGAATGAATCGACGGGAGATGGGTTCTGGGTAAAGAGAGTGTAGTGATGCGATAAAACGATTGTGGGTGTCGACGATTGACGACGTGAAGCAGACAAACGAGAGGAGGCTCGGGCCCTGAGAGTGGATCGCAGTGAAGAGGACAGGAGAGTGCGCCCCAGTTAGGACAGGCAGGCATGCAACCAGGAGCAGGAGCCAGCCTTGGCAATTAGCCTGTGCCTGCGTCTGACTGCCGCCATCTTTAGCCCACCCGCCCTGTAACTTTGGACAGCGCATGCATCTAAATTGCGTCGCGCCTCTCCAGCTCCCCTCGCATCTCCTGCGCCAAAGTCTATCCTCGCGGTATTCACACATGCCTTCACGGCATGCATCCAGGGCCCTCGTGTGCGCGACAGCCTGTCACGACGTCGGCCCAGTTGGGCAAGGCGCCGGCCCACTAGTGCCAGGAACAGCGCCGCCATTGGCCGCTCGCTGTTTCATCCTTGCCGGGGGGCGGCAGGGGCAGTCGCAGGCTAACCCAGGACCGCGCGGTCAGGCACTAAAGCGACTCAAGCGCTCGGCCAGAGGGTGTCGCTGACGTTGCGATACTCAGGACGCGCACGATGCTTTTTTGCGATGGATGCCAGGTCGAGAACGTTCTCGCGCTCCACTACTGTGCTGTTGGGACTGCCTACCATCGTGGAAGGCGGGAGTGGGACGCGGCCACGGTCGAGTCGCGTCTCCTCCTGTGGAATCTCATTTAACTGACATCCGGAATCTGGAGCATGGAAGCCGTTGTCCGCTCTATCCGAAATGCGAACACCACAGTCTAGACATGCGCGGCCCGACACAATCGCGATGAAAGTTTTTAAAAAAAATACAAGGTGAGCATAGCGGACGTAGCATGCACTCTGGCCCGAGAAAAAGCAAGATGCACGAATCTCCATCGTGATTAAGCGGCCCAGTATCTCAACAGTGACCGTTGTGCCTCTACATCCAGCGCCACATACACAGAACCTCCAACGGCTGAATTAGACACATGTCAAAATGCTTGGGTAACCTGAGACACGAGCGGGACGCAGCCGCATCGTGCGAGCTCGTCCTAAGATTCATGCTCGTGTCAAGATTCCCCAGGTTTGTAGCAAGTAGCGCCAAGTCGCCGCCGGACTGCAGTGGTACCGGATTCCAAAGCCCCTCCGGCTTCGTGATGACGCGCTTAGTCATTCACGTCACGTGTATCTCCCACTTCCCGATCGGGACGCGAGCTCAGTGTTGAATGGAGCTTCACCAAGGGCTCCGATGACCAGCCACGCTTGATGCGCCGTCCGCCTGTTGCCTGCCGCCGAGCAGTGCAATCGCTCCAGTCTTCCTCCTCCCAGCACATATGGATCTCTGACGACCTCCTCACCGGCGCCCTCAATCGATTTTTCCTCAGTTCGTGCCCGCAACAGAAGCGCCATGGCAGCCACGTCCCGGGGCCATTGGAGGCCAGGAGGAGGGCAGCAAAGCGTCGAATGACCGTGTCAGCGGGTTTCCACCCCCAGGAAAACTTTGCGCCACTGTTCAATCTCGGTGCGCTTTTTGGCTTCCGCAGAAATGATCAACCCACTTGGAAATACGAAGCACCGTCTTTACGAACCCATGCAGAGCCATTGGCTTCGCGTACGTTACGCTGCTCATTCTTCACATGTACTCCGCTAACATTGACAGCAGCTCAGCATGTTCCAAGTTTGCCAATAACGCAACCCGACCGTACATCCACCGAGCACGCAGCTTCGACGACTACCACTTCTTCATTCGGCGCCCCATACCCTTTCTCGCAGAACACTTCGCAAGATAAATCGCAGAAACATCTGAGCAGATCAGGGGAATACACAGTCGATGCTCTGGATCCTGAGGCGCATTTTGACGACTTCAAGACAAGAATCGCAAACACTAGAACTTTGTCCAGTACCGAACGCGGCCGGCTACTACACCAGAGCTGGATATCATGTCGCCCAGCCACCAATATCGATTGGGTCTACAACGTCATGGTAATCAAGCATCTGACGAAAAACCGCTGGGATCACACGCGCATCTTTTCCAGCCTCAAGTTTTTCAATCTACCTCCCACGTACACGCCCGAAACTCTCGACCTCCTAAAGTGTCTGGAAACGTCCGGCGCGTATCTACCGCATGCTTCTCGTGTCCACCGGCGTGTATATTCAAAGATGATTGAAGCCGCTGCATCAGCTGCAGATTCAACGAGTTCATTACAAGATACCCAACTACTTACACTGATCCGGTCAGCCCTTCGCAGCTGTTCCTACGTCACTCAAGCCGGAAAAAGCGCTGTAGGCGACCTTTGCATACTTGCAGACAAAATCGAGGCTTCCAATTTGAGAAAGGCGATACGTTCTTTACTCGCCGATTTCGACAACGCAGAACAAAACGTCATGTTCATGATTGCACGCGCTTCTCACCATTATCTCTATGCTGTCGAGGAACTACTTTTCTTCCTACCTGAAGAACAACTCCAGTCGCTAGTTCCATCAGTGACTCGGTCTCTCATACAAGGCGCCAAGCGGAAGACACGATTGTCGGCTGAGACGTACTGGCACCGTGCGCGTGTATGGATGACAGTCCTTGGAAAACTTGACGCCCGATTCAATGCGCCCCGTTCCAATAGCACCTACACACACATCGCCTTCACCGAAGTGGCTGAGTATGTGTTCAAGAGCGAACATACGGGTACTACGCGGCCGCTTCTATTACTCTATGCTCTCGCGTTCCGTACGGCACAGCAGCCAGGCTATGGTGAGTACAAGGACAGCTGGTTACAGTGCGTACACGCCTACGCGGCCTCTGCACAGGAGCAGCAAGGCATACTGAGAATGGAAGACGAAGTGGTAAAGGTCTTTGAGCATATGCGGACGGGTTCCATTCGGTATGGGCCGATGATGAATATGGCTGTCCATATATTCACATCCCACGCCAATCTTCGGTCCCTGCGCAGGTTTCAATACCTTGTACAAAAGTATCGATTTCCACTACATAACATAAAGGCTATACAAACCCGTCTCGCCGCTGAGTTGCCCACTCTCCGACACCAACCAAACCTGCAGACACTCCAGGAGCGCGAACATCATGCGTCTACATTACGCGCATGTCAATACATCACCGATTCTCTCAACAAATTCGCCGGACCAAGTATCTCGACTACGCTTGTCAGCGATCAAGAAGAGATGGGAACCCTACAGGCCCGTCGAGAATTCGTCGCAATTCTGGACCGCGCCTCGGACTACCATGCGCTGCCGCCAGCCTACACCAACCTCACTGCTGACATGTCGTTCTCTCAGCGCACGGCTCTTATCCACCAATTAGCTCATCACTACTCCATCGCTACTACCCGTTCACACACCGCAACCTGGCGCTCCATCTACCAACTATACAACTATCTTGAGTCGTATTCCCTGCCAATCGGTCCTCTGTTTACCAAAGCTGTAGTCCGAGCTGCTATTATCCGGCCCATGATGGAGCACAGGTTCATCAGTGCAAGGAAATTGATCTGGGTGTGCCAACTCGTTGCCAGGACTGAAGGCGAAAAAGTAGCAAAGCAGATCGAAGGTGCTTTCTGGCGCTGGAGAGGGGACCTGATCAAGCATGCCAAGGAGGTGCATAATGCTGCTGGTGGTGATCGGGGGGCGAAGGCCATGGTGGGAAGGTTGAAACAGTTGAATCTATTGGGATCCAAGGATGATTAGATACTGTTGTGGAATGAAAGGCTAGTTGATTGCATATACCCTGTAGAAAGCACGTTGTTACAGACGACGGAGATGAACTTGGTGCTTGTACACATTCTGTACCAGCAAGCGGCATACATCGCGAAATTATACAATTATGTCCTATGTATTTGGATTTGACTAAACTTAGACTTCGGCTTAGGTGATGATCGCAGCCGTTTAGTCAGTGCAGGAAGCACATCGTTGGAGGTCGGCTGCTGATGCTCACGAGATCAAACCTTGGAAACATGCCCCACTTTGTCATAACTTTCATTGGGCCACTACTCTCCCCTCCTCCAAGCCCTTCATTGTAGCGCTGATCAACGCTGAGTACGACAATATCCTATGTAGATATTATGCGATGCGCTGAATACTAATCTTTGAGGTCATTTCGCACTTCCGCTTGCACCGACGTCATCGGACTGACCTTGGAACATATCCTCACGAACAACGCATTCGACTTGGATCATGCCTGTAATGCACAAAAGCACGAAGACATCAACTTTCCGGACTTCTTTCTGGTGATATTATATTGGTCGTCATCGGATTGTCTTCATCGCTCGAGACATAGCAGTCTTTTCTCCACGCAAACGCGAGATTAACTGCATCTGAGTACCTATTTACAGCACCTGAACAGCGACTCTCACAGTTGAAGCGATCGGCTAGCGCCTTGTGTCGATATGGACCGGAATATCTCCCCACCTAGGCCTACTATTGAACAACTACGACATGTTGTCAACAACTACCCCATCATCGACAACCACGCCCATAACCTTATCCTACCTCACCAAGCCGATACAATCCCCTTTGAAACCATAACCACGGAAGCTCAAGGAAGAGCTTTGCGAGACACCTTCAAATCACTGCCCCATTTACGAGCAGCTAAACAGCTACGCCGACTTTACGAATGTGGTGAGGATACAGACTGGGAGGACATCCTGGAACAGAGGGTTGAGTGGATCCGGAGCAACTCCGAACGATTGCATCAACGATGCTT